CCGGCGTGGAGGCGGCGGCGCGCGGGCGTGAGTTGAGCAGGCCGGCGCGAGGCAGGAGGGCGACGGCTTGGCTGCGAAGGCGAAGGTATGAGACGTTCACCACTACTGTCAGGAGAGGTTGAGAGTCGAACAGAAGTGATGAGAAGGAAGCTAAGAAACAGAAAGGGGGGGGGGCCACGCTGGGATAGTCCCAGGCGCGTGACAATGTACATCCCTAAGTCAGCCGCGGGTGAAATCGCCGGCGCGCCTAAGTCCCCACCGCAAGGGGGCGGGCTAGCGGGCGCGCGCATGAATCCGCCGGCGCTGGCGCGCTGAGGCAGTCGCGCGCGTCTAAGTCCCCACCGCCGGGGGCGGGCTAGCAAGTGCGCGCAACGACCGAGGCGCCCCTGTCGAGCTGAGAGTGGACTCTTCACACCCCCCCCCACGCGAATGCGAGGCAGACCCAAGCCGCGGGTGTCGAGTGCGAAGGCCGAGGGCGTAGCAGTGCGTTGAGAAGACCTTTGGGCCGAGAGCCTTGGTGAAGATGTCGGCCACCATGTCGCTGGTACCCACATGCGAGAGAGAGATGTCGCCCCGATTCACCATGTCCCGAACGAAGTGCTCACGCAAGCGTATGTGCCGAGTGCCAGAGACGCGGACAGGATTGTGAGCAACTGCAGCAGCGGCTTCGTTGTCAGTAAAGATGTGAGCCGGTGCAACAGGTTGTACATGGAGCTCTTCGAGCAGCTGACTGAGGTAAATCCCTTCCTTGCCAGCATGCGAGAGGGCGAGGTATTCAGCGTCGGTGGTCGAATCGGCAACTCGAGACTGGCGTTTGGACGACCAGGACACGGCCGAGCCAGCGATGTAGAAGACGTAGCCCATGGTGGACACCGATGTGTCGATGCAGGCCCCCCAGTTCGCGTCGGAGTAGCCTACCACACCCGTGATGCGAGCCTGGCCGCGAGCATACACGAGTTCGTTGCGATACGTGGCCCGGAGATAGCGTAGGATGTGCTTGACCGCAATCCAATGACGACGACCGGGGTTGTTGGCGAAGCGGGCCAGGTAGGACACGGCGAAGGCGATGTCAGGGCGGGTACCGAGCGAAATGTAGAGGAGCGAGCCGATAGCCTGCAGATACCATGACCTGATCCGTTCGGTGCCTTGACCCGGGATAGCAGTGAGCGAAAGGCCGGGAGTCATCGGAACTGTAGTGCCGCGAGTCGTGGTGTCGAAGTGGAACCGAGCGAGCACGTCCATGATGTACCGTTCCTGGGATAGGGCGATAGAGCCGTCGTCGAACCGCCTGATCTGGATGCCGAGGATATACTCGGCCGGGCCGAGGCGCTTGACTCCGTAGCGTTGGTCCAGGCCTGAGATGACACGTTCGATTTCGGCCAGTTCCGGGCTGATCATCAGGAGGTCGTCGACGTACAGTGCGATGTAGTGTGGACATTGACGATCATCGAGCCAAGAGTATACGCAGTGGTCGGTGCCCGTCGCCGTGTAACCGAGGGCCCGAAGCGAAGCGTCGATGTGTCGATTCCAGATTCGGCCAGCCTGTTTGAGCCCGTAGATGGAGCGTCGCAGGCGAAGCACCTTGTCGCTGGGAAGGTCGAAGCCGCGCGGTGCCGTCATCCAGATGTCGTGGTCAAGGTCGCCATGCAGATATGCTTTGTCGATGTCCGCCTGGTGCACGTGCAAGCCGTTGGCGGCCGCCAGCGCGAGGAGAAGCGTGCGACCGGTGCGAACGTTTCGTTGAAGTCGATGCCGTCGCGTTGCCGATTGCCTTGCGCGACCAGCCTTGCCTTGTGTCCAGTGACTTCGCCGAGTGCGTTCCGTTTCGTTTTCCAGACGAACTTGGATGTAACGATAGTCGCACCCGCGGGCACCGTGGCTCGGTCCTCGATGGTGAAGACCTTGAAGTCGTCGCGCATGGAGGTGAACTCGTCGGTGGCGGCTTTGGCCCATACTTCACGCTTGTCGCTAGACATCGCCTCGCGCCAGGTCTGTGGGTCGCTCGTGATGGACTTGACTGGCTGAATTGCCTCTGTGTCAGAGGTGTCGTCGTCGATGGCGATGAAGGCGCGGTGGTGTCGGGTGAGGAAATCGATTTCGTCCGGAGATTCGTCGCGAGAGTGGCGCCCAATGAGGTCGAGTTCGTCGGGCGACTCCTCAGCCGATGCGGGCTCGCGGTACGTGCTGAAGTCTGGGTGGTGCACGTCCTGTAGATCGAGGCGAACCTGGGGCTGTGAGCCGAGGAGGTCGAGGGGATCGGCGGAGTCTTCAGAGTCGGTCGGTAAGGCCGAGGGTGACGATGACGCAGCCGACGATGGTGAAAGTGCAGGCGATGGCGCAGACGACGGTGATGAGGGCGACGCAGGCGACGGTGACGAGGACGATTCGGCATCTGTGAAGTTAAGTAAGGTTCCGCCAGTGTACCCTGGGGCCACGTCAACGGCGCTCATGGCAGAATCATCAAGGGGGGATGAGACGTCCATGTGCGCCGACCTTACTAGTGGGGTCCATGTCTTGACAACGGTTTGAGATTCGGTGGTGGGAGCGCTGGCGAAGTGCGTGTCGCCGTCTTGCTCAGTGGGGTCGCCATGTAATCCGGGGAATTCAGTGTCGAGGAACGTGGCATTTCTGCCAAGTATAATCTTCTGTGTTGTAGTGTCGTAGAAGCGAAAGGCTTTTGAAGCCAGGTCGTAGCCGGTGAAAAAAACGCGAACCGCCTTCGGGTCGAGTTTGGAGCGAAGTTCGGGCGCGACCGTAAGCCAAGCTGTACAGCCGAACGGGTGAAGCGCCGAGGCAGTGGTGTGGTCACCCTGCCAGACGGAGTTTGGTGTTGCCTTGTCCAGGGCCGCGTGTTGACACAGGTTCTTGCAGTAAACGAAATAAGCTGCAGCCTCCTCCCAGAATGTCTTGGGTAGGTGGGCGTCGACAAGGAGGGCAAGGACGCCTTCGACAATGGAACGATTGACCCGCTCTGCACGACCGTTCTGTTGAGGCGTGCGTGGGATAGAGTATTGTCGACGGGTGCCTCGTGTCTTGCAGAACTCTGTGAACGCTCTCGAACAGTATTCGCCACCGTTGTCGGTTCGGAGGACCTTCAGCGTCGCACCCGTCTCGAGTTCAACCTCGGCTAGCCAAGTTTTGAATATGCCGAAGACTTCGCTTTTGTGTCCGATTGCGTAGGCCCAGAGTTTGCGCGAGTAATCGTCAAGGAATGTGACCAGGTAACGTTTGCCAGTCAAGGACCGCTCGGGGAAGGAAAGCACATCGCTGTGTACAAGGCCGAGTCTCTCTGAGGAGTGCGAATCCGAATCGGGAAAGGGAAGACGATGGCCCTTTGCGCTGAGGCAAGCATTGCAGACAAACTTCTCTACCTCTTCGTCACTATATCCGGCCCTGAGACCCTCCAGCAAACCAGCGGCAACCATCTTCTGTATGGAGGACGGTGCGAGATGGCCGAGGCAGCGATGGAGAGTCAGCAGGGGCACGGACGACTGTGAGCGAGAAAGGAGAGCAAGGTGCTGACATTTGGAATGATCAGCGTCCAGCAAGTAGAGCCCTTCGTCGAGTCGTGCGCCTTCAGCGATGTCGTTGCCGTCCTTGTCAATGTGGATGCCGTGTTTTGTGAAGGCGACACGGACATCGTCGGTGTCGCAAAGTCGAGAGACCGAGAGAAGATTGACAAACAGGCCCGGAGTGTGCAGCACGCCGGTAAGCGTGATCGGATGACCCGAGGCGGCAATGAAGGCGATGTTTCCCGTTCCGATGGCGTTGATGCCCCCTGCAATACCACCAATCTTCGTAGGAGCGATATGGCGATAGGTCGTGAACAGCGACTTGTCCGAGACCATGTGCGAAGTGGCGCCCGAGTCGACGACAAAAGAGTGGTTGCGAAGCTGGCGACGACGAGCGAGAAGACCGGTGGCGAGACATCCGACATGGTGTTGCGAGTCGACGGTCGAGTCAGCGGTGTCGGGCTTTTTGCCGTCCTCGAGCGCCTTCTTGCAGTCGAGAGACCAGTGATCCTTCTTCTTGCAGGAGCGACAGGGTCCTGGCGGCGGGTGTTGCGCCCTCGTAGGGCACTCCGCGACTCGGTGCGAAGGGCTGCGACAGGCGAGACACTTGAGACGAGTAGAACGTGACGACGACGAGGCAAGAAGGGCCGATTGAGTGCTGGGGATGTTCGTTGACCGAAGTTGGACTCGCATACGGTCGGCAAGCGAATCAATGTCGGGGAGAGTTCGTTGCGTGCGCTGTTCATCGGTGAACGACGCCTTGAAGCTCTCGAGGGACGGGTGGGCGATTGCAAGGAGGAGTGTGGCGAGAACATCATTGATAGTTGTCTTTGTGTCGATGATCTCTTGCGCAACGGCTTTGAAGTCCATGATCCACCCGTCGAATTCGGCAACCGTGCCGGGCATGGGACGGAAACCCCAGAGTCGTGAGAAGAGCTCGAGCGTGCGGGTGGCGTCGTCAGGGGCGTACCGCGATTTCAGCGTCGAGTAGATTGTCGGCGCTGTCAGGTCGGCGGTAGGGATTTTGTCGAGGACTGCCGAGACTTCGGCCGAGTCAATCGAATTCGCAAGGACCTCACGAGCGACGGCGTCGCGAGCGGAGCGTTGCGAAGGTGTCCAGTCGTCGGGTGCGATACCGTCGAGGACGTACGAGCGGATGTCGTCCGCTAGGCACAGGCGAAGTTGGCGTGTCCAGTTCGCGAAGGTCTTCGCACCATCCAAGCGTGCGTGCTTTGGAAAGGCAGTGCGAGTGGTGCCGGACGTCGTGGCGGGTGTGGCAGTGCCGGAAGCGGCAGCGGTGAGACCCGACAGCAGCGATGTAAGTGCGGCGAGCTGTTCGGCGGGAATCGGAGGGTTGGCACCCGTCGCGAGGGGTGGTGTCGTGGTCATGCCAGCTGGTGGCTCGTGGGCTTATAACCTATGAGACGTTCACCACTACTGTCAGGAGAGGTTGAGAGTCGAACAGAAGTGATCTATTTCAGCGTACCTATGAGACGTTCACCACTACTGTCAGGAGAGGTTGAGAGTCGAACAGAAGTGATGAGAAGGAAGCTAAGAAACAGAAAGGGGGGGGCCACGCTGGGATAGTCCCAGGCGCGTGACAATGTACATCCCTAAGTCAGCCGCGGGTGAAATCGCCGGCGCGCCTAAGTCCCCACCGCAAGGGGGCGGGCTAGCGGGCGCGCGCATGAATCCGCCGGCGCTGGCGCGCTGAGGCAGTCGCGCGCGTCTAAGTCCCCACCGCCGGGGGCGGGCTAGCAAGTGCGCGCAACGACCGAGGCGCCCCTGTCGAGCTGAGAGTGGACTCTTCACAGTTGTGGCCCCTAGCCGCGCCCTCGGAACCGACCAACTCGAATCGCGGAACCGATTTGCGGGGCTCGAGGTCGAAGGAGGACAGGAGGATGACGTCGAGGAGGAGGATGCAGGAAAGGAGGGCGAGGAAAAGGAGCAGGTCGAAGAAGGAGACGAGGATACGGGCGCCAAGGCGGACGACGAGGATTCGGACTCGGATGGGAACGCCGGAGCGGGCATCGACAAGGCGGGAGGCGACGACAAGGACGAACAGGACGACAGCTCGGAGGGAAGCGAACAAAGGGAGGACGAAGGAAACGATGGGGATGACGTGATGAAAGATGGAGCAGAGGAGGAGGACGAAGGGACGGAGACGGAGGTGGAAGAAGAGGTCGAGCAGGAACAGGGGGTACAGGACGACAGCATCATGATCATCGACGACGACCAAACGACGATCACCACGGTTTCCCGCGAGTCGACTCCTCGGAGTCCCTCGTGGCCTCCACTATCTCCTGAGACGTTGGCAAAGTCGCTGCGCGAGGGTGCGGAGTGGGACCGAGCTAACGCCGAAGCTGCTGCACGTGTCCAAGCAGAAAAGGAGGCGATCATCAACGCCCAACTCGACGCGGAGGAACCGCTCGTTCGCCACCAATTTGCAGAGTGGGGTCAGGAAGATGGACAACTGCGATTCATCAACATTCGTGGCACCGGCTCCGGGTCGAACAAGAAGATGAAGAGGTCGCAAACGGTGGCCGATCTCAGCGATCCGAGCGACGACCCGGTCGATATCAAGCGCGTTCTGAACAGGGTCAAAGGTCGAGCAGGAAAGGAGGTAGCGGGTCAGGGGAAGAGGGTGACGAGGTCGATGTCGGCGGCGGCGGCGATGCAGGTCGAGGGGGCCAAGGCGAAAGCGGAGAAGGGTAAAGGGGTGGAGGAGGAGAAGCGCTGGTCCGACCACGAGCCCGAGGATGACATTCTCCCCAAATTCCCACTCTTTGAGGACGACACTACCGCCAAGAGCACGTCTACATCGTCTATCCAATAATGATCAAGCACACCATCACCAGCTGGAACGTGAGGAGGTGCATGGGGATCCCGGAAAAGCGACGCAACATTTACACCTATTTATCAACATTCAAAGCATCCGCCATTCTACTACAAGAACACTTCATCAAACCGGAACTCTGGCAATGTATCAAGGACGAGTACGAGGGCAAGGTCTTCATCAGCAAACACTGTCTGACTCTGATCCCCGCCGACTCGCCCCTGATCGACGCCGAGATTTTGCGCACCCACTCGGCACTCGACGGACGAATCCTGGTCACCTCCTTTCGACTTCGAGGCGACATCCGGATACTCGAGATCAACAACATTTACGCACCAGTCGATACAAAACAACGACTCACATTCTTTGACAAACTACATTTCCACAGGACGCAGAGCACCCACCTTCGACTCCTCGGCGGCGATCTCAACGACTGCCCGCTGTGAAGAGTCCACTCTCAGCTCGACAGGGGCGCCTCGGTCGTTGCGCGCACTTGCTAGCCCGCCCCCGGCGGTGGGGACTTAGACGCGCGCGACTGCCTCAGCGCGCCAGCGCCGGCGGATTCATGCGCGCGCCCGCTAGCCCGCCCCCTTGCGGTGGGGACTTAGGCGCGCCGGCGATTTCACCCGCGGCTGACTTAGGGATGTACATTGTCACGCGCCTGGGACTATCCCAGCGTGGCCCCCCCCTTTCTGTTTCTTAGCTTCCTTCTCATCACTTCTGTTCGACTCTCAACCTCTCCTGACAGTAGTGGTGAACGTCTCATAGGTACGCTGAAATAGATCACTTCTGTTCGACTCTCAACCTCTCCTGACAGTAGTGGTGAACGTCTCATAGGTTATAAGCCCACGAGCCACCAGCTGGCATGACCACGACACCACCCCTCGCGACGGGTGCCAACCCTCCGATTCCCGCCGAACAGCTCGCCGCACTTACATCGCTGCTGTCGGGTCTCACCGCTGCCGCTTCCGGCACTGCCACACCCGCCACGACGTCCGGCACCACTCGCACTGCCTTTCCAAAGCACGCACGCTTGGATGGTGCGAAGACCTTCGCGAACTGGACACGCCAACTTCGCCTGTGCCTAGCGGACGACATCCGCTCGTACGTCCTCGACGGTATCGCACCCGACGACTGGACACCTTCGCAACGCTCCGCTCGCGACGCCGTCGCTCGTGAGGTCCTTGCGAATTCGATTGACTCGGCCGAAGTCTCGGCAGTCCTCGACAAAAATCCCTACCGCCGACCTGACAGCGCCGACAATCTACTCGACGCTGAAATCGCGGTACGCCCCTGACGACGCCACCCGCACGCTCGAGCTCTTCTCACGACTCTGGGGTTTCCGTCCCATGCCCGGCACGGTTGCCGAATTCGACGGGTGGATCATGGACTTCAAAGCCGTTGCGCAAGAGATCATCGACACAAAGACAACTATCAATGATGTTCTCGCCACACTCCTCCTTGCAATCGCCCACCCGTCCCTCGAGAGCTTCAAGGCGTCGTTCACCGATGAACAGCGCACGCAACGAACTCTCCCCGACATTGATTCGCTTGCCGACCGTATGCGAGTCCAACTTCGGTCAACGAACATCCTATTCGATCAACTCTACTACGTCAGCGATGTAGTTATAGCCAAGAGTGATCAATGCATTTCAACATACCTATTCGATCAACTCTACTACGTCAGCGATGTAGTTATAGCCAAGAGTGATGAATAGGAAGCTAACAATAAGAGACCCGCGCGCCCCAAGTCCACAGCCAGCGAGCCTGGGGCTGAGCCAATGGCCCAGGCTCGCTCCGCGCGCCTAAGTCCCAGGCTCGCTTCGCGCGCCTAAGTCCTGGGCCGGGGCGCCCGGCTCACTCCGCGCGCCTAAGTCCGCGCCCGGTTCGCTCCGCGCGCCTAAGTCCTGAGCCGAGCGGAGAGTGGATTCCTCACACCCCCCCCCACGCGAACGCGAGGTAGACTTGAGCCGTGGATGTCGCGTCCGGAGGCCTAGAGCATAGCAATGTGTACCAAAAATCTTGGGGCCTAGCGCCTTGGTGAATACGTCCGCAACCATGTCTGCTGTGCCAACGTGTGAGAGAGAGATATCACCTCGATTGACCATGTCACGGACAAAATGCTCGCGGAGGCGAATGTGCCGGGTGCCGGAGGTGCGAACGGGGTCGTGAGCGACGGCGGCCGCGGCCTCGTTGTCGGTGAAGATGTGAGCTGCAGCGATTGGGCAAACGTGGAGCTCGGAGAGGAGTTGGTTAAGGTAGATCGCTTCCTTACCCGCGTGCGACAAGGCCAGGTACTCGGCATCAGTGGTGGAATCCGCTACCCGAGTCTGACGCTTCGACGACCAAGAGACAGCGGCGCCTGCCAAGTAAAATACGTAGCCCATCGTTGAAATGGATGTGTCGACGCAGGCGCCCCAGTTCGCATCAGAATAACCAACCACACCCGTGACTTTTGCTGGGCCGCGGGCATAGAGAAGCTCATCGCGGTACGTGGCGCGAAGGTAGCGAAGGACGTGTTTGACGGCAATCCAATGGCGGCGGCCGGGGTTGTTGGCGAACCGGGACAGGTACGAGACGGCGAAGGCAATGTCGGGTCGAGTGCCAAGGGAGATGTAGAGGAGGGAGCCGATGGCCTGTAGGTACCACGAACGAATGCGCTCCGTTCCCTGACCCGGAATTGCCGTGAGCGAGAGGCCGGGCGTCATCGGCACCGTAGTGCCGCGTGTCGTGGTGTCGAAGTGGAAACGGGCCAGCACGTCCATGATGTAGCGCTCCTGGGATAGAGCAATGGAACCGTCGTCCAGGCGGCGTATTTGGATTCCGAGGATGTACTCCGCGGGGCCGAGTCGTTTGACGCCGTACCGCTGTTCAAGGCCGGAGATGACACGTTCGATCTCGTCGAGGGCTGGACTGACAATGAGGAGGTCGTCGACATACAAGGCGATATAGTGAGGCCGCTGCTGATCGTCAATGCGAGAGTAAATGCAGTGATCAGTGCCTGTTGCCTTGTACCCCAGATTCCTGAGTGATGTGTCAATGTGACGATTCCAGATGCGACCGGCCTGCTTGAGACCGTAGATTGAGCGTCGCAGCCGGAGAACCTTATCGCTCGGGAAGTCGAAACCGCGTGGTGTCGTCATCCAGATATCATGATCGAGCTCGCCGTGGAGGTAAGCCTTGTCGATGTCGGCCTGATGAACGTGGTAGCCATTGGCAGCGGCAAGAGCCAGGAGGCAGCGAATGGAGGAGAAACGGGCGACGGGTGCGAAGGTTTCTGAGAAGTCGATGCCGTCGCGCTGTCGGTTACCCTGCGCTACAAGACGTGCCTTCCGCCCCGTGACTTCACCGCTTGCGTTGCGCTTGGTCTTCCAGACGAATTTGGAGGTGACGATGGTGGCGCCCGGCGGTACAGATGAGCGAGGCTCGATGGTGAACACCTTGAAGTCGTCGCGCATGGCGGTGAACTCGGCGGCGGCGGCCTCAGCCCAGATGTTGTGCTCGTCGCTGGACATTGCTTCGCGCCAGGTCTGGGGGTCGCTAGTGATCGATTTGACGGGCTCGATGGCGTCGAGGGTGGGGTCGTCGTCGTCTGTGGCGATGAAGGCGCGGTGGTGTTGGGTGAGGAAATCGATTTCATCCGGCGATTCATCGCGTGAGTGACGCCCAATGATGTCGAGTTCGTCGGGCGACTCCTCAGCCGATGCGGGCTCACGGTACGTGCTGAAGTCTGGGCGGTGCACGTCCGGTGGGCCAAGGCGAGTCGGGGTCTGTGAGCCGATGAGGTCCAGAGGGTCGGCGGAGTAGTCAGAGTCGGTCGGTGAGACCGAGGGTGACGATGACGCTGCCAACGACGGTGACAGCGCAGGCGACGGTGACAAAGGGTTTGTGGGCGACGGTGACGAGGACGGCTCAGGAGACGGTGACGAGGACGATTCGGTATCTGTGGAATTAAGTAAGGTTCCGCCAGTGTACCCTGGGGCCACGTCAACGGCGCTCATGGCAGAATCATCAAGGGAGGATGAGACGTCCATGTGCGCCGACCTTACTAGTGGGGTCCTCGTCTTGACGGCAGGGGCGGGCGTGTCGGCGGGAACGACGAACTGACGGTCGGTGTCGTCTGCATCGACGGGCGTGGTGACTGGCAGGCCGGGGAAGTCGTCGTCGAGGAAGGTGGCATTGCGACCAAGTACAATCTTGTTGATGGAATGGTCAAAGAAACGGAAAGCTTTGGAGGCGAGGTCGTAACCTGTGAAGATCACGCGCGCGGCCTTGGGGTCGAGCTTGCTGCGAAGGTCCGGGGCGACCGTGAGCCAGGCTGTGCAGCCGAACGGGTGGAGGGCGGTGGCGGTGGTGCGTTGGCCGTTCCAAACGGATTCTGGAGTCTGTTTGGCCAAAGCTGAGTGTGAGCACCTGTTTTTGCAATAAACGAAATACGCAGCCGCTTCATCCCAAAAGGTGGCCGGCAGACGGGCGTCCGCAAGGAGAGCGAGGACGCCCTCGACGATGGAGAGGTTGACACGTTCGGCGCGACCGTTTTGTTGAGGCGTGTAAGGGATAGAGTATTGACGACGAATGCCCTTGGATTTGCAGAACTCCGTGAATGCGTTTGATCGGTACTCCCCGCCATTGTCGGTTCGAAGGATCCTCAACCGCGCGTTCGTCTCTAACTCCACTTCGGCGAGCCAAGTCTGGAAGGTCGGGAAAACATCGCTTTTGTGATCGATCGCATATGCCCAGAGTTTGCGAGAGTGGTCGTCTAGAAACGTGACAAGGTAGCGCTTCCCGGTCAAGGACGGAGTGGGGAACGACAGGACGTCGCTGTGCACGAGGCCAAGTCTCTCGGCGGAATGCGACTCAGAGTCGGGAAAGGGAAGGCGGTGACCTTTGGAACCAAGGCAAGCATTGCAAACAAACTCCTCTACGTCTTTGTCACTGTACCCGGCCCCAAACCCGTCCAGCAAACCTGCAGCAATCATCTTCTGTATAGAGGATGGGGCAAGATGGCCGAGGCAGCGGTGTAGGGTAAGCAGGGGCACGGGAGACTCAGAGCGTGAGAGGAAGGCAAGATGCTGACACTTGGTGTGATCCGCGTCCAAAAGGTAAAGACCGTCGTTGACCCTGGTACCGTGAGCAATGGCCCGGCCGTCCTTGGCGATGTCGATGCCGTCGCTGGTGAAGGCGAGACGAACGCGGTCGGTGTCGCAGAGGCGAGAGACAGAGAGGAGGTTGACGTGTAGGCCAGGCGTGTGAAGAACACCACGGAGCGTGATCGGGTGTCCAGTCTTGGCGACGAATGCCACGTCCCCCATGCCGATAGCCGTGATGCCGCCCGCGATGCCGCCGATCTTGGTGTGTGCCGTCTGACGATAAGTCGTGAATAGAGATCGGTCGGCGACCATGTGTGTCGTGGCACCCGAATCGACTACAAAGGCGTCAGTTGGGAGTTGGCGACGAGCGAAGAGACAGGAGGCGAAATAGCCGACGTTCGGTTGCGAGGCCGCGGAGGAAGACGTGTCGTCCTGGGTGTCGTCGCTGCTACGTGCCTGTTCACCCCGGTTCTTGCAGTCGAGTGCCCAGTGACCTTTCTTGTGGCATCGGCGGCAGGGGCCGGTGGGCGGGTGCTTCGCACGTGAAGTGCAGTCGCGCAGGCGGTGACCGGGAGCGCGGCAGGCGGGGCAAGGGGAGCGCGTGGCAAGCATGGCCGAATGCGAGGTCGAGAGTCCTGCCGAACGAAGCTGGATGCGAATGCGGTCCGTAAGCGTCGTGAGTTCGGGAAGGTCGCGTCGGTTTCGCTGCTCGTCCGTGAACGTGAGTCGGAAGCTGTCGAGGCAAGACGGGACCATGGCGAGCACGTGGGTGGCGAGCACGTCGTTGAGCGATGTTTTGGCGTCGCGTATTTCCTGAGCAATCGACATGTACTCGCGTAGCCAAGTGTCGTAGGCCTCGACGGAGGCAGGCATCTTCCTGAAGTCCCAAAGGCGAGCGAACAACTCGAGAGTGCGTGTAGCGTCGTCCGGTGCAAAACGAGCCTTGAGAGCGGCAAAGATGCGCGGTGCCGACAGGTCGTCGCTGGGGATGGCGTCGAGGGTGGCCGATACGTCGGCGGAGTCGATAGAGCCAACGATGATTTCCCGGGCGGCGTCGTCACGTGCGGCAAGCTGGTCGGCGGTCCAGGTCGGGGGAACGACACCGTCGAGAACGTAACCACGAACCTGGTTCGGGAGTGCAAGACGGAGTTGACGCAACCAGTTGGTGAACGACTTGGGGCCGTCCAGACGAGCGTGCTTGGGAAACACGACCTTGGATGCGGTGGCGGCGTTCCCCGGCACGATGGTGACGGCCGGGGGTGCGGCGGCTGCGGCGGCGGCGGGTTGCGAGGCCTGCAGAGCGGCAAGCTGGGCCTGTAGAGTGGCGATTTGTTCGCCGATCGAAGATTCAGGGGAGCTGGGATCCCTGGGGGCCAAAGGCGAGGCGGGAGAGCTGTCCATGATGTGATGGTGCGATGGACGTGTGCGGCTCGAGTGGCTGGGCTCGAGCGAAAAAGCCTCAAGCGGCGGGGCTGGTAGCTCGTGGGCTTATAACCTATTCGATCAACTCTACTACGTCAGCGATGTAGTTATAGCCAAGAGTGATCAATGCATTTCAACATACCTATTCGATCAACTCTACTACGTCAGCGATGTAGTTATAGCCAAGAGTGATGAATAGGAAGCTAACAATAAGAGACCCGCGCGCCCCAAGTCCACAGCCAGCGAGCCTGGGGCTGAGCCAATGGCCCAGGCTCGCTCCGCGCGCCTAAGTCCTGGGCCGGGGCGCCCGGCTCACTCCGCGCGCCTAAGTCCGCGCCCGGTTCGCTCCGCGCGCCTAAGTCCTGAGCCGAGCGGAGAGTGGATTCCTCACACATCCCCAGCACTCAATCGGCCCTTCTTGCCTCGTCGTCGTCACGTTCTACTCGTCTCAAGTGTCTCGCCTGTCGCAGCCCTTCGCACCGAGTCGCGGAGTGCCCTACGAGGGCGCAACACCCGCCGCCAGGACCCTGTCGCTCCTGCAAGAAGAAGGATCACTGGTCTCTCGACTGCAAGAAGGCGCTCGAGGACGGCAAAAAGCCCGACACCGCTGACTCGACCGTCGACTCGCAACACCATGTCGGATGTCTCGCCACCGGTCTTCTCGCTCGTCGTCGCCAGCTTCGCAACCACTCTTTTGTCGTCGACTCGGGCGCCACTTCGCACATGGTCTCGGACAAGTCGCTGTTCACGACCTATCGCCATATCGCTCCTACGAAGATTGGTGGTATTGCAGGGGGCATCAACGCCATCGGAACGGGAAACATCGCCTTCATTGCCGCCTCGGGTCATCCGATCACGCTTACCGGCGTGCTGCACACTCCGGGCCTGTTTGTCAATCTTCTCTCGGTCTCTCGACTTTGCGACACCGACGATGTCCGTGTCGCCTTCACAAAACACGGCATCCACATTGACAAGGACGGCAACGACATCGCTGAAGGCGCACGACTCGACGAAGGGCTCTACTTGCTGGACGCTGATCATTCCAAATGTCAGCACCTTGCTCTCCTTTCTCGCTCACAGTCGTCCGTGCCCCTGCTGACTCTCCATCGCTGCCTCGGCCATCTCGCACCGTCCTCCATACAGAAGATGGTTGCCGCTGGTTTGCTGGAGGGTCTCAGGGCCGGATATAGTGACGAAGAGGTAGAGAAGTTTGTCTGCAATGCTTGCCTCAGCGCAAAGGGCCATCGTCTTCCCTTTCCCGATTCGGATTCGCACTCCTCAGAGAGACTCGGCCTTGTACACAGCGATGTGCTTTCCTTCCCCGAGCGGTCCTTGACTGGCAAACGTTACCTGGTCACATTCCTTGACGATTACTCGCGCAAACTCTGGGCCTACGCAATCGGACACAAAAGCGAAGTCTTCGGCATATTCAAAACTTGGCTAGCCGAGGTTGAACTCGAGACGGGTGCGACGCTGAAGGTCCTCCGAACCGACAACGGTGGCGAATACTGTTCGAGAGCGTTCACAGAGTTCTGCAAGACACGAGGCACCCGTCGACAATACTCTATCCCACGCACGCCTCAACAGAACGGTCGTGCAGAGCGGGTCAATCGTTCCATTGTCGAAGGCGTCCTTGCCCTCCTTGTCGACGCCCACCTACCCAAGACATTCTGGGAGGAGGCTGCAGCTTATTTCGTTTACTGCAAGAACCTGTGTCAACACGCGGCCCTGGACAAGGCAACACCAAACTCCGTCTGGCAGGGTGACCACACCACTGCCTCGGCGCTTCACCCGTTCGGCTGTACAGCTTGGCTTACGGTCGCGCCCGAACTTCGCTCCAAACTCGACCCGAAGGCGGTTCGCGTTTTTTTCACCGGCTACGACCTGGCTTCAAAAGCCTTTCGCTTCTACGACACTACAACACAGAAGATTATACTTGGCAGAAATGCCTATGAGATGATCACCACTACTGTCAGGAGAAGTCGAGAGTCGAACAGAAGTGATCTATTTCAGCGTACCTATGAGATGATCACCACTACTGTCAGGAGAAGTCGAGAGTCGAACAGAAGTGATGAGAAGGAAGCTAAGAAATGGAAAGGTGGCCCGCGCTGGGATATGCCCAGGCGCGGGCGAAATCGCTGGAGCGCTGAGGCAGTCGCGCGCGGCTAAGTCCCCACTGCAAGGGCGGGCTAGCGGCGCGCGCCCGAAAACCGCCGGCGCCGGCGCGCTGAGGCACTCGCGCGCGCCTAAGTCCCCACCACAGGGGCCAGGCTAGCAGGCGCGCGCAACGACCGAGGCGCCCCTGTCGAGCTGAGAGTGGACTCTTCACACCCCCCCCCACGCGAATGCGAGGCAGATCCAAGCCGTGGGTGTCGAGTGCGAAGGCCTAGTGCGTAGCAGTGTGTCGAGAAAATCTTTGGGCCAAGAGCCTTTGTGAAGATGTCGGCCACCATGTTGCTGGTTCCCACATGCGAGAGTGAGATATCGCCCCGATTCACCATGTCCCGAACAAAGTGCTCGCGCAAGCGTATGTGTCGAGTGCCGGAGACGCGGACAGGGTCGTGGGCAACTGCGGCAGCGGCTTCATTGTCAGTAAAAATGTGAGCCGGTGCAACAGGTTGGACATGGAGCTCCTCGAGCAGCTGACTGAGGTAGATCCCTTCCTTGCCAGCATGCGAGAGGGCGAGGTATTCAGCGTCGGTGGTAGAATCGGCAACTCGAGATTGACGCTTGGACGACCAAGACACGGCGGATCCGGCAATGTAGAAGACGTAGCCCATAGTGGACACCGACGTATCGACGCAGGCCCCCCAGTTCGCGTCGGAGTAGCCAACCACGCCCGTGATGCGTGTCTCGCCGCAAGCATAAACCAGTTCGTCGCGATATGTGGCCCGGAGATAGCGGAGGATGTGCTTGACCGCGATCCAGTGACGACGTCCAGGGTTGTTGGCGAAGCGGGCCAGGTAGGACACGGCGAAGGCGATGTCGGGGCGGGTGCCGAGCGAAATGTAGAGGAGCGAGCCGATAGCCTGCAGATACCATGACCTGATCCGTTCGGTGCCTTGACCCGGGATGGCGGTGAGCGAAAGGCCGGGGGTCATCGGGACTGTAGTGCCGCGAGTCGTGGTGTCGAAGTGGAACCGAGCAAGCACGTCCATGATGTACCGTTCCTGGGACAGGGCAATAGAACCGTCTTCGAGTCGCCTGATCTGGATGCCGAGGATGTACTCTGCCGGGCCGAGGCGCTTGACGCCGTAGCGTTGTTCGAGGCCCGAGATGACACGTTCAATTTCGGCCAAGTCGGGGCTGATCATCAGGAGGTCGTCGACGTACAGCGCGATGTAGTGTGGGCGTCGCCGATCGTCGATCCGAGAGTACACGCAGTGGTCGGTGCCCGTCGCCGTATAGCCGAGATCTCGAAGCGATGCGTCGATGTGTCGATTCCAGATTCGGCCAGCCTATTTGAGTCCGTAGATGGAGCGTCGCAGACGAAGCACCTTGTCGGTGGGAAGGTCGAAGCCGCGCGGTGTCGTCATCCAGATGTCATGGTCAAGGTCGCCATGCAGATAGGCTTTGTCGATGTCCGCCTGGTGCACGTGCAAGCCGTTGGCGGCCGCCAGCGCGAGGAGTGAGCGTATCGAGGAGAAGCGTGCGACTGGTGCGAAGGTTTCGTTGAAGTCGATGCCGTCGCGTTGCCGATTTCCCTGCGCCACGAGCCGTGCCTTGTGGCCGGTGACTTCGCCGAGTGCATTCCGTTTCGTTTTCCAGACGAACTTGGATGTGACGATGGTCGCACCCGCTGGTACCGTGGATCGGTCCTCGATGGTGAAGACCTTGAAGTCGTCGCGCATGGAATTGAACTCGTCGGTAGCGGCCTTGGCCCACACTTCGCGCTTGTCACTCGACATTGCCTCGCGCCATGTCTGTGGGTCGCTGGTGATGGACTTGACTGGTTGAATGGCTTCTGTGTCAGAGTTGTCGTCGTCGGTGGCGATGAAGGCGCGGTGGTGTTGGGTGAGGAAATCGATTTCGTCCGGCGATTCATCGCGCGAGTGGCGCCCAATGATGTCGAGTTCGTCGGGCGACTCCTCAGCCGATGCGGGCTCACGGTACGTGCTGAAGTCTGGGCGGTGCACGTCCGGTGGGCCGAGGCGAGTCGGGGTCTGTGAGCCGATGAGGTCCAGAGGGTCGGCGGAGTAGTCAGAGTCGGTCGGTAAGGCCGAGGGTGACGATGACGCAGCCAACGACGGTGACAGCGCAGGCGACGGTGACAAGGGAGTTGCGGGCGACGGTGACGAGGACGGCTCAGGAGACGGTGACGAGGACGATTCGGCATCTGTGGAATTAAGTAAGGTTCCGCCAGTGTACCCTGGGGCCACGTCAACGGCGCTCATGGCAGAGTCATCAAGAGAGGATGAGACGTCCATGTGCGCCGACCTTACTAGTGGGGTCCATGTCTTGACAACGGCTTGGGATTCGGTGGTCGGGCAAGCGCTGGCGAAGTGCGTGTCGGCGTCTTGCTCGGTGGAGTCGCTACGTAACCCGGGAAATTCGTTGTCGAGGAACCTGGCATTTCTGCCCAAACTGATCTTCTTGGTCGTCGTGTCGTAGAAACGGAAGGCTTTAGAAGCCAGGTCATAGCCGGTGAAGAGAACGCGAACCGCTTTCGGGTCGAGTTTCGAGCGAAGTTCAGGCGCGACTGTGAGCCAAGCCGTGCAGCCGAACGGGTGAAGCGCCGAGGCGTTGGTGCGGTCGCCCTGCCAGGCGAAGTTCGGTGTTGCCTTGTCCAGGGCCGAGTGTTCGCACAGGTTCTTGCAGTAGACGAAATAAGCTGCTGCCTCCTCCCAGAATGATTTGGGTAAGTGGGCGTCTGCAAGGAGGGCAAGGACACCTTCGACGATAGAACGATTGACTCGTTCGGCACGACCGTTCTGTTGAGGCGTTCGAGGGATAGAGTATTGTCGACGTGTGCCGCGTGCCTTACAGAATTCCGTGAACGCTCTCGAACAGTATTCGCCACCATTGTCGGTTCGGAGGACCTTCAGTTTTGCATCCGTCTCGAGTTCGACCTCGGCAAGCCATGTCTTGAACACGCCAAAGACTTCGCTTTTGTGTCCGATCGCGTATGCCCACAGTTTGCGCGAGAAGTCGTCAAGAAACGTGACCAGGTAACGCTTGCCAGTCAAGGACGACTCGGGAAAGGAAAGCACATCGCTGTGTACGAGGCCGAGTCTCTCTGAGGAGTGCGAGTCCGAATCGGGAAAAGGAAGACGATGGCCCTTTGCACTGAGGCAAGCATTGCAGACAAACTTCTCTACCTCTTCGTCACTATATCCGGCCCCGAGACCTTCCAGCAAACCAGCGGCAACCATCTTCTGTATGGACGACGGTGCGAGATGGCCGAGGCAGCGGTGAAGGGTCAGCAGGGGCACGGAAGACTGTGAGCGAGAGAGGAGAGCGAGATGCTGACATTTGGAATGATCAGCGTCCAGCAAGTAGTGTCAGGCAAACAGCGATACACTGACAGCAACACTCGAAGGAAGTCCCTGAGATAATGTGCAGGTAGAGTTGAGGTCACCAAATGCTTCCCTCCATTCAAGCATTGTGGGCGTGATGGCGTAGTCGTTCGGCGCGCGGGCGCGCACTTAATGGTCGCGGGTTCAAGGCGCGCAGAGCGCAATCTTCTCTCGGTTTTTGTTCTTTTTGTTAGCTGAGGCGCGGCCTCAGGGTTTTTACCGGTGCTCCCGCGAGCAATCCTTTTTCCCCCTGAGGCGACCTCTTGGAGTAGCTGAATTGGCTAAGTCCCCTCTGCGCCTGAGTGCCTCCCTTTTGTTTTTAGCACCTTCCCACTCAGCCTGGTCCGCTACATCTCCCAAGATCCCTTCACCTTCATCCTTCGTTTTCGATCTCGTTGGCAATAAAGTCCGATATACTTGACTTGCTGCGAGCCTCACAACCGCGTCCCCTCCTCGGTTGTCCCTCGGTCGCCTGCCCCCGCCCAGTCGACCTTCCTTCGGCCTGATCCCCTCCTCCGCGTGTAGTCAACGTCTTCTGAAGAGGACGTTGCCTGCCACTTTTTTCAAGTCCGGCACCGCCAACCTTCGATCTCGCTTGCCCTTGCTCTATCCTGCATCCTGGACGAGCAATCGTCCACTACCCCTGAGTCGTCAGCTTCCTCCCCGTTGCCGAACTCATCCCCCGCTGACGCGTCGTGGTCATTCGCCACCTCATTCACTGAGTCCGACGACGAACGCGTCATCCCTTCGTACCCCTTCTTCCATCCTTCTCGAGCTCGCATCCGTTCTCCCCACAACCGCCAACCGCTACGCCGCGAACTCGCCATGGCCGAACCCACCGACACGTCGCGAGACACCACCGCCCCCGTCCGCGAAGACCCCTCGCGCGCGAATCCGCCTAAGTCCCCGCCGACGCATTCGCCGCACCCGCTCCAGGCCGCCGCCGTCATCACGTCCCTTGAATCCCGCCTCGCAGAATCGGAAGCCCTGCGCCGCGACTCGGAGACACGCATCCGCAAATTGGAGCAGATGGTGGAACGATTGATGAGAGAATCCACCGCACCTGCTGGGGCGCAGGTCGGGGAGGCTCTGCCGGTGAGACCGGTCCCCCTGGACGTCCCCCCGCACACATTTTTGGGACGCCCGGGAGCTGCCGCTGACCCCCTTGCTCGTACCCCTGGGGGGGAATCTCACAGCGGAATTAGGGACGGCCCTTCCTCGGCGGTGATTAGCTCTCGTTGGAGAGGGACATTGCCGGACCGGGAAGGGTTATGGACCGGAGATCATCCGGAAAGGTTGGTGATTTTCACTGCGTTTGGGGAGTCGTATCTTTCTCTCTTGTGCGACATCTCCACCTCCGACCTTTTCGACACGAGCCGAGTGATCCAGCTTGTGGCGACGCTATTTTTTAGTACGACAACCCGACAGCGCCGCCAATCCCCGCTCGATTGGGCCGTCGAGGCGATGAGGGACGCGCTTGGAGAAGGGCGCCCTCATTGTTGGACGTCGCTCATGAAGGCAGTGGGACGTCGTTGGCCCGACCCCGGGTTCGCCGATAGAGTGGCTCAAGACTTCCACGGATGTCGCCAGTCGTCGTCTCGGGCTTACGACCATGTCGGGGAGTGGCGGGCGCGGTACCGTGCCTTCGTGCACGACAACGATAGTTTCACCCTGTCGCCGCTTCAGCTCGCCACGACCTTCTACCAATCGCTCAGTGACTCCTCCAAGCGGGAAGTGCGGGCGGGAATGTTACGTGAATACCACGACAACTCGCTGGTGACAATTGGGCGATTCGGACTGAAGGTCCCGTCCATCGACGAGATTACCGAGTGGGCCGCTATCGCCGACGACATTTCTCCTCCGCCTTCGGTTCCGACCCCACCAAGCCGCACCGCGACCTATGGCGCGATCGTCAAAGCTCCCCGAGTGAGCCCACCTGCGACCAACACGCCCACCGTCGACGAGAGGTTCCCGATCCGACGAGCTCGATGGGTCGACCGCGCTACTAAGTGGCAGCAATCGCACTTGTGGAAGGACCGCTCCACCTGGTTTTCCCCGGCGCCCAGCGGGGTACCCACCAGCATGGCTTGCTTCAACTGCGGACGAGGCGGTCATTTCTCGCAGCACTGCACCGCGGAGCGTCAATCCCCGGTCGCCGTCCAACTCTCAGCGGTCGCTGTGGCCGACTTGGATGACGAAGATTGGTCCTCGGTCGCAGGTGGTGACGAGGATCCCGAGGTGAGAGTCCCCATTTCACTCGAGCGTGTTCAGACTCGACCTTTGAGTTCCGTTTCCGCTTCAATGACGCGCCCTTCTTGCCCTCCCGCAGACCCCGTTGGCCGAATGAAAGAAGGGGCTTCTTCTTCAGTCGACGTCGAAGTCTCATCAAGTAATCCGCAGCCAACCGCGCCGACAAGTGATGCAGATCTACGTCGTCTTGCCGATGACTCGACCGACTCTGCGTTTGACGCGGTGGAAGACGTCCCCTCTTATGCTGATGCCGCGTCGCGAATGCGGCGATACTGGGGGCCGGAGGTGGTGTCGTCGCGCAAAGCGGAGAGGACTGCATCGGTGAGCTCTGTTCGTGTTCCGGTGCCGTTGGGGGTTTCTCTCTTGGAGTCCGACACGCCCCTGATCGACGTCGACGACTTCGCCCGACCCGCCGAGCCCGCGATTGTGCGCGCCCGCAATATTATTGCGTGGACGTTGCCGTCTGGGCGAACGCTGCGTTGCCTCGTCGACTCTGGTTCGGAAGTGGACTTGGTGGATCAGGATGTCGTGCGAACAGACCCGAGTTTCACGACGTCCCGCCTTACCGCGCCGCTGCACTTGCGCCTCGGCACTCGCGACAAATCTGACCGCTGCGCCGTGTTTGCCAACGCCCTCTTCACGTCCGGTTCCCTCGACCTCGGCTTGCGGGCGTTTTTCATTTGCCGTGTGACGGCATATGATGCTATCCTGGGTTTGCCGTTTCTGAAGGACACCGGCATGCTGGTAGGCTGGGGCGTCTTCACCGTCGCACGGCCGGGCCCTTCGCAGCCGGTCGCCAAGGGCACTCACGAGTGGGATCGCGCAGTCACGGTGGCGCCCATCTGCTCCGGCTCTGCCATTGGCTACGATCACCCAGGGTTGCTTCCTGACGACGAGATCATTGGCCTCGAGCCGCACAACCCTCTACTGGATGTCGTCGACGACCCGGCGCTCGAGGATTTGTCTGAGTCCGAAGCACGAACACGATTGGCTGCCTTACTCGAGAAATACTCTGATGTGTTCGTAGATTCGCTCCCAATGGACCGACTCCCGCCTTATCGACCCGTCAATCACGAAATCCCTTTGATCGACCCCAACGAGAAGGTCAAGCCGAGGGTCTATCCCCTTGCCGACAAATATCGTAGCCAGTGGGCGGAGCATTCAGCTAAGTACACTCGCGGTCGCTTCTGGGTTTCTGGTCCGATCGACTCTGCGGCTCCGGTCTTCGCCATTCCGAAAAAGAACTCCCAGACCGCTCGCTTTGTGATCGACCTCCGCGCTCGCAACAGCAACACCGCCAAGCGTTTTTCACCTATCCCCGACATGACCAGTGTTCGCTACGAAGTGGCACGTTCGCGCTACCGGTCCAAATTCGACGTGGCCGCAGCGTTTGAGCAGGTGCGGGTCATACCCGAGCACGTCGATCGCACCGGCTTCGCCACGGTCACGGGCACGTACACGTCGCGGGTGATGCAGTTTGGGGACACCAATGCGCCCAACACCCTGAACTTGTTGACATCGGCGATGTTTCAGCCGTGCCTCTCGTTTGCCAAGATCTTTTTCGACGATGTTCACGTCCATTCCGATACTCGTCGCGCGCACTTAAGACACATCGAGATTTTGCTGATGACACTGCGACATTATCGGTTCTACTTAGGATCCAACAAATCCGAGTGGTTCTCAAAGTCGTTAGATTCCTTGGGCGCGATCATCTCCGACGACGGCATCGAGGTCGACCCGGCCAAGTGGGAGCGTATCCGACAGTGGCCGACTCCACACAACAAGACCGACGTTCAGCGTTTCCTCGGCACCGTGAATTGGATGCGAGATCACCTGCCCCACCTCTCGATCACCTTGGAGCCCATCACCGCATTATTAGCGCAATCGACGTCGTGGCGTTGGAACGAGCGCGAGCAGCAGGCCTTCGACACCGTCAAGTCCCTCGTGCCAGCAACACTGCGACCGATCGACGGCGCTAAGGTCACCTCCGGCGAGCACAAAATCTACTTGTTCACCGATGCCAGTCGTGTTGGCATTGGCGCTTGCCTGGCCTCGGGCCCCACTCGTTCGCAGGCCATTCCTACGCGATTCTTCTCCGCTAAGTTCAATGGCGCTCAGCTCAATTATCACGTCACTGATAAGGAGTTCTTAGCCGTCGTTTCGGCGTGTCGGGCGTTCGAGCAGCACTTGATCGGTTACCCCTTCGTCATCGTCACCGACCACCAAGCCCTTCGCACGATTAAAACGCAGAAGTTACGCCAAACACCCCGGCACATCCGCATGTGTCTCGAACTCAGCCGTTTCGACTTCGAATTCGAATTCATTGCGGGCAAGAACAACTCCCTTGCCGATTCGTTGTCACGCTTGTGGGAAGTCAAGGAGGGATCGCCCGAGGATCAGGTCAAGGAGAATGAGTTGGAGGATATGTTCTTTGATGGAGAACGCCACGGATTCACTACACACGGTGAGAGCCTCCCTGAGGAACGTCCTTACACCTCACCATCTCCCGATCGGTTGCCTCCTGTTGATTTTGCCTTCGGGCCCCAACGCGACGATTGCGAGGCAGGCTCTCCCGGATACTACGCGCTCAAGGACGAATCGCAAGACGAGGACGTGAATGGACGGGATTTAGGGAATTTGTTCTTGAAGGAAGAATGCCACGAGTTCACTACACCTGGTGAGAGCCTCCCTGAGGAACGTCCTTACACCTCACCTTCGCACGATCGGTTGCCCCCTGTTGATTGTGCCTTCGGGCCCTGGGATCACGGCTACGACGCAGGCTCTCCCGGTTCCCATCGTCTGGCCGAGAACATTATGGACGCCGTCGACTCTTCTACCGGTCCCCTTTCTCCTCCCATCGCCGTCAATCGAGTTCATGCTATCGCCGCGGCCCCCGCCAACGACGCGCCCATTCCAGTCGATGCCGACGCCGATGAACTCGACTTACTGGGAGCCGCCGCCGATGAGGTCAACGACGCCCCTGTAGTCCATCGACCGCCCGACCCGCTGCCGCAACCTTTCCTCGACGCCGTCATCCGAGCCTACGCCCACGATTCGCAAGCCCAAGTCATTGTTGACGACCCGCTGTCATGGCCGATGTTTCGGGTGACCGAGGAAGGGAGGATCTTGCGTGTACATCCAGATGAGTCTCTTTCCCTGTTTGTGCCTCGCGGTCTCGCTACCGGCGTTGTCGACTCCGACAAGCTCCCATCGCTGCGCGAGCTCGTGCTTTCGGAGATCCATCGGAGCGTCGGGCACGCGGGACATCGCATCACCTTGGCCGCCATACGTCCTTTGTATTGGTGGTCGTCCATGTCTGCCGATTGCGCCAAGTTCTGCCATTCATGCGAAGATTGTGCCCGAGGCAAAGCGTCCACTCAAGTCCCTTATGGCCGACTGCATCCGATGCCGATCCCTTCTGGCCCATGGGAACAAGTGGCCATCGACTTCATGACGGGACTGCCTCCGGTCGAGTTCGAAGGGATGATGGTCGCTCAAATCATGGTGGTCACTGACACTTGGGGCAAGATGGTCCACCTGATTCCCCTCCCAGCCGACGCCGACTCCGAGCTCGTTGCCGACAGGTACTACGCCACCATCTTTCGACTGCATGGGACGCCTTCCGCCATCGTTTCCGATCGCGATCCCAAGTTCACCTCGCAGTTTTGGCGAGCATTGCAGGCGAAGGTCGGCACCGTCTTGCGGATGTCAACAGCGGCGCACCCAGAGACCGACGGATCGAGTGAGAACCGAATCAAGATGGTCACCCAAACCCTGCGCATCATGGTGTCGTCAAACCACGAGGCTTGGGCATCTCGTCTTGTTGAAGCTGAGTTCGCTCTTAACTCTTCCGTTGCTGTTTCCACGTCTCTGTCGGCTTTCGAGGCGACTTACGGTTACCTTCCTCGACGCTGGCCCACCGATTCCTGGTCTGTCTCGGACGTCCCGCGTGCGGAAGCGTTTGCCCGAATCCGACAGTTACGGAATCTCGACGTCACGGATGCGATCATTGGTGCACGCCTCGATCAGACTCACCAGGCCAACAAGCATCGACGCCCGGATGATCCCGCCTTTCGGACCGGCAGTTATGTCTATCTTTCGACCAAGAACCTGGCAGTTCCTGAAGGGATGAAGTCGAAGTTGTTGCCGCGCTACATTGGTCCTTTCCGTATCCGAGCGGCCATTCCAGCGACGTCCAGTTACGACCTCGAGCTTCCCCCAGCAATGTCGCGAGTGCACAGTCGCTTCCATGCTCGACTGCTTCGCCCCTATGTTGAGAACGATGCTGAGAGGTTCCCTGGGCGTGACCCCGCAGTTCTTTTTGTTGAAGATGTAGCCGACGCGGCCGACAACTCCGCCATTCCGGAACGGATTGTTCGCGATCGTCGGAACGCTCGGGGCAATCGTTCGTTCTTGGTTCGATGGATTGGCCGTAAGGACATCGATGACACTTGGATGTCAGAGCAGTCCCTCCGCTTCGACCATCCATCCCTACTCGACGCCTACCTGGCACAACTCGATCGCTCAAATCGCCGCCTGTCCTCCCGGTAGACTTCCTTCTGGGGGGGACAATGTCAGGCAAACAGCGATACACTGACAGCAACACTCGAAGGAAGTCCCTGAGATAATGTGCAGGTAGAGTTGAGGTCACCAAATGCTTCCCTCCATTCAAGCATTGTGGGCGTGATGGCGTAGTCGTTCGGCGCGCGGGCGCGCACTTAATGGTCGCGGGTTCAAGGCGCGCAGAGCGCAATCTTCTCTCGGTTTTTGTTCTTTTTGTTAGCTGAGGCGCGGCCTCAGGGTTTTTACCGGTGCTCCCGCGAGCAATCCTTTTTCCCCCTGAGGCGACCTCTTGGAGTAGCTGAATTGGCTAAGTCCCCTCTGCGCCTGAGTGCCTCCCTTTTGTTTTTAGCACCTTCCCACTCAGCCTGGTCCGCTACATCTCCCAAGATCCCTTCACCTTCATCCTTCGTTTTCGATCTCGTTGGCAATAAAGTCCGATATACTTGACTTGCTGCGAGCCTCACAACCGCGTCCCCTCCTCGGTTGTCCCTCGGTCGCCTGCCCCCGCCCAGTCGACCTTCCTTCGGCCTGATCCCCTCCTCCGCGTGTAGTCAACGTCTTCTGAAGAGGACGTTGCCTGCCAAGTAGAGCCCTTCCTCGAGTCTTGCGCCTTCAGCGATAGCATTGCCGTTCTTGTCGATATGGATGCCGTGCTTCGTGAAGGCGACACGGACATCGTCGGTGTCGCAAAGTCGAGAGACCGAGAGGAGGTTGACAGACAGGCCCGGGGTGTGCAGCACGCCGGTAAGCGTGATCGGGTGACCGGAGGCGGCAACAAAGGCGATGTTTCCCGTTCCGACGGCGTTGATGCCCCCTGCAATACCACCAATCTTCGTAGGAGCGATGTGGCGATAGGCCGTGAACAGCGACTTGTCCGAGACCATGTGCGAAGTGGCACCCGAGTCGACGACGAAGGAGTTGTTGCGAAGCTGACGACGATGTGCGAGAAGACCGGTGGCGAGACATCCGACATGGTGTTGCGCATCAGAGGTGTCGGGCGTTTTCCCGTCCTCAAGAGCCTTTTTGCAGTCGAAAGACCAGTGGTCCTTCTTCTTGCAGGAGCGACACGGGCCTGGCGGTGGATGCTGGGCCCTTGTAGGGCATTGTGCGACGCGGTGAGAAGTGCTGCGACAGGCGAGGCACTTGGTACGGGTAGAACGTGGCGACGACGAGGCAAGGAGGGCCGATTGATCGTTGGAGAGGTTCGTTGACCGGAGTTGAACTCGCATACGGTCGGCCACTGAATCGATGTCAGGGAGAGTTCGTTGCGTGCGTTGTTCGTCGGTGAACGTTGCCTTGAAGCTCTCGAGTGACGGGTGGGCGATCGCGAGGAGGAGTGTGGCAAGGACGTCGTTGATCGTCGTTTTCGTATCGATGATCTCTTGCGCGACCGACTTGAAGTCCATGATCCAACTGTCAAATTCGCCAACCGTTCCGGGCATGGGTCGGAAGCCCCAGAGTCGCGAGAAGAGCTCGAGCGTGCGAGTGGCGTCATCAGGGGCGTATCGCGATTTCAGCGTCGAGTAAATCTTGGGCGCTGTGAGGTCGGCCGTAGGGATCTTGTCGAGGACTGCCGAGACTTCGGCCGAGTCGATTGAGTTTGCAAGGATCTCGCGTGCCACGACGTCGCGGGCGGAGCGTTGCGAAGGCGTCCAATCGTCGGGGGTGATTCCGTCGAGGACGTAGGAGCGGATGTCGTCCGCTAGGCACAGGCGAAGCTGGCGTGTCCAGTTCGCGAACGTCTTCGGCCCGTCCAACCGCGCATGCTTCGGGAAGGCATTGCGATTGGAGCCGGATGTCGTGGCGGGTGCGGTAGTGCCGGAAGCGGCAGCGGTGAGTCCCGACAGCAGCGATGTAAGTGCGGCAAGCTGTTCGGCGGGAATTGTCGGGGTGGCGCTCGTCGCGAGGGTTGACGACGTGTCCATGCCAGCGGTAGCTCGATGGGCTTATAACCTATGAGATGATCACCACTACTGTCAGGAGAAGTCGAGAGTCGAACAGAAGTGATCTATTTCAGCGTACCTATGAGATGATCACCACTACTGTCAGGAGAAGTCGAGAGTCGAACAGAAGTGATGAGAAGGAAGCTAAGAAATGGAAAGGTGGCCCGCGCTGGGATATGCCCAGGCGCGGGCGAAATCGCTGGAGCGCTGAGGCAGTCGCGCGCGGCTAAGTCCCCACTGCAAGGGCGGGCTAGCGGCGCGCGCCCGAAAACCGCCGGCGCCGGCGCGCTGAGGCACTCGCGCGCGCCTAAGTCCCCACCACAGGGGCCAGGCTAGCAGGCGCGCGCAACGACCGAGGCGCCCCTGTCGAGCTGAGAGTGGACTCTTCACAATGCCACGTTCCTCGACACTGAATTCCCCGGATTACATGGCGACCCCACTGAGCAAGACGGCGACACGCACTTCGCCAGCGCTCCCACCACCGAATCTCAAACCGTTGTCAAGACATGGACCCCACTAGTAAGGTCGGCGCACATGGACGTCTCATCCTCTCTTGATGACTCTGCCATGAGCGCCGTTGACGTGGCCCCAGGGTACACTGGCGGAACCTTACTTAACTTCACAGATGCCGAATCGTCCTCGTCACCGTCGCCTGCGTCGCCCTCATCACCGTCGTCTGCGCCATCGCCTGCACTTTCACCATCGTCGGCTGCGTCATCGTCACCCTCGGCCTTACCGACCGACTCTGAAGACTCCGCCGATCCCCTCGACCTCCTCGGCTCACAGCCCCAGGTTCGCCTCGATCTACAGGACGTGCACCACCCAGACTTCAGCACGTACCGCGAGCCCGCATCGGCTGAGGAGTCGCCCGACGAACTCGACCTCATTGGGCGCCACTCTCGCGACGAATCTCCGGACGAAATCGATTTCCTCACCCGACATGTCAGGAGCACAGCCTGCACTGCCATCAATACTCGAAGGAAGTCTCCCAAGTTTGCGGCCGGAGTCGACATCAGCTACCGGTTTGTTCGTTGCAAGCATTGTCGGCGCGATGGTGTAGTCGTGAGGGCGCGCGGGCGCGCACTCAGTGGTCGAGGGTTCGATCCGCCCGGAGCGTGATCTGCCTTTTGGTTTCTTTTCCTTTTTGTTATCCGAGGCCCGGCTTCGGGGTTTTTACCGGTGCCTTGCAGGCAATCCTTTTTACCCCTGAAGCGACCTCGTGGTGTAGTTATTTGATTCAGTCTTTCCTTCGCTCGGAGCACTTCCCTCCTTTTGCTTTTGCCACCCTTCCCCTAGAGCTTGGTCCACTCATTATCATGACTCGTACCCTCCCTCTTTTTACCCATTTCGCTGGCAATTAAGTCCGTTACACTTGATTTGCTGCGAAGCCTTCCGACCGAATCCACTCCTCGGTTGCTCTCGGTCGACTGCCGCCGCCCAGCCGACTCGACCTTCCCACCGGCCTGGTCAGCTATTTCTTGGATCGTTTGCCCTCCCTCTTCTGTCCGACCTCGTTGGCTACCATAGTTCGGTACACTGGACTTGCTGCGAGCCTTGCAGCCGCGTATCCTCCGCGGTTGCCTCTCGGTCGACTTCCGCCGCCCAGCCGACTCGACCTTCCCACCGGCCTGGTCAGCTATTTCTTGGATCGTTTGCCCTCCCTCTTCTGTCCGACCTCGTTGGCTACCATAGTTCGGTACACTGGACTTGCTGCGAGCCTTGCAGCCGCGTATCCTCCGCGGTTGCCTCTCGGTCGACTTCCGCCGCCCAGCCGACTCGACCTTCCCACCGGCCTGGTCAGCTATTTCTTGGATCGTTTGCCCTCCCTCTTCTGTCCGACCTCGTTGGCTACCATAGTTCGGTACACTGGACTTGCTGCGAGCCTTGCAGCCGCGTATCCTCCGCGGTTGCCTCTCGGTCGACTTCCGCCGCCCAGCCGACTCGACCTTCCCATCGGCCTGGTCAGCTATTTCTTGGATCGTTTGCCCTTCCTCTTTTGTCCGACCTCGTTGGCCACCATAGTCCGGTACACTGGACTTGCTGCGAGCCTTGCAGCCGCGTATCCTCCGCGGTTGCCTCTCGGTCGACTTCCGCCGCCCAGCCGACTCGACCTTCCCACCGGCCTGGTCAGCTATTTCTTGGATCGTTTGCCCTCCCTCTTCTGTCCGACCTCGTTGGCTACCATAGTTCGGTACACTGGACTTGCTGCGAGCCTTGCAGCCGCGTATCCTCCGCGGTTGCCTCTCGGTCGACTGCCGCCGCCTCGGTCGACACCCCCTTCGCTCCTTCGCGCTTTCGCGCGCTCTCTCGCTCTCTCCCTCGTCTCTCGCGTGTAGTCATCGTCATCCCCTCCGACGTTGCCTGTCACTTTTTTCAAGTTCGGCATTGCTAGCGACAGTCCCAGCTTCTCTCACCGCTCAGTCCCACACCCTGGACGAGCATTCCCGCCCTCCCGCCCTTCGTCTTCGCGTCGTCCGCCTCCTCTCCGTTCGGCCTCTCGAGTTCGGCCTCTTTGACGACCGCGTGGTTCCTCCCCCCCACCCCCCCACACCTCCCCCACCCCCCACCCCCCCACCTCTTCTTACCGTCTCGTGACCGCCCTCGTTCGCCCTGGAATCGCTGTTGACTGTGAGTTGAGTGATCGCCATGGCCGCCGAGTGTGACACGTCGCGCGCCGCTGCCGCAGCCAGCGCGCCGCGCCTCTTCGCAACCGCGACCCCGGCCGCGCGAACCCGCCCAAGTCCGCCTGCCACCACACTCGTTTCGCACCGCCGCCGCCTTATTGCATGGTCGCCTCGTGCCCGCCTCGTTCGTCCTGGAATCATCGACTGTCGTGTTGAGCGATCGCCATGGCCACCGAGCGCGACACGTCCTGCGCCGCTGCCGAAGACGGCCCGCCGTCCCCTTCCGCCAATCCGACCCCGGCCGAGCACGGCCAACTCCGACCGACCCGGCCGCGCGAAACCGCCTAAGTCCGCCCGCCGCCCAACTCATTCCGCACCGTCACCGCCTCGCCGCACGGTAGACTTCCTTCTGGGGGGATAGTGTCAGGAGCACAGCCTGCACTGCCATCAATACTCGAAGGAAGTCTCCCAAGTTTGCGGCCGGAGTCGACATCAGCTACCGGTTTGTTCGTTGCAAGCATTGTCGGCGCGATGGTGTAGTCGTGAGGGCGCGCGGGCGCGCACTCAGTGGTCGAGGGTTCGATCCGCCCGGAGCGTGATCTGCCTTTTGGTTTCTTTTCCTTTTTGTTATCCGAGGCCCGGCTTCGGGGTTTTTACCGGTGCCTTGCAGGCAATCCTTTTTACCCCTGAAGCGACCTCGTGGTGTAGTTATTTGATTCAGTCTTTCCTTCGCTCGGAGCACTTCCCTCCTTTTGCTTTTGCCACCCTTCCCCTAGAGCTTGGTCCACTCATTATCATGACTCGTACCCTCCCTCTTTTTACCCATTTCGCTGGCAATTAAGTCCGTTACACTTGATTTGCTGCGAAGCCTTCCGACCGAATCCACTCCTCGGTTGCTCTCGGTCGACTGCCGCCGCCCAGCCGACTCGACCTTCCCATCGGCCTGGTCAGCTATTTCTTGGATCGTTTGCCCTTCCTCTTTTGTCCGACCTCGTTGGCCACCATAGTCCGGTACACTGGACTTGCTGCGAGCCTTGCAGCCGCGTATCCTCCGCGGTTGCCTCTCGGTCGACTTCCGCCGCCCAGCCGACTCGACCTTCCCACCGGCCTGGTCAGCTATTTCTTGGATCGTTTGCCCTCCCTCTTCTGTCCGACCTCGTTGGCTACCATAGTTCGGTACACTGGACTTGCTGCGAGCCTTGCAGCCGCGTATCCTCCGCGGTTGCCTCTCGGTCGACTGCCGCCGCCTCGGTCGACACCCCCTTCGCTCCTTCGCGCTTTCGCGCGCTCTCTCGCTCTCTCCCTCGTCTCTCGCGTGTAGTCATCGTCATCCCCTCCGACGTTGCCTGTCACGACACCACCGCGCCTTCATCGCCATCGACGACGACACCTCTGACACAGAGGCAATTCAGCCAGTCAAGTCCATCACGAGCGACCCACAGACCTGGCGCGAGGCGATGTCTAGCGACAAGCGTGAAGTATGGGCCAAAGCCGCCACCGACGAGTTCACCTCCATGCGCGACGACTTCAAGGTCTTCACCATCGAGGACCGAGCCACGGTGCCCGCGGGTGCGACTATCGTTACATCCAAGTTCGTCTGGAAAACGAAACGGAACGCACTCGGCGAAGTCACTGGACACAAGGCAAGGCTGGTCGCGCAAGGCAATCGGCAACGCGACGGCATCGACTTCAACGAAACGTTCGCACCGGTCGCACGCTTCTCCTCGATACGCTCACTCCTCGCGCTGGCGGCCGCCAACGGCTTGCACGTGCACCAGGCGGACATCGACAAAGCATATCTGCATGGCGACCTTGACCACGACATCTGGATGACGGCACCGCGCGGCTTCGACCTTCCCAGCGACAAGGTGCTTCGCCTGCGACGCTCCATCTACGGGCTCAAACAGGCTGGCCGAATCTGGAATCGACACATCGACGCTTCGCTTCGGGCCCTCGGTTACACGGCGACGGGCACCGACCACTGCGTATACTCTTGGCTCGATGATCGTCAATGTCCACACTACATCGCACTGTACGTCGACGACCTCCTGATGATCAGCCCGGAACTGGCCGAAATCGAACGTGTCATCTCAGGCCTGGACCAACGCTACGGAGTCAAGCGCCTCGGCCCGGCCGAGTATATCCTCGGCATCCAGATCAGGCGGTTCGACGACGGCTCTATCGCCCTATCCCAGGAACGGTACATCATGGACGTGCTCGCTCGGTTCCACTTCGACACCACGACTCGCGGCACTACAGTTCCGATGACTCCCGGCCTTTCGCTCACTGCTATCCCGGGTCAAGGCACCGAACGGATCAGGTCATGGTATCTGCAGGCTATCGGCTCGCTCCTCTACATTTCGCTCGGTACCCGCCCTGACATCGCCTTCGCCGTGTCCTACCTGGCCCGCTTCGCCAACAACCCCGGTCGTCGTCATTGGATTGCGGTCAAGCACATCCTACGCTATCTCCGGGCCACGTATCGCAACGAACTCGTGTATGCTCGCGGCCAGGCTCGCATCACGGGTGTGGTAGGCTACTCCGACGCGAACTGGGGGGCCTGCATCGACACATCGGTGTCCACCATGGGCTACGTCTTCTACATCGCTGGCTCGGCCGTGTCCTGGTCGTCCAAACGCCAGTCTCGAGTTGCCGATTCGACCACCGACGCTGAATACCTCGCCCTCTCGCATGCTGGCAAGGAAGGGATTTACCTCAGTCAGCTGCTCGAAGAGCTCCATGTACAACCTGTTGCACCGGCTCACATCTTTACTGACAACGAAGCCGCTGCTGCAGTTGCTCACGATCCTGTCCGCGTCTCTGGCACTCGGCACATACGCTTGCGTGAGCACTTCGTTCGGGACATGGTGAATCGGGGCGACATCTCTCTCTCGCATGTGGGTACCAGCGACATGGTGGCCGACATCTTCACCAAGGCTCTCGGCCCAAAGGTCTTCTCAACGCACTGCTACGCCCTCGGCCTTCGCACTCGACACCCGCGGCTTGGGTCTGCCTCGCATTCGCGTGGGGGGGGTGTGAAGAGTCCACTCTCAGCTCGACAGGGGCGCCTCGGTCGTTGCGCGCACTTGCTAGCCCGCCCCCGGCGGTGGGGACTTAGACGCGCGCGACTGCCTCAGCGCGCCAGCGCCGGCGGATTCATGCGCGCGCCCGCTAGCCCGCCCCCTTGCGGTGGGGACTTAGGCGCGCCGGCGATTTCACCCGCGGCTGACTTAGGGATGTACATTGTCACGCGCCTGGGACTATCCCAGCGTGGCCCCCCCCTTTCTGTTTCTTAGCTTCCTTCTCATCACTTCTGTTCGACTCTCAACCTCTCCTGACAGTAGTGGTGAACGTCTCATAGGTACGCTGAAATAGATCACTTCTGTTCGACTCTCAACCTCTCCTGACAGTAGTGGTGAACGTCTCATACCCGCTGCCGGCGATCGATCGGCGGAACCAAGGTCGGCACGGCCATCACTGGCCGATCCTGATCGGCAAGCTCGACTCGCCCTACACCGACTGCATACGATTCAAACACCCGCTCACACCATCTTTCACTCGACCCAACATCGTCCGCAAGCGACCAAAGTCCTTTTCACGACTTGACTACTTCCTTCTGCAGCGCACCCACCAAAAGCGACTCGTCCAAGCCTCGACGATCTACGACCACCCCAAGGACCTTTCGGATCACCGACCGGTCTCGATCGTCCTAGTTCTCTCGGATGAGCGAGGAGACGCGGCTCAACCCAACAACAGTTTACCAACGACATCAAACCAATTACATCGTATCAACGCGGCGACCTTCAAGACGGCGGAGTTCCAGGGGATGTTGGAAGGATGGTTGGAAGGAGCGAGTGGGGAGGAACCGGTGGGGGAGCTCGAGGTGGTGCTGGGGAACTGCGCGAAGGAGGGTCGGGAGCTGGCGAGGAGGGAGCATCGGGAGCGGGTGGAGCGGATGGCGGTCTTGGTGGGAAGGGTGCAGGATCTGGAGGCGTTGCCGGTGATGGGGGACGAGGAGACGGCCGAATGGACGCGGACGACGGAGGAACTTAGGCGAGCGGTCTATGAGACGTTCACCACTACTGTCAGGAGAGGTTGAGAGTCGAACAGAAGTGATCTATTTCAGCGTACCTATGAGACGTTCACCACTACTGTCAGGAGAGGTTGAGAGTCGAACAGAAGTGATGAGAAGGAAGCTAAGAAACAGAAAGGGGGGGGCCACGCTGGGATAGTCCCAGGCGCGTGACAATGTACATCCCTAAGTCAGCCGCGGGTGAAATCGCCGGCGCGCCTAAGTCCCCACCGCAAGGGGGCGGGCTAGCGGGCGCGCGCATGAATCCGCCGGCGCTGGCGCGCTGAGGCAGTCGCGCGCGTCTAAGTCCCCACCGCCGGGGGCGGGCTAGCAAGTGCGCGCAACGACCGAGGCGCCCCTGTCGAGCTGAGAGTGGACTCTTCACACCCCCCCCCACGCGAATGCGAGGCAGACCCAAGCCGCGGGTGTCGAGTGCGAAGGCCGAGGGCGTAGCAGTGCGTTGAGAAGACCTTTGGGCCGAGAGCCTTGGTGAAGATGTCGGCCACCATGTCGCTGGTACCCACATGCGAGAGAGAGATGTCGCCCCGATTCACCATGTCCCGAACGAAGTGCTCACGCAAGCGTATGTGCCGAGTGCCAGAGACGCGGACAGGATCGTGAGCAACTGCAGCAGCGGCTTCGTTGTCAGTAAAGATGTGAGCCGGTGCAACAGGTTGTACATGGAGCTCTTCGAGCAGCTGACTGAGGTAAATCCCTTCCTTGCCAGCATGCGAGAGGGCGAGGTATTCAGCGTCGGTGGTCGAATCGGCAACTCGAGACTGGCGTTTGGACGACCAGGACACGGCCGAGCCAGCGATGTAGAAGACGTAGCCCATGGTGGACACCGATGTGTCGATGCAGGCCCCCCAGTTCGCGTCGGAGTAGCCTACCACACCCGTGATGCGAGCCTGGCCGCGAGCATACACGAGTTCGTTGCGATACGTGGCCCGGAGATAGCGTAGGATGTGCTTGACCGCAATCCAATGACGACGACCGGGGTTGTTGGCGAAGCGGGCCAGGTAGGACACGGCGAAGGCGATGTCAGGGCGGGTACCGAGCGAAATGTAGAGGAGCGAGCCGATAGCCTGCAGATACCATGACCTGATCCGTTCGGTGCCTTGACCCGGGATAGCAGTGAGCGAAATATGAAGGAACAATATACCACTGCACCAAAAGGCGAGGCACCTCTACTTCAGTGAGCGCATATTGTCCTAGAAGTGAGATGGAGCGAAGTTCAACACCCCCCTGTGCGCGAAGCTGAAGAGCTTGTGGCAGTGGGTGCGGCTGTGAGGCAACTGGGCATGTTGATCAGGTCGCTTGGGCAAGTGCAGCTTGGGCACTGTGAGCACTGTCGATGCGCCAGGGTGCTTGGCACGCCGCTGGGCAAGTGCGGGGGCCGGGACGCTGAGTGTATGCGCGCAAAATTGCCTGACCCCAGGGGGGATTGAACTCATGACCTGCTGGTTGCTCTGGGCTCATAACCTATGAAGGAACAATATACCACTGCACCAAAAGGCGAGGCACCTCTACTTCAGTGAGCGCATATTGTCCTAGAAGTGAGATGGAGCGAAGTTCAACACGAAAGGCCGGGAGTCATCGGAACTGTAGTGCCGCGAGTCGTGGTGTCGAAGTGGAACCGAGCGAGCACGTCCATGATGTACCGTTCCTGGGATAGGGCGATAGAGCCGTCGTCGAACCGCCTGATCTGGATGCCGAGGATATACTCGGCCGGGCCGAGGCGCTTGACTCCGTAGCGTTGGTCCAGGCCTGAGATGACACGTTCGATTTCGGCCAGTTCCGGGCTGATCATCAGGAGGTCGTCGACGTACAGTGCGATGTAGTGTGGACATTGACGATCATCGAGCCAAGAGTATACGCAGTGGTCGGTGCCCGTCGCCGTGTAACCGAGGGCCCGAAGCGAAGCGTCGATGTGTCGATTCCAGATTCGGCCAGCCTGTTTGAGCCCGTAGATGGAGCGTCGCAGGCGAAGCACCTTGTCGCTGGGAAGGTCGAAGCCGCGCGGTGCCGTCATCCAGATGTCGTGGTCAAGGTCGCCATGCAGATATGCTTTGTCGATGTCCGCCTGGTGCACGTGCAAGCCGTTGGCGGCCGCCAGCGCGAGGAGTGAGCGTATCGAGGAGAAGCGTGCGACCGGTGCGAACGTTTCGTTGAAGTCGATGCCGTCGCGTTGCCGATTGCCTTGCGCGACCAGCCTTGCCTTGTGTCCAGTGACTTCGCCGAGTGCGTTCCGTTTCGTTTTCCAGACGAACTTGGATGTAACGATAGTCGCACCCGCGGGCACCGTGGCTCGGTCCTCGATGGTGAAGACCTTGAAGTCGTCGCGCATGGAGGTGAACTCGTCGGTGGCGGCTTTGGCCCATACTTCACGCTTGTCGCTAGACATCGCCTCGCGCCAGGTCTGTGGGTCGCTCGTGATGGACTTGACTGGCTGAATTGCCTCTGTGTCAGAGGTGTCGTCGTCGATGGCGATGAAGGCGCGGTGGTGTCGGGTGAGGAAATCGATTTCGTCCGGAGATTCGTCGCGAGAGTGGCGCCCAATGAGGTCGAGTTCGTCGGGCGACTCCTCAGCCGATGCGGGCTCGCGGTACGTGCTGAAGTCTGGGTGGTGCACGTCCTGTAGATCGAGGCGAACCTGGGGCTGTGAGCCGAGGAGGTCGAGGGGATCGGCGGAGTCTTCAGAGTCGGTCGGTAAGGCCGAGGGTGACGATGACGCAGCCGACGATGGTGAAAGTGCAGGCGATGGCGCAGACGACGGTGATGAGGGCGACGCAGGCGACGGTGACGAGGACGATTCGGCATCTGTGAAGTTAAGTAAGGTTCCGCCAGTGTACCCTGGGGCCACGTCAACGGCGCTCATGGCAGAATCATCAAGGGGGGATGAGACGTCCATGTGCGCCGACCTTACTAGTGGGGTCCATGTCTTGACAACGGTTTGAGATTCGGTGGTGGGAGCGCTGGCGAAGTGCGTGTCGCCGTCTTGCTCAGTGGGGTCGCCATGTAATCCGGGGAATTCAGTGTCGAGGAACGTGGCATTTCTGCCAAGTATAATCTTCTGTGTTGTAGTGTCGTAGAAGCGAAAGGCTTTTGAAGCCAGGTCGTAGCCGGTGAAAAAAACGCGAACCGCCTTCGGGTCGAGTTTGGAGCGAAGTTCGGGCGCGACCGTAAGCCAAGCTGTACAGCCGAACGGGTGAAGCGCCGAGGCAGTGGTGTGGTCACCCTGCCAGACGGAGTTTGGTGTTGCCTTGTCCAGGGCCGCGTGTTGACACAGGTTCTTGCAGTAAACGAAATAAGCTGCAGCCTCCTCCCAGAATGTCTTGGGTAGGTGGGCGTCGACAAGGAGGGCAAGGACGCCTTCGACAATGGAACGATTGACCCGCTCTGCACGACCGTTCTGTTGAGGCGTGCGTGGGATAGAGTATTGTCGACGGGTGCCTCGTGTCTTGCAGAACTCTGTGAACGCTCTCGAACAGTATTCGCCACCGTTGTCGGTTCGGAGGACCTTCAGCGTCGCACCCGTCTCGAGTTCAACCTCGGCTAGCCAAGTTTTGAATATGCCGAAGACTTCGCTTTTGTGTCCGATTGCGTAGGCCCAGAGTTTGCGCGAGTAATCGTCAAGGAATGTGACCAGGTAACGTTTGCCAGTCAAGGACCGCTCGGGGAAGGAAAGCACATCGCTGTGTACAAGGCCGAGTCTCTCTGAGGAGTGCGAATCCGAATCGGGAAAGGGAAGACGATGGCCCTTTGCGCTGAGGCAAGCATTGCAGACAAACTTCTCTACCTCTTCGTCACTATATCCGGCCCTGAGACCCTCCAGCAAACCAGCGGCAACCATCTTCTGTATGGAGGACGGTGCGAGATGGCCGAGGCAGCGATGGAGAGTCAGCAGGGGCACGGACGACTGTGAGCGAGAAAGGAGAGCAAGGTGCTGACATTTGGAATGATCAGCGTCCAGCAAGTAGAGCCCTTCGTCGAGTCGTGCGCCTTCAGCGATGTCGTTGCCGTCCTTGTCAATGTGGATGCCGTGTTTTGTGAAGGCGACACGGACATCGTCGGTGTCGCAAAGTCGAGAGACCGAGAGAAGATTGACAAACAGGCCCGGAGTGTGCAGCACGCCGGTAAGCGTGATCGGATGACCCGAGGCGGCAATGAAGGCGATGTTTCCCGTTCCGATGGCGTTGATGCCCCCTGCAATACCACCAATCTTCGTAGGAGCGATATGGCGATAGGTCGTGAACAGCGACTTGTCCGAGACCATGTGCGAAGTGGCTGTGAAGAGTCCACTCTCAGCTCGACAGGGGCGCCTCGGTCGTTGCGCGCACTTGCTAGCCCGCCCCCGGCGGTGGGGACTTAGACGCGCGCGACTGCCTCAGCGCGCCAGCGCCGGCGGATTCATGCGCGCGCCCGCTAGCCCGCCCCCTTGCGGTGGGGACTTAGGCGCGCCGGCGATTTCACCCGCGGCTGACTTAGGGATGTACATTGTCACGCGCCTGGGCCTATCCCAGTGTGGCCCCCCCCCTTTCTGTTTCTTAGCTTCCTTCTCATCACTTCTGTTCGACTCTCAACCTCTCCTGACAGTAGTGGTGAACGTCTCATAGGTACGCTGAAATATATCACTTCTGTTCGACTCTCAACCTCTCCTGACAGTAGTGGTGAACGTCTCATAGGTTATAAGCCCACGAGCCACCAGCTGGCATGACCACGACACCACCCCTCGCGACGGGTGCCAACCCTCCGATTCCCGCCGAACAGCTCGCCGCACTTACATCGCTGCTGTCGGGTCTCACCGCTGCCGCTTCCGGCACTGCCACACCCGCCACGACGTCCGGCACCACTCGCACTGCCTTTCCAAAGCACGCACGCTTGGATGGTGCGAAGACCTTCGCGAACTGGACACGCCAACTTCGCCTGTGCCTAGCGGACGACATCCGCTCGTACGTCCTCGACGGTATCGCACCCGACGACTGGACACCTTCGCAACGCTCCGCTCGCGACGCCGTCGCTCGTGAGGTCCTTGCGAATTCGATTGACTCGGCCGAAGTCTCGGCAGTCCTCGACAAAATCCCTACCGCCGACCTGACAGCGCCGACAATCTACTCGACGCTGAAATTGCGGTACGCCCCTGACGACGCCACCCGCACGCTCGAGCTCTTCTCACGACTCTGGGGTTTCCGTCCCATGCCCGGCACGGTTGCCGAATTTGACGGGTGGATCATGGAGTTCAAAGCCGTTGCGCAAGAGATCATCGACACAAAGACGACTATTAATGATGTTCTCGCCACACTCCTCCTTGCAATCGCCCACCCGTCCCTCGAGAGCTTCAAGGCGTCGTTCACCGATGAACAGCGCACGCAACGAACTCTCCCCGACATTGATTCGCTTGCCGACCGTATGCGAGTCCAACTTCGGTCAACGAACATCCCCAGCACTCAATCGGCCCTTCTTGCCTCGTCGTCGTCACGTTCTACCCATCCCAAGTGTCTCGCCTGTCGCAGCCCTTCGCACCGAGTCGCGGAGTGCCCTACGAGGGCGCAACACCCGCCGCCAGGACCCTGTCGCTCCTGCAAGAAGAAGGATCACTGGTCTCTCGACTGCAAGAAGGCGCTCGAGGACGGCAAAAAGCCCGACACCGCTGACTCGACCGTCGACTCGCAACACCATGTCGGATGTCTCGCCACCGGTCTTCTCGCTCGTCGTCGCCAGCTTCGCAACCACTCTTTTGTCGTCGACTCGGGCGCCACTTCGCACATGGTCTCGGACAAGTCGCTGTTCACGACCTATCGCCATATCGCTCCTACGAAGATTGGTGGTATTGCAGGGGGCATCAACGCCATCGGAACGGGAAACATCGCCTTCATTGCCGCCTCGGGTCATCCGATCACGCTTACCGGCGTGCTGCACACTCCGGGCCTGTTTGTCAATCTTCTCTCGGTCTCTCGACTTTGCGACACCGACGATGTCCGTGTCGCCTTCACAAAACACGGCATCCACATTGACAAGGACGGCAACGACATCGCTGAAGGCGCACAACTCGACGAAGGGCTCTACTTGCTGGACGCTGATCATTCCAAATGTCAGCACCTTGCTCTCCTTTCTCGCTCACAGTCGTCCGTGCCCCTGCTGACTCTCCATCGCTGCCTCGGCCATCTCGCACCGTCCTCCATACAGAAGATGGTTGCCGCTGGTTTGCTGGAGGGTCTCAGGGCCGGATATAGTGACGAAGAGGTAGAGAAGTTTGTCTGCAATGCTTGCCTCAGCGCAAAGGGCCATCGTCTGTGAAGAGTCCACTCTCAGCTCGACAGGGGCGCCTCGGTCGTTGCGCGCACTTGCTAGCCCGCCCCCGGCGGTGGGGACTTAGACGCGCGCGACTGCCTCAGCGCGCCAGCGCCGGCGGATTCATGCGCGCGCCCGCTAGCCCGCCCCCTTGCGGTGGGGACTTAGGCGCGCCGGCGATTTCACCCGCGGCTGACTTAGGGATGTACATTGTCACGCGCCTGGGACTATCCCAGCGTGGCCCCCCCCTTTCTGTTTCTTAGCTTCCTTCTCATCACTTCTGTTCGACTCTCAACCTCTCCTGACAGTAGTGGTGAACGTCTCATAGGTACGCTGAAATAGATCACTTCTGTTCGACTCTCAACCTCTCCTGACAGTAGTGGTGAACGTCTCATAGGTTATAAGCCCACGAGCCACCAGCTGGCATGACCACGACACCACCCCTCGCGACGGGTGCCAACCCTCCGATTCCCGCCGAACAGCTCGCCGCACTTACATCGCTGCTGTCGGGTCTCACCGCTGCCGCTTCCGGCACTGCCACACCCGCCACGACGTCCGGCACCACTCGCACTGCCTTTCCAAAGCACGCACGCTTGGATGGTGCGAAGACCTTCGCGAACTGGACACGCCAACTTCGCCTGTGCCTAGCGGACGACATCCGCTCGTACGTCCTCGACGGTATCGCACCCGACGACTGGACACCTTCGCAACGCTCCGCTCGCGACGCCGTCGCTCGTGAGGTCCTTGCGAATTCGATTGACTCGGCCGAAGTCTCGGCAGTCCTCGACAAAATCCCTACCGCCGACCTGACAGCGCCGACAATCTACTCGACGCTGAAATCGCGGTACGCCCCTGACGACGCCACCCGCACGCTCGAGCTCTTCTCACGACTCTGGGGTTTCCGTCCCATGCCCGGCACGGTTGCCGAATTCGACGGGTGGATCATGGACTTCAAAGCCGTTGCGCAAGAGATCATCGACACAAAGACAACTATCAATGATGTTCTCGCCACACTCCTCCTTGCAATCGCCCACCCGTCCCTCGAGAGCTTCAAGGCGTCGTTCACCGATGAACAGCGCACGCAACGAACTCTCCCCGACATTGATTCGCTTGCCGACCGTATGCGAGTCCAACTTCGGTCAACGAACATCCCCAGCACTCAATCGGCCCTTCTTGCCTCGTCGTCGTCACGTTCTACTCGTCTCAAGTGTCTCGCCTGTCGCAGCCCTTCGCACCGAGTCGCGGAGTGCCCTACGAGGGCGCAACACCCGCCGCCAGGACCCTGTCGCTCCTGCAAGAAGAAGGATCACTGGTCTCTCGACTGCAAGAAGGCGCTCGAGGACGGCAAAAAGCCCGACACCGCTGACTCGACCGTCGACTCGCAACACCATGTCGGATGTCTCGCCACCGGTCTTCTCGCTCGTCGTCGCCAGCTTCGCAACCACTCTTTTGTCGTCGACTCGGGCGCCACTTCGCACATGGTCTCGGACAAGTCGCTGTTCACGACCTATCGCCATATCGCTCCTACGAAGATTGGTGGTATTGCAGGGGGCATCAACGCCATCGGAACGGGAAACATCGCCTTCATTGCCGCCTCGGGTCATCCGATCACGCTTACCGGCGTGCTGCACACTCCGGGCCTGTTTGTCAATCTTCTCTCGGTCTCTCGACTTTGCGACACCGACGATGTCCGTGTCGCCTTCACAAAACACGGCATCCACATTGACAAGGACGGCAACGACATCGCTGAAGGCGCACGACTCGACGAAGGGCTCTACTTGCTGGACGCTGATCATTCCAAATGTCAGCACCTTGCTCTCCTTTCTCGCTCACAGTCGTCCGTGCCCCTGCTGACTCTCCATCGCTGCCTCGGCCATCTCGCACCGTCCTCCATACAGAAGATGGTTGCCGCTGGTTTGCTGGAGGGTCTCAGGGCCGGATATAGTGACGAAGAGGTAGAGAAGTTTGTCTGCAATGCTTGCCTCAGCGCAAAGGGCCATCGTCTTCCCTTTCCCGATTCGGATTCGCACTCCTCAGAGAGACTCGGCCTTGTACACAGCGATGTGCTTTCCTTCCCCGAGCGGTCCTTGACTGGCAAACGTTACCTGGTCACATTCCTTGACGATTACTCGCGCAAACTCTGGGCCTACGCAATCGGACACAAAAGCGAAGTCTTCGGCATATTCAAAACTTGGCTAGCCGAGGTTGAACTCGAGACGGGTGCGACGCTGAAGGTCCTCCGAACCGACAACGGTGGCGAATACTGTTCGAGAGCGTTCACAGAGTTCTGCAAGACACGAGGCACCCGTCGACAATACTCTATCCCACGCACGCCTCAACAGAACGGTCGTGCAGAGCGGGTCAATCGTTCCATTGTCGAAGGCGTCCTTGCCCTCCTTGTCGACGCCCACCTACCCAAGACATTCTGGGAGGAGGCTGCAGCTTATTTCGTTTACTGCAAGAACCTGTGTCAACACGCGGCCCTGGACAAGGCAACACCAAACTCCGTCTGGCAGGGTGACCACACCACTGCCTCGGCGCTTCACCCGTTCGGCTGTACAGCTTGGCTTACGGTCGCGCCCGAACTTCGCTCCAAACTCGACCCGAAGGCGGTTCGCGTTTTTTTCACCGGCTACGACCTGGCTTCAAAAGCCTTTCGCTTCTACGACACTACAACACAGAAGATTATACTTGGCAGAAATGCCACGTTCCTCGACACTGAATTCCCCGGATTACATGGCGACCCCACTGAGCAAGACGGCGACACGCACTTCGCCAGCGCTCCCACCACCGAATCTCAAACCGTTGTCAAGACATGGACCCCACTAGTAAGGTCGGCGCACATGGACGTCTCATCCCCCCTTGATGATTCTGCCATGAGCGCCGTTGACGTGGCCCCAGGGTACACTGGCGGAACCTTACTTAACTTCACAGATGCCGAATCGTCCTCGTCACCGTCGCCTGCGTCGCCCTCATCACCGTCGTCTGCGCCATCGCCTGCACTTTCACCATCGTCGGCTGCGTCATCGTCACCCTCGGCCTTACCGACCGACTCTGAAGACTCCGCCGATCCCCTCGACCTCCTCGGCTCACAGCCCCAGGTTCGCCTCGATCTACAGGACGTGCACCACCCAGACTTCAGCACGTACCGCGAGCCCGCATCGGCTGAGGAGTCGCCCGACGAACTCGACCTCATTGGGCGCCACTCTCGCGACGAATCTCCGGACGAAATCGATTTCCTCACCCGACACCACCGCGCCTTCATCGCCATCGACGACGACACCTCTGACACAGAGGCAATTCAGCCAGTCAAGTCCATCACGAGCGACCCACAGACCTGGCGCGAGGCGATGTCTAGCGACAAGCGTGAAGTATGGGCCAAAGCCGCCACCGACGAGTTCACCTCCATGCGCGACGACTTCAAGGTCTTCACCATCGAGGACCGAGCCACGGTGCCCGCGGGTGCGACTATCGTTACATCCAAGTTCGTCTGGAAAACGAAACGGAACGCACTCGGCGAAGTCACTGGACACAAGGCAAGGCTGGTCGCGCAAGGCAATCGGCAACGCGACGGCATCGACTTCAACGAAACGTTCGCACCGGTCGCACGCTTCTCCTCGATACGCTCACTCCTCGCGCTGGCGGCCGCCAACGGCTTGCACGTGCACCAGGCGGACATCGACAAAGCATATCTGCATGGCGACCTTGACCACGACATCTGGATGACGGCACCGCGCGGCTTCGACCTTCCCAGCGACAAGGTGCTTCGCCTGCGACGCTCCATCTACGGGCTCAAACAGGCTGGCCGAATCTGGAATCGACACATCGACGCTTCGCTTCGGGCCCTCGGTTACACGGCGACGGGCACCGACCACTGCGTATACTCTTGGCTCGATGATCGTCAATGTCCACACTACATCGCACTGTACGTCGACGACCTCCTGATGATCAGCCCGGAACTGGCCGAAATCGAACGTGTCATCTCAGGCCTGGACCAACGCTACGGAGTCAAGCGCCTCGGCCCGGCCGAGTATATCCTCGGCATCCAGATCAGGCGGTTCGACGACGGCTCTATCGCCCTATCCCAGGAACGGTACATCATGGACGTGCTCGCTCGGTTCCACTTCGACACCACGACTCGCGGCACTACAGTTCCGATGACTCCCGGCCTTTCGCTCACTGCTATCCCGGGTCAAGGCACCGAACGGATCAGGTCATGGTATCTGCAGGCTATCGGCTCGCTCCTCTACATTTCGCTCGGTACCCGCCCTGACATCGCCTTCGCCGTGTCCTACCTGGCCCGCTTCGCCAACAACCCCGGTCGTCGTCATTGGATTGCGGTCAAGCACATCCTACGCTATCTCCGGGCCACGTATCGCAACGAACTCGTGTATGCTCGCGGCCAGGCTCGCATCACGGGTGTGGTAGGCTACTCCGACGCGAACTGGGGGGCCTGCATCGACACATCGGTGTCCACCATGGGCTACGTCTTCTACATCGCTGGCTCGGCCGTGTCCTGGTCGTCCAAACGCCAGTCTCGAGTTGCCGATTCGACCACCGACGCTGAATACCTCGCCCTCTCGCATGCTGGCAAGGAAGGGATTTACCTCAGTCAGCTGCTCGAAGAGCTCCATGTACAACCTGTTGCACCGGCTCACATCTTTACTGACAACGAAGCCGCTGCTGCAGTTGCTCACGATCCTGTCCGCGTCTCTGGCACTCGGCACATACGCTTGCGTGAGCACTTCGTTCGGGACATGGTGAATCGGGGCGACATCTCTCTCTCGCATGTGGGTACCAGCGACATGGTGGCCGACATCTTCACCAAGGCTCTCGGCCCAAAGGTCTTCTCAACGCACTGCTACGCCCTCGGCCTTCGCACTCGACACCCGCGGCTTGGGTCTGCCTCGCATTCGCGTGGGGGGGGGGTGTGAAGAGTCCACTCTCAGCTCGACAGGGGCGCCTCGGTCGTTGCGCGCACTTGCTAGCCCGCCCCCGGCGGTGGGGACTTAGACGCGCGCGACTGCCTCAGCGCGCCAGCGCCGGCGGATTCATGCGCGCGCCCGCTAGCCCGCCCCCTTGCGGTGGGGACTTAGGCGCGCCGGCGATTTCACCCGCGGCTGACTTAGGGATGTACATTGTCACGCGCCTGGGACTATCCCAGCGTGGCCCCCCCCTTTCTGTTTCTTAGCTTCCTTCTCATCACTTCTGTTCGACTCTCAACCTCTCCTGACAGTAGTGGTGAACGTCTCATAGGTACGCTGAAATAGATCACTTCTGTTCGACTCTCAACCTCTCCTGACAGTAGTGGTGAACGTCTCATATCGTCTTCCCTTTCCCGATTCGGATTCGCACTCCTCAGAGAGACTCGGCCTTGTACACAGCGATGTGTTTTCCTTCTCCGAGCGGTCCTTGACTGGCAAACGTTACCTGGTCACATTCCTTGACGATTACTCGCGCAAACTCTGGGCCTACGCAATCGGACACAAAAGCGAAGTCTTCGGCATATTCAAAACTTGGCTAGCCGAGGTTGAACTCGAGACGGGTGCGACGCTGAAGGTCCTCCGAACCGACAACGGTGGCGAATACTGTTCGAGAGCGTTCACAGAGTTCTGCAAGGCACGAGGCACTCGTCGACAATACTCTATCCCACGCACGCCTCAACAGAACGGTCGTGCAGAGCGGGTCAATCGTTCCATTGTCGAAGGCGTCCTTGCCCTCCTTGTCGACGCCCACCTACCCAAGACATTCTGGGAGGAGGCTGCAGCTTATTTCGTTTACTGCAAGAACCTGTGTCAACACGCGGCCCTGGACAAGGCAACACCAAACTCCGTCTGGCAGGGTGACCACACCACTGCCTCGGCGCTTCACCCGTTCGGCTGTACAGCTTGGCTTACGGTCGCGCCCGAACTTCGCTCCAAACTCGACCCGAAGGCGGTTCGCGTTCTTTTCACCGGCTACGACCTGGCTTCAAAAGCCTTTCGCTTCTACGACACTACAACACAGAAGATTATACTTGGCAGAAATGCCACGTTCCTCGACACTGAATTCCCCGGATTACATGGCGACCCCACTGAGCAAGACGGCGACCCCACTGAGCAAGACGGCGACACGCACTTCGCCAGCGCTCCCACCACCGAATCTCAAACCGTTGTCAAGACATGGACCCCACTAGTAAGGTCGGCGCACATGGACGTCTCATCCCCCCTTGATGATTCTGCCATGAGCGCCGTTGACGTGGCCCCAGGGTACACTGGCGGAACCTTACTTAACTTCACAGATGCCGAATCGTCCTCGTCACCGTCGCCTGTGCCGTCCTCGTCACCGTCGCCTGCGTCTGTTGAACTTCGCTCCATCTCACTTCTAGGACAATATGCGCTCACTGAAGTAGAGGTGCCTCGCCTTTTGGTGCAGTGGTATATTGTTCCTTCATAGGTTATGAGCCCAGAGCAACCAGCAGGTCATGAGTTCAATCCCCCCTGGGGTCAGGCAATTTTGCGCGCATACACTCAGCGTCCCGGCCCCCGCACTTGCCCAGCAGCGTGCCAAGCACCCTGGCGCATCGACAGTGCTCACAGTGCCCAAGCTGCACTTGCCCAAGCGACCTGATCAACATGCCCAGTTGCCTCACAAGCCGCACCCACTGCCACAAGCTCTTCAGCTTCGCGCACAGGGGGGTGTTGAACTTCGCTCCATCTCACTTCTAGGACAATATGCGCTCACTGAAGTAGAGGTGCCTCGCCTTTTGGTGCAGTGGTATATTGTTCCTTCATATATCCCAGCGTGGCCCCCCCTTTCTGTTTCTTAGCTTCCTTCTCATCACTTCTGTTCGACTCTCAACCTCTCCTGACAGTAGTGGTGAACGTCTCATAGTGGCGCCCGAGTCGACGACAAAAGAGTGGTTGCGAAGCTGGCGACGACGAGCGAGAAGACCGGTGGCGAGACATCCGACATGGTGTTGCGAGTCGACGGTCGAGTCAGCGGTGTCGGGCTTTTTGCCGTCCTCGAGCGCCTTCTTGCAGTCGAGAGACCAGTGATCCTTCTTCTTGCAGGAGCGACAGGGTCCTGGCGGCGGGTGTTGCGCCCTCGTAGGGCACTCCGCGACTCGGTGCGAAGGGCTGCGACAGGCGAGACACTTGAGACGAGTAGAACGTGACGACGACGAGGCAAGAAGGGCCGATTGAGTGCTGGGGATGTTCGTTGACCGAAGTTGGACTCGCATACGGTCGGCAAGCGAATCAATGTCGGGGAGAGTTCGTTGCGTGCGCTGTTCATCGGTGAACGACGCCTTGAAGCTCTCGAGGGACGGGTGGGCGATTGCAAGGAGGAGTGTGGCGAGAACATCATTGATAGTTGTCTTTGTGTCGATGATCTCTTGCGCAACGGCTTTGAAGTCCATGATCCACCCGTCGAATTCGGCAACCGTGCCGGGCATGGGACGGAAACCCCAGAGTCGTGAGAAGAGCTCGAGCGTGCGGGTGGCGTCGTCAGGGGCGTACCGCGATTTCAGCGTCGAGTAGATTGTCGGCGCTGTCAGGTCGGCGGTAGGGATTTTGTCGAGGACTGCCGAGACTTCGGCCGAGTCAATCGAATTCGCAAGGACCTCACGAGCGACGGCGTCGCGAGCGGAGCGTTGCGAAGGTGTCCAGTCGTCGGGTGCGATACCGTCGAGGACGTACGAGCGGATGTCGTCCGCTAGGCACAGGCGAAGTTGGCGTGTCCAGTTCGCGAAGGTCTTCGCACCATCCAAGCGTGCGTGCTTTGGAAAGGCAGTGCGAGTGGTGCCGGACGTCGTGGCGGGTGTGGCAGTGCCGGAAGCGGCAGCGGTGAGACCCGACAGCAGCGATGTAAGTGCGGCGAGCTGTTCGGCGGGAATCGGAGGGTTGGCACCCGTCGCGAGGGGTGGTGTCGTGGTCATGCCAGCTGGTGGCTCGTGGGCTTATAACCTATGAGACGTTCACCACTACTGTCAGGAGAGGTTGAGAGTCGAACAGAAGTGATCTATTTCAGCGTACCTATGAGACGTTCACCACTACTGTCAGGAGAGGTTGAGAGTCGAACAGAAGTGATGAGAAGGAAGCTAAGAAACAGAAAGGGGGGGGCCACGCTGGGATAGTCCCAGGCGCGTGACAATGTACATCCCTAAGTCAGCCGCGGGTGAAATCGCCGGCGCGCCTAAGTCCCCACCGCAAGGGGGCGGGCTAGCGGGCGCGCGCATGAATCCGCCGGCGCTGGCGCGCTGAGGCAGTCGCGCGCGTCTAAGTCCCCACCGCCGGGGGCGGGCTAGCAAGTGCGCGCAACGACCGAGGCGCCCCTGTCGAGCTGAGAGTGGACTCTTCACACGGTCAACGAGCGCGCGCGCCAACTTCGGATCCGAGCCCACGTACCCGAAATCGCTACCGAGGAACGACTGTCGCGGCCGGTCCACGCCAAGCTCGCGGCACGGAGTTCGGATTCCAAGATCACAGCACTGCGATTGCCCAACGGAGAGCTGACACATGACATTGACGTCGCGCTTGACCACACACAGGCGCACTTTCAGCGCCTCTACGATCTCGAGCCGCGCGATCGGGACCACGTCGAGCGACTTAGGGACGATTTCTTGGCGCCGATCAGGTCGGCGCGCACTTGCGATGACCCGAGCTCGGACCCGCTCTTTCTGCGACGACTCTCGGAAGCGCACATCGAGCTGCTGCAGCAACCCATCACCGAGGACGAGGTCGTAGCCGCAATCGCAACAACACACCCCGGTCGATCGCCGGGTCCATCTGGCGTGCCCTACGAGCTCTATCTGTGAGGAATCCACTCTCCGCTCGGCTCAGGACTTAGGCGCGCGGAGCGAACCGGGCGCGGACTTAGGCGCGCGGAGTGAGCCGGGCGCCCCGGCCCAGGACTTAGGCGCGCGAAGCGAGCCTGGGACTTAGGCGCGCGGAGCGAGCCTGGGCCATTGGCTCAGCCCCAGGCTCGCTGGCTGTGGACTTGGGGCGCGCGGGTCTCTTATTGTTAGCTTCCTATTCATCACTCTTGGCTATAACTACATCGCTGACGTAGTAGAGTTGATCGAATAGGTATGTTGAAATGCATTCATCACTCTTGGCTATAACTACATCGCTGACGTAGTAGAGTTGATCGAATAGGTTATAAGCCCACGAGCTACCAGCCCCGCCGCTTGAGGCTTTTTCGCTCGAGCCCAGCCACTCGAGCCGCACACGTCCATCGCACCATCACATCATGGACAGCTCTCCCGCCTCGCCTTTGGCCCCCAGGGATCCCAGCTCCCCTGAATCTTCGATCGGCGAACAAATCGCCACTCTACAGGCCCAGCTTGCCGCTCTGCAGGCCTCGCAACCCGCCGCCGCCGCAGCCGCCGCACCCCCGGCCGTCACCGTCGTGCCGGGGAACGCCGCCACCGCATCCAAGGTCGTGTTTCCCAAGCACGCTCGTCTGGACGGCCCCAAGTCGTTCACCAACTGGTTGCGTCAACTCCGTCTTGCACTCCCGAACCAGGTTCGTGGTTACGTTCTCGACGGTGTCGTTCCCCCGACCTGGACCGCCGACCAGCTTGCCGCACGTGACGACGCCGCCCGGGAAATCATCGTTGGCTCTATCGACTCCGCCGACGTATCGGCCACCCTCGACGCCATCCCCAGCGACGACCTGTCGGCACCGCGCATCTTTGCCGCTCTCAAGGCTCGTTTTGCACCGGACGACGCTACACGCACTCTCGAGTTGTTCGCTCGCCTTTGGGACTTCAGGAAGATGCCTGCCTCCGTCGAGGCCTACGACACTTGGCTACGCGAGTACATGTCGATTGCTCAGGAAATACGCGACGCCAAAACATCGCTCAACGACGTGCTCGCCACCCACGTGCTCGCCATGGTCCCGTCTTGCCTCGACAGCTTCCGACTCACGTTCACGGACGAGCAGCGAAACCGACGCGACCTTCCCGAACTCACGACGCTTACGGACCGCATTCGCATCCAGCTTCGTTCGGCAGGACTCTCGACCTCGCATTCGGCCATGCTTGCCACCAGCTCCCCCTGCCCCGCCTGCCGCGCTCCCGGTCACCGCCTGCGCGACTGCACTTCACGTGCGAAGCACCCGCCCACCGGCCCCTGCCGCCGATGCCACAAGAAAGGTCACTGGGCACTCGACTGCAAGAACCGGGGTGAACAGGCACGTAGCAGCGACGACACCCAGGACGACACGTCTTCCTCCGCGGCCTCGCAACCGAACGTCGGCTATTTCGCCTCCTGCCTCTTCGCTCGTCGCCAACTCCCAACTGACGCCTTTGTAGTCGATTCGGGTGCCACGACACACATGGTCGCCGACCGATCTCTATTCACGACTTATCGTCAGACGGCACACACCAAGATCGGCGGCATCGCGGGCGGCATCACGGCTATCGGCATGGGGGACGTGGCATTCGTCGCCAAGACTGGACACCCGATCACGCTCCGTGGTGTTCTTCACACGCCTGGCCTACACGTCAACCTCCTCTCTGTCTCTCGCCTCTGCGACACCGACCGCGTTCGTCTCGCCTTCACCAGCGACGGCATCGACATCGCCAAGGACGGCCGGGCCATTGCTCACGGTACCAGGGTCAACGACGGTCTTTACCTTTTGGACGCGGATCACACCAAGTGTCAGCATCTTGCCTTCCTCTCACGCTCTGAGTCTCCCGTGCCCCTGCTTACCCTACACCGCTGCCTCGGCCATCTTGCCCCATCCTCTATACAGAAGATGATTGCTGCAGGTTTGCTGGACGGGTTTGGGGCCGGGTACAGTGACAAAGACGTAGAGGAGTTTGTTTGCAATGCTTGCCTTGGTTCCAAAGGTCACCGCCTTCCCTTTCCCGACTCTGAGTCGCATTCCGCCGAGAGACTTGGCCTCGTGCACAGCGACGTCCTGTCGTTCCCCACTCCGTCCTTGACCGGGAAGCGCTACCTTGTCACGTTTCTAGACGACCACTCTCGCAAACTCTGGGCATATGCGATCGATCACAAAAGCGATGTTTTCCCGACCTTCCAGACTTGGCTCGCCGAAGTGGAGTTAGAGACGAACGCGCGGTTGAGGATCCTTCGAACCGACAATGGCGGGGAGTACCGATCAAACGCATTCACGGAGTTCTGCAAATCCAAGGGCATTCGTCGTCAATACTCTATCCCTTACACGCCTCAACAAAACGGTCGCGCCGAACGTGTCAACCTCTCCATCGTCGAGGGCGTCCTCGCTCTCCTTGCGGACGCCCGTCTGCCGGCCACCTTTTGGGATGAAGCGGCTGCGTATTTCGTTTATTGCAAAAACAGGTGCTCACACTCAGCTTTGGCCAAACAGACTCCAGAATCCGTTTGGAACGGCCAACGCACCACCGCCACCGCCCTCCACCCGTTCGGCTGCACAGCCTGGCTCACGGTCGCCCCGGACCTTCGCAGCAAGCTCGACCCCAAGGCCGCGCGCGTGATCTTCACAGGTTACGACCTCGCCTCCAAAGCTTTCCGTTTCTTTGACCATTCCATCAACAAGATTGTACTTGGTCGCAATGCCACCTTCCTCGACGACGACTTCCCCGGCCTGCCAGTCACCACGCCCGTCGATGCAGACGACACCGACCGTCAGTTCGTCGTTCCCGCCGACACGCCCGCCCCTGCCGTCAAGACGAGGACCCCACTAGTAAGGTCGGCGCACATGGACGTCTCATCCTCCCTTGATGATTCTGCCATGAGCGCCGTTGACGTGGCCCCAGGGTACACTGGCGGAACCTTACTTAATTCCACAGATACCGAATCGTCCTCGTCACCGTCTCCTGAGCCGTCCTCGTCACCGTCGCCCACAAACCCTTTGTCACCGTCGCCTGCGCTGTCACCGTCGTTGGCAGCGTCATCGTCACCCTCGGTCTCACCGACCGACTCTGACTACTCCGCCGACCCTCTGGACCTCATCGGCTCACAGACCCCGACTCGCCTTGGCCCACCGGACGTGCACCGCCCAGACTTCAGCACGTACCGTGAGCCCGCATCGGCTGAGGAGTCGCCCGACGAACTCGACATCATTGGGCGTCACTCGCGCGATGAATCGCCGGATGAAATCGATTTCCTCACCCAACACCACCGCGCCTTCATCGCCACAGACGACGACGACCCCACCCTCGACGCCATCGAGCCCGTCAAATCGATCACTAGCGACCCCCAGACCTGGCGCGAAGCAATGTCCAGCGACGAGCACAACATCTGGGCTGAGGCCGCCGCCGCCGAGTTCACCGCCATGCGCGACGACTTCAAGGTGTTCACCATCGAGCCTCGCTCATCTGTACCGCCGGGCGCCACCATCGTCACCTCCAAATTCGTCTGGAAGACCAAGCGCAACGCAAGCGGTGAAGTCACGGGGCGGAAGGCACGTCTTGTAGCGCAGGGTAACCGACAGCGCGACGGCATCGACTTCTCAGAAACCTTCGCACCCGTCGCCCGTTTCTCCTCCATTCGCTGCCTCCTGGCTCTTGCCGCTGCCAATGGCTACCACGTTCATCAGGCCGACATCGACAAGGCTTACCTCCACGGCGAGCTCGATCATGATATCTGGATGACGACACCACGCGGTTTCGACTTCCCGAGCGATAAGGTATGAGACGTTCACCACTACTGTCAGGAGAGGTTGAGAGTCGAACAGAAGTGATCTATTTCAGCGTACCTATGAGACGTTCACCACTACTGTCAGGAGAGGTTGAGAGTCGAACAGAAGTGATGAGAAGGAAGCTAAGAAACAGAAAGGGGGGGGCCACGCTGGGATAGTCCCAGGCGCGTGACAATGTACATCCCTAAGTCAGCCGCGGGTGAAATCGCCGGCGCGCCTAAGTCCCCACCGCAAGGGGGCGGGCTAGCGGGCGCGCGCATGAATCCGCCGGCGCTGGCGCGCTGAGGCAGTCGCGCGCGTCTAAGTCCCCACCGCCGGGGGCGGGCTAGCAAGTGCGCGCAACGACCGAGGCGCCCCTGTCGAGCTGAGAGTGGACTCTTCACACCCCCCCCCACGCGAATGCGAGGCAGACCCAAGCCGCGGGTGTCGAGTGCGAAGGCCGAGGGCGTAGCAGTGCGTTGAGAAGACCTTTGGGCCGAGAGCCTTGGTGAAGATGTCGGCCACCATGTCGCTGGTACCCACATGCGAGAGAGAGATGTCGCCCCGATTCACCATGTCCCGAACGAAGTGCTCACGCAAGCGTATGTGCCGAGTGCCAGAGACGCGGACAGGATCGTGAGCAACTGCAGCAGCGGCTTCGTTGTCAGTAAAGATGTGAGCCGGTGCAACAGGTTGTACATGGAGCTCTTCGAGCAGCTGACTGAGGTAAATCCCTTCCTTGCCAGCATGCGAGAGGGCGAGGTATTCAGCGTCGGTGGTCGAATCGGCAACTCGAGACTGGCGTTTGGACGACCAGGACACGGCCGAGCCAGCGATGTAGAAGACGTAGCCCATGGTGGACACCGATGTGTCGATGCAGGCCCCCCAGTTCGCGTCGGAGTAGCCTACCACACCCGTGATGCGAGCCTGGCCGCGAGCATACACGAGTTCGTTGCGATACGTGGCCCGGAGATAGCGTAGGATGTGCTTGACCGCAATCCAATGACGACGACCGGGGTTGTTGGCGAAGCGGGCCAGGTAGGACACGGCGAAGGCGATGTCAGGGCGGGTACCGAGCGAAATGTAGAGGAGCGAGCCGATAGCCTGCAGATACCATGACCTGATCCGTTCGGTGCCTTGACCCGGGATAGCAGTGAGCGAAAGGCCGGGAGTCATCGGAACTGTAGTGCCGCGAGTCGTGGTGTCGAAGTGGAACCGAGCGAGCACGTCCATGATGTACCGTTCCTGGGATAGGGCGATAGAGCCGTCGTCGAACCGCCTGATCTGGATGCCGAGGATATACTCGGCCGGGCCGAGGCGCTTGACTCCGTAGCGTTGGTCCAGGCCTGAGATGACACGTTCGATTTCGGCCAGTTCCGGGCTGATCATCAGGAGGTCGTCGACGTACAGTGCGATGTAGTGTGGACATTGACGATCATCGAGCCAAGAGTATACGCAGTGGTCGGTGCCCGTCGCCGTGTAACCTGTGAAGAGTCCACTCTCAGCTCGACAGGGGCGCCTCGGTCGTTGCGCGCGCCTGCTAGCCTGGCCCCTGTGGTGGGGACTTAGGCGCGCGCGAGTGCCTCAGCGCGCCGGCGCCGGCGGTTTTCGGGCGCGCGCCGCTAGCCCGCCCTTGCAGTGGGGACTTAGCCGCGCGCGACTGCCTCAGCGCTCCAGCGATTTCGCCCGCGCCTGGGCATATCCCAGCGCGGGCCACCTTTCCATTTCTTAGCTTCCTTCTCATCACTTCTGTTCGACTCTCGACTTCTCCTGACAGTAGTGGTGATCATCTCATAGGTACGCTGAAATAGATCACTTCTGTTCGACTCTCGACTTCTCCTGACAGTAGTGGTGATCATCTCATAGGTTATAAGCCCATCGAGCTACCGCTGGCATGGACACGTCGTCAACCCTCGCGACGAGCGCCAACCCGACAATTCCCGCCGAACAGCTTGCCGCACTTACATCGCTGCTGTCGGGACTCACCGCTGCCGCTTCCGGCACTACCGCACCCGCCACGACATCCGGCTCCAATCGCAATGCCTTCCCGAAGCATGCGCGGTTGGACGGGCCGAAGACGTTCGCGAACTGGACACGCCAGCTTCGCCTGTGCCTAGCGGACGACATCCGCTCCTACGTCCTCGACGGAATCACCCCCGACGATTGGACGCCTTCGCAACGCTCCGCCCGCGACGTCGTGGCACGCGAGATCCTTGCAAACTCAATCGACTCGGCCGAAGTCTCGGCAGTCCTCGACAAGATCCCTACGGCCGACCTCACAGCGCCCAAGATTTACTCGACGCTGAAATCGCGATACGCCCCTGATGACGCCACTCGCACGCTCGAGCTCTTCTCGCGACTCTGGGGCTTCCGACCCATGCCCGGAACGGTTGGCGAATTTGACAGTTGGATCATGGACTTCAAGTCGGTCGCGCAAGAGATCATCGATACGAAAACGACGATCAACGACGTCCTTGCCACACTCCTCCTCGCGATCGCCCACCCGTCACTCGAGAGCTTCAAGGCAACGTTCACCGACGAACAACGCACGCAACGAACTCTCCCTGACATCGATTCAGTGGCCGACCGTATGCGAGTTCAACTCCGGTCAACGAACCTCTCCAACGATCAATCGGCCCTCCTTGCCTCGTCGTCGCCACGTTCTACCCGTACCAAGTGCCTCGCCTGTCGCAGCCCTTCTCACCGCGTCGCACAATGCCCTACAAGGGCCCAGCATCCACCGCCAGGCCCGTGTCGCTCCTGCAAGAAGAAGGACCACTGGTCTTTCGACTGCAAAAAGGCTCTTGAGGACGGGAAAACGCCCGACACCTCTGATGCGCAACACCATGTCGGATGTCTCGCCACCGGTCTTCTCGCACATCGTCGTCAGCTTCGCAACAACTCCTTCGTCGTCGACTCGGGTGCCACTTCGCACATGGTCTCGGACAAGTCGCTGTTCACGGCCTATCGCCACATCGCTCCTACGAAGATTGGTGGTATTGCAGGGGGCATCAACGCCGTCGGAACGGGAAACATCGCCTTTGTTGCCGCCTCCGGTCACCCGATCACGCTTACCGGCGTGCTGCACACCCCGGGCCTGTCTGTCAACCTCCTCTCGGTCTCTCGACTTTGCGACACCGACGATGTCCGTGTCGCCTTCACGAAGCACGGCATCCATATCGACAAGAACGGCAATGCTATCGCTGAAGGCGCAAGACTCGAGGAAGGGCTCTACTTGCTGGACGCTGATCATTCCAAATGTCAGCATCTCGCTCTCCTCTCTCGCTCACAGTCTTCCGTGCCCCTGCTGACCCTTCACCGCTGCCTCGGCCATCTCGCACCGTCGTCCATACAGAAGATGGTTGCCGCTGGTTTGCTGGAAGGTCTCGGGGCCGGATATAGTGACGAAGAGGTAGAGAAGTTTGTCTGCAATGCTTGCCTCAGTGCAAAGGGCCATCGTCTTCCTTTTCCCGATTCGGACTCGCACTCCTCAGAGAGACTCGGCCTCGTACACAGCGATGTGCTTTCCTTTCCCGAGTCGTCCTTGACTGGCAAGCGTTACCTGGTCACGTTTCTTGACGACTTCTCGCGCAAACTGTGGGCATACGCGATCGGACACAAAAGCGAAGTCTTTGGCGTGTTCAAGACATGGCTTGCCGAGGTCGAACTCGAGACGGATGCAAAACTGAAGGTCCTCCGAACCGACAATGGTGGCGAATACTGTTCGAGAGCGTTCACGGAATTCTGTAAGGCACGCGGCACACGTCGACAATACTCTATCCCTCGAACGCCTCAACAGAACGGTCGTGCCGAACGAGTCAATCGTTCTATCGTCGAAGGTGTCCTTGCCCTCCTTGCAGACGCCCACTTACCCAAATCATTCTGGGAGGAGGCAGCAGCTTATTTCGTCTACTGCAAGAACCTGTGCGAACACTCGGCCCTGGACAAGGCAACACCGAACTTCGCCTGGCAGGGCGACCGCACCAACGCCTCGGCGCTTCACCCGTTCGGCTGCACGGCTTGGCTCACAGTCGCGCCTGAACTTCGCTCGAAACTCGACCCGAAAGCGGTTCGCGTTCTCTTCACCGGCTATGACCTGGCTTCTAAAGCCTTCCGTTTCTACGACACGACGACCAAGAAGATCAGTTTGGGCAGAAATGCCAGGTTCCTCGACAACGAATTTCCCGGGTTACGTAGCGACTCCACCGAGCAAGACGCCGACACGCACTTCGCCAGCGCTTGCCCGACCACCGAATCCCAAGCCGTTGTCAAGACATGGACCCCACTAGTAAGGTCGGCGCACATGGACGTCTCATCCTCTCTTGATGACTCTGCCATGAGCGCCGTTGACGTGGCCCCAGGGTACACTGGCGGAACCTTACTTAATTCCACAGATGCCGAATCGTCCTCGTCACCGTCTCCTGAGCCGTCCTCGTCACCGTCGCCCGCAACTCCCTTGTCACCGTCGCCTGCGCTGTCACCGTCGTTGGCTGCGTCATCGTCACCCTCGGCCTTACCGACCGACTCTGACTACTCCGCCGACCCTCTGGACCTCATCGGCTCACAGACCCCGACTCGCCTCGGCCCACCGGACGTGCACCGCCCAGACTTCAGCACGTACCGTGAGCCCGCATCGGCTGAGGAGTCGCCCGACGAACTCGACATCATTGGGCGCCACTCGCGCGATGAATCGCCGGACGAAATCGATTTCCTCACCCAACACCACCGCGCCTTCATCGCCACCGACGACGACAACTCTGACACAGAAGCCATTCAACCAGTCAAGTCCATCACCAGCGACCCACAGACATGGCGCGAGGCAATGTCGAGTGACAAGCGCGAAGTGTGGGCCAAGGCCGCTACCGACGAGTTCAATTCCATGCGCGACGACTTCAAGGTCTTCACCATCGAGGACCGATCCACGGTACCAGCGGGTGCGACCATCGTCACATCCAAGTTCGTCTGGAAAACGAAACGGAATGCACTCGGCGAAGTCACCGGCCACAAGGCACGGCTCGTGGCGCAGGGAAATCGGCAACGCGACGGCATCGACTTCAACGAAACCTTCGCACCAGTCGCACGCTTCTCCTCGATACGCTCACTCCTCGCGCTGGCGGCCGCCAACGGCTTGCACGTGCACCAGGCGGACATCGACAAAGCCTATCTGCATGGCGACCTTGACCATGACATCTGGATGACGACACCGCGCGGCTTCGACCTTCCCACCGACAAGGTGCTTCGTCTGCGACGCTCCATCTACGGACTCAAACAGGCTGGCCGAATCTGGAATCGACACATCGACGCATCGCTTCGAGATCTCGGCTATACGGCGACGGGCACCGACCACTGCGTGTACTCTCGGATCGACGATCGGCGACGCCCACACTACATCGCGCTGTACGTCGACGACCTCCTGATGATCAGCCCCGACTTGGCCGAAATTGAACGTGTCATCTCGGGCCTCGAACAACGCTACGGCGTCAAGCGCCTCGGCCCGGCAGAGTACATCCTCGGCATCCAGATCAGGCGACTCGAAGACGGTTCTATTGCCCTGTCCCAGGAACGGTACATCATGGACGTGCTTGCTCGGTTCCACTTCGACACCACGACTCGCGGCACTACAGTCCCGATGACCCCCGGCCTTTCGCTCACCGCCATCCCGGGTCAAGGCACCGAACGGATCAGGTCATGGTATCTGCAGGCTATCGGCTCGCTCCTCTACATTTCGCTCGGCACCCGCCCCGACATCGCCTTCGCCGTGTCCTACCTGGCCCGCTTCGCCAACAACCCTGGACGTCGTCACTGGATCGCGGTCAAGCACATCCTCCGCTATCTCCGGGCCACATATCGCGACGAACTGGTTTATGCTTGCGGCGAGACACGCATCACGGGCGTGGTTGGCTACTCCGACGCGAACTGGGGGGCCTGCGTCGATACGTCGGTGTCCACTATGGGCTACGTCTTCTACATTGCCGGATCCGCCGTGTCTTGGTCGTCCAAGCGTCAATCTCGAGTTGCCGATTCTACCACCGACGCTGAATACCTCGCCCTCTCGCATGCTGGCAAGGAAGGGATCTACCTCAGTCAGCTGCTCGAGGAGCTCCATGTCCAACCTGTTGCACCGGCTCACATTTTTACTGACAATGAAGCCGCTGCCGCAGTTGCCCACGACCCTGTCCGCGTCTCCGGCACTCGACACATACGCTTGCGCGAGCACTTTGTTCGGGACATGGTGAATCGGGGCGATATCTCACTCTCGCATGTGGGAACCAGCAACATGGTGGCCGACATCTTCACAAAGGCTCTTGGCCCAAAGATTTTCTCGACACACTGCTACGCACTAGGCCTTCGCACTCGACACCCACGGCTTGGATCTGCCTCGCATTCGCGTGGGGGGGGTGTGAAGAGTCCACTCTCAGCTCGACAGGGGCGCCTCGGTCGTTGCGCGCGCCTGCTAGCCTGGCCCCTGTGGTGGGGACTTAGGCGCGCGCGAGTGCCTCAGCGCGCCGGCGCCGGCGGTTTTCGGGCGCGCGCCGCTAGCCCGCCCTTGCAGTGGGGACTTAGCCGCGCGCGACTGCCTCAGCGCTCCAGCGATTTCGCCCGCGCCTGGGCATATCCCAGCGCGGGCCACCTTTCCATTTCTTAGCTTCCTTCTCATCACTTCTGTTCGACTCTCGACTTCTCCTGACAGTAGTGGTGATCATCTCATAGGTACGCTGAAATAGATCACTTCTGTTCGACTCTCGACTTCTCCTGACAGTAGTGGTGATCATCTCATATAACCGAGGGCCCGAAGCGAAGCGTCGATGTGTCGATTCCAGATTCGGCCAGCCTGTTTGAGCCCGTAGATGGAGCGTCGCAGGCGAAGCACCTTGTCGCTGGGAAGGTCGAAGCCGCGCGGTGCCGTCATCCAGATGTCGTGGTCAAGGTCGCCATGCAGATATGCTTTGTCGATGTCCGCCTGGTGCACGTGCAAGCCGTTGGCGGCCGCCAGCGCGAGGAGTGAGCGTATCGAGGAGAAGCGTGCGACCGGTGCGAACGTTTCGTTGAAGTCGATGCCGTCGCGTTGCCGATTGCCTTGCGCGACCAGCCTTGCCTTGTGTCCAGTGACTTCGCCGAGTGCGTTCCGTTTCGTTTTCCAGACGAACTTGGATGTAACGATAGTCGCACCCGCGGGCACCGTGGCTCGGTCCTCGATGGTGAAGACCTTGAAGTCGTCGCGCATGGAGGTGAACTCGTCGGTGGCGGCTTTGGCCCATACTTCACGCTTGTCGCTAGACATCGCCTCGCGCCAGGTCTGTGGGTCGCTCGTGATGGACTTGACTGGCTGAACTGCCTCTGTGTCAGAGGTGTCGTCGTCGATGGCGATGAAGGCGCGGTGGTGTCGGGTGAGGAAATCGATTTCGTCCGGAGATTCGTCGCGAGAGTGGCGCCCAATGAGGTCGAGTTCGTCGGGCGACTCCTCAGCCGATGCGGGCTCGCGGTACGTGCTGAAGTCTGGGTGGTGCACGTCCTGTAGATCGAGGCGAACCTGGGGCTGTGAGCCGAGGAGGTCGAGGGGATCGGCGGAGTCTTCAGAGTCGGTCGGTAAGGCCGAGGGTGACGATGACGCAGCCGACGATGGTGAAAGTGCAGGCGATGGCGCAGACGACGGTGATGAGGGCGACGCAGGCGACGGTGACGAGGACGATTCGGCATCTGTGAAGTTAAGTAAGGTTCCGCCAGTGTACCCTGGGGCCACGTCAACGGCGCTCATGGCAGAATCATCAAGGGGGGATGAGACGTCCATGTGCGCCGACCTTACTAGTGGGGTCCATGTCTTGACAACGGTTTGAGATTCGGTGGTGGGAGCGCTGGCGAAGTGCGTGTCGCCGTCTTGCTCAGTGGGGTCGCCATGTAATCCGGGGAATTCAGTGTCGAGGAACGTGGCATTTCTGCCAAGTATAATCTTCTGTGTTGTAGTGTCGTAGAAGCGAAAGGCTTTTGAAGCCAGGTCGTAGCCGGTGAAAAAAACGCGAACCGCCTTCGGGTCGAGTTTGGAGCGAAGTTCGGGCGCGACCGTAAGCCAAGCTGTACAGCCGAACGGGTGAAGCGCCGAGGCAGTGGTGTGGTCACCCTGCCAGACGGAGTTTGGTGTTGCCTTGTCCAGGGCCGCGTGTTGACACAGGTTCTTGCAGTAAACGAAATAAGCTGCAGCCTCCTCCCAGAATGTCTTGGGTAGGTGGGCGTCGACAAGGAGGGCAAGGACGCCTTCGACAATGGAACGATTGACCCGCTCTGCACGACCGTTCTGTTGAGGCGTGCGTGGGATAGAGTATTGTCGACGGGTGCCTCGTGTCTTGCAGAACTCTGTGAACGCTCTCGAACAGTATTCGCCACCGTTGTCGGTTCGGAGGACCTTCAGCGTCGCACCCGTCTCGAGTTCAACCTCGGCTAGCCAAGTTTTGAATATGCCGAAGACTTCGCTTTTGTGTCCGATTGCGTAGGCCCAGAGTTTGCGCGAGTAATCGTCAAGGAATGTGACCAGGTAACGTTTGCCAGTCAAGGACCGCTCGGGGAAGGAAAGCACATCGCTGTGTACAAGGCCGAGTCTCTCTGAGGAGTGCGAATCCGAATCGGGAAAGGGAAGACGATGGCCCTTTGCGCTGAGGCAAGCATTGCAGACAAACTTCTCTACCTCTTCGTCACTATATCCGGCCCTGAGACCCTCCAGCAAACCAGCGGCAACCATCTTCTGTATGGAGGACGGTGCGAGATGGCCGAGGCAGCGATGGAGAGTCAGCAGGGGCACGGACGACTGTGAGCGAGAAAGGAGAGCAAGGTGCTGACATTTGGAATGATCAGCGTCCAGCAAGTAGAGCCCTTCGTCGAGTCGTGCGCCTTCAGCGATGTCGTTGCCGTCCTTGTCAATGTGGATGCCGTGTTTTGTGAAGGCGACACGGACATCGTCGGTGTCGCAAAGTCGAGAGACCGAGAGAAGATTGACAAACAGGCCCGGAGTGTGCAGCACGCCGGTAAGCGTGATCGGATGACCCGAGGCGGCAATGAAGGCGATGTTTCCCGTTCCGATGGCGTTGATGCCCCCTGCAATACCACCAATCTTCGTAGGAGCGATATGGCGATAGGTCGTGAACAGCGACTTGTCCGAGACCATGTGCGAAGTGGCGCCCGAGTCGACGACAAAAGAGTGGTTGCGAAGCTGGCGACGACGAGCGAGAAGACCGGTGGCGAGACATCCGACATGGTGTTGCGAGTCGACGGTCGAGTCAGCGGTGTCGGGCTTTTTGCCGTCCTCGAGCGCCTTCTTGCAGTCGAGAGACCAGTGATCCTTCTTCTTGCAGGAGCGACAGGGTCCTGGCGGCGGGTGTTGCGCCCTCGTAGGGCACTCCGCGACTCGGTGCGAAGGGCTGCGACAGGCGAGACACTTGAGACGAGTAGAACGTGACGACGACGAGGCAAGAAGGGCCGATTGAGTGCTGGGGATGTTCGTTGACCGAAGTTGGACTCGCATACGGTCGGCAAGCGAATCAATGTCGGGGAGAGTTCGTTGCGTGCGCTGTTCATCGGTGAACGACGCCTTGAAGCTCTCGAGGGACGGGTGGGCGATTGCAAGGAGGAGTGTGGCGAGAACATCATTGATAGTTGTCTTTGTGTCGATGATCTCTTGCGCAACGGCTTTGAAGTCCATGATCCACCCGTCGAATTCGGCAACCGTGCCGGGCATGGGACGGAAACCCCAGAGTCGTGAGAAGAGCTCGAGCGTGCGGGTGGCGTCGTCAGGGGCGTACCGCGATTTCAGCGTCGAGTAGATTGTCGGCGCTGTCAGGTCGGCGGTAGGGATTTTGTCGAGGACTGCCGAGACTTCGGCCGAGTCAATCGAATTCGCAAGGACCTCACGAGCGACGGCGTCGCGAGCGGAGCGTTGCGAAGGTGTCCAGTCGTCGGGTGCGATACCGTCGAGGACGTACGAGCGGATGTCGTCCGCTAGGCACAGGCGAAGTTGGCGTGTCCAGTTCGCGAAGGTCTTCGCACCATCCAAGCGTGCGTGCTTTGGAAAGGCAGTGCGAGTGGTGCCGGACGTCGTGGCGGGTGTGGCAGTGCCGGAAGCGGCAGCGGTGAGACCCGACAGCAGCGATGTAAGTGCGGCGAGCTGTTCGGCGGGAATCGGAGGGTTGGCACCCGTCGCGAGGGGTGGTGTCGTGGTCATGCCAGCTGGTGGCTCGTGGGCTTATAACCTATGAGACGTTCACCACTACTGTCAGGAGAGGTTGAGAGTCGAACAGAAGTGATCTATTTCAGCGTACCTATGAGACGTTCACCACTACTGTCAGGAGAGGTTGAGAGTCGAACAGAAGTGATGAGAAGGAAGCTAAGAAACAGAAAGGGGGGGGCCACGCTGGGATAGTCCCAGGCGCGTGACAATGTACATCCCTAAGTCAGCCGCGGGTGAAATCGCCGGCGCGCCTAAGTCCCCACCGCAAGGGGGCGGGCTAGCGGGCGCGCGCATGAATCCGCCGGCGCTGGCGCGCTGAGGCAGTCGCGCGCGTCTAAGTCCCCACCGCCGGGGGCGGGCTAGCAAGTGCGCGCAACGACCGAGGCGCCCCTGTCGAGCTGAGAGTGGACTCTTCACATAAGGTTCTCCGGCTGCGACGCTCAATCTACGGTCTCAAGCAGGCCGGTCGCATCTGGAATCGTCACATTGACACATCACTCAGGAATCTGGGGTACAAGGCAACAGGCACTGATCACTGCATTTACTCTCGCATTGACGATCAGCAGCGGCCTCACTATATCGCCTTGTATGTCGACGACCTCCTCATTGTCAGTCCAGCCCTCGACGAGATCGAACGTGTCATCTCCGGCCTTGAACAGCGGTACGGCGTCAAACGACTCGGCCCCGCGGAGTACATCCTCGGAATCCAAATACGCCGCCTGGACGACGGTTCCATTGCTCTATCCCAGGAGCGCTACATCATGGACGTGCTGTGTGAGGAATCCACTCTCCGCTCGGCTCAGGACTTAGGCGCGCGGAGCGAACCGGGCGCGGACTTAGGCGCGCGGAGTGAGCCGGGCGCCCCGGCCCAGGACTTAGGCGCGCGAAGCGAGCCTGGGACTTAGGCGCGCGGAGCGAGCCTGGGCCATTGGCTCAGCCCCAGGCTCGCTGGCTGTGGACTTGGGGCGCGCGGGTCTCTTATTGTTAGCTTCCTATTCATCACTCTTGGCTATAACTACATCGCTGACGTAGTAGAGTTGATCGAATAGGTATGTTGAAATGCATTGATCACTCTTGGCTATAACTACATCGCTGACGTAGTAGAGTTGATCGAATAGGTTATAAGCCCACGAGCTACCAGCCCCGCCGCTTGAGGCTTTTTCGCTCGAGCCCAGCCACTCGAGCCGCACACGTCCATCGCACCATCACATCATGGACAGCTCTCCCGCCTCGCCTTTGGCCCCCAGGGATCCCAGCTCCCCTGAATCTTCGATCGGCGAACAAATCGCCACTCTACAGGCCCAGCTTGCCGCTCTGCAGGCCTCGCAACCCGCCGCCGCCGCAGCCGCCGCACCCCCGGCCGTCACCATCGTGCCGGGGAACGCCGCCACCGCATCCAAGGTCGTGTTTCCCAAGCACGCTCGTCTGGACGGCCCCAAGTCGTTCACCAACTGGTTGCGTCAACTCCGTCTTGCACTCCCGAACCAGGTTCGTGGTTACGTTCTCGACGGTGTCGTTCCCCCGACCTGGACCGCCGACCAGCTTGCCGCACGTGACGACGCCGCCCGGGAAATCATCGTTGGCTCTATCGACTCCGCCGACGTATCGGCCACCCTCGACGCCATCCCCAGCGACGACCTGTCGGCACCGCGCATCTTTGCCGCTCTCAAGGCTCGTTTTGCACCGGACGACGCTACACGCACTCTCGAGTTGTTCGCTCGCCTTTGGGACTTCAGGAAGATGCCTGCCTCCGTCGAGGCCTACGACACTTGGCTACGCGAGTACATGTCGATTGCTCAGGAAATACGCGACGCCAAAACATCGCTCAACGACGTGCTTATGAAGGAACAATATACCACTGCACCAAAAGGCGAGGCACCTCTACTTCAGTGAGCGCATATTGTCCTAGAAGTGAGATGGAGCAAAGTTCAACACCCCCCTGTGCGCGAAGCTGAAGAGCTTGTGGCAGTGGGTGCGGCTGTGAGGCAACTGGGCATGTTGATCAGGTCGCTTGGGCAAGTGCAGCTTGGGCACTGTGAGCACTGTCGATGCGCCAGGGTGCTTGGCACGCCGCTGGGCAAGTGCGGGGGCCGGGACGCTGAGTGTATGCGCGCAAAATTGCCTGACCCCAGGGGGGATTGAACTCATGACCTGCTGGTTGCTCTGGGCTCATAACCTATGAAGGAACAATATACCACTGCACCAAAAGGCGAGGCACCTCTACTTCAGTGAGCGCATATTGTCCTAGAAGTGAGATGGAGCAAAGTTCAACAGTGCTCGCCACCCACGTGCTCGCCATGGTCCCGTCTTGCCTCGACAGCTTCCGACTCACGTTCACGGACGAGCAGCGAAACCGACGCGACCTTCCCGAACTCACGACGCTTACGGACCGCATTCGCATCCAGCTTCGTTCGGCAGGACTCTCGACCTCGCATTCGGCCATGCTTGCCACGCGCTCCCCTTGCCCCGCCTGCCGCGCTCCCGGTCACCGCCTGCGCGACTGCACTTCACGTGCGAAGCACCCGCCCACCGGCCCCTGCCGCCGATGCCACAAGAAAGGTCACTGGGCACTCGACTGCAAGAACCGGGGTGAACAGGCACGTAGCAGCGACGACACCCAGGACGACACGTCTTCCTCCGCGGCCTCGCAACCGAACGTCGGCTATTTCGCCTCCTGTCTCTTCGCTCGTCGCCAACTCCCAACTGACGCCTTTGTAGTCGATTCGGGTGCCACGACACACATGGTCGCCGACCGATCTCTATTCACGACTTATCATCAGACGGCACACACCAAGATCGGCGGCATCGCGGGCGGCATCACGGCTATCGGCATGGGGGACGTGGCATTCGTCGCCAAGACTGGACACCCGATCACGCTCCGTGGTGTTCTTCACACGCCTGGCCTACACGTCAACCTCCTCTCTGTCTCTCGCCTCTGCGACACCGACCGCGTTCGTCTCGCCTTCACCAGCGACGGCATCGACATCGCCAAGGACGGCCGGGCCATTGCTCACGGTACCAGGGTCAACGACGGTCTTTACCTTTTGGACGCGGATCACACCAAGTGTCAGCATCTTGCCTTCCTCTCACGCTCTGAGTCTCCCGTGCCCCTGCTTACCCTACACCGCTGCCTCGGCCATCTTGCCCCATCCTCTATACAGAAGATGATTGCTGCAGGTTTGCTGGACGGGTTTGGGGCCGGGTACAGTGACAAAGACGTAGAGGAGTTTGTTTGCAATGCTTGCCTTGGTTCCAAAGGTCACCGCCTTCCCTTTCCCGACTCTGAGTCGCATTCCGCCGAGAGACTTGGCCTCGTGCACAGCGACGTCCTGTCGTTCCCCACTCCGTCCTTGACCGGGAAGCGCTACCTTGTCACGTTTCTAGACGACCACTCTCGCAAACTCTGGGCATATGCGATCGATCACAAAAGCGATGTTTTCCCGACCTTCCAGACTTGGCTCGCCGAAGTGGAGTTAGAGACGAACGCGCGGTTGAGGATCCTTCGAACCGACAATGGCGGGGAGTACCGATCAAACGCATTCACGGAGTTCTGCAAATCCAAGGGCATTCGTCGTCAATACTCTATCCCTTACACGCCTCAACAAAACGGTCGCGCCGAACGTGTCAACCTCTCCATCGTCGAGGGCGTCCTCGCTCTCCTTGCGGACGCCCGTCTGCCGGCCACCTTTTGGGATGAAGCGGCTGCGTATTTCGTTTATTGCAAAAACAGGTGCTCACACTCAGCTTTGGCCAAACAGACTCCAGAATCCGTTTGGAACGGCCAACGCACCACCGCCACCGCCCTCCACCCGTTCGGCTGCACAGCCTGGCTCACGGTCGCCCCGGACCTTCGCAGCAAGCTCGACCCCAAGGCCGCGCGCGTGATCTTCACAGGTTACGACCTCGCCTCCAAAGCTTTCCGTTTCTTTGACCATTCCATCAACAAGATTGTACTTGGTCGCAATGCCACCTTCCTCGACGACGACTTCCCCGGCCTGCCAGTCACCACGCCCGTCGATGCAGACGACACCGACCGTCAGTTCGTCGTTCCCGCCGACACGCCCGCCCCTGCCGTCAAGACGAGGACCCCACTAGTAAGGTCGGCGCACATGGACGTCTCATCCTCCCTTGATGATTCTGCCATGAGCGCCGTTGACGTGGCCCCAGGGTACACTGGCGGAACCTTACTTAATTCCACAGATACCGAATCGTCCTCGTCACCGTCTCCTGAGCCGTCCTCGTCACCGTCGCCCACAAACCCTTTGTCACCGTCGCCTGCGCTGTCACCGTCGTTGGCAGCGTCATCGTCACCCTCGGTCTCACCGACCGACTCTGACTACTCCGCCGACCCTCTGGACCTCATCGGCTCACAGACCCCGACTCGCCTTGGCCCACCGGACGTGCACCGCCCAGACTTCAGCACGTACCGTGAGCCCGCATCGGCTGAGGAGTCGCCCGACGAACTCGACATCATTGGGCGTCACTCGCGCGATGAATCGCCGGATGAAATCGATTTCCTCACCCAACACCACCGCGCCTTCATCGCCACAGACGACGACGACCCCACCCTCGACGCCATCGAGCCCGTCAAATCGATCACTAGCGACCCCCAGACCTGGCGCGAAGCAATGTCCAGCGACGAGCACAACATCTGGGCTGAGGCCGCCGCCGCCGAGTTCACCGCCATGCGCGACGACTTCAAGGTGTTCACCATCGAGCCTCGCTCATCTGTACCGCCGGGCGCCACCATCGTCACCTCCAAATTCGTCTGGAAGACCAAGCGCAACGCAAGCGGTGAAGTCACGGGGCGGAAGGCACGTCTTGTAGCGCAGGGTAACCGACAGCGCGACGGCATCGACTTCTCAGAAACCTTCGCACCCGTCGCCCGTTTCTCCTCCATTCGCTGCCTCCTGGCTCTTGCCGCTGCCAATGGCTACCACGTTCATCAGGCCGACATCGACAAGGCTTACCTCCACGGCGAGCTCGATCATGATATCTGGATGACGACACCACGCGGTTTCGACTTCCCGAGCGATAAGGTTCTCCGGCTGCGACGCTCAATCTACGGTCTCAAGCAGGCCGGTCGCATCTGGAATCGTCACATTGACACATCACTCAGGAATCTGGGGTACAAGGCAACAGGCACTGATCACTGCATTTACTCTCGCATTGACGATCAGCAGCGGCCTCACTATATCGCCTTGTATGTCGACGACCTCCTCATTGTCAGTCCAGCCCTCGACGAGATCGAACGTGTCATCTCCGGCCTTGAACAGCGGTACGGCGTCAAACGACTCGGCCCCGCGGAGTACATCCTCGGAATCCAAATACGCCGCCTGGACGACGGTTCCATTGCTCTATCCCAGGAGCGCTACATCATGGACGTGCTGGCCCGTTTCCACTTCGACACCACGACACGCGGCACTACGGTGCCGATGACGCCCGGCCTCTCGCTCACGGCAATTCCGGGTCAGGGAACGGAGCGCATTCGTTCGTGGTACCTACAGGCCATCGGCTCCCTCCTCTACATCTCCCTTGGCACTCGACCCGACATTGCCTTCGCCGTCTCGTACCTGTCCCGGTTCGCCAACAACCCCGGCCGCCGCCATTGGATTGCCGTCAAACACGTCCTTCGCTACCTTCGCGCCACGTACCGCGATGAGCTTCTCTATGCCCGCGGCCCAGCAAAAGTCACGGGTGTGGTTGGTTATTCTGATGCGAACTGGGGCGCCTGCGTCGACACATCCATTTCAACGATGGGCTACGTATTTTACTTGGCAGGCGCCGCTGTCTCTTGGTCGTCGAAGCGTCAGACTCGGGTAGCGGATTCCACCACTGATGCCGAGTACCTGGCCTTGTCGCACGCGGGTAAGGAAGCGATCTACCTTAACCAACTCCTCTCCGAGCTCCACGTTTGCCCAATCGCTGCAGCTCACATCTTCACCGACAACGAGGCCGCGGCCGCCGTCGCTCACGACCCCGTTCGCACCTCCGGCACCCGGCACATTCGCCTCCGCGAGCATTTTGTCCGTGACATGGTCAATCGAGGTGATATCTCTCTCTCACACGTTGGCACAGCAGACATGGTTGCGGACGTATTCACCAAAGCGCTAGGCCCCAAGATTTTTGGTACACATTGCTATGCTCTAGGCCTCCGGACGCGACATCCACGGCTCAAGTCTACCTCGCGTTCGCGTGGGGGGGGTGTGAGGAATCCACTCTCCGCTCGGCTCAGGACTTAGGCGCGCGGAGCGAACCGGGCGCGGACTTAGGCGCGCGGAGTGAGCCGGGCGCCCCGGCCCAGGACTTAGGCGCGCGAAGCGAGCCTGGGACTTAGGCGCGCGGAGCGAGCCTGGGCCATTGGCTCAGCCCCAGGCTCGCTGGCTGTGGACTTGGGGCGCGCGGGTCTCTTATTGTTAGCTTCCTATTCATCACTCTTGGCTATAACTACATCGCTGACGTAGTAGAGTTGATCGAATAGGTATGTTGAAATGCATTCATCACTCTTGGCTATAACTACATCGCTGACGTAGTAGAGTTGATCGAATACTATCACACAGCGCCGCGGGCGTGGGCCAAGGCGCTGAGCAGGGCCTTCAACGCGATGACCGAGCGCGGCTCGCTTTCACCGAAGCAGGGGCAAGGACTCGCTCGCCTGCTCTTCAAGCACCACAAGATCGGGGCCGATCGCGCCGAGCTCTCGTCGTACCGGCCCATCACCTTGCGCGAGTGCGACTACAAGCTCTTCACCAAGGTCTACGTTGCGCGACTCAACCACGTGCTGCCGGACCTGCTCCCACCGCAACAGCACGGCTTCGTCAAGGGCCGCCGATCGGCGGACGCGTCATTCCACCTGCGACTCTTGATCGAAGAGCTGGGCGCGCGCGGCACCGAGTTCCCTGACGCGGCGCTCTTGTCTCTTGACCAATCGTCGGCTTACGACCTCGTCGAGCACGAATGGATCTTCGCCATCTTCGACGCTCTCGGCGCTCCTGCCGCCTTCCAACGCGTTCTGAGGATGCTCTACTCGGGTGACTCAACCACGGCGCGATATATCATCAACGGCTTCTTGACTCCGCCGGTGCGGCTGACGTGTGGGCTCGGCCAAGGGGACCCGGCGTCGTCGTCGGTCTGGGATGTCGTGTTCCAGCCGTTCCTGGATGCTCTGCACCGTCGAGGCATCGCGCTGAACCTCTCGCTTCCTACCATTCACCCCTACCCACAGAGCCGCGCCATTACATCCCTTGCGTTTGCCGATGACGTCGTCGTCGCTGTCGCGGGCTCGGAGTCACTCAACTTGCTCGACGACCTGGCGCTCGACTGGAGGCTCGCAACCAATGGCCGGCTCAACACCGACAAGACCGTCGTACTACCCATCGGGTGTCGCTGGGAGGCTGGCGATCGTCCGCTCGTCGTCAAGGCCGAGGGCGAGTCGCTCGAGTGGATCGGCCTATCTTTCGACCCCACCGGCAACACCGAACTCGCCAACGTGAATCTCGTCGCACGGCTCGAAGCGGTGCTCGATTCGGCACGGGACCGAGGGCTCACACACCACACCCGAGCGTTCTACGTCAACCGATACGCCATTCCCAAGATTCTGCACATCCTCTCCGCCGACATCCCACCGCTCGAGGTCGTCAAGGAGCTTGATCGCATTCTCGCCGACTTTGTCCGCGGCGGCAAGAGGAGGTCGTGCTATGGCAAGGACGTCGTCTTCACACCGAGGTTCAAGGGGGGTCTTGGGGTCATGCGGATGCAGGACGTCGTCGACTCGGTTGCGGCACGCGTCTGGGACGTGCTTCTTGGCGGTTCGGATGCGATCTGGCAGGGACTTGCGCGCGCGGCGATTGTACGAGCCCATCCCGCCCCCGACTTTGACTTGGCAACCAATGCGTGGCCTTGCGACTACACTCCGATCCGAACCGATCTACACCCAAGATGGCAGGCCGTGCTGAAGGTACCATCGACGCACAATGCGCAAGTCAAGCCGAGGACGTTGACGCTCGCGAACCTTCTCGCTCTTCCGATCAAGTTGCACACCCTTCACTACCTACCGGGAGCACCAGCTGTGTCGCGACCACCCTACGACGCCGACTATGCTGCGTTTGCCATTTACGCCAAGGTAGCGGACCTGTTTCGACGCGAGCTGTACCCGGGCGGGGGCTTTCATCTCTGGACGCCGCCGACGGATGTGGTCGTCAGCAACAGCGAATACGATCAACGGGGCCGCCCACAACGAGAGCACATCGTGGCATGGTACCGACATGCGATCAATCGATTGAGGTTCACACCAATAGCTCAACCGGTGGCGGCAGTACGAATCAACGGGCCTCCCCGAGTCCGCCCCACCACGCCGCTCGAGTCGATCCTGCCCCATCCGATCGACCCGCCGCAGCGCCTTCCGAGACCGGCTCTCCCAGACCAATCAACACAATACAACTTGCTCAGCATGGATCGGCCATACACCATCCGTCGCGTCCGCCGAGTCTTGAATGCAAAGGCCTTCACCGACACGATCGGTTTCAGGGACTCGCTGCAGCCCGACGATCTCAAGGGATTCTGGAAGGGGGTCAACTCGAAGGCATTGACGGCGAGGGAACGCGAGGTGTGGTTCAAGCTCGTCAGGAACTTCACCCCGACTCGGAGTCTGCAGTTTCATCAAAAGCACGACGACTCGCCCGCGTGCCTCGTCTGTGGAGCGCCCAAGGACGATCGGGAGCACTACTTCTTCGACTGCGTTGACTCTAGGAACGTTTGGATCGCGGCAAGGGGCGTGCTCTGCGACGCACTGGGGCTCGACACGATCGACAACACGCATTACACGGCCGTTCAACGCATGTTCGGACTTCCGAAGCTCAAGGCCAGTCTGCACGATCAAGAAGGAGCGGGGAGGACGATCGAAATATTCACCGGGCTGGTCTTGGAGATGATCAGCAGCGGGAGGTGGGGGATGCAGAAGTGGGGGACGAGGATGGAGGGTGTTGGGAGGAGGAGGATAATCTTGGAGGAGAGGTTGAAGCTGAGGGCGGGAGGAGCTTGGGGGAGGAGAGGGCAGTAGAGGCTGGGTTCGACTTTCCCCCCACCACCACACACACACACCAAATTCTCGTGACATCATTTTCTCCTACTGTACACTAAATAGCTCGCTTTCCTCTTTCTTTTGTTACAGGTTCACCGTTGCGGATCATGGACCATCTCGCGATTTGGCGTCGACTCGGTGTGGCTCGCGCTCTTCGGCTTCGGGGTTCTGAGTCAAGGGAGGGATCAGCGGACACAGGCAGAAAGTCGGCTTTGAGGGGCCAGGGACTGCCGAGGGGGAGGTTTTGAGGGACCTTCACCGCGTCTTGTTGTGACTGAGCAGAGACTTGGAGCGTCGAGGGTCGTGGTGGTTGCGCAGTCGTGCTCTTGTCTTCGTCTCGACCGAGTGGGAAGTGGCTGTGGGGTGGGCCTTCTGTCGTTAGTACATTTCTTTTCTTTCTCTTTCTCTTCATCTCTCTTTCTCTCTCTCATTCGTCTCCTGGGGGGGAGCAACCGCTTGGCTAGGGCATTTGAATCCGAATCTCGGATTGGTGGACTTGGCTCGTTTCTCGCACTTTTGCGGGCGGTTTGTGTTATCATCGTAGTCTTCCATCTAGTTTTTCCGTAGGCCGAAACAGGGGGAACAGGAATTGGGGGCAATATGATGAACGTTTTCTAAAAAAAAAAAATCCTTCGAGTATTGATGGCAGTGCAGGGTGATCCTGACACGGAGCTTGAGGCCCGTCGAGCGCTCGATCATGGCGTGCCAATGCTGGAAGGTGTCGAAGACCTGACTCTTGTTCCTCAGCGCGCTGACCCACGTCTTCCGGGAGAAATCGTCGATGAAGGTGACAATGTATCGTTCCCCATCGGTGGCGGGTTCGGGCAGAGTGTGACAAGCGACGTCGGAGGGGATGACGTCGTCTACACGCGTTGGTACGGGGGGGGGGGATTTCAGGAAGTGTCGGCTGTTGCGGCGGCAGTCGACAAGTGTCAGGAGCACAGCCTGCACTGCCATCAATACTCGAAGGAAGTCTCCCAAGTTTGCGGCCGGAGTCGACATCAGCTACCGGTTTGTTCGTTGCAAGCATTGTCGGCGCGATGGTGTAGTCGTGAGGGCGCGCGGGCGCGCACTCAGTGGTCGAGGGTTCGATCCGCCCGGAGCGTGATCTGCCTTTTGGTTTCTTTTCCTTTTTGTTATCCGAGGCCCGGCTTCGGGGTTTTTACCGGTGCCTTGCAGGCAATCCTTTTTACCCCTGAAGCGACCTCGTGGTGTAGTTATTTGATTCAGTCTTTCCTTCGCTGGGAGCACTTCCCTCCCTTTGCTTTTGCCACCCTTCCCCTAGAGCTTGGTCCACTCATTATCATGACTCGTACCCTCCCTCTTTTTACCCATTTCGCTGGCAATTAAGTCCGTTACACTTGATTTGCTGCGAAGCCTTCCGACCGAATCCACTCCTCGGTTGCTCTCGGTCGACTGCCGCCGCCCAGCCGACTCGACCTTCCCATCGGCCTGGTCAGCTATTTCTTGGATCGTTTGCCCTTCCTCTTTTGTCCGACCTCGTTGGCCACCATAGTCCGGTACACTGGACTTGCTGCGAGCCTTGCAGCCGCGTATCCTCCGCGGTTGCCTCTCGGTCGACTTCCGCCGCCCAGCCGACTCGACCTTCCCACCGGCCTGGTCAGCTATTTCTTGGATCGTTTGCCCTCCCTCTTCTGTCCGACCTCGTTGGCTACCATAGTTCGGTACACTGGACTTGCTGCGAGCCTTGCAGCCGCGTATCCTCCGCGGTTGCCTCTCGGTCGACTGCCGCCGCCTCGGTCGACACCCCTTTCGCTCCTTCGCGCTTTCGCGCGCTCTCTCGCTCTCTCCCTCGTCTCTCGCGTGTAGTCATCGTCATCCCCTCCGACGTTGCCTGTCAACAAGGGAGCAACCGAGGAGGGGAGTCGGTCGAAAGGCTCGCAGGAAATCAAGTGTAACAGACTTAATTCCCAAACGATCGACAAGAAGAGGAGGGGCAACAAAAGAGAAGAGCGGACCAAGCTCCCGGGGAAAAGGTGGTAAAACTAAAGGGAAGGGACTGTGCCAGGCCCAGAGGGGACTTAGCCAAATCAACCACTCCAAGAGGTCGCCTCAGGGGTAAAAAGGATTGCTCGCGGGAGCACCGGTAAAAACCCTGAAGCCGCGCCTCGGCTAACAAAAGATAAAACAAACCGAAAGAAGACTGCGGTCTGGGCGCCTCGAACCCGCGACCACCGAGTGCGCGCCTGCGCGCCTCACGACTACGCCATCGCACCGACGATGCTGTGAAACGAGGCAAGCCTCTGGTCAAGTCAACTCTACCCGCACATAGCCTTGGGGGGCTTCCTTCGAGTACACGCTGTCATCCTGACAGAGTGAGGATGTCGGAGTGGACCAGTTCGAGTGGTTGCGAAGCGCGAGAGTCCGACGTTGGGAAAGGTGTCCTTGTTGCTTTGGCGGCTTTGCAGGTGTCGCAGGAGAAGGCCTTGCATTCGGCCACCGAGTACGTCCATGTTTGACCTTGGAGTTGACCCGACGATGCTGCCCTTTGCAGGTTGGGGAGGGATAGGTGGCCGAATCGTTGGTGCAGAGTCAGGAGAGGGACGGCGGCTGCTGCGACCGGTGACACCGTGCTCCGGATTGGGGTGGCGTCCAGTGTCGACAGTTGATTCGCAATGAGTGATGCCACACCTATGAGTTGACCTTGTGACCGGAGCTCGATGGTCTTGCCAAAGTGGGTGTAAACGCGCTCGCGTCGCAGCTGCATGACCGAGATCAGGTTGGCTGGAAGGTCGGGGACGTAGTAGACGTTGCAGAGCTTGATCGTTCGTTGTTTCGACGTTCGTATCGTGATCGAGCCGGTGCCTTGTGCCATGAGTGACCCACCAGCGCCATCGACGGCGACGTGTGACCGTGTGTGCCAGGCGTCGAAGAGAGACGCGTCCTTGACCATGTGGTGGGAGGCGCCCGAGTCGAGTACAAGGGTGTCATTTGGAAGGTGGAGCTCACGGTTCGATGGTAGACGACCTAGGAGTGCGACGACGTTCACGCTGGGCCGGACTGTCACGCTCACAGTCGGGTCCAGGTGCGACGTGTCAAGTTGCGTCATGGTGCGGTAACGGCCGGTCACATGGGCGAGGGCGGTTGCAACGGTGTGGTACAGAGCGATGATGATGACAAACGTGATCATGATGGTGGTGAAGGCATCGTTGTAGCAGCTTTAGCTCGGGCTCATAACCTGTTAAATCGTGTGTCTCGAGAGGGGACTGGATCGGCAACCAGTGAGTACACGAGACACAGTACGAGTGTTAGGAAGTAGTTTGGAGCGTTAGGGGGAAGACTAAAGAGGCTCGCGGTGCGAGTGCGCGTGTTGTGAAGAGTCCACTCTCAGCTCGACAGGGGCGCCTCGGTCGTTGCGCGCACTTGCTAGCCCGCCCCCGGCGGTGGGGACTTAGACGCGCGCGACTGCCTCAGCGCGCCAGCGCCGGCGGATTCATGCGCGCGCCCGCTAGCCCGCCCCCTTGCGGTGGGGACTTAGGCGCGCCGGCGATTTCACCCGCGGCTGACTTAGGGATGTACATTGTCACGCGCCTGGGCCTATCCCAGCGTGGCCCCCCCCCTTTCTGTTTCTTAGCTTCCTTCTCATCACTTCTGTTCGACTCTCAACCTCTCCTGACAGTAGTGGTGAACGTCTCATAGGTTATAAGCCCACGAGCCACCAGCTGGCATGACCACGACACCACCCCTCGCGACGGGTGCCAACCCTCCGATTCCCGCCGAACAGCTCGCCGCACTTACATCGCTGCTGTCGGGTCTCACCGCTGCCGCTTCCGGCACTGCCACACCCGCCACGACGTCCGGCACCACTCGCACTGCCTTTCCAAAGCACGCACGCTTGGATGGTGCGAAGACCTTCGCGAACTGGACACGCCAACTTCGCCTGTGCCTAGCGGACGACATCCGCTCGTACGTCCTCGACGGTATCGCACCCGACGACTGGACACCTTCGCAACGCTCCGCTCGCGACGCCGTCGCTCGTGAGGTCCTTGCGAATTCGATTGACTCGGCCGAAGTCTCGGCTGACAGGCAACGTCGGAGGGGATGACGATGACTACACGCGAGAGACGAGGGAGAGAGCGAGAGAGCGCGCGAAAGCGCGAAGGAGCGAAAGGGGTGTCGACCGAGGCGGCGGCAGTCGACCGAGAGGCAACCGCGGAGGATACGCGGCTGCAAGGCTCGCAGCAAGTCCAGTGTACCGAACTATGGTAGCCAACGAGGTCGGACAGAAGAGGGAGGGCAAACGATCCAAGAAATAGCTGACCAGGCCGGTGGGAAGGTCGAGTCGGCTGGGCGGCGGAAGTCGACCGAGAGGCAACCGCGGAGGATACGCGGCTGCAAGGCTCGCAGCAAGTCCAGTGTACCGGACTATGGTGGCCAACGAGGTCGGACAAAAGAGGAAGGGCAAACGATCCAAGAAATAGCTGACCAGGCCGGTGGGAAGGTCGAGTCGGCTGGGCGGCGGCAGTCGACCGAGAGCAACCGAGGAGTGGATTCGGTCGGAAGGCTTCGCAGCAAATCAAGTGTAACGGACTTAATTGCCAGCGAAATGGGTAAAAAGAGGGAGGGTACGAGTCATGATAATGAGTGGACCAAGCTCTAGGGGAAGGGTGGCAAAAGCAAAGGGAGGGAAGTGCTCCCAGCGAAGGAAAGACTGAATCAAATAACTACACCACGAGGTCGCTTCAGGGGTAAAAAGGATTGCCTGCAAGGCACCGGTAAAAACCCCGAAGCCGGGCCTCGGATAACAAAAAGGAAAAGAAACCAAAAGGCAGATCACGCTCCGGGCGGATCGAACCCTCGACCACTGAGTGCGCGCCCGCGCGCCCTCACGACTACACCATCGCGCCGACAATGCTTGCAACGAACAAACCGGTAGCTGATGTCGACTCCGGCCGCAAACTTGGGAGACTTCCTTCGAGTATTGATGGCAGTGCAGGCTGTGCTCCTGACATCGGCAGTCCTCGACAAAATCCCTACCGCCGACCTGACAGCGCCGACAATCTACTCGACGCTGAAATCGCGGTACGCCCCTGACGACGCCACCCGCACGCTCGAGCTCTTCTCACGACTCTGGGGTTTCCGTCCCATGCCCGGCACGGTTGCCGAATTCGACGGGTGGATCATGGAGTTCAAAGCCGTTGCGCAAGAGATCATCGACACAAAGACAACTATCAATGATGTTCTCGCCACACTCCTCCTTGCAATCGCCCACCCGTCCCTCGAGAGCTTCAAGGCGTCGTTCACCGATGAACAGCGCACGCAACGAACTCTCCCCGACATTGATTCGCTTGCCGACCGTATGCGAGTCCAACTTCGGTCAACGAACATCCCCAGCACTCAATCGGCCCTTCTTGCCTCGTCGTCGTCACGTTCTACTCGTCCCAAGTGTCTCGCCTGTCGCAGCCCTTCGCACCGAGTCGCGGAGTGCCCTACGAGGGCGCAACACCCGCCGCCAGGACCCTGTCGCTCCTGCAAGAAGAAGGATCACTGGTCTCTCGACTGCAAGAAGGCGCTCGAGGACGGCAAAAAGCCCGACACCGCTGACTCGACCGTCGACTCGCAACACCATGTCGGATGTCTCGCCACCGGTCTTCTCGCTCGTCGTCGCCAGCTTCGCAACCACTCTTTTGTCGTCGACTCGGGCGCCACTTCGCACATGGTCTCGGACAAGTCGCTGTTCACGACCTATCGCCATATCGCTCCTACGAAGATTGGTGGTATTGCAGGGGGCATCAACGCCATCGGAACGGGAAACATCGCCTTCATTGCCGCCTCGGGTCATCCGATCACGCTTACCGGCGTGCTGCACACTCCGGGCCTGTTTGTCAATCTTCTCTCGGTCTCTCGACTTTGCGACACCGACGATGTCCGTGTCGCCTTCACAAAACACGGCATCCACATTGACAAGGACGGCAACGACATCGCTGAAGGCGCACAACTCGACGAAGGGCTCTACTTGCTGGACGCTGATCATTCCAAATGTCAGCACCTTGCTCTCCTTTCTCGCTCACAGTCGTCCGTGCCCCTGCTGACTCTCCATCGCTGCCTCGGCCATCTCGCACCGTCCTCCATACAGAAGATGGTTGCCGCTGGTTTGCTGGAGGGTCTCAGGGCCGGATATAGTGACGAAGAGGTAGAGAAGTTTGTCTGCAATGCTTGCCTCAGCGCAAAGGGCCATCGTCTTCCCTTTCCCGATTCGGATTCGCACTCCTCAGAGAGACTCGGCCTTGTACACAGCGATGTGTTTTCCTTCTCCGAGCGGTCCTTGACTGGCAAACGTTACCTGGTCACATTCCTTGACGATTACTCGCGCAAACTCTGGGCCTACGCAATCGGACACAAAAGCGAAGTCTTCGGCATATTCAAAACTTGGCTAGCCGAGGTTGAACTCGAGACGGGTGCGACGCTGAAGGTCCTCCGAACCGACAACGGTGGCGAATACTGTTCGAGAGCGTTCACAGAGTTCTGCAAGGCACGAGGCACTCGTCGACAATACTCTATCCCACGCACGCCTCAACAGAACGGTCGTGCAGAGCGGGTCAATCGTTCCATTGTCGAAGGCGTCCTTGCCCTCCTTGTCGACGCCCACCTACCCAAGACATTCTGGGAGGAGGCTGCAGCTTATTTCGTTTACTGCAAGAACCTGTGTCAACACGCGGCCCTGGACAAGGCAACACCAAACTCCGTCTGGCAGGGTGACCACACCACTGCCTCGGCGCTTCACCCGTTCGGCTGTACAGCTTGGCTTACGGTCGCGCCCGAACTTCGCTCCAAACTCGACCCGAAGGCGGTTCGCGTTCTTTTCACCGGCTACGACCTGGCTTCAAAAGCCTTTCGCTTCTACGACACTACAACACAGAAGATTATACTTGGCAGAAATGCCACGTTCCTCGACACTGAATTCCCCGGATTACATGGCGACCCCACTGAGCAAGACGGCGACCCCACTGAGCAAGACGGCGACCCCACTGAGCAAGACGGCGACACGCACTTCGCCAGCGCTCCCACCACCGAATCTCAAACCGTTGTCAAGACATGGACCCCACTAGTAAGGTCGGCGCACATGGACGTCTCATCCCCCCTTGATGATTCTGCCATGAGCGCCGTTGACGTGGCCCCAGGGTACACTGGCGGAACCTTACTTAACTTCACAGATGCCGAATCGTCCTCGTCACCGTCGCCTGTGCCGTCCTCGTCACCGTCGCCTGCGTCGCCCTCATCACCGTCGCCTGCGCCATCGCCTGCACTTTCACCATCGTCGGCTGCGTCATTGTCAGGAGCACAGCCTGCACTGCCATCAATACTCGAAGGAAGTCTCCCAAGTTTGCGGCCGGAGTCGACATCAGCTACCGGTTTGTTCGTTGCAAGCATTGTCGGCGCGATGGTGTAGTCGTGAGGGCGCGCGGGCGCGCACTCAGTGGTCGAGGGTTCGATCCGCCCGGAGCGTGATCTGCCTTTTGGTTTCTTTTCCTTTTTGTTATCCGAGGCCCGGCTTCGGGGTTTTTACCGGTGCCTTGCAGGCAATCCTTTTTACCCCTGAAGCGACCTCGTGGTGTAGTTATTTGATTCAGTCTTTCCTTCGCTCGGAGCACTTCCCTCCTTTTGCTTTTGCCACCCTTCCCCTAGAGCTTGGTCCACTCATTATCATGACTCGTACCCTCCCTCTTTTTACCCATTTCGCTGGCAATTAAGTCCGTTACACTTGATTTGCTGCGAAGCCTTCCGACCGAATCCACTCCTCGGTTGCTCTCGGTCGACTGCCGCCGCCCAGCCGACTCGACCTTCCCATCGGCCTGGTCAGCTATTTCTTGGATCGTTTGCCCTTCCTCTTTTGTCCGACCTCGTTGGCCACCATAGTCCGGTACACTGGACTTGCTGCGAGCCTTGCAGCCGCGTATCCTCCGCGGTTGCCTCTCGGTCGACTTCCGCCGCCCAGCCGACTCGACCTTCCCACCGGCCTGGTCAGCTATTTCTTGGATCGTTTGCCCTCCCTCTTCTGTCCGACCTCGTTGGCTACCATAGTTCGGTACACTGGACTTGCTGCGAGCCTTGCAGCCGCGTATCCTCCGCGGTTGCCTCTCGGTCGACTGCCGCCGCCTCGGTCGACACCCCCTTCGCTCCTTCGCGCTTTCGCGCGCTCTCTCGCTCTCTCCCTCGTCTCTCGCGTGTAGTCATCGTCATCCCCTCCGACGTTGCCTGTCAGTCATCGTCACCCTCGGCCTTACCGACCGACTCTGAAGACTCCGCCGATCCCCTCGACCTCCTCGGCTCACAGCCCCAGGTTCGCCTCGATCTACAGGACGTGCACCACCCAGACTTCAGCACGTACCGCGAGCCCGCATCGGCTGAGGAGTCGCCCGACGAACTCGACCTCATTGGGCGCCACTCTCGCGACGAATCTCCGGACGAAATCGATTTCCTCACCCGACACCACCGCGCCTTCATCGCCATCGACGACGACACCTCTGACACAGAGGCAGTTCAGCCAGTCAAGTCCATCACGAGCGACCCACAGACCTGGCGCGAGGCGATGTCTAGCGACAAGCGTGAAGTATGGGCCAAAGCCGCCACCGACGAGTTCACCTCCATGCGCGACGACTTCAAGGTCTTCACCATCGAGGACCGAGCCACGGTGCCCGCGGGTGCGACTATCGTTACATCCAAGTTCGTCTGGAAAACGAAACGGAACGCACTCGGCGAAGTCACTGGACACAAGGCAAGGCTGGTCGCGCAAGGCAATCGGCAACGCGACGGCATCGACTTCAACGAAACGTTCGCACCGGTCGCACGCTTCTCCTCGATACGCTCACTCCTCGCGCTGGCGGCCGCCAACGGCTTGCACGTGCACCAGGCGGACATCGACAAAGCATATCTGCATGGCGACCTTGACCACGACATCTGGATGACGGCACCGCGCGGCTTCGACCTTCCCAGCGACAAGGTGCTTCGCCTGCGACGCTCCATCTACGGGCTCAAACAGGCTGGCCGAATCTGGAATCGACACATCGACGCTTCGCTTCGGGCCCTCGGTTACACGGCGACGGGCACCGACCACTGCGTATACTCTTGGCTCGATGATCGTCAATGTCCACACTACATCGCACTGTACGTCGACGACCTCCTGATGATCAGCCCGGACCTGGCCGAAATCGAACGTGTCATCTCAGGCCTGGAACAACGCTACGGAGTCAAGCGCCTCGGCCCGGCCGAGTATATCCTCGGCATCCAGATCAGGCGGTTCGACGACGGCTCTATCGCCCTATCCCAGGAACGGTACATCATGGACGTGCTCGCTCGGTTCCACTTCGACACCACGACTCGCGGCACTACAGTTCCGATGACTCCCGGCCTTTCGCTCACTGCTATCCCGGGTCAAGGCACCGAACGGATCAGGTCATGGTATCTGCAGGCTATCGGCTCGCTCCTCTACATTTCGCTCGGTACCCGCCCTGACATCGCCTTCGCCGTGTCCTACCTGGCCCGCTTCGCCAACAACCCCGGTCGTCGTCATTGGATTGCGGTCAAGCACATCCTACGCTATCTCCGGGCCACGTATCGCAACGAACTCGTGTATGCTCGCGGCCAGGCTCGCATCACGGGTGTGGTAGGCTACTCCGACGCGAACTGGGGGGCCTGCATCGACACATCGGTGTCCACCATGGGCTACGTCTTCTACATCGCTGGCTCGGCCGTGTCCTGGTCGTCCAAACGCCAGTCTCGAGTTGCCGATTCGACCACCGACGCTGAATACCTCGCCCTCTCGCATGCTGGCAAGGAAGGGATTTACCTCAGTCAGCTGCTCGAAGAGCTCCATGTACAACCTGTTGCACCGGCTCACATCTTTACTGACAACGAAGCCGCTGCTGCAGTTGCTCACGATCCTGTCCGCGTCTCTGGCACTCGGCACATACGCTTGCGTGAGCACTTCGTTCGGGACATGGTGAATCGGGGCGACATCTCTCTCTCGCATGTGGGTACCAGCGACATGGTGGCCGACATCTTCACCAAGGCTCTCGGCCCAAAGGTCTTCTCAACGCACTGCTACGCCCTCGGCCTTTGCACTCGACACCCGCGGCTTGGGTCTGCCTCGCATTCGCGTGGGGGGGGGGGGGGTGTGAAGAGTCCACTCTCAGCTCGACAGGGGCGCCTCGGTCGTTGCGCGCACTTGCTAGCCCGCCCCCGGCGGTGGGGACTTAGACGCGCGCGACTGCCTCAGCGCGCCAGCGCCGGCGGATTCATGCGCGCGCCCGCTAGCCCGCCCCCTTGCGGTGGGGACTTAGGCGCGCCGGCGATTTCACCCGCGGCTGACTTAGGGATGTACATTGTCACGCGCCTGGGCCTATCCCAGTGTGGCCCCCCCCCTTTCTGTTTCTTAGCTTCCTTCTCATCACTTCTGTTCGACTCTCAACCTCTCCTGACAGTAGTGGTGAACGTCTCATAGGTACGCTGAAATATATCACTTCTGTTCGACTCTCAACCTCTCCTGACAGTAGTGGTGAACGTCTCATACGTGTCACGAATGGGAGTTTCACCACTCCAAGTTCGGCCTCTCAGCACCCACGTCATCCGCGTGACTTCGGCCTTCCCGCGCTTCGGCACCTGCACTGCCTTCTTCTCCTCCAACTATACGCTCACAACCCTCTCGCCCCCGACTCTTACGTGAACATCAACCAAGCTCTATTACGTGATCCTTGGCCTCAACACTATTACATGATCCTCGTGCCTCGCCTCCTCGTCCCCGACTCCTCTGGTCTAGTTTCCCAGTTCCGTAGCTCACTTCTCTCTTTCCCTTCTGCAACTCGAATCTCGTCAAAGGTCACATCCTTGCACTCGTCCCTCGTCCTCGCCTCTTGTGAGAAGTCCCTAGAACACCTCTCAACTTGTCACTCGCCCTTGCCCTCGTCTGGCTCACCTCTCCTATCTTCGTCCTTTGTGATAGAAGATTCGAGTTCCCAGGTTCTACCGACTTCCTCTGCCATGTCCTCCAACCCTCTCTCTATCGAAGAACTCCAGGCCGCCCTCGCCGCCCGCGACGCCACCCTAGCCTCTCGCGAAGCTGAAATCACCAGCCTCCACGCCGAAGGCCGCGCTCTACAGTAGACCTACCAAGCGGTTTTGGACAACTTCAGCGTCGTCAAGAAGCTCACCGACACCCTCCAGCACACTCCCAAGCCCAAGTCGCCGTTGGAGAAGCCGCCTGCCTATGATGGCAAGGACAAGACCGGTTACTCTACGTTCGTATCTCAGTGCAAGTTCTACATCTATGGCAACCCCACTCTCTTCACTACGGATCAGGAGAAGATTGCTTTCATGATTTCCCTCCTCCGCAACAGTGCCTACAAGGTCTTCGAACCCTACATCGAGCTCGCCGACGAGAAGCGCCCCCACTTTCTCAAGGACTTCACCGCTTTCCTCGAACAGGCCCAGCTCTACCTTGGCGACCCCGATCGCGAACACACCATTACCAACAAGTTGCGCGCCCTTACCCAAACCGGATCCACGGCTGCCTATGCGAGTACCTTCTTCCAGCTCTCTGCTTTCCTTGCTTGGAATGATCCCACTTTGCAGGCCCAATACTACGCCGGCCTCAAGCCCGACGTTCGCAACATGCTCAGCCTCCAAGACAACCCCACCTCGGTTGCCGACCTCTCCGCCAAAGCTATCAAGGCCGACAACCGTCTTCATCAAAGCCGTCAAGAAGCGAAGGCGACCACCAAGCCTCATTCGCAACACTCTCAGCAACGCGGCAACTCTGCTTCGCCGCCGACCCGCGTCACCACAAACGTCACGACCCAGGGCCCCACTCCCATGGATGTTGACGCCACGACCACTCGCAGGGCTCCTCTCACCCCTCAAGAACAACCTCTGCCTTTACTGCGGTGAAGGTGGCCACCAGGTCAGCTCTTGCCCCGCCGCTCCAAGGAAGTATCCAGGACGTCGTGCTGGCAACACCACTTTCTCCATCACAGATGCCGCTGCCCCCTCTAGCAATTCGAAAAACTAGAGCGTCCTCTGCCCTCGTGTACGCATGAGGACATCACACACGCGCACGGCATCACTCGGTCACCTCCTTCACCGGTCTACATCACTCTGGCATCCACACTCGACACTCAACCTTTCGATCATCTCGTCCTACCCCTCGACTTCTGCCTGGAACCTCCGGTCTCAGGCTCGGCCCTCATCGACTCGGGTGCGACCTCGTTGTTCATTGATGACTCTTTCGTGTCTCGTCATGGCCTCGTCCGCCGCCCCCACTCTTCGTCATCGACGGCCGCCCCATCGCGTCCGGCCACGTCACCCACTTCGTTCGCCTCACGATCACGCTCGGAGGACACTCTCAAGTCATTCAGGCCGATGTCACGCAGCTGGGTACCTACCCGCTGGTGCTCGGCACCCCATGGTTACGTCTCTTCAATCCCTCTATCAATTGGGCAGACAATACACTCACTTTCTCGTGCTCTCAATGCACTCTTGGACATCCAACCTCAGTTGATGTCGGCCTTCAGGGCCTCCCACTTGTACACTCGGCGCCCGACCTCGCTCTGGACGTTGCCCTCGCTTCCTCTGACGCCTTCGATCAAATTCTGGTCGATGAGCCCTCCCTTGGCCTGATCAATCGCGATCCAGCGCACTCGTACTTGTTCTCGACCTCAGAGGAAGCCTCCCCGTCAGTCTTCCCTGTGGGTCCACCTGATTCTGCCGAATACCTCGATGACTTGCGATCTGCGCTTCCTTCGGAGTACCACCACCTTCTTCAGGCTTTCTCCAAAGCGCAGGCCGACACTCTTCCGCCTCATCGACCCTTCGATCTCGCCATCGAGATAGAAGACGGCAAGCAACCTCCTTTCGGCCCTCTCTACCCTCTGTCCGAAAAGGAGCTTCAGGCACTCTCGACTTGGATCGACGAGAACCTCTCGAAGGGGTTCATCCGCCCGTCGACTTCGCCAGCGGGCGCTCCCATTCTCTTTGTTTGCAAGAAGGATGGGTCGCTCCGCCTCTGTGTCGATTACCGGGGACTCAACGCGGTCACCCTCAAGAATCGATACCCCTTGCCCTTGATCCCGGAGGCGCTCGACCGACTTCGTTCGGCCAAGATGTTCACCAAGCTCGATCTGCGCTCCGGCTACAACCTTGTTCGCATAAAAGGGGGAGACGAATGGAAGACCGCGTTTCGCACACGCTACGGTCACTTCGAATGCCTCGTCATGCCATTCGGTCTCACTAACGCCCCTGCTGCCTTTCAACACTTGATGAAAAGCATCTTCCACGACCTCCTCGACGTCACGGTGCTCGTTTACCTCGACGACATCCTCATCTTTTCGGATTCGCCTTCCGACCATGTCGTTCATGTGCAAGAAGTCCTTCGTCGCCTCATCGATAACCGGCTCTACTGCAACCCGAAGAAGTGTGAGTTCCACCAGACCTCGACTGAGTACCTCGGCTTCATCATTTCGCCCGACGGTGTCTCGATGTCTCCTTCGAAGGTGGACTCCATCACTTCCTGGCCAGCTCCGACCACGCTCAAGGAGTTGCAACAGTTCCTCGGCTTCGCCAACTTCTACCGGCGTTTCATTCAAGGCTACTCTCGCATCATCTCGCCTCTCACCCGTCTTCTCAAGAAGGGTGCCGTCTTCGACTCCTTGGCTCTCGCCGCCTTCAATCGCCTCAAGTCGCTCTTCGCTTCCGACATCATCCTTCGTCACTATGATCCTTCGCTTCCTTGCGTCATTGAGTCCGATGCGTCTGATTATGCCATCAGCGCGATCCTCTTCCAGTCAGTCGATTCTCAGCTTCGTCCTGTTGCATTCTTCTCTCGCAAGATGACCCCTGCCGAGCAGAATTACAAGATCCACGACAAGGAACTCCTCGCCATCGTTGCCTGCATGAAACTTTGGCGACATTATCTTGAAGGAGTTCACCACCCAATCACGATCCTCACCGACCACAACGCGCTTCAATACTTCCAGACGACCAAAGTGCTCACTTGTCACCAAGCTCGCTTGACAGGCAACGTTGGAGGGGATGATGATGACTACACGCGAGAGACGAGGGAGAGAGCGAGAGAGCGCGCGAAAGCGCGAAGAAGCGAAAGGGGTGTCGACCGAGAGCGACCGAGGAGTGGATTCGGTCGGAAGGCTTCGCAGCAAATCAAGTGTAACGGACTTAATTGCCAGCGAAATGGGTAAAAAGAGGGAGGGTACGAGTCATGATAATGAGTGGACCAAGCTCTGGGGGAAGGGTGGCAAAAGCAAAGGGAGGGAAGTGCTCCGAGCGAAGGAAAGACTGAGTCAAATAACTACACCACGAGGTCGCTTCAGGGGTAAAAAGGATTGCCTGCAAGGCACCGGTAAAAACCCCCAAGCCGGGCCTCGATAACAAAAAGGAAAAGAAACCAAAAGGCCGATCACGCTCCGGGCGGATCGAACCCTCGACCACTGAGTGCGCGCCCGCGCGCCCTCACGACTACGCCATCACGCCCACGATGCTTGCAACAAATGAACCGGTAGCTGATCTCGACTCCAGCCGCAAACTTGGGAGACTTCCTTCGAGTATTGATGGCAGTACAGGCTGTGATCCTGACATCGCTGGTCCGAAATGGTCAACCACCTCAACTACATCATCAAGTACCGACCCGGCGCTCAAAACAACAAGGCCGACGTGCTCTCTCGGCGTCCCGACTTTGCCGCGGGGGGAAAAGCTTGTGAACAACCCGGTGTAGTGCTTTTACGTCCATCCTCTATCTCCGCCACCTTTTCACCCTCCTCAGAGATCACTGACTTGATCAAGTCTCGCCTTCTTCATGATCCGGCATCTCTTCGCGTCATCAACGATCTCAATCGTGACGCCTCGCTTCACCCCGACTTTGCACTTCAAGATGGTTTCCTCCTACAACGCCACAAGATCTACGTCCCCGATTTCGAACCTCTCAAGGTCAAACTCCTGCGTCAAGTTCATGACTCGCCTCCATCTGGGCATTTCGGCCAAGCTAAGTCCTTCGAACTGCTTGATCGGAACTTTGTGTGGCCTGGGATGCGCGCCTTCGTCAATGACTATGTTCGCTCCTGCGACAGTTGTCAGCGCAACAAGCCCTCCCATCATCGGAAGCATGGCCCACTTCACTCACTCCCGGTTCCGACGAAACCCTGGTCCTCGCTCTCGATGGATCACATTGTCAACCTTCCGCCGTCCTCCGGCTTTGACTCCATCCTCGTCGTTGTTGATCACCTCACCAAGGAAGCTCACTTCATTCCTGCACGAAAAAGCGACACTTCGAAAACCCTCGCCTCGCAATTCAAGACCCACATCTTTCGACTCCATGGCCTACCCGGCGACATCGTATCCGACCGCGGAACGACTTTCACTTCATCTTGGTGGACCGAATTCCTCAAGATGCTCGACATTCGACCCAACCTGTCTACCGCGTTCCACCCAGAGTCAGACGGCCAAACGGAACGAACCAATCAGATCCTCGAGCACTACCTACGCCACTTCTGTGATTACCATCAAGACGATTGGCATGATTTGCTCCCCCTAGCTGAGTTCTCCTACAACAATTCCTTTCACTTGAGCATAGGGATGACTCCTTTCTTCGCCTCTCGCAGTTATCACCCAAGGCTTGAAGTCACCCTCCAGGAGACTCCTGTTCCAGACGTTCGACAACATCTTGCCGGTCTTCGCAATGCCCAACAACTTGCACAAGATCAGATTCGTCGTTCTCAGGAGTCTCATGCTCGCTACGCCAACCTTCGTCGTGCTCCCACACCTCCTCTTGCGCTCGGTCAACAAGTTATGCTCAATTGACGCAACATCCGCACCACTCGGCCGTCATCAAAGCTCGGACCTTTTGCCGTCAAGCGCATCATCAATCCCGTTGCCTACGAGTTGGACCTCCCTTCGACGATGCGCATTCATCCTGTTTTCCATGTCTCGCTCCTCGAACCTTATCGCCCCAACACTCTGCCCTCTCGTCAGCAACCTGTGCCGCCACCGCCCGACCTCATTGACGGCCAGGAAGCCTTCGTCGTCGAAAGGATCCTCGACTCTCGCGTTCGCCATGGCTCGCTTCAATACTTCGTTGATTGGACTGGCTATGGACCTCAGGATCGTGAGTGGGTTGACACTTCCGATTTCGATGATGACGATGCTCTCGTCCTCGACTTCCATCGCTCGAAACCTCGCAAGCCTGGCGCCAACTGTATCCAACATCTCGCGGAGCTCGACGCTTAACCCGGGGGTACTGTCACAAATGGGAGTTTCGCCACTCCAAGTTCGGCCTCTCAGCACCCACGTCATCCGCGTGACTTCGGCCTTCCCGCACTTCGGCACCTGCACTGCCTTCTTCTCCTCCAACTATACGCTCACAACCCTCTCGCCCCCGACTCTTACGTGAACATCAACCAAGCTCTATTACGTGATCCTTGGCCTCAACTGTCAGGATCACAGCCTGCACTGCCATCAATACTCGAAGGAAGTCGCCCAAGTTGGCGGCCGGAGTCGACATCAGCTACCGGTTTGTTTGTTGCAAGCATTGTCGGTGCGATGGCGTAGTCGTGAGGGCGCGCGGGTCAGTGGTCGAGGGTTCGATCCGCCCGGAGCACGATCTGCCTTTTGGTTTCTTTTCCCTTTTTGTTATCCGAGGCCCGGCTTCGGGGTTTTTACCGGTGCCTGGCGGGCAATCCTTTTTACCCCTGAAGCGACCTCGTGGTGTAGTTATTTGACTCAGTCTTTCCTTCGCTCGGAGCACTTCCCTCCCTTTGCTTTTGCCACCCTTCCCCCAGAGCTTGGTCCACTCATTATCATGACTCGTACCCTCCCTCTTTTTACCCATTTCGCTGGCAATTAAGTCCGTTACACTTGATTTGCTGCGAAGCCTTCCGACCGAATCCACTCCTCGGTCGCTCTCGGTCGACTGCCGCCGCCCAGCCGACTCGACCTTCCCATCGGCCTGGTCAGCTATTTCTTGCATCGTTTGCCCTCCCTCTTCTTTCCGACCTCGTTGGCTACCATAGTCCGGTACACTGGACTTGCTGCGAGCCTTGCAACCGCGTATCCTCCGTGGTTGCCTCTCGGTCGACACCCCTTTCGCTCCTTCGCGCTTTCGCGCGCTCTCTCGCTCTCTCCCTCGTCTCTCGCGTGTAGTCATCGTCATCCCCTCCGACGTTGCCTGTCACGAGCCGCCCAAAGAGGGGTGCGAAACGACGCAGCCCCGGCCTCCAATGTGATTCGAGTCATTATGGATGGTCCTGGATCACCCAGAGGTCCTGTACAGACCGCGCTGCGCAAGCACTTTGGATTGGTCGAGACGCCGTTCATGTTCGCGCGGCCCGAGGGTGTCGTGCTTGACCCCGAGGTCGAGAAGCTTTTCTCGAAATGTGTGAAGCTGAACCCGATTGTGACGAAAGCCACGAAGAGGTTCCCGATCGCTCGTCACATGTACGAGCTTGTATTCGAATCCGAGCAAGCTTGTCTTGAAGCCGCTTCAGCGGGCCCATTCCCCTACCACGGCAAGGAGATGGTTACCGAGCTCCCCAGCGCCTCTCCCCTTAACCACGTCGTGCAGGTGCGATTCACCTTGCCCTCCTCCTCCAGCGCGATCCCTGCTTCCGTGCTCCGAAAATCTCTCGATGATGCTATCACCCTTTCGTTCGGCCACGCAGGTCGCACGCAAGGTTATACCCTGATGCAATTACAGCGGGGCCTCGCGGTCGATCCGAATGGCGATCCGATGGCCATGACCGAAGACGGGTTCCACTGCGCGTACCTTCGCTTACATGCTGATCTTTTCCAAGGCTCCATCGAGACGCAGAAGGCTGCGCTCAACGCCGCTTTGCCACAAGAGATCGAGATCCTGGGCGCCAAGTACGGCTTGCGACACGAATTCGAGACGCACTACTGCGCGGTGTGCGATCGCGCCGGACACCAGTGGGGCGCTTGCAGGAAGCTGGTTTCGACTCCGGCCACCGCCGCCCCTGTTCCGGGGGCCTCGACCTCGACTTCGACTTCGACCACCGGCTTCCGAGTTGCTGGAAAGAATGGGAAGCACGGTGGGCCTGCCGCATTGAACTCTCGTGTCTCTGGCGCGAACATGATCCAGCTGGGACCTCGTGCTAACCCCGCAGGTGCAGTAACCGCCAACAAGGACGACGCGAACGACGGCGACGACGAGTCGGTCGTTTCGACCGAACCGGAGGGCGGCGACACTGGGGAAGAGACATCGACGCGTGCGACCCTGGGCTCAACAAAGGAGACGCAGACGACGACGGCGGCGCCCGTTTCGACCCCGACCTCTCCTTTGCCTTTGTCCGGTGGCACGTCGGGATCATTGGCAACCTCGACAACCTCGATAGCCTCGACGAGTCCTCGACGCCTTCGTTCGAGCTTGGCACCCGGCAACCGACGTGTCACCCGGGCGGGATCCGCCATGATCCTCGGTGCATCAGGGGGTCACAGGTCCGAGGTGACCGAATTCGAGGGGGGCGGCGCTGAACTGATTTAATCATGATTGAGTCACTCACCGTGTTGACGTTCAACGTCCGATCGATGAAGAACGCAGTCAACCAAGTCAAAATCATCCGTTATCTCAAAACCCTTCGGCCGGCCCCTGCGGCCATCCTCCTGCAAGAGCACCACCTCAGCTACAACGCGTCGCGCGAAGGCTTCAAGAGTGCTTGGCCGGGGGCTTGTATTCGTTTCACTCCTCATGTCCTTACCCTCATACCCGATGGCTCACCTTTGGCGGGCCATCTCCTTTCCTCTACCCCGGTTGTCTTTGCAGGAGCTCCTCGTTTCGACGGTCGGATTCTGCGCTCGGTGTTTCGTCTTGAGGAGCTCGATGTCGAGATCATCAACATGTACGCGCCGGTGCAGGAGGACGATCGTCGCGACTTTTTCGGGCTTCTGCACTTCAACGCCCCGAGACCCAAGACTCTTCGGATCTTGGCCGGCGATCTCAATGATTGTCCGGATGTATCGGTCGACCGAGTGTCCATCACCGATCGCGCTTGGACTCCTGTATCGCACTGGCAGACCTTGCTGTCAAAGATCGCGTTCAAGGCACTCGACACGGTCCGACATGTCCATCCTTGCACCCCTGCATTCACTCGTCCTCACTACCGTGGTAGAGGGGAAGAGCGAAAGATTTGCTCGTGGTCGCGGATCGACTATATTCTTGTCCAATGCAGTTGGGCGAACCGGTTGTTGAGCGCTTCTACGCTCTTCGATGCGCCCTGTTCGGACCACAGACCTGTAGTTGCGACTTTCACTTTGCCTACATCGAACGCTGATGCCGAACCCCCCCTTTCTCTTCCCTCCACGAGCGATTTCATTTCGAGGCTCAACCCAATGGTCTTTGACGATCAAGACTTTGTCGCATCGATTCCCGGGGTCGTCGACAAGGTCTATCGAAGGCTCGAGGGGACCGCTCCGCTCGGCGACGTCTATGACGCCGCTCTGTGGGCGGTTGCAGTCGCTGGCCATGCACGATACCGCTCGACTCGTGCCGACATGCGCCGACTGCGGGCCGAGAGCCAATCCGTCATGGAGGCTTTGGAGGCATGCGGTGAGCACATGAATGAGGCCGAGCGCGATGCGTATGCTCTTGCCAAGTTGCGGTTGGACCAGTTGGCGGTAAAGGAGGCTCAGTGGCTGCGCATTCGTGCGCATGTGCCGTCAGTCGACTCGAGGGAAGGTCAATCGGCAAGCATTCGCACGCGCCTCAACCGCTGGAGTCACCAGACGAGCATCGTCTCGCTGGAGGATGTCGATGGCACCGAGACCGTTGACATGCAGGAGGCGCTGGGTATTGCTTCACGGCACGCGCAGTCGCTCTTCACGCCGGACCCAGCTCGTGGCGACCCGACGAACGCACACCGGTCCCTGCTCGACCCTATTCGCGCAACGAAATGCTACGATGACGACCGCTCGGACCCTACGTTCGGTCGTCGGCTGCCTCGTCAAGCGAGAGTGGCGCTTGACGAGCCCTTCACCCTCCTCGAGGTTGAAGCGGTGTTGAAGAAGACAGATTCGGGGCGATCACCGGGGCCCTCGGGCATTCCGTACGAGCTCTTCAAGGCGCTGCCAACCTACTTTGCTCCCAAGCTGTTGGACTTGTTCAACTCGATTTGGGAGGGCGGCAAAATGACGGTGTCCTTGGCAGAGGGGCTGGTGCGGCTCTTGCCCAAGAATAAACCGGGGGCCAATCTGAAATCACTGGGGGCATACCGACCGATCACATTGCGCGAGACGACCTACAAGGTCCTCAGCAAGATCTTGGTGGCGCGACTCAATGGGGTGCTCGGCGAGCTTTTACCGCCGGCGCAACACGGTTTCATGCCATCAAGACGTTCAGCGGACGCGGGAAGTCATCTCACTCTCCTTCTCGAAAAACTCGAGTCGCTAGGCACTGATGTTTTCCCCGAGGGCGCCCTCTTGTCTTTGGATCAGCAGAGCGCGTACGATCGGGTCAATCACACCTGGATCTTCGAGGTCTTTGAGGCCTTTGGGTTTGGTGAGCGTTTCATCTCGCTGCTGCGCGCTCTCTACGATCCCGAGACTCTGGGGGTGCGCTACCTTGTCAATGGGTTCCCCACGGACTTGGTGCGGTTGCTGTGTGGTCTCGGTCAGGGGGATCCCCTCTCGTGCCCGGTTTGGAACATCACGTTCCAGCCCTTCCTCGACGCCCTCGTTCGGCGCGGGATCGCGCTCGACCTGCAGAAGGTGTGGCCAGGGGGGCCGCGTGCGCAGCTTACGCATCTGGCGTTTGCCGACGATGCTGTGGTGGTGGTGGTGACAGGCAACGTCGGAGGGGATGACGATGACTACACGCGAGAGACGAGGGAGAGAGCGAGAGAGCGCGCGAAAGCGCGAAGGAGCGAAAGGGGTGTCGACCGAGAGGCAACCACGGAGGATACGCGGTTGCAAGGCTCGCAGCAAGTCCAGTGTACCGGACTATGGTAGCCAACGAGGTCGGAAAGAAGAGGGAGGGCAAACGATGCAAGAAATAGCTGACCAGGCCGATGGGAAGGTCGAGTCGGCTGGGCGGCGGCAGTCGACCGAGAGCGACCGAGGAGTGGATTCGGTCGGAAGGCTTCGCAGCAAATCAAGTGTAACGGACTTAATTGCCAGCGAAATGGGTAAAAAGAGGGAGGGTACGAGTCATGATAATGAGTGGACCAAGCTCTGGGGGAAGGGTGGCAAAAGCAAAGGGAGGGAAGTGCTCCGAGCGAAGGAAAGACTGAGTCAAATAACTACACCACGAGGTCGCTTCAGGGGTAAAAAGGATTGCCCGCCAGGCACCGGTAAAAACCCCGAAGCCGGGCCTCGGATAACAAAAAGGGAAAATAAACCAAAAGGCAGATCGTGCTCCGGGCGGATCGAACCCTCGACCACTGACCCGCGCGCCCTCACGACTACGCCATCGCACCGACAATGCTTGCAACAAACAAACCGGTAGCTGATGTCGACTCCGGCCGCAAACTTGGGAGACTTCATTCGAGTATTGATGGCAGTGCAGACTGTGATCCTGACAGGTGGAGTCACCGGCGGCATTGTCGAAGCTGCAAACGCTGTTGCAGACGTGGTACGAGGCTACCAACGGGAAGACCAACACGGACAAGACGCTGGTGTTACCACTCGGACCGAACTGGCTTCGGGACGAGACTGCGCAGGCGCTGCCAACGGTGCAGGAGGGGGAGAGCTTCAAGTGGTGCAGCTATGCCTTCTTTTGCCACGGTGACTCGAAACTGTTTTGGACCCATGTTCTTGACAGGATCAAGGCCAAGACCCGCGCCGCTCGAGACCGGACACTTTCGCCGAGTGGGAAGGTTTTCTATGCCAACGCTCACATCATCTCGACGGTCCTCCACGTACTGTCCTTCGACATACCGCCTCAATGGTTCATTAAGGCGGCGGAGACGGCACTTACGGACTTTGTCTGGGGAGGAGCAGGGCGAAATACCGTCACTCGCGATTTCGTGTTCCAGGCTCGGGAGGACGGTGGCTTGGGTTTGATTTCGATTGGCGACATCGTTCATTCGGTGACGCTTCGATTTTGGGATGCTGTGGCGGGCTCGGACGAGGCGATCTGGGCGCCCCTAGCTCGCGAGAGCTGGAGGTGCCTCGTCGCTGCGACCCGCGATTTCAGTCCGTGGGGGTTCTTCAGCAGCACGGCTCGGGTCGAGAAGCTGTATCGCGACTCGACGCGCTGGGGGGCAGTCGTTGCAGCGGCCAGGGTCACAGTTCCAACCATCAAGTCCGAACTCCTTACACTTCCCGAATTGCTCTCGCTTCCGCCTCGCCTCCCTTCGCTCTATGCTGAAGGTGCCCAGCACGCATATGACGATGCGGACGCGGTGGCGAAGTTTGCGCAGATCGCGGACCTGTACTGGAGGGACGAAGGGAAGGGATGGGCTCTGGTTGGTCATCGACGCGGGTTCTGGCAGCACTCTAAGGAACCCGCCCTACAGCACGAGCACGTGTGGTCGCGCGTGGGTCAGTTGCTCAAGGCGAAAGTGTTGCTGCCCAAGACTGCATTGCGACCTGCTCGGATACCTCTCAAGGAGGCTCCCCGTCCTCGGTGCTTCAACTTCTTTGGGCTCTCCCGACCTTTTACGATTCGCAAGCTTCGTCGGCTTGTGAACAAGGTGCGGTTCCCAGGGAGGGAGGACCGTGTCAAGCGTTTCCCTGATGGGACTTCTCAGAGCGATAGGAAGCGCTTCTGGAGATGGCTTCATGACCGGTTCGCGTCTGCTGTCGAGCAGGACACCCACTGGCGGCTCATGTACGACGTGACACCGACGCGCAAGAGGCAGCATACTCAGGGTCATGCCTCTTCGCCGACGTGTCTGTTCTGTGGCAACGATGCAGCGGTCATCGAGACGGTGTCCCACTACTTTTTCGAGTGCGCGTACTCGACCAGCTTCTGGGGTGGGGTGCTACGCATTCTGCTTGACAAGCTCGGCATCGAGGATACCGACGTCGATCCGTCGATGTTCACTCCGGAGCAGCTGACTATGGGGCTCCCCCTTTTGCGGGGTCGTGGGAGAACGACCTCGAAATGGATGTGGGTTCGGCTGGCCTGCGTGATCGGCTTCCAGCGGCTGCACCTGCTCCGCTGGCGCGTTCATCAGCGGTTCGAGCTGGACAACGTCGTGGCCCCTCCCTCGCTTCCCAGTGCGCTCAGAGCGTTCGAGCGAGATTTTCTCTCTCGAGCGGGTTTTGTGCCTGGGGTTCGAGATTGGGAGGTGTGATGACCGAGTTAAGTCCTTCCTTCCCATTTTCCTCCCTTCCTTTTCGGTCAGAAGCTGACTGTCTTGAAACTTGTTGCGCAGTGGAAGGCTGCGCACCTCTCCCTCTCTCTACTTTGTGCAGTAGCGGTTTTCGTTCTTGGATGGATCGGCAAGCCGGGTCGATCGTCGTTGTGTTGGAGGCTTTGTGAAGTTCTCCCCTCTCTTTCCCCTTTCTCCCTTCCCTTCCTCTTCTCGTTCCTGTTGCTCGGTTGTTGACTACGCTTCAGCCACTTCTCCTTTTATTCCTAAGTCGTGTGTTGGATTCCGTCGAATGGATCGTTCGTTCGCGTTGGTCAAGATCTACGGCATGGATCGGGAAGAAAGGTCGCTCGTTTCTTGGTCAATATCCTCGCGTCAAGGCGAGGCTCGTTTCGTTGTATTGGATCGTTTTCGCTCGGCCCCGACGGCTCAACAGCCAGCACTCGAGACTCAGCCAAGGGAGGACATCAGGCGCTGTCGGGGTGACGAGTAGCTGGGGCTTGGCTGCGGCCTGTCAGTCCCTGGGGACCTCTAGCTCTGGCTTCGACCCCCTCCCTTGGCCCCTCGGGTGTGTTCCCCTCCTCCTCCCCTCCTCTCTGTCTTAGTATTCCTGGTTCTCCGTGTTTCCGGTCGTGAATTTTTGTATATTCTCCCCCTTTCTTTCTCTAGGCGCTCTTGCCTGGTTTTCGAGTATCTTCGCTCCCGCTCTTGGGACGTGAAGCGGCAGCAGTACTCACCGCCCGTTGGAGTCCGCGTTAGGTGCTCGGCAGGTTTTGATCTGCGCAGCGCTCTTTGCGCACAGGGGTTTGACTTTCACCCAATTGCTTGCCGTCGTTGCTTTATAACCTCTTTTAGCTCTTTTTGTAGCGGTCCCAGCCAACCCAAAGGATTGCAATTTATGAGCCCCAGTAAAATAAAATAAAAAATCCTTCGAGTATTGATGGCAGTGCAGGCTGTGATCCTGACACCGCTGCTCGATATCGTCGACGATCCGGCGCTCAATGATATGTCTGAGTCCGAAGCACGAACACGATTGGCTGCCTTACTCGAGAAATTTTCTGATGTGTTCGTAGATTCGCTACCAATGGATCAACTCCCACCGTACCGGCCAGTCAACCACGAGATCCCGTTGATCGATCCCACCGAAAAGGTCAAACCCCGGGTATACCCCCTTGCCGACAAATATCGGAGCCAGTGGGCGGAACACTCAGCTAAGTACACTCGTGGTCGATTCTGGGTTTCGGGTCCGATCGATTCTACGGCACCGGTCTTTGCCATTCCGAAGAAGAACTCCCAAACGGCTCGTTTCGTGATCGACCTCCGCGCGTGCAACAGCAACACCGTCAAGCGTTTTTCGCCCATCCCGGACATGAACAATGTTCGATACGAGGTGGCTCGATCGCATTATCGCTCTAAATTCGACGTGGCCGCGGCATTTGAGCAGGTTCGGGTCATACCGGAGCACGTCGATCGCACCGGCTTCGCAACGGTGACGGGCACGTACACGTCGCGGGTCATGCAGTTTGGTGACACCAATGCGCCCAATACCCTCAACCTCTTGACCTCGGCGATGTTCCAGCCATGTCTCCCGTTCGCCAAGATCTTTTTCGACGATGTTCACGTCCATTCCGATACCCGTCGCGTGCACTTGAGACACATCAAGATCCTGCTGATGACATTGAGACATTACCGGTTCTACTTAGGATCCAAGAAGTCCGAGTGGTTCTCAAAGTCGTTGGATTCCTTGGGCACCATCATTTCCGACGTCGGCATCGAAGTCGACCCCACCAAGTGGGAGCGTATTCAGCAGTGGCCGATCCCGCGCAACAAGACCGACATCCAGCGTTTCCTCGGCACCGTCAATTGGATGCGAGATCACCTACCGCACCTCTCGACGATCTTGGAGCCGATCACCGCGTTAATGGCGCAATCGACCTCGTGGCGTTGGAACGAGCGAGAACAGCAGGCTTTCGATACCGTCAAGTCCCTTGTGCCCGCCATCCTACGACCGATCGATGGCGCCAAGGTTACCTCGGGTGAGCACAAGATGTACCTCTTCACGGATGCCAGTCGGGTTGGCATTGGCGCTTGTTTAGCGTCCGGTCCCAACCGTTCGCAGGCTGTTCCAACGTGATTCTTTTCCGCTAAGTTCAACGGTGCTCAGCTCAACTATCATGTCACTGATAAAGAGTTCTTGGCTGTCGTCTCGGCGTGTCGGGCGTTCGAGCAGCACTTGATTGGTTACCCCTTCGTCATCGTCACCAACCATCAGGCCCTTTGCACGATAAAAACCCAAAAACTGCGCCAAACGCCTCGGCACATCCGCATGTGTCTCGAACTCAGCCATTTCGACTTCGAATTTGAATTCATTGCTGGCAAGAACAACACCCTGGCCGATTTGTTGTCGCGTTTGTGGGAGGTCAAGCAGGGTTCACACGAGGATCAGGTCAAGGAGAATGAGTTGGAGAACACCACGAATTCACTACACCCGGTGAGAGCCTCCCTGAGGAACGTCCTTGCACTTCACCATCTCCCGATCGGTTGCCTCCTGTTGATTTTGCCCTCGGGCCCCAATGCGATGATTGCGAGGCAGGCTCTCCCGGATACTACGCGCTCAAGGAGGAATCGCAAGACGGGGATGTGAATGGACAGGAACTAGGGAATTTGTTCTTGAAGGAAGAATGCCACGAGTTCACTACGCCCGGTGAGAGCCTCCTCGAGGAACGTCCTTACACCTCACCTTCGCACGATCGGTTGCCCCCTGTTGATTGTACCTTCGGGCCCTGGGGTCACGGTTATGATATAGGCTCTCCCGGTTCCCATTGTGTGTTCGAGAACATTATGGACGCCATCGATTTGTCTATCGGCCGCTGTGGTACTCGGGATCCCGTCGTGTGCAGCAAAGTCGGAAATGAGATGGGACTCCCGATCTTGTCGGCTGCATTAGGGTAGTCGACTCATGCGGGCGTCGGCTAATTCGGTGGTCTCGGAAATCGGGCTGGAGTCGCTTAGTCGGGAAGCGCAGATTCGGCTAACTCGGCCTAGCGTCACATGAGCGGATAAAAGTTCAGAGCAAGGGACCGTGTGACAGGAGCAAGGAATGGCGTGATCAGGACGAAGTATGGCGTGATCAGAAGGCCGAGTGTCGGAAAAGAGGAGGAAGCTGGTGTTGGAGGGAAGACTCGCTTCTTGTTCGGAGATAGACCACTAGACTAGACACGACTCAGACCGACTTTGGAGGGGAGGACCGCTTGGAAGAGGACATTTCTGCGAATCTATCATTCTCGGTTTCATTATCTGCGTGTTTCTCGGTTTCGGCATCTCGGTCTCTGCGCTTCGATAGCAATCGCCCCCCCACCCTTTCTCTGATCGTCCGCTCACTATTACCATAACTGGGGAGTCAGCCGGGATTTCTCTTTGTGTCAGGATGACAGCGCGTACTCGAAGGAAGCTTTTTTTTTTTTTACTGGGGCTCATAAATTGCAATCCTTCGGGTTGGCTGGGACCGCTAGAAAAAGAGCTAAAAGAGGTTATAAAGCAACGACGGCAAGCAATTGGGTGAAAGTCAAACCCCTGCGCGCAAAGAGCGCTGCGCAGATCAAAACCCGCCGAGCACCTAACGCGGACTCCAACGGGCGGTGAGTACTGCTGCCGCTTCACGTCCCAAGAGCGGGAGCGAAGATACTCGAAAACCAGGCAAGAGCGCCTAGAGAAAGAAAAGGGGAGAATATACAAAAATTCACGACTGGAAACACGGAGAACCAGGAATACTAAGACAGAGAGGAGGGGAGGAGGAGGGGAACACACCCGAGGGGCCAAGGGAGGGGGTCGAAGCCAGAGCTAGAGGTCCCCAGGGACTGACAGGCCGCAGCCAAGCCCCAGCTACTCGTCACCCTGACAGCGCCTGATGTCCTCCCTTGGCTGAGTCTCGAGTGCTGGCTGTTGAGCCGTCGGGGCCGAGCGAAAACGATCCAATACAACGAAACAAGCCTCGCCTTGACGCGAGGATATTGACCAAAAAAACGAGCGACCTTTCTTCCCGATCCATGCCGTAGATCTTGACCAACGCGAACGAACGATGTATTCGACGGAATCCAACACACGGCTTAGGAATAAAAGGAGAAGTGGCTGAAGCGTAGTCAACAACCGAGCAACAGGAAAGAGAAGAGGAAGGGAAGGGAAAAAAAAAGGGGGGGGAAAGAGGGGGGAGAACTTCACAAAGCCTCCAACGCAACGACGATCGACCCGGCTTGCCGATCCATCCAAGAACGAAAATCGCTACTGCGCAAAGTAGAGAGAGGGAGAGGTGCGCAGCCTTCCACTGCGCAACAAGTTTCAAGACAGTCAGCTTCTGACCGAAAAGGAAGGGAGGAAAGGAGGGGAGGAAAATGGGAAGGAAGGACTTAACTCGGTCATCACACCTCCCAATCTCGAACCCCAGGCACAAAACCCGCTCGAGAGAGAAAATCTCGCTCGAACGCTCTGAGCGCACTGGGAAGCGAGGGAGGGGCCACGACGTTGTCCAGCTCGAACCGCTGATGAACGCGCCAGCGGAGCAGGTGCAGCCGCTGGAAACCGATCGCGCAGGCCAGCCGAACCCACATCCATTTCGAGGTCGTTCTCCCACGACCCCGCAAAAGGGGGAGCCCCATAGTCAGCTGCTCCGGAGTGAACGTCGACGGATCGACGTCGGTATCCTCGATGCCGAGCTTGTCAAGCAGAATGCGTAGCACCCCACCCCAGAAGCTGGTCGAGTACGCGCACTCGAAAAAGTAGTGGGACACCGTCTCGATGACCGCTGCATCGTTGCCACAGAACAGACACGTCGGCGAAGAGGCATGACCCTGAGTATGCTGCCTCTTGCGCGTCGGCGTCACGTCGTACATGAGCCGCCAGTGGGTGTCCTGCTCGACAGCAGACGCGAACCGGTCATGAAGCCATTGTGAAGAGTCCACTCTCAGCTCGACAGGGGCGCCTCGGTCGTTGCGCGCGCCTGCTAGCCTGGCCCCTGTGGTGGGGACTTAGGCGCGCGCGAGTGCCTCAGCGCGCCGGCGCCGGCGGTTTTCGGGCGCGCGCCGCTAGCCCGCCCTTGCAGTGGGGACTTAGCCGCGCGCGACTGCCTCAGCGCTCCAGCGATTTCGCCCGCGCCTGGGCATATCCCAGCGCGGGCCCCCTTTCCATTTCTTAGCTTCCTTCTCATCACTTCTGTTCGACTCTCGACTTCTCCTGACAGTAGTGGTGATCATCTCATAGGTACGCTGAAATAGATCACTTCTGTTCGACTCTCGACTTCTCCTGACAGTAGTGGTGATCATCTCATAGGTTATAAGCCCATCGAGCTACCGCTGGCATGGACACGTCGTCAACCCTCGCGACGAGCGCCACCCCGACAATTCCCGCCGAACAGCTTGCCGCACTTACATCGCTGCTGTCGGGACTCACCGCTGCCGCTTCCGGCACTACCGCACCCGCCACGACATCCGGCTCCAATCGCAATGCCTTCCCGAAGCATGCGCGGTTGGACGGGCCGAAGACGTTCGCGAACTGGACACGCCAGCTTCGCCTGTGCCTAGCGGACGACATCCGCTCCTACGTCCTCGACGGAATCACCCCCGACGATTGGACGCCTTCGCAACGCTCCGCCCGCGACGTCGTGGCACGCGAGATCCTTGCAAACTCAATCGACTCGGCCGAAGTCTCGGCAGTCCTCGACAAGATCCCTACGGCCGACCTCACAGCGCCCAAGATTTACTCGACGCTGAAATCGCGATACGCCCCTGATGACGCCACTCGCACGCTCGAGCTCTTCTCGCGACTCTGGGGCTTCCGACCCATGCCCGGAACGGTTGGCGAATTTGACAGTTGGATCATGGACTTCAAGTCGGTCGCGCAAGAGATCATCGATACGAAAACGACGATCAACGACGTCCTTGCCACACTCCTCCTCGCGATCGCCCACCCGTCACTCGAGAGCTTCAAGGCAACGTTCACCGACGAACAACGCACGCAACGAACTCTCCCTGACATCGATTCAGTGGCCGACCGTATGCGAGTTCAACTCCGGTCAACGAACCTCTCCAACGATCAATCGGCCCTCCTTGCCTCGTCGTCGCCACGTTCTACCCGTACCAAGTGCCTCGCCTGTCGCAGCTCTTCTCACCGCGTCGCACAATGCCCTACAAGGGCCCAGCATCCACCGCCAGGCCCGTGTCGCTCCTGCAAGAAGAAGGACCACTGGTCTTTCGACTGCAAAAAGGCTCTTGAGGACGGGAAAACGCCCGACACCTCTGATGCGCAACACCATGTCGGATGTCTCGCCACCGGTCTTCTCGCACATCGTCGTCAGCTTCGCAACAACTCCTTCGTCGTCGACTCGGGTGCCACTTCGCACATGGTCTCGGACAAGTCGCTGTTCACGGCCTATCGCCACATCGCTCCTACGAAGATTGGTGGTATTGCAGGGGGCATCAACGCCGTCGGAACGGGAAACATCGCCTTTGTTGCCGCCTCCGGTCACCCGATCACGCTTACCGGCGTGCTGCACACCCCGGGCCTGTCTGTCAACCTCCTCTCGGTCTCTCGACTTTGCGACACCGACGATGTCCGTGTCGCCTTCACGAAGCACGGCATCCATATCGACAAGAACGGCAATGCTATCGCTGAAGGCGCAAGACTCGAGGAAGGGCTCTACTTGCTGGACGCTGATCATTCCAAATGTCAGCATCTCGCTCTCCTCTCTCGCTCACAGTCTTCCGTGCCCCTGCTGACCCTTCACCGCTGCCTCGGCCATCTCGCACCGTCGTCCATACAGAAGATGGTTGCCGCTGGTTTGCTGGAAGGTCTCGGGGCCGGATATAGTGACGAAGAGGTAGAGAAGTTTGTCTGCAATGCTTGCCTCAGTGCAAAGGGCCATCGTCTTCCTTTTCCCGATTCGGACTCGCACTCCTCAGAGAGACTCGGCCTCGTACACAGCGATGTGCTTTCCTTTCCCGAGTCGTCCTTGACTGGCAAGCGTTACCTGGTCACGTTTCTTGACGACTTCTCGCGCAAACTGTGGGCATACGCGATCGGACACAAAAGCGAAGTCTTTGGCGTGTTCAAGACATGGCTTGCCGAGGTCGAACTCGAGACGGGTGCAAAACTGAAGGTCCTCCGAACCGACAATGGTGGCGAATACTGTTCGAGAGCGTTCACGGAATTCTGTAAGGCACGCGGCACACGTCGACAATACTCTATCCCTCGAACGCCTCAACAGAACGGTCGTGCCGAACGAGTCAATCGTTCTATCGTCGAAGGTGTCCTTGCCCTCCTTGCAGACGCCCACTTACCCAAATCATTCTGGGAGGAGGCAGCAGCTTATTTCGTCTACTGCAAGAACCTGTGCGAACACTCGGCCCTGGACAAGGCAACACCGAACTTCGCCTGGCAGGGCGACCGCACCAACGCCTCGGCGCTTCACCCGTTCGGCTGCACGGCTTGGCTCACAGTCGCGCCTGAACTTCGCTCGAAACTCGACCCGAAAGCGGTTCGCGTTCTCTTCACCGGCTATGACCTGGCTTCTAAAGCCTTCCGTTTCTACGACACGACGACCAAGAAGATCAGTTTGGGCAGAAATGCCAGGTTCCTCGACAACGAATTTCCCGGGTTACGTAGCGACTCCACCGAGCAAGACGCCGACACGCACTTCGCCAGCGCTTGCCCGACCACCGAATCCCAAGCCGTTGTCAAGACATGGACCCCACTAGTAAGGTCGGCGCACATGGACGTCTCATCCTCTCTTGATGACTCTGCCATGAGCGCCGTTGACGTGGCCCCAGGGTACACTGGCGGAACCTTACTTAATTCCACAGATGCCGAATCGTCCTCGTCACCGTCTCCTGAGCCGTCCTCGTCACCGTCGCCCGCAACCCCCTTGTCACCGTCGCCTGCGCTGTCACCGTCGTTGGCTGCGTCATCGTCACCCTCGGCCTTACCGACCGACTCTGACTACTCCGCCGACCCTCTGGACCTCATCGGCTCACAGACCCCGACTCGCCTCGGCCCACCGGACGTGCACCGCCCAGACTTCAGCACGTACCGTGAGCCCGCATCGGCTGAGGAGTCGCCCGACGAACTCGACATCATTGGGCGCCACTCGCGCGATGAATCGCCGGACGAAATCGATTTCCTCACCCAACACCACCGCGCCTTCATCGCCACCGACGACGACAACTCTGACACAGAAGCCATTCAACCAGTCAAGTCCATCACCAGCGACCCACAGACATGGCGCGAGGCAATGTCGAGTGACAAGCGCGAAGTGTGGGCCAAGGCCGCTACCGACGAGTTCAATTCCATGCGCGACGACTTCAAGGTCTTCACCATCGAGGACCGATCCACGGTACCAGCGGGTGCGACCATCGTCACATCCAAGTTCGTCTGGAAAACGAAACGGAATGCACTCGGCGAAGTCACCGGCCACAAGGCACGGCTCGTGGCGCAGGGAAATCGGCAACGCGACGGCATCGACTTCAACGAAACCTTCGCACCAGTCGCACGCTTCTCCTCGATACGCTCACTCCTCGCGCTGGCGGCCGCCAACGGCTTGCACGTGCACCAGGCGGACATCGACAAAGCCTATCTGCATGGCGACCTTGACCATGACATCTGGATGACGACACCGCGCGGCTTCGACCTTCCCACCGACAAGGTGCTTCGTCTGCGACGCTCCATCTACGGACTCAAACAGGCTGGCCGAATCTGGAATCGACACATCGACGCATCGCTTCGAGATCTCGGCTATACGGCGACGGGCACCGACCACTGCGTGTACTCTCGGATCGACGATCGGCGACGCCCACACTACATCGCGCTGTACGTCGACGACCTCCTGATGATCAGCCCCGACTTGGCCGAAATTGAACGTGTCATCTCGGGCCTCGAACAACGCTACGGCGTCAAGCGCCTCGGCCCGGCAGAGTACATCCTCGGCATCCAGATCAGGCGACTCGAAGACGGTTCTATTGCCCTGTCCCAGGAACGGTACATCATGGACGTGCTTGCTCGGTTCCACTTCGACACCACGACTCGCGGCACTACAGTCCCGATGACCCCCGGCCTTTCGCTCACCGCCATCCCGGGTCAAGGCACCGAACGGATCAGGTCATGGTATCTGCAGGCTATCGGCTCGCTCCTCTACATTTCGCTCGGCACCCGCCCCGACATCGCCTTCGCCGTGTCCTACCTGGCCCGCTTCGCCAACAACCCTGAACGTCGTCACTGGATCGCGGTCAAGCACATCCTCCGCTATCTCCGGGCCACATATCGCGACGAACTGGTTTATGCTTGCGGCGAGACACGCATCACGGGCGTGGTTGGCTACTCCGACGCGAACTGGGGGGCCTGCGTCGATACGTCGGTGTCCACTATGGGCTACGTCTTCTACATTGCCGGATCCGCCGTGTCTTGGTCGTCCAAGCGTCAATCTCGAGTTGCCGATTCTACCACCGACGCTGAATACCTCGCCCTCTCGCATGCTGGCAAGGAAGGGATCTACCTCAGTCAGCTGCTCGAGGAGCTCCATGTCCAACCTGTTGCACCGGCTCACATTTTTACTGACAATGAAGCCGCTGCCGCAGTTGCCCACGACCCTGTCCGCGTCTCCGGCACTCGACACATACGCTTGCGCGAGCACTTTGTTCGGGACATGGTGAATCGGGGCGATATCTCACTCTCGCATGTGGGAACCAGCAACATGGTGGCCGACATCTTCACAAAGGCTCTTGGCCCAAAGATTTTCTCGACACACTGCTACGCACTAGGCCTTCGCACTCGACACCCACGGCTTGGATCTGCCTCGCATTCGCGTGGGGGGGGTGTGAAGAGTCCACTCTCAGCTCGACAGGGGCGCCTCGGTCGTTGCGCGCGCCTGCTAGCCTGGCCCCTGTGGTGGGGACTTAGGCGCGCGCGAGTGCCTCAGCGCGCCGGCGATTTCGCCCGCGCCTGGGCATATCCCAGCGCGGGCCCCCTTTCCATTTCTTAGCTTCCTTCTCATCACTTCTGTTCGACTCTCGACTTCTCCTGACAGTAGTGGTGATCATCTCATAGGTACGCTGAAATAGATCACTTCTGTTCGACTCTCGACTTCTCCTGACAGTAGTGGTGATCATCTCATAGCCATCTCCAGAAGCGCTTCCTATCGCTCTGAGAAGTCCCATCAGGGAAACGCTTGACACGGTCCTCCCTCCCTGGGAACCGCACCTTGTTCACAAGCCGACGAAGCTTGCGAATCGTAAAAGGTCGGGAGAGCCCAAAGAAGTTGAAGCACCGAGGACGGGGAGCCTCCTTGAGAGGTATCCGAGCAGGTCGCAACGCGGTCTTGGGCAGCAACGCTTTCGCCTTGAGCAACTGACCCACGCGCGACCACACGTGCTCGTGCTGTAGGGCGGGTTCCTTAGAGTGCTGCCAGAACCCGCGTCGATGACCAACCAGAGCCCATCCCTTCCCTTCGTCCCTCCAGTACAGGTCCGCGATCTGCGCAAACTTCGCCACCGCGTCCGCATCGTCATATGCGTGCTGGGCACCTTCAGCATAGAGTGAAGGGAGGCGAGGCGGAAGCGAGAGCAATTCGGGAAGCGTAAGGAGTTCGGACTTGATGGTTGGAACTGTGACCCTGGCCGCTGCAACGACTGCCCCCCAGCGCGTCGAGTCGCGATACAGCTTCTCGACCCGAGCCGTGCTGCTGAAGAACCCCCACGGACTGAAATCGCGGGTCGCAGCGACGAGGGACCTCCAGCTCTCGCGAGCTAGGGGCGCCCAGATCGCCTCGTCCGAGCCCGCCACAGCATCCCAAAATCGAAGCGCCACCGAATGAACGATGTCGCCAATCGAAATCAAACCCAAGCCACCGTCCTCCCGAGCCTGGAACACGAAATCGCGAGCGACGGTATTTCGCCCTGCTCCTCCCCAGACAAAGTCCGTAAGTGCCGTCTCCGCCGCCTTAATGAACCATTGAGGCGGTATGTCGAAGGACAGCACGTGGAGGACCGTCGAGATGATGTGAGCGTTGGCATAGAAAACCTTCCCACTCGGCGAAAGTGTCCGGTCTCGAGCGGCGCGGGCCTTGGCCTTGATCCTGTCAAGAACATGGGTCCAGAACAGTTTCGAGTCACCGTGGCGAAAGAAGGCATAGCCGCACCACTTGAAGCTCTCCCCCTCCTGCACCGTTGGCAGCGCCTGCGCAGTCTCGTCCCGAAGCCAGTTCGGTCCGAGTGGTAGCACCAGCGTCTTGTCCGTGTTGGTCTTCCCGTTGGTAGCCTCGTACCACGTCTGCGACAGCGTTTGCAGCTTCGACAATGCCGCCGGTGACTCCACCACCACCACAGCATCGTCGGCAAACGCCAGATGCGTAAGCTGCGCACGCGGCCCCCCTGGCCACACCTTCTGCAGGTCGAGCGCGATCCCGCGCCGAACGAGGGCGTCGAGGAAGGGCTGGAACGTGATGTTCCAAACCGGGCACGAGAGGGGATCCCCCTGACCGAGACCACACAGCAACCGCACCAAGTCCGTGGGGAACCCATTGACAAGGTAGCGCACCCCCAGAGTCTCGGGATCGTAGAGAGCGCGCAGCAGCGAGATGAAACGCTCACCGAACCCAAAGGCCTCAAAGACCTCGAAGATCCAGGCGTGATCGACCCGATCGTACGCGCTCTGCTGATCCAAAGACAAGAGGGCGCCCTCGGGGAAAACATCAGTGCCTAGCGACTTGAGTTTTTCGAGAAGGAGAGTGAGATGACTTCCCGCGTCCGCTGAACGTCTTGATGGCATGAAACCGTGTTGCGCCGGCGGTAAAAGCTCGCCGAGCACCCCATTGAGTCGCGCCACCAAGACCTTGCTGAGGACCTTGTAGGTCGTCTCGCGCAATGTGATCGGTCGGTATGCCCCCAGTGATTTCAGATTGGCCCCCGGTTTATTCTTGGGCAAGAGCCGCACCAGCCCCTCTGCCAAGGACGCCGTCATTTTGCCGCCCTCCCAAATCGAGTTGAACAAGTCCAACAGCTTGGGAGCAAAGTAGGTTGGCAGCGCCTTGAAGAGCTCGTACGGAATGCCCGAGGGCCCCGGTGATCGCCCCGAATCCGTCTTCTTCAACGCCGCTTCAACCTCGAGGAGGGTGAAGGGCTCGTCAAGCGCCACTCTCGCTTGACGAGGCAGCCGACGACCGAACGTAGGGTCCGAGCGGTCGTCATCGTAGCATTTCGCTGCGCGAATAGGGTCGAGCAGGGACCGGTGTGCGTTCGTCGGGTCGCCACGAGCTGGGTCCGGCGTGAAGAGCGACTGCGCGTGCCGTGAAGCAATACCCAGCGCCTCCTGCATGTCAACGGTCTCGGTGCCATCCACATCCTCCAGCGAGACGATGCTCGTCTGGCGACTCCGGCGGTTGAGGCGCGTGCGAATGCTTGCCGATTGACCTTCCCTCGAGTCGACTGACGGCACATGCGCACGAATGCGCAGCCACTGAGCCTCCTTTACCGCCAACTGGTCCAACCGCGACTTGGCAAGAGCATACACATCGCGCTCGGCCTCATTCATGTGCTCACCGCGTGCCTCCAAAGCCTCCATGACGGATTGGCTCTCGGCCCGCAGTCGGCGCATGTCGGCACGAGTCGAGCGGTATCGTGCATGGCCAGCGACTGCAACCGCCCGCAGAGCGGCGTCATAGACGTCGCCGAGCGGAGCGGTCCCCTCGAGCCTTCGATAGACCTCGTCGACGACCCCGGGAATCGATGCGACAAAGTCTTGATCGTCAAAGACCATTGGGTTGAGCCTCGAAATGAAATCGCTCGTGGAGGGAAGAGAAAGGGGGGGTTCGGCATCAGTGTTCGATGTAGGCAAAGCGAAAGTCGCAACTACAGGTCTGTGGTCCGAACAGGGCGCATCGAAGAGCGTAGAAGCGCTCAACAACCGGTTCGCCCAACTGCATTGGACAAGAATATAGTCGATCCGCGACCACGAGCAAATCTTTCGCTCTTCCCCTCTACCACGGTAGTGAGGACGAGTGAATGCAGGGGTGCAAGGATGGACATATCGGACCGTGTCGAGTGCCTTGAACGCGATCTTTGACAGCAAGGTCTGCCAGTGCGATACAGGAGTCCAAGCGCGATCGGTGATGGACACTCGGTCGACCGATACATCCGGACAATCGTTGAGATCGCCGGCCAAGATCCGAAGAATCTTGGGTCTCGGGGCGTTGAAGTGCAGAAGCCCGAAAAAGTCGCGACGATCGTCCTCCTGCACCGGCGCGTACATGTTGATGATCTCGACATCGAGCTCCTCAAGACGAAACACCGAGCGCAGAATCCGACCGTCGAAACGAGGAGCTCCTGCAAAGACGACCGGGGTAGAGGAAAGGAGATGGCCCGCCAAAGGTGAGCCATCGGGTATGAGGGTAAGGACATGAGGAGTGAAACGAATACAAGCCCCCGGCCAAGCACTCTCGAAGCCTTCGCGCGACGCGTTGTAGCTGAGGTGGTGCTCTTGCAGGAGGATGGCCGCAGGGGCCGGCCGAAGGGTTTTGAGATAACGGATGATTTTGACTTGGTTGACTGCGTTCTTCATCGATCGGACGTTGAACGTCAACACGGTGAGTGACTCAATCATGATTAAATCAGTTCAGCGCCGCCCCCCTCGAATTCGGTCACCTCGGACCTGTGACCCCCTGAACTGTTGCCCCCTGAGCCATCACCCCCTGATGCACCGAGGATCATGGCGGATCCCGCCCGGGTGACACGTCGGTTGCCGGGTGCCGAGCTCGAACGAAGGCGTCGAGGACTCGTCGAGGCTATCGAGGTTGTCGAGGTTGCCGATGATCCCGACGTGCCACCGGACAAAGGCGAAGGAGAGGTCGGGGTCGAAACGGGCGCCGCCGTCGTCGTCTGCGTCTCCTTTGTTGAGCCCAGGGTCGCACACGTCGACATCTCTTCCCCAGTGTCGCCGCCCTCCGGTTCGGTCGAAACGACCGACTCGTCGTCGCCGTCGTTCGCGTCGTCCTTGTTGGCGGTTACGTGCTTCCCATTCTTTCCAGCAACTCGGAAGCCGGTGGTCGAAGTCGAAGTCGAGGTCGAGGCCCCCGGAACAGGGGCGGCGGTGGCCGGAGTCGAAACCGGCTTCCTGCAAGCGCCCCACTGGTGTCCGGCGCGATCGCACACCGCGCAGTAGTGCGTCTCGAATTCGTGTCGCAAGCCGTACTTGGCGCCCAGGATCTCGATCTCTTGTGGCAAAGCGGCGTTGAGCGCGGCCTTCTGCGTCTCGATGGAGCCTTGGAAAAGATCAGCATGTAAGCGAAGGTACGCGCAGTGGAACCCGTCTTCGGTCATGGCCATCGGATCGCCATTCGGATCAACCGCGAGGCCCCGCTGTAATTGCATCAGGGTATAACCTTGCGTGCGACCTGCGCGGCCGAACGAAAGGGTGATAGCATCATCGAGAGATTTTCGGAGCACGGAAGCGGGGATCGCGCTGGAGGAGGAGGGCAAGGTGAATCGCACCTGCACGACGTGGTTAAGGGGAGAGGCGCTGGGGAGCTCGGTAACCATCTCCTTGCCGTGGTAGGGGAATGGGCCCGCTGAAGCGGCTTCAAGACAAGCTTGCTCGGATTCGAATACAAGCTCGTACATGTGACGAGCGATCGGGAACCTCTTCGTGGCTTTCGTCACAATCGGGTTCAGCTTCACGCATTTCGAGAAAAGCTTCTCGACCTCGGGGTCAAGCACGACGCCCTCGGGCCGCGCGAACATGAACGGCGTCTCGGCCAATCCAAAGTGCTTGCGCAGCGCGGTCTGTACAGGACCTCTGGGTGATCCAGGACCATCCATAATGACTCGAATCACATTGGAGGCCGGGGCTGCGTCGTTTCGCACCGCTCTTTGGGCGGCTCGTGCGAGCGCTGGCGCCTGCGAAGGCGGGGTCGAGGCGTCGTGCATCAGGACCATCAGTCGGCGGGTCGACTTGCTGGAGGGAACAATCCCGAGCACTTGGAAGGTCTTCTTCATCAGCTTCTCATGGTCCAACCGGACCTGAGTTGCCTCGGGCGACCAAGCTGGAGGATTCGCGGTTCCTCCAGTGAAGCCTTCCAAGGCTGTGTGCGGGTAGAGTTGACTTGACCAGATGCTTGCCTCGTTTCACAGCATCGTCGGTGCGATGGCGTAGTCGTGAGGCGCGCGGGCGCGCACTCGGTGGTCGCGGGTTCGAGGCACCGAGACCGCAATCTTCTTTCGGTTTGTTTTATCTTTTTGTTAGCCGAGGCGCGGCTTCAGGGTTTTTACCGGTGCTCCCGCGAGCAATCTTTTTTACCCCTGAGGTGACCTCTTGGAGTGGTTGATTTGGCTAAGTCCCCTCTGGGCCTGGCACAGTCCCTTCCCTTTAGTTTTACCACCTTCCCCCGGAGCTTGGTCTGCTCTTCTCTTTTGTTGCCCCTCCTCTTCTTGTCCATCGTTTGGGAATTAAGTCCGTTATACTTGATTTCCTGCGAGCCTTTCGACCGACTCCCCTCCTCGGTTGCTCCCTTGTCGACTGCCGCCGCAACAGCCGACACTTCCTGAAATCCCCCCCCCCCCCGTACCAACGCGTGTAGACGACGTCATCTCCTCCGACGTCGCCTGTCACTTTGTTTCTGCACAAAGGATGCCCTCAAGCCCTAGCCCTAGCCCGTGGTCAGCATCGACGATCTCAACTTGCCTTCGACACATCGTCATCGGCAGCCCCTGGATATCTCGGAAGGAGGAAAGGAAGGAAGAATGGCGGAACACTTGGCATTACATGATTTGGAACGAAATGGCGAAGGCAACGGAGGCGGAATGGGAAGGGATGAAGTACACAGGGCGGATGGAAATGGTGACGGAAGGACTAGGGACTTGGGTGGTGATGGCAGGACTCATGAGGGGCTTGGAGATGGAAGGGAGGAGAGGTGGAATGGGAGGAGGAGTGGAGGATGGGATAGAGGCAGGGATGAGGGATGGGGAGTGCAAGGAGGAATGGGTGGAGCAGCTGCGGCGGAGATTGCGGAAACATTGGCAACCCTTGCAACCCCTTACTTAGCGAGGAATGTTGCGTACCTGTTGAACGGTCGTAACGCGGAGAAGTTCTTGAGGGAGTATGAGCCCCTATTTAGCGCGCGCTTCACGACCCCTGAGATGTACTGCAAACATCTTCACAATGCGGTGCCTCATCGTTTCATGCGAGTGATTGAGGAGTGGGATGAGTTTAAGGATTTGGACTGGGAGGGGGTGAAGGAAAGGATGGTTGAGGAGTTTGGGGAAGGGGACGATGACGATTCACCGGACCGTCTATATGAGGTGATTGATCGTCAGTTGGAGGGACGGAGGAAGATCAGGACTTGGCAGGACCTGGATGACTACTACCGCCGCTTCAAGCGTCACTCTGAGCCCCTGGTGAAGAAAGAGATCCTCTCGTGGCAGAGTGAGTCGTCGCTGTTCCTCGAAGGTTTACCTAGAGAGCTGGTGAAGGAGTACGAGTCACTTTGTAAATTGGCGCGTTCCCTTCTTCCTTTGGTGGAGCAAATGGCCAGAGACAAGGAGGGGGCAACCGGCTGGCGAGTCACAAGCGCTGAGATGGTGGAGATCAGGAAGAAGCACAAGGAGGATGACCTGAAATACTGTCGAGAGCTTCATATCGGGGAGTTGTATGGAGAGATGCTCAAGCTGCTCAGAGGAGGAGGTCGTACGTCGCGTCGAGGAAGGGATACCTGCAGGAGAGACTTCTACGATTCGGACTCAGACTCGGAAGAAGAGGCAGAGGATCACAGGGATAGGTGGCGCAACGACAGGTCGCCCAGTCCCGCGCCTAGGAGTGTGCGTTTCTCGGGATTGCCCCTATCTTTCATTCGTCGTCAGGAGTCAGAGTCCACGCCATCGACTGCCACGCGATCAGCCTTGTCTTCCAAGAGTCGATCAGGAGCGGGAACGGAGGACAATGGATCGAGGAGCTCGAGTCTGCCGGATGACTTCATCAACAACTTTCGCCGCTTGGTTGTGAACACGACGACGATGAAGCAGGAATTTGCTCGCTTCCAACAACCTGGCCCTTTCTACGGTGGTAATGTTCAGGGTCCTCAGCAGGGGCAATTCGGTAACCAAGGGCAAGCTCAGAGGGGTTCTCAAGGCTTTGGCTATGGAGGACTGGACGCGAACATGCGAGGGGGACAGACTCGACCCAACGGATACGCTACTGGCGCCAATGCAACTCCCTATACGCCTCGTAATTCTGGACTCGACTGTCGTGGTTGCGGACTTGGAGGTCATCCGACGCGCGCCTGTCCTAAGGTCTTGGAACGTAAGTCGAAGGGGGACGTGACTGAAGGAGAATCGGGGAGGTATTATTTCCGGGGTCGCGAGTGTCCATTGCCGCACCATTTGCCGGAGGGGATGCCGACGTATGAGGCTCTTTGGGATGCGTGGGAGAAGGGTTTGGAGCAGAGGAATGGGGCGAACCGGGGAGGAAATGGATCGATGGGACAGGACGGTCAAGGAACGGGATCGGCAATGCACACGAACGTTGGATTCTTCTCTTCGGCGGACGAGCGGGATGAGGACAAAGCCCCTTTCGATGTTTACGCGGCTTCCCGACAGGTCCGTGCACGCACTCCCAGTGGACCTTACGAAGAGGCGGCGAAGAAGTGTGCGGTGGAGAAGGCGGCGAAGGACAAGACTGTTCGTGGTGAACCTCGCCCTGTTTCAATCCCACCTCGTGTTTCGTTCGATCTGTTGGCGAAGGAAGTAGGAAAGGTCAAGGTGGAAGCATCGGAGGCGCCGTTGAGGGACGAGGAAATGACGGAAGCATCGGCCGCCACGAACGCAACATCCACTACTCGTTGCCGGGCTGCTCAAAGTATGCTGCGCACTCCTGTCTCACAGCGTTTTTCGGTTCCGTCGGCTTTGGAACACGTCCTCAACGGCACCAAGGTCGAACTTCCTCTCGGTATGCTTCTCGCGGTTTCAAACGATCTTTCCAAGGGTGTAGCGCAGCAATGTCAATGTCGCCGGGTTCCCATTGATGCCACGACTGCGTCTGGATATCATGACGAGATGACAGAGGACGACTACGACACTCACATCCTGCGAACGAACTCCGGTTTCAAGGATCAACTCTCCACTTACTACTGCGCACCAATCGGCTGTATGAGGGTCGTCATCAACGGAAAGTCTGTTCTCGCCTTGGTCGATGGTGGTTCTCAGGTCTCGCTCATTCAGGAGGCTACATGTCGGGAGCTCGGTATTGCATGCACTTCGACGGTCGGTCATTCGTTGCGCTCTCAGAACGACGGAGTTAAAGATCTCGGAAAGGTTTGCAGGAACGTGGCAGTGGGAGTGGGAGGTTCGGAGGTCATCTGCAAGTTCTTCGTGTCCGAATCGAGTTTGACGCAACCGGCGATTTTGCTCGGAAGTCCTTTCATGGCGGCGGCTCGCGGCAAACAAACGTGGCATGCGGATGGTACTTCTTCGTTGAACATGGAGATCGGAGGGGTTTCTATGACGGTGGACCTTTTGTCGGTTGGGTCGACGATGACGACGATTAGGGAGGACAGAGTTGGAGACGGGAACATTTGGGAGCATGACAACACCCGGGACGACTCGTCGGAAAACTAGTGGAGGTTGGACCTGGCGCACTCAACCTCTTTCATCGAGCCGATCCAGACTGTAACACTATCAAGGGGGAGGTGTACGATACGGAGAACGACAACCTTCCATCATCTGCGCGCGGCTATGGCTTCTCCGCATCTTCTCGCGGTTTTGTCACGGCTTTTAGGCACAAGGAGTTGTTCGTTAGTGAGGGGGCAAGGGGCGAGGGGTGCGAGAAAAAGGATAGGGGTCAGGCGAAGGGTGTAGGGCCCAGAGGACTGGGGACGAAAGTTTTGTCTGGGGGGAGGCAGGGTCCAGGAGAGGGAAGATTAGCAGGAATGGAAGAAAGGGGAGGGGAAGGCAAGGATGGATCAAAGGAAGGATCGGCAGAGGCAGGGCAGTCGGGAGCACCGGGTGGCGCGGTCGAAAAATTAGAAAAGGCGACAAAAACAGACTCCTTAGACCTGAGGCATGGATTGGCTTCGATTTATACCACTTCAATTTGCTGAAGGCTTACGACTCCAAGGAGAGGTCAATACGGGTGTGCGTTTCTGGAAATGCCTGCGGGATGCTCAAGCGGCGTAAGAAGAGGAATTGGATGAGTCGAAGGGGTCGGTCTTGAAGGTGTCCTGGACGGCCACAACAGTGGGAAGGAGAAAAAACAAGGGTCGGGAGCTCAAGGAAGGAGAAGAACCGAGGGTGATGAGTGCGTACGAGAAGGTTGGGTCGGTTTGACCGAGGGGTTGAACGTGGCGGTGAATGATTTTGGAGGGGAGGGAGCGCTGAGCGATGGGGAGAAGAACTTGATTTTAGGGTTTTGAGGGGATGCGAGGAAGTGAAGATGCATGATTTGATGGAGTGATGAGCGGAAGAGTAACAGAGTTGGTGGGGGTCTGCGATAGGTCGGACATGCTGGAGGATCGAGTGACACGAATGGTGGAAGAAGGAGAGAAAGAGAGGCCTCTCAACACAGACATGTTTTTTAAGTCAGTCGGTCGGGGCGACCTCCTCGTCTGGGGGGAGTTGTGGTACTCGGGATCCCGTCGTGTGCAGCAAAGTCGGAAATGAGATGGGACTCCCGATCTTGTCGGCTGCATTAGGGTAGTCGACTCACGCGGGCGTCGGCTAATTCGGTGGTCTCGGAAATTGGGCTGGAGTCGCTTAGTTGGGAAGCGCAGATTCGGCTAACTCGGCCTAGCGTCACATGAGCGGATAAAAGTTCAGAGCAAGGGACCGTGTGACAGGAGCAAGGAATGGCGTGATCAGGACGAAGTATGGCGTGATCAGAAGGCCGAGTGTCGGAAAAGAGGAGGAAGCTGGCGTTGGAGGGAAGACTCGCTTCTTGTTCGGAGATAGACCACTAGACTAGACACGACTCAGACCGACTTTCGGAGGGGAGGACCACTTGGAAGAGGACATTTCTGCGAATCTATCATTCTCGGTTTCATTATCTGCGTGTTTCTCAGTTTCGGCATCTCGGTCTCTGCGCTTCGATAGCAATCGCCCCCCCCCCCCCCCCCCCCCTTTCTCTGATCGTCCGCTCACTATTACCATAACTGGGGAGTCAGCCGGGATTTCTCTTTGTGTCAGGATGACAGCGCGTACTCGAAGGAAGCCTTCCAAGGCTGTGTGCGGGTAGAGTTGACTTGATCAGATGCTTGCCTCGTTTCACAGCATCGTCGGTGCGATGGCGTAGTCGTGAGGCGTGCGGGCGCGCACTCGGTGGTCGCGGGTTCGAGGCGCCCAGACCGCAGTCTTCTTTTGGTTTGTTTTATCTTTTTGTTAGCCGAGGCGCGGCTTCAGGGTTTTTACCGGTGCTCCTGCGAGCAATCCTTTTTACCCCTGAGCCGACCTCTTGGAGTGGTTGATTTGGCTAAGTCCCCTCTGGGCCTGGCACAGTCCCTTCCCTTTAGTTTTACCACCTTCCCCCGGAGCTTGGTCCGCTCTTCTCTTTTGTTGCCCCTCCTCTTCTTGTTGATCATTTGGGAATTAAGTCCGTTATACTTGATTTCCTGCGAGCCTTTCGACCGACTCCCCTCCTCGGTTGCTCCCTTGTCGACTGCCGCCGCAACAGCCGACACTTCCTGAAATCCCCCCCCCCCCCCCCCCCCCGTACCAACGCGTGTAGACGACATCATCTCCTCCGACGTCGCCTGTCATGGCCAGCCTGAAAGGTGGCGGGGTTTGTGATCTGCGGCCGGGCTGGGGGATGATGTGAACTCTCTAAGGTGACGTTGGACTTCCCGGTGAATGCGCTCGTCAATGCTGGTGGCCAGGGAGGGGTCAACGTGGATTGGGCTGGACATGTCGCTTGGTTCGGCATGGGCGCGGTGTTCGGTGTGGGCGCGCGGTTCGGTTTCGGTAGGTGTGGCCGAGGCTGTGTCGGCGGTGGGGTTCGCAGGTGCTGGTGGGAATTGGGGCAGTTCGGGTTGACCTGGGCTCATAACCTGTAGAGTGTGGACCGAAGAGCTGTTCGGAATTGGGCGTAGTGACCGCTAGGGCTACTGGTCGAGCGTCGAGTGGCAAGAGTGCGACGGACGGTCGACAGGAGAAGTCGTGAGGTGGCACAGGCGTGGTCTGAGACGACGGACGCGGTGCGGGCTGTTCTCTACCGAAGATTAGCTGTCTGGCTAATGTTGGGAAGCGGTAGAGAAGAGGAAGAAAGGCGCTGGAGCGCGCGAGTCGGGCGAGGTTCTAGCAAGGGGGCGCGCAGGCTATCTAAGGCAACTGGGCGGGCACAATGCAAACTAGAACTCTAAAGAGGGGCTGTGTTGGACAGCGAACACGAGGGGAAACTCATCTACCATGGTCGAGTGTTGGCGAGCGGGGCAGTCCTGGGCGACAGGTCAAAGGTTGCGAACGGGCTTTCAGGAACTGAGGCCGAGGCACGAAGTGCGTAAGTACGAGAGCCGATGAAGATAGTAAAGATAGTTGGAGAAAGAAGATAAGCGCTAAGGGAGCGCGCGCAGGGCGACTAATATCAACAACTAGTAACTAATCATAATCGGGAATACCAGTGGGATGAAACAGCAATATATTGACACCCCCCCGTGCTGTCATACCACTGCACCTCACAAACCCAAATTCTCCCGATGGAAGATGAACGGCTTGGGGCCCAAGGCTTTGGTGAAAATATCGGCAATCATGTTGCCGGTGGCGATGTAGCGGACCTCGATCTCCTTCTCAGCTACCCTCTCGCGGACGTAATGTTCCGAGATGCGAACATGACGAGACCCCTGATGGTTGGTCGGGTGCTGCGCAAGAGCCAGCGAACCTTGGTTGTCCCCGTAGAGTACGACTGGACCGGAGACCGGAGCACCAAGTTCAGCCAGGAGTTCGCTCAGGTGGATGGCATCACCGCTTGTGTACGAAAGAGAGAGGTACTCTGCGTCGGTAGTGGACTTGGCCACCCTGTGCTCGCGTTTGGAGCACCAAGCAATAGCGGCTCCGGACAAGATGAACGCGTAGCCCATGGTCGATCATGAGGTCGTTAGACAGGCTCCCCAGTTCGCATCCAAGTAGCCATGGAGTGGTTGGCTGGTCTTGCGATAGGTGAGGCCCAAGTCCAGCGTGCCTTTGATGTAATGGAGGACCTGCTTGATGGCTGTCCAATGCTCCGGGCCAGGCTGCTGGGAGAAGCGAGTGAGGTAGCTGACCACGAAGGCGAGGTCCGGACGAGTTCCAACTGCGGCGTACATCAACGAACCGATGGCCTGCAAGTAGCGCGTACGATCCTGAGGAGTGGCCGCCAAGTCCTCGAAGTCAAGGACGACACCTGGCTGCATTGGAATACTTGCCGGCTTGGCATCGGTGAATTGGAACCTGGCAAGGATGTCCCGAAGGTAGCGCTCTTGTGAGAGCGTGATAGAGCCGTCTTGTCCACGTTTGACTTGGATGCCTAGAATATATTCAGCAGGTCCGAGATGTTTGATGCCGTATGCGAGTTCCAGCGTGTCCAGCACCCGCTCGATTTCGGCAGTAGAGGGACCAACCAAAAGCAAGTCGTCGACGTACAAGGCAATATAGTGTGAGTGCCCGTCGTGTTCGCGGCGGTAGATACAGATGTCAGACCTGGTGGGGACGTATCCGAGGGACCGCAGAGTCGAGTCGATCTCAGCATTCCAGATGGTGCCGGCCTGGCGAAGGCCGTAGATGGATTTGGACAGCTTGAGGATCTTGCCTGGCAGGTTTATGCCCTGAGGGACGCGCATGTAGAGAGGCTTGTCAAGTTTGCCGTGTAAGTACACCTTGTTGACGTCGGCCTGATGGACGTGATAGCCGTTGGCCGCGGCGAGTGCGATGAGGGCTCGAATGGATGTGAATTTGACGACAGGGGCGTAGGTCTTCTCGAAGTCAAGGCCAGGGCGTTGGGCACATCCGTGAGCGACAAGTCGGGCCTTGTGATTGGTGATGTCGCCATGCTGGTTGTGTTTAGTCCGGAACACCCAGCCCGACCGCAGGAGGATCTCACCCGCTGGGAGCTCACAGGATTCGACGATTTGGAAGATCTCGTAATCATTCAGAAGCGAATCAAATTCATCCTGTGCTGGAGCGCCCCAAATGTCCTCTTGTCCCGATCGGATGACGTCGCCCCAATTTGCCGGATCGCGAACAACCAACAAGTCATGATCTGCGAAGCCGGCCTTGGTGGATGCGAAGGCAAGGAGCAGGCTCTTGAAAGAGGCGGTGGGTCCATCGGGGCCGTCGACTAGCTGTTCCCGCGTGATCATGGTGGGAACAGGTTGGCGGCGAGTCCGGGGGCCATCAATGATGTTTCGAGCGTCGACTTCACCGTACTTCCCTGGATCGGGACCAACCTTGGCAACATCGCCGTACTCCCAACTTGGCTTGACTTTGGCGAGTGGAGCTGGATCCGGAGGTGGTTGCGGCAGATTCACGGCTGACTCCGTTGTTGCGCTCGTGGTCGATGAGGTGTCGTCGTTGTCGGCCGAGCTGGTCGATGCGGGCGACGCAGGTGCCTCGACAGGCGTTGGGGCCGGTGGCCGTGGGGGAGGCTCGACGGGTGGGGGCTGGGGGGCGTAACCCGGGATGGACAGCTGTGTCACTCGGGTGGGCGCGATAGCGAAGGGGAACTCGGTTTCTACGAACGTCACATTGCGGCCCAGACTCACACGCATGGAGGAAGGATCGAGAAGACGGTAGGCTTTCGCGTGTCGATCGTACCCAACGAAGACCAGAGGAATCCCTTTTGGGTCGAGCTTGTCCCGTCGGTGAGCCGGCACGGTGGTCCAAGCACGACAACCGAATGCCCGAAGACCCCCTACGCTTGGTGTGTGGCCCGACCAACGACTGTTTGGGATGGCTCCATCAAGGGCCGCGTGAGGCGAGAGGTTCTTGGCGTGAATGTAACACATGGCAGCCTCGTCCCAGCATGATCGTGGGAGTCCCGAGTGAGACAGTAGAGCCAGGGTGCCCTCGACGATTGACCGGTTGGCTCGCTCAGCCCGACCGTTTTGCTCGGGTGTGTACGGTATGGTCAATTCGCGATGAATTCCGCGGGCCACGCAATAGCCGTTGAAAGCGGTAGAGACATACTCGCCCCCGTTGTCCGAGCGAAGTGTTTTGACCCTGCGACCCGTGGTGTTTTCGATCTCCAGAAGCCAATCCTTGAATGTCTGAAGGACCTCGCTCTTGTGCCCGATGGGGTAAACCCAAGTCTTCCTCGAGAAGTCGTTGATGAACGTGACGAGGTATCGCTTATGGCCTAAGGATTCCTCGGGGAAAGATAAGATGTCCGAGTGCACCAATGCGAGTGGTTCCGCGGCATGCGACGACGAAGAGGGGAAAGGCAAACGATGCGCTTTGGAGGCAAGGCACGCGTTGCAGGTGAAGCCATCACACTCGAAGTCACTATAGGGCCAATCTAAACCCTCCACCTGGCCAGAGGCCGCCAGTTTTTTAAGTGTCTGGACAGAGGTGTGGCCGTAGCGCCGGTGAAGGGTAAGTAAAGGTAGCCTATTGGACTTGGTGGCAACGAGCATGTGTCGCGCATCTTTGCTGGCAGCTTGGACCGAAGTGTTGAGTTTGTAAACGCAGGACGCGATGGCTGATGCTGTGGCGATGCACCCTTGCGGCGTGCGGAGCTCGACTTGTCCGTGTTCGAAGGTGATGCGAACACCTTTGCGGTCGAAGGCCCGGACTGAGATGAGGTTGGCAGGGCTCTCGGGGGCGTAGATCACGTCGTTGAGGGTAAACCTGGTACCATTATCGGAGACGAGCTTGACCGAGCCGATTCCCGAGGCCTTCACCGTTCCCCCTAGACCTTGCAGGACTTGCGGGGTAGGCGAAAGGGGGCCGTCAAAGAAGGACGCATCGTTGACGACGTGGCACACCGACGCCGAGTCTAGCAGAAGGATTTCCGCCGGTGGCCCGATGTTGACAAACGTAGCAGAAGAAACGACGGACAGGTGTTGATCCTTGGATGCTGCCTCGGTGGCCACGAACGTGGACACAGGCGATGATGAGCCTTGGAGTTCCTTCATGGCGTTCTTGAGCTCGAGGTACTTGGCTCGCTTGCGCGATTCCGGACACTTGTCGAGCCAGTGTTTGCCTTGACCACAAGCTGGGCAGTTGCTCGGGGCAGGACCAGAACGATCCCATTTTCCCTTCTTGCCTGGTGCAGAGCGTTTGGTCGGTACGACCGCCTTCGCAACGGGGACCGTCGCTCGATTCGTCCGAGCGTTGAATCCAGCCCAAGAGGGCGGGCATGGCGGCATCGTGGGGACCCAGTCAACGTAATTGTCCTCCGTAAGTTTCGAGTCGTCGGGGAAGACCGGAGGGTTGGCTGGGGGTAGGCGCTGACGCATGGAGAATGCGTCGTCGTCCCGTGCGGGGCGCTGGTTCCTGATCAGCTCGTCGAATTGCTCTTTAGTGAGCGTGACGGAGGTAGTGGAGGCGACGTCGTTGGTATGGTACGACGTTGATGACGGTGGTGGAGGCGTTGATGCCATGTCACCGTGGACGTCGAGGTCGCCCGCCGCTGATAGGCTAGGTGGGCTCATAACCTTTCATGGAACTGAGGCCGAGGCACGAAGTGCGTAAGTACGAGAGCCGATGATGATAGTAAAGATAGTTGGAGAAAGAAGATAAGCGGCGCGCGCGAGGCGACTAATATCAACAACTAGTAACTAATCATAATCGGGAATACCAGTGGGATGAAACAGCAATATATTGACAGACCGGACAGTTCAGCACGTGCTGCTCGCAGGGCAAGGTACAGCTACCTCCCTCTCTCCGGCCTAATCCCGACTTTCAACAGCTACTTGAAGGCTCGGATAGCGGTCAGTCTCTCCGTCCAACGACATTCGTCTGTAGTAGACCAACATGCTGAACTGTGCGACACACCTACACAGAAGCTAAAGCATTCCGGCGTTCCGCGAGAATGCCCGGTCGTACAACAACGCGCTGTCGTTCACTTCGCTCGCTGCCCACTTTGACCAGACTCGACCAGGCACTCAAGGACCCCGCATGTTTTGGGTATTTTGTCGCCTTTACCATCGACTCGGGCACTCTCGGCGCCCTAATTCCTGCCGTCAATCAGGGCCCAACCTTTGCCAAAACATGGCTCATCTGCCCAGCCGAGGCCACCGACACTCAACTTGGACCCGACGGCGCAGACAGTCGCATACAAAGATCTACTTTGACCAAGCTCGACTCCATGTTGGGCACCGGACATCGCTTTGTGAGGGAGTTCGCATCGGCCAAAGCCCGCGCAGGTTGGGTTACGGCCAAAGAATGGGTCCTGCGCCTCTGTCTAACACCTGGCCGGGACCGACGCACCCACAACCTTCCTACGTGGAGCACGGAAATGGCGATGCATATCTGCGATTCCGACACCAACATGTGAGGTCGTGGACCGCAAGACCTTATTCTTCAGGCGCACGGTGATCAATGTCCCGACGGTCGGCCCAAGTACCAAGTTGTTAGCTTGCTCCATCCGTCTGCGATGCCTCTCCGTTCCCCACTCCTATTCCCTGCAGGAGAAGATGACTGCCTCCCCAACATTCCTCTTTGCAGTTCCAACCAAGCTGGGTCACCCTTCGCCGACGAAGAGGATGAAGACGAGGAGGAAGGGGACGAAGAGAATGGTGATGGTGAACGTAAGCGCCTTCGGCTCTTTCTCGGATGTTCCATTTTGTTAAGGCGCACGCACAGACTGACATTTAACGTTTTAACACCTAGGACGAAGCTCAAATAAAGGGGGTCGAAGTGGCGAGTCTCGCGTTCACAATTCTTTGCGTACTACTTGCACAAACGCGACGAGTACTTCTCAATCCCGCATTGCACCCAACGTGCCTTCCTGGCGTTCGTGATGACGGATACTCCCACGTCGAGACCGATCGACTCAACTTACCTCCAGTTGCATCAAAAAAACCTCCGCCTCACCACGGGCCAAGGTATCATCACCTTGACCCCGGATCAAATTGGATGTTCGGTGATTTTAAGCTCAACGTTCAAGAATAGATCGCGCAAGATCACGCAGCGTTATCAAGATGCGGTGGCGTGCGTCGTCAGACATGAAAACCTTCAATGTTCTTCACGGCGACGTGCCACCCCGAACGGCCGGAAATCAAGGCTGCACTGGGACCGAACGACGAAGCACGCAACCGCCGTTCGGGTATCATTGCACGAGTGTTTGAAGCCAAGCTGGACCGACTCTGCGACGACGTTTCGGACAACAAGCAACGGGCGGCTGTTTCGGCGATGAATGCATAATTATTTATAATTCTTTCTTTGCTGTATTTCCTATTGTGTTCTTTTACCATTGCTTAGTCCACTTCTCCCTGCTATTTGAATATCATCATCCCGTAATTTAACGGGTTCCCACTGATTTGGACATAGCTATTTGCAGCTCAGAATTAAGCATTCATCAATCGAGTACAATATAGCCCATTCTTGCCAAAGTATTGTTTCAATAAATTACTTGAAATCCTACCAGCGCGAAGCATCATCACCCGACATCATCCCATTATCCGGGCCATTGAAGGCGAGATAACTGTGCCCAGTTGTATCAAGCTGCCAATCAAATTGAAAGTCCCAAGAGGGAAACATCTGCTCGGAGAATGTCCCCGCATGCATTGCCAGAAAGTCATCCAATGCAGAATTGGCATTGGTATTGGGGGGTGTTGTTTCACCCGGGACGACTGGTGTATCCAGGAGCTGTGAAGTGCTGGCGGCAGTGGATGCCTCTGTTACTGCGGGGAGCGCCGTTGCCGTGAGTGCTGCGGACATTGCAACGTCAGCACCAAATAAACCCATGCATGGACCCAACAAGAGCACTCACCTTCCAGTACATCAGCAGAGGTTGCTGCAGATGACCATGTGGTGCTTCCAATCTCTTTAAGAACTTTGACCAGGAGTCTAAGATCCTTTGCAGAGTGCTCTTGACGCTCTTTGTCCTGCTGAAGCGTTGGAGAAATTCCGCGCTGTGTTGATGAGAGTGCTAGGATGGTCCCAGCGGAAAACAACGCTCTGAAAGGGGTCGCTATCAGTATCTGACAATCGTGAAACCAAGAGTAGTCCGTTATATTTTGACTCACTGCACAAACACTGGGTGCACACACCGAACACCGTGACATTTCTGCTGGACTTTCACTAGTCGAACAATGTGGGAGGCCGCAAGCAAACATTTCTCGGTTGAAGAGAGTGTGCCGGTTGCATGACCATCGGAACGAGAGAAAAAGGGGCGATGGAGGTACAGCAGTATATGCCAGTAAACGATGTTCAGTCCTGAAACATGCTGGCTTAGGTTGATAAGAAAAAGCTCTCTAGTGAATCAAGGCGGATGAGCAGCGAGCAATCTTAACATACCAATGAGCAGCGGAGAAGGCGTCTTGACTGTGTCACTGGTAGCGACTTTGATGTGCGAAGGAAGGGCGTGGTACCAAGTTTGAAGCTCGAGGTGCAGGCTGGGGACCTCCTGCTTGCGTGTGGCCAGTGCCTCGCCTCGCTTGACATAGACGTGGGAAAGTATTTTGTTTGCCACCGTTGCCAGCCTTGAGGACCAGTGGAAGACGGAGGAACGGTACAGCGGGGGGTCGAAGTCGGCCGAGGGATCGATCAGCCCCGGTACTTGATCAAATTCGTCGGGGCGAAAGTTCGAGTTTCGGCCTATGTGCATAGCCAGCAGCCTACGCGTGAGAGTTGTGAGCTACAAGTGCAAATTTTCACAAGGAGGAAAATGGCGATGCTTACACCTCGTTGGAGAAGATGGCAAAGAAAGCATCGCGCCGAGCCATCACGAGCTCGTCGTCCACGGTAGCTGGCGCATTCGGCAAATGCGCGATCAACAGATGCAACCCAAAGTTCTCGGCAACCAGGCTACTCATTCCTGTGTACAGCCAAGCCAACCCATCCATACCCCGTCCTGTGAGGTACAGTGCCAAACAAACCAGTCCGCGCAGCGTCGAGATCTTTGGCCAGTTCCACTCGGAGTCTAGACAAAACCGAGCGTAATTGATGAAGACATCGCCTTTTGTCGAGAGGTCGTTGGGGTCGGAGCACACTTCGCGCGGAATGTCCTCCTCGGGGTCCAAGTACCGGCATCCTATTCCTAGCACTATGTTGAGCATGAAAGGCGAATACGCGTCGGTACGGTCGTCGGGGTGCGCATTCAGTTCGGATAGGAATCGTCGCTCGTCGACAACCTGAAACAGAGGTAGAGCGTAGTCGAAGGCAAGTCGCAAAAGCCGAGCTCGAAAGACGGGGTCTAATTCCGGTGGACGAGGGGGTATCGCCAGGGAATTTGCGATCCGCGGGTTCGGCGCGCGAGTGAGGATTTGGGCAGCACTTTGTTCGAGACTTTGCTGGTTGGCTGCGGACTGAGCCATGAGGATGTGCGTACTTCCGGGACCCTGCGAAATTCATGATGCGACGCAATGAGAAGCGGTTAGGCGTTGGTGCTCTGTGTGCTTGGTTGGCAGTCACTTACAAAGAACCTGAGCTCACCATGAGCGTTCCGAGCCAAACCACCAGCTGCTCTAGGATGCGATGCCGTCGACCCCTCGTTCGTCCCAGGAGCTAAAGACGAAAGTGTGGCCGCCGCGGAAATTTCGTTGAAATTGGGCCGAGGCCGAAGTGAAGCGTCTCCGATGGTAGAAAGTTCGGCGAGTTTGCTCTCCAGGTTAGCAATTTGTTGCTTCAAAGCGTCGACAACATCCTTAGTGTAAGGTCTAGCGTGCGGATGAAACACAAGGAGAGTTCAGAAGTGGAGCCACAGCGAATTTCGGAGCGAACCCGCGCAGTGAAGTGCCAAGAGATGCCGACACATACTTTCGTTTGTCCTCCCAGCTCCACTCGCACGTGCGTTGTTGCGAGCGACACGGGCCACATGTTGGTTGTTCTCCTGCGGATGGAAGAATGGAACCATTTGGGACTTTAAGCCCAGAGACTGGTCACGGTAGGTCACGGTGCTGGGGTCTTGTCGACTCGGTGCCAGCTGGGTCACCGTCGCCCCTTTCAAGCCCTCGCCCTTGCGAGGCGAGCCGCGGCCTGCAGCGAAGCAGCGACTTCGTCCCCGAGGGATCGGTCCCCTGGGGTCCTCTGAGCTGTGCGGAAATCTAGACGTACCCGAGCATTTGATCCGCTTGCGTCGACATGTGAGACAGGCCAGGGTCGCACGTCCTCTGTTTGACGATTGGATCCAGCATTTCGACGTGGCGACGTAGCGACGAGTGCGAACCACAAACGACAGCATGTGGGGTTCGATGCCCAAGTCACGTCAGCTCACTGGGCACCGCTGTACATAGCCTTTCTTCGAACGCCGTGGGGCTGCAGCAATCTGGCTCGAACCTTTTAGACGTATTGGCTTGATTGCGGCGCGTGTTATCCACTGCGTCGTCGGTCATCGAGGCTGGCACGGGCGCGACAACAGCCCAGGCGATTCGATCGAGGGCTTTGAAAGCGGTCGAGCTTGCAGACGACGATGGCAGAGGACAGAGCTTGGGGCGATGCCCACCGGGGCAAAACACATTGCTCAGGCGACGTGGATAGCAATCCGACGTAGCACCGCCGTAATAACGAATATCATTACAAACTATTCAGCAAATAATCTCGCGCGAGCTCGCGCGTGAAGCCTTGGGCAGCTGCGGGCAGCCGGCAGCCAAAGGAGGCCAGAGACTGCCGGAGAGGGCCAGACGCAGCCTGAAGCAGCAGAGTGGCAGGCGCCTGGCGCCTGGCGCAGCTTGGTCGCTCGTCGACGTCGAGCGTCTCGTGTCGGCCAAGGCATACGATGAGCAGTCTCCGACTGAACGATGTTTGTGCCGAACTCTGTTGATGAATATATAATAAATGGCTTGATTTGGGCTTGAGGGCGAATTTTCCCCGTGGCCACGACACGGCCCCGCGAAGAAACCGGCGGGGCAGCGCAAGCACTGCAAGGGGAGGCAAACCGGGGAGGCGGGCGGGAAAGCAAAAATTTCTGAAGTTTCGAGCGAGCAACAGGCGATGTTGCGATCGAGAATAGTGGGTTTTAGCAAGAGGGAGTGATTCACAACGCACTCGCCTTTCGACTCGCTCGGCGCGCCCGTTGGTCGCCTTTGGCAACCGGCCAGCAGCCAGTAGTAGTAGTAGTGAGGCCCAGCAGGGGCGGCAGGGGGCGGCCCTGCGACGGGTTGGATGTGTTAGCGCCTGCTGCCCGTGTGCCCTGCCTCTGTCACCCGTCGCAACCGTCGTAATGGCGTCCTATTACGATGAGGGTTACGACGAAGCGACTGACGATGTCATCACGCAGGAGGACTGGTCAGTGCTCTCGCTGAGCGAATGGGCTGGCCATGTATACGCGAGCTGACTTGGTTTCTACCCGCCATGGATGCTGCTGCATCTCGATTATGACGACGACGGTCATGGCGACCCCCACAGTTGGGCCGTGATTGCATCTTATTTCGCCGACAAGACGCTCGTTTCTCAGCAGATCGATTCTTTCGACGAATTTGTCAACAATACCATGCAGGAGCTCGTCGATGAAGGCGCTTCGCTCATCCTCGACCAGAACATGCAGCATACGGGCAAGGCTGGCGATGTCACGGTTAGTCAGCATATGCCACCCGCTTGTATCGCCTGTCATGGCTCGCCTACTGCAAATGGTCCGCCCATGCCTTGCGCTGACGCTACGCCGCCTCTACCCCGTTGACGATCCTGGGGTGCATCTGCGCGTCCCACTTCGCATGCAACGCCCCAACGATGCCATTCTCCGTAGAAACGCTACGAGCTCAACTTTGGCCAGATATACCTTTCCAAGCCAACTATGACCGAGGCCGATGGGACGGTATCTCCGATGTTTCCCAACGAGGCCCGGTTACGCAATCTCACGTCAGTCGAGGCCCGGAGACATGTCATCGCAGTGGGGAAGCAAGAACCTGAGCCTGACTCGAGATTGCCTCTCACTATGTAGATACTCGGCTCCTCTCTACATTGACATGAAGAAGCGTGTCATGGTCCAGGACGGCGAAGAGATCGACTCGAAAACGGGTGAACTGCAGTGGCGTGAAGAGAAGGATGGCGTGGATTCAGGCGAGGACGAGAAGATTTACATCGGCAAGGTCAGTGATGGGATTTTCTCACCGTCACCTCCGCTGTTTGACGAGCCGCATAGTGAATCTGACTCGTAGTCGATCTGCTGCAGGTGCCGATTATGCTGCGCTCGGGCTTCTGCATCCTCAATGGGCTTGCGGAGCGTGATGTGCTCGAATTGAACGAGTGCCCCTACGACAAAGGAGGGTATTTCATCATCAACGGCTCGGAGAAGGTTCTCATCGCGCAAGAGCGCATGGCGACCAATCGAGTCTACGTCTTCGCCAAGAGTCAGCCCTCGCCCGTCACGTTCCTCGCTGAGATCCGAAGCGCAGTGGAAAAAGGGGGCAAGACGATCAGCTCGATGCAAGTCAAGATGATGAGGCGAACGGAAAAGCAGAGTGGGCAGACGATTCGAACCTCGCTCCCTTATATCCGAGCCGATGTGCCGATTGTGGTCGTGTTCCGCGCTCTCGACATCATCCCCGACAAGGACATTCTCGAACACATCTGCTACGACCGCAACGATGCAGAAATGTTCGAAATGCTGAAACCCTGTCTCGAAGATGCGTTTCCGATCCAGAACCGTGACGTCGCCCTTGATTTTATCGGGCGTCGTGGCACGGTACCCGCCTTGACTCGCGACCGCCGCATCAACTACGCTCAGGAGATCCTGCAAAAGGAGATGCTTCCGCATGTATCGATGGCTCCGGGCCAAAACACGAAGAAGGCTTTTTTCTTTGGCTACATGGTCCACCGCCTGTTGTTGGCCGCGCTCGATCGACGGGAGCTCGATGATCGTGATCACTTCGGCGCAAAACGGCTTGACTTGGCTGGGCCGCTGCTGGCTGCCCTATTCAGGATGCTATTCCGCAAGTTGACCAAGGATGTTTATCGACACCTTCAAAAATGCGTCGAGACCCAAAAATCTTTCAACCTCAACACGGCCGTGCGATCGAATACCATCACTAACGGGCTCAAGTACTCGCTAGCCACTGGCAATTGGGGTGACCAGAAGAAGGCCATGTCAGCAAAGGCCGGAGTGTCTCAGGTGCTTAATCGCTATACGTTCGCCTCCACCCTGTCTCATCTTCGACGATGCAACGCACCCATTGGCCGTGACGGCAAGATCGCCAAACCTCGCCAACTGCATAACACGCACTGGGGCATGGTTTGTCCCGCCGAAACGCCCGAAGGCCAAGCTTGTGGGCTAGTCAAAAACCTTGCCCTGATGTCGTACATCTCCGTCGGGTCCCCATCGGCACCGATCGTCGAGTTCTTGGAGGAGTGGGGCATGGAGAATCTTGAAGAGTTCTCAAGCGAAATGTCCAAGGGGACGAAGGTCTTCGTCAATGGCGTGTGGCAAGGTGTGCATCGCGATCCGGCTCATTTGGTTCAGACCATCAAGCGCCTGCGACGATGCGGCGATATCGCGTATGAGGTATCGGTCGTACGAGATGTGCGCGAACGAGAACTGCGGCTGCACACGGACGCTGGACGAGTTTGCAGGCCACTGTTCATCGTAGAGGACCACCGGTTGGTACTCACGCGACACCACATCGACGCTCTTCAGAATGAAGATTCCGAGGATCGGCCCGACGAGAAGCGCCTGAAATGGACCGACCTAATCGAGACCGGAGTTGTCGAGTACGTTGACGCTGAAGAAGAAGAAACGGTGATGATTTGCATGACGCCAGAGGACCTCGAGACGTCTCGGCTATTCCAAGAAACTGGCCAGATTCAAGTTGATACGTTTGACCCCTCGGCTACTGTCAAAGGCTCGATGGGTGTGAATACACACACCTGGACCCACTGCGAGATTCATCCAAGCATGATTCTTGGCATCTGCGCCAGCATCATCCCCTTCCCGGATCACAACCAATCGCCTCGTAATACCTATCAGTCGGCGATGGGCAAACAAGCTATGGGTGTCTTCTTGACAAACTATCAAGTGCGCATGGATACGATGGCCAATGTCCTCTACTACCCACAGAAACCATTGGCCACCACTCGCTCCATGGAGTATCTTCATTTCCGAGAGCTACCCGCGGGACAGAATGCTATCGTCGCTATAATGTGCTACTCGGGTTACAACCAAGAAGATTCAGTCATTCTCAACCAGAGTTCGATTGATCGAGGTCTGTTTCGCTCGTTCTACTACCGTTCCTACATGGATCAAGAGAAGAAATCCGGCGCGATCCAGATGGAGGAGTTCGAAAAGCCAACTCGTGATACCACGCTGCGGCTCAAGCATGGCACATACGAGAAGTTAGAGGCGGATGGAATCATTGGGCTCGGCGAGCGTGTTGCTGGCGAAGACATCATCATTGGCAAGACTGCGCCGCTGCCCCCCGACTCTGAAGAGCTCGGCCAGCGCTCGAAGAACCACACGAAGCGCGATGTGTCGACGCCGCTGAAGAGCACGGAGAACGGGATTGTGGATCAAGTGCTCGTGACCACCAACCAAGATGGACTCAAGTTCGTAAAAATTCGCGTCCGTTCCACGCGCGTTCCGGAGATCGGCGACAAATTTGCCTCACGTCACGGGCAGAAAGGCACGATCGGTATCACTTACCGCCACGAAGACATGCCGTTCTCCGCCGAGGGTACAACCCCCGACATCATCATCAACCCGCATGCCATTCCTTCTCGAATGACGATTGGGCATTTGGTCGAGTGTTTGTTGTCAAAGGTATCAACAATCTCCGGCAACGAAGGCGATGCGACGCCATTCTCTGAAGTCACAGTAGAGGCAATTTCGACTTTGCTCAAGGAGATGGGCTACCATTCACGGGGTCTGGAAGTCATGTACAATGGTCACACGGGCCGCAAACTTCAAGCCCAGGTCTACCTTGGTCCAACATACTACCAACGTCTCAAGCACATGGTCAACGACAAAATTCACTCTCGAGCTCGCGGTCCTCTTCAGATCTTGACCCGACAACCCGTGGAGGGTCGATCGCGAGATGGTGGTCTTCGTTTCGGAGAAATGGAGCGTGATTGCATGATCTCTCACGGCGTCGCCGGATTCCTCCGTGAACGACTGTACAACAACAGCGATCCCTATCGCGTCCATGTTTGCAACTTGTGCGGCCTGACCGCAATTGCGAATCTAAAGCGCCAGTCGTTCGAGTGTCGATCGTGCAGGAACAAGACTGAGATCTCACAGGTCCTTTTGCCATACGCTGCCAAGCTACTCTTCCAAGAACTGCAGGCTATGAATGTTGCATGCCGGTAAGTCTCCTCACTCTGAGCCATCGTTGACTTGTTCTGGATATCTATCATTCATCCAGATCTCTCTCTCTCTCTAGATTCGGTTTTGATCCTGACGAGACCGATAACGTCGCGCGGCAAGATGCTGTTGTAGACCAATAACGAGAAGAATGTAAATGTAAAGCACGCGCAAATCATCTGTTTATTTAATGGGCAAGGGCTGTGAAAGGTACGGCCATTATACGCCAGCTGCGTTTGTCCCGCCGGCGGCCGAGCAGAGGTGAGAAGCGAAGCAGCGCCTAAAAAAAGCCTTCTCAAAGGAGAGAGAAAATAGAGCACATCCCTGTAATGGCATCCTAGACATGCAATGACTCTACAAATGCCAGAGCTTTAGCCTTTACAGCATCAGCACCTTGCGAGTCGCCAAGGTCTTTCTCGAAGGCGAGCCACTTTTTGAACACCGATTTGCCTTTCTCTACGGCGCACATATGGAAGAGGAGTCAGTTTCTTCAGACACAACTTCATTCGGAGCGTCTTAAATGCTTACTACTAGACAGCCTGGTGGCCAAGATCCGATCAAACAGCGCGCGGACACCGACCACGTTTCTGAGCTTGATCTCCATGTCAATATAGACAAGCCAGATGTCGAGTCGTCGGGGATGCGTATGCACCACACCTTCAAAAATGGTTCGCCCACGCTCCGGGTCACCTAGCTTGAACTCGAGCTGCGCAAACTTTGTGACCGTCTTCACATGCTTCCTCTTCTCCAACGATTTGAGCGACCTCGGGAGCAGGTCACGAGCCTCATCGCATCGCGACTGCGCAAAATAGAATTGCGCAAACATCGTCCATACTTTTGACGACTGGGAAAACCTCTTAACGACGCGCCCGAATAGTTCTTCCTCCTCCGCAAACTTGCCGCTTCGTTCGTAGATGTCGATTAAACGGAGGTAGATCGTCTTCGAGTCATTCGCCTGGACAGCTTCCTTGAAGAGGGCATCTAGTTCAACTCGAGAACCATAGACGTTTTCAAAGTTCAAAAGTGCCACCCAGACGTTGAGCTTTTCCAGCTCTTCGCGAAAGCTGATGGTGTTGAGGGCTCGACGACCAATCTCGCGCGCCTTGTCGAGCTGAGATAGCGAAACGAAGAATGCGATGTACTGGATCCACAGAAACGAGGACCCGGGTGAGCCGAGCAAGAGCCGTTCGAAATCGGGAACAGATGACGGTGCCTTCTCGAGCTGTGCTTGGTCCTCCGCAGCTGAGGGACCGGAGACGGTCGCCAGCTCCGGTCGCAGGCGACCACCCTCCGAGTTTTCGGAATCAGAGTCGTCGTCCGCGAATTTGCTACTCTGCTCTCCGTCCGTCCGTTCATCTCCATCCCAATTGAACGCCGTGGGCACCTGCAGAGGGGCCGCTTTGGCCTTGAGGGCGTCGATGGATTCACGGGAGGTGATTGTTGAAGGCTGTGAACAGAATTGCAATCTAGTCTCAGGTCGTTACCCACAGTACAATTCTGAGAGAAGAGAAGGACTTACACCTATTACAACATCGGCTCCACCAGAAGCAGCAGTATCCAACTCATCAGGAGAGTCTGAGCCAACCTCAGGGTCATCGTCACTCGACTCCGACTCAGAGATATCATCACTTTCAGCGCGATCATCATCGTCATCGTCGTCGTCGTCGTCGGCCTCCTCATCCTCATCCTCGTACTCATCATTACGCTCTTCGTCTTCATCATCCTCATCGGTGGCTGTTTTTAACCAACTTTCTTCGATCAGCGACGATTTTAGGCCCAGCGACACCTTCTTCGTATCCTGATTCACGTCCAACACAACGGCATGGACCATGTCGCCCTCTTTGACGCACTCGTTCCAAGCCTTCTTGTCATCATCTGTGACTTTTGACTTGTGACAAAGTCCAGTGATCCCCGACCCCTCGAGTCTGATGAAAGCGCCGTAGGGCTCGACGCGCTTGACGACGCCGGTCACCAGCTGTCCTTTTTTGAGACCGGACACATCACGACCGGTTGCAGGCGATGTCGTGGACTTGCTCTTGAATGACATTTCCACTTGACCATTGACAAGATCGACAGACATGATCTTGCCCGTGACAAGCTGCCCTACAACGAACTTGGCTTGCCAGTCCTTGATGAACTCGTCGAAAAGTTCCTTGATGAGGACGCGAGCGGTGATGGTGTCGGAGAGGGACACGAACAGCCCTTGACTTGCAATGTTCTTGACAAAGCCCCTAATTGTTTGACCGACCTTCAGATCACCCAGTTCCTCGATTGCAGGATCGGTGGCCTGCGCGCCTGCAGAATGTCGCGATTCTCGAAGCGATAGGGCTACGCGTCGACGGTCGTCATCGACGGAAAGGACCGCGCACTGGACAGTGGCACCAAGATCGTATTCAGAGGACCCACATCGATCGAAGTCGTCGCAAATCTCTGTGCGTGGGACACGGCCACGCAGATTACGCGACAATTGCACCAATAACCCGCTGGGGACTACTCCGGACACCTTGCCTTGGACCACTTGGCCAGGCTTGACTGACTCGAAGGTGCATGGCCGCGAACCTGTCGTCGCGTCTTGTGCCTTCTTCGGTTTCGAGGGCACGAGACCGACAATGACTAGATCCTTGTCGAGGTTTCTTGAGACGACGACAAGGTCGTCGAGGACATCTCCGATGGCGAGATCCTGGCGGAGTTCTTGCACTGACACCGCCCGATGCCGACTGAGCGTAGCAAACGAGATGAGAGCTTTGACATTGCTGGGCCGCAATCTCAACACGACGTTGGTTTCATGAATCTGTGCGATCTCACCTCTGGTGAGATCGCCGATCTTGACTCCGTCGACCAAGCCGGCAGTCGAAGACGAAGCGACAGGTTCTCGGTCCTTGACGACGAGATGGCCCCGGGCTTGGCGGTACGAAACGGTGATCTTTTTAGCGGAGGGGTCGAGACGAATGATCTTCACTTCGACGACCTTGCCAACTTCAAAGATCTTGCCGAGGTTGGAGGTGTACTCTTCGGCAGCTTCCGTGGCCGGAATGAGCGCCCGCACGCCCCCGAAAAACTCGATGATGACAGCCTTGTCCAAAATCCTGGTCACGGTTCCGTGAGTCAACTGGCCAATCTGCGCATCGTCATAGGACTTGATCATCGGTAGCTCCGAAGCAACCAATTGACGCTTCAGCGTGAGAACGACACGGTTCCGGTCAGCATCGGCCGACAGGATCCTCGCCTTGACGCTCGCGCCGGGCTTGAACTTCCGTTCTGGGTGCCTCAGGCGAATGTCGGCGTAGTGTATTGGCCACACTACGCCATCGACGTTACCCGAAATGGACACGAAAAGGGCCGTGTCTGTAAGACGCCCGACAGTGCCTCGAATGACCTCCCCGACCCTGACGTCGTTGACGCGCATGAAAGCCCGCTCAAGGACCGAAGGTTGCAAGGAGACCTGTACAAGACCATCGAGAGCGGAGAATCCGATCACGCGAGCTCGATGGATGGACCCCACTTTCCATGGTCCATTCTTGGGGATAGATACGAGGTGATCGTCAGTGAGCTTTGAGATGTGGGCGAAAATGATAACGCGCTCGTCGTCGGGGCGCTCGAGTGCACATGTAAGACCCCATTCGTCATCCATTCGCACAACCCGCACACGTTCCATGATGCGTCCAATTGGGAATTCCTCTTCGAGAGGTACGCTTGTGCTCTGTCCGTTCCGAGCAACGTCTTTCGCCATGACATGCCGGTTGATCGACAAGGAAAACCTTTTGGGGATCGAACCGATCGAGTCCCAGAGAATTCGTGCATGCAGCTTTTGGCCGACCTTGAAGTCCGTCTCGGGGTCGCGACCGTCAAGGTGGAACCAATCGATGGTGCCTGTGAAGAGACCGAAAAGCTTGACGTTGAGGCCAGACGGCAGGATGGCCGTTACGATGGCAGTGACGCGTGCACAGGGCAGTATCGAATTGATCGAAGAAATGGCGGTTACTGTGGAGCCGGTAACCTCGGCTTCACCAACGGTCACGGTGCACGTCCTGCCGTTCTCGTTGACGTCCTTGATGCGACAAGATATGACTTGCCCTTGAGAAAGCGGGCTCGGCTGAAGTTTCTGGGCGTTCTCGAAGGGCAAGAAAGAGGACATCGAATCGACGCCGAGCGCGAGAATGTAACCGTTATCTTCGATGCTCCGGACTACAGCGGTCAGGGTGAAGCCAGTCTTGAGATCCGCTTTGGAAACGCCCTCGTTGACTTTGCCTGGGACCAGACTAAGCTCGATCGTCCGAGCAGCGCGGACAAGATCATCAGATTCTCGGCGAGTAGCCTTGCCGCGCCCGTCCGGTCGCTTCGATGTGATCACGATGGCCGAGACGAAGATCCCGACGCGAAACCAATGCGCGAGTGTTGGCAAGTTGCAAATCCCAGAGTGTTCGGGTCTCGTTGCGCCATCGCCGGGGTCGCTACTGGCATCAACGTCGTCGTCGTCGTCATCGTCTTGCTCATCCTCGCCTTCCCCCGACAACATATCTTCGGCAGATTCAAGCAGGGCAGTGTATTCGTCCGAGATGTTGGTGATGGGGACGTGGGCGAGAAGTTGGTTGGGCAAGGATACGATCAATTCGAGGGGTCGCACTGCAACAATCTGCGCGAGTACCTTGGTGCCCGGGACCAACCGCTGTGATCATCCCGTTCAAAGGCGGTTAGCTCGACAGGACCTTCGGGGTGCCAGGATAAGGGACCAGCCAGCGTACCTTGTAGTTGAGATGTTCGATGCGGACCGCATCTTTGGGTAAGAGATTCTTGTCTTCGACTTGGGACCGCTGGACCCTTTCCAACTTGCGGCGTTTGGACTTGCTCTTGTCCTTCTTGCCGTCGGGCATCGAATCGCCCTGGCGACGCGAAGACGAGAAGACACTCGCTTGCACTGATCAGCTCAGGCTGACCATAACCCCGAGGAAGGCAAGCCCACCCGTCATGTACAAACCCACTCACGTGATTTGTGTCTTGTTCCGCTTCGTGAATTCCTTCCAACTGCGCTTCCTTGAGCTCGACCTGGGTGAGGTGAGTCCCGCCGCCGCGAACGAAGTCGATCTCATCGGGTTGGGTCCTGAGACTGGTGGTCGCGGTGGTCGAGGGTGCTGGCTTGGATCTGGTCGGGTTCGGCTCAACGTTCTGGGCTGCACCTGCACTTGTCCCTGGGCCATCCCACTTCCGCTTGCGCCCGGCGGACTGCGTCGATACTTGCTCGTGGGACAGGTGCTGCGATGCGAGCTTCGCAGCCGCGCTGCCGCCGTTTGAGGTCGGTGCTCGCTTCCTCCCGGCGCTCGGGTCCGTCTTGTAGGCTTTTCGGGTCGCAATCGGAGCATGGGACGCTGCGACACGCGTCTTCTTGGTCGACGACTTGGCGACCATCCTAGGTTGGTGGTGTGTGGGGCAATCAACGACCAAAAAACCGTGTGGACCGGGAGAACGGGAGCGAGCGCCGCTGAATATTAATCCTGACTCTCTGAGCTCCTTGACCTCACTAGGAGGAATTCCGCGTTGTAGTGGGGCTTTGTAATGCGGGTTTGCCGGGCTTCGCGCGCTGTGTCGCGCGCTGTGTCGCGATCTGCCTCGCTGTTGCGCCGAGTAGCAGCAGCTCGCGCGGGGGGGGCAGGCCGGTTAGGCGCCAGGCCGGTCAAGCCAACTCTAGCAGCGTCAAGCAGAGCGTATTCGGAAAGTCACAAGCAGAGTCAAGCGAGGACCTCGCACTAGCTCGCACTGCGAGGACGCGCGCTGTCGGCAGCTGTCTGCAGGCCACCCCCACGACTCCTTCCTAGCCTACGTTGTCTCCATCCATTTCTACCTCATTATGTCTCTGTGGCGTAAGCCGGGCACTCGCACATTTCAGCTCGTCCATCGATCCCAACGCGACCCCCTCATCAATGACCCTGAAGCAAGCGACCGGGTCCTAAAGGAGGTGGGCGCGAAGCAGCGACCCAAGGTGAGCTTCGCAGCGGAACCGTTCAACGTCATCCGATCGCCCAAACGCGCGGATGCGGCGTGACCGCGTTCGACACTGCCATGCAGCAACACTGACATCGCATGAAACTGTGATGCGCTCTGCGAACGTACTCTGTCTTCTCTCTTTGCCACAATAGGGAAACGCGCCCGGGCCGCCCGCGTCGGACTTGGAGCTAACGTTCGACCGTGCCCCACGCCCGATCGAGGCCGATGATGACGCCGGCGATGCAGCTGCCTATGGCGTGTACTTTGACGACACCAAATATGACTACATGCAGCATCTGCGTCGCGTAGGAGACGTCGGCGAGTCATACCTCGTCGAAGCACCCAGTAAGAAAGGCAAGCGCCCGGTCGGCAACAAGAACGTTCGCTCGTCGGAAGGCGTCGTCGTCAAGGACTCGCCGTCGGCCGAGCTCGAGCTCCCCGAAGAAGCATTGCCGTCCCATCCGCTCGACGAAGTGTCCTACGTCGACGCGACAACTTCTCGCACCGAGACCAAGGGGCTGCAACCGGACCTGGATCCGAACATCCGGGAAGTCCTCGAGGCGCTCGATGACGACGATTACGCGCTCGATGCAGAGGGTGACTCGGAAGACGAAGACGACTTTTTCGGCTCCATTGTGCAAGGCGGCGAGGTTATTGATAGCCATGGGTGGCATCGTGCAAATTTGGATGAAGAGTCGAGACCAGATCGAAAGGAAGGAGATCCACTGGCACGAGGCATGCGCGAGCTTGCGTTGACGACCCAAGGAGACGGAAATGACAAAGTTGACGACTCTTTAGAAGCCCGCGTCGCTCGCTTCAAAGCGACATCAGCAAACGCTCCCAGCAGCGAGCTCTCTGACGAGGACGGGTTCTCGGAAGGTGGTGACACCATTGCCGAGCTCAAAGCCGGCAGCGCTCGGCGACCACCACGCCGGGGGGCCAGTGCGGCCAGGTCACAATTCTCCATGTCGAGTTCGGCCATGTTCCGGAACCAAGGGCTACAAACGCTCGACGAGCGCTTTGATCAGGTACGTATTGGTTATCAGAAGCCGGTCAGCGGTTCCACACCCGACGGCGCAAGGGACGCAATCTTTATTAACCAACAAACACCTGTTCATGTTATCGATCTCTAGATCGAAAAACTCTACGAGGACGATTCTGATGACGAATCTTGGGGCGAAGATTCTGATGGACCGGGGGAAGATGACAATGCGCAGCCTCGTGCAATACCCTTTGGCCAACCTCGAGAGGACCTGGATCAGATCCTTGAAGAGTTCCTTTCTCGATACGAAATTCTGGGCGGCAAAATGAGACATCGGGCGGAGGGTGACGATGGAGACCTGGGTCACATGGGCGAATTGGATCGACTTCGATCCGAGCTGGCCTCGTTGGATATCGCCGGGTCGTCGGCGGCAACGGATCCTGTGACGGTCGCGCGGCAATTGGAGAAGGACTCGATCTTGGCCGCCGTCGAACGGCAACGCAAGGAAGCTCGTGCCAGAAAGGGCAACGAATCGATCGATATCGACAAGCGGCCGAAGGAGAGGTGGGATTGCGAAACTGTCCTCAGTCAGTTCCCTTCAACGGGTATTCGGAGGTCTACTTGATCGCTGACTGAGGCTAGCGCTTACTTCCTCGTACAGGTACCTACAGTAACATCTCGAATCACCCCCGTTTATTGCGCGTCAAAGGTGGTCCGACGTCTCGGGCATCCCGCATTCGGCTTGACGAGAAAACCGGATTCCCGATTGTGGGATCGGCGGTCAGGGCTGGGCTCAAGGCGGGAAGCGGTGAGACGATAGGCGACGCTGAAGACGAGGACGAGGGGGATGATGAAGCTCGTAAGTGAAGGATTGCCGGCGAACGGGTCGTTTAGGCCTACTAGGACTGACAGAGACGATGGCCGGTCGTACGTCTCTCTTATCCCTGCGATAGCGCGCGTCGAGACGATCAAGCGGCCACGAGATGAGACCGCCGAGGACAAACGCGCTCGCAAGGGTGCGGTCAAGGAGCAACGCTCGGCTCGACGAGCAGAGAAGAAGAGCACAAAAGACGAATTTTCACAGGAGATGACGCGACAAAAGCGCGTGGCGGGGAGGGCTGTGGCCGATGGAGCTGCGGCAGATGTCCGCGTGGGCCAAGGTGCCCGTCGCCTAGCGTGATCGGCGATTCCAGCAGTATGCGAATGAACGGGTGGCTCAGCAATGCAATTCAGACTTCAGACTATGGACATATTAATCGAAATCTAGGCCTTCAGTACCACGCCACTGCGACCATCAAACACGCTCAGCATTGCGAAAGCTGCATATCTATGCGGCGCAAGCAGACTGGGAAGCCAGTCAGTCACGGGTCAAAGTCGGCCTTCAAACGGCAGGACGGGGCGAGATCGCTTACAGCAGTCCGACGGGATATGCTACAAGCAGTCGCTGGGACGATAATTGAAGGACGGATGAAAATATGGCTGACGCAGAGTATGAGCACCACGCAATGCTTGAACCTGAGACGATGTAGCCGAGAGAGCCACTGCGGACAGACATGATGAGCGACCTGATTTAGGAATGGATAGAGAGAGAGGTAGAACGAGCCACTCACTCGAGGCTGACCACGACCGAGATCATGCTTAGAAGAACCAGTGGCAAAAGACAATAACCGAGCACAGATGCCGTTCGATACGCATCGATCCCTCTCTCGGACATGAGATTCAAAAGAATGTAGATCGAGGCCGAGCCGACGAGTGCGACACCGTAGATGTAAGAGAACTGGGGCTTGCCCGACTGCACATTCGAGATGTCCGGAATACAAGGGAGCGAGCGTGTGTTAGCGCAAAGCCCTCTCCAGACGAGCCACACAAACTCCCATCCCAGTCGGCGTCGACTGACCAGCAGCAGGAACCCGGCAAAGACGGAGCAAAAGACGAGAGGACCAGCCAAGTCTGCATCGTCCATGATGTGCGAGTCGACCTTGCTGAGCGGGTTCAGCACCGTCAGCGACTTTTGCAGAATGTGATCAAAGTTGACGCCAAGTTCTGGGGTAAGGGAGATTTAACAGAGTGAGCGGAGAGAGCGGTCAGGGACTGTCCAGCTGTCGCCGAATCGGACGTTCCACGCGTGAGCGAGAGCTGGGCTCTGACACACTCAGGGCACCTTCCTGTATCGAGCAAAAGTGCACGCGATTCAACACACCTTGCAGCAGAGGTGGTTCTCCATCCTGGCCTGTCCACGGAGTGAAGGCGTTCCACCAGTTCTGAACGATGGTCGGCTGACCCGAGCCGTAGCCGGCCACGCTCGAGCCTACTGCACCTGTTGCGCCCGAGGGTGATGAGCCGATGCGACCGGCCACGACCGACGGTCGCGAGCCTGGGTCGAGCGAGGGCCGATTGCTGTAAAAGGACGACGCCGGCGGGAGCGAGGCAGCGGAATTGGGGTGCTGTGACGTGGACGGCGACGGCGAGGCTGAGGACGAATAGAACTGCAAGTTCGCGTCGATGGCGCCAAACTGCGGGCCTTGGTAGTACGTGTTGGACATGTGGAGTTGGCCGTAGCAATAGTGGACGAGTCAGAGTTGACGATAAAGACAGTTCCTCGAGCGACGGTGTCAGCAATCGTTTGAGAGCGGCTAGCTCTCGACTGCTCTCGCCAAAGCAGGTGCGTTGATTATGGCCACGGGTGGGCCGCCCCCCTGGGGGTGGCGCGCATGCGCTTAGAGTGAAGTAAGGCGAGAGAAATGCCTGTTCGCTTCTGCACCTTATTCGTTTCGCTCGAACGGCAGTGCTCATTGCCTCTACACTCGCGAAACTTTTCAACCCTGTCAGTACCGGCAATGACGACTGCTTCGACCTCAACCAACGACCACGCCGCGACGGCCCCGCAATTGCCCCCGATGCAACTCTCCGGCGCCCTAGACACGACGGCGTGTACCACTTACGATGGCGCTTTGTTCCGATGTCGTGTCTGTCACGACACCAACAAGTCAAGATGAGTCTGAACTATGGTGTGGGTCTCAACGCGCGGTTGGAGGCGGGTCTGGTCTTCGACGGTTGCCTGCCGCGCACGCATTGGCAGGACGCGCGCTGTTCCTATGTGCTCCTTATCAGCGGTCGCTCCGATGACGGCCTCGACCATCGTCCGAGGCGCACAGTTGCCTTCGGAGATGTTTGACCGCCACTCTGAGTCCGTTGCGATGCGGACCTGTGACTCGAACTGGTACATCATGCGGAAATACGACTTGATGGTTCGTTCTTTGTGGTGGTCGGGATTCAAGGTCTCGAAGATAAAGGGTGTCGGACCCTTCGACCAGTCAGTCGATCATGGCTCACGTCTCGGCTGCCCTCAACGTGCCCTCGAAGTGGGCTGAGCTCGCGGCCGAGCAACAGTCATCGTAGGCCCGGGCGATGGAGCGCCCGGTGGACGATCTCACCCAGGCGCGTGGCCGCATTCAAGCCATGGAGGCCGCAACGCTGGGGGACGAGGATTGGAAGCCGATTCTTCCTCTCCTCAAACCTGTAGTGGTGCGCCTGCAGCGGTAGTCGTAACTTCGGTGGTTCCGCTCAGCGCTGCGGCTGCCGCGAGCGGCAGCCTGCACCAGCGTTCGTGAACACGCGTGTTCTTTCTGTAAAGGCCAGCACGAGGCTTATACCCACGTCGGGTCCGCATGACCCAGTTGGCGCGTCTGTATCACCATCCTTTCCCTCTTCTCGTGTCGTGCCGTCACTTCCGCCTCATGTCCGCGTACGTGTAGATGCCTGGTCCCGACGGGCCCTGTGCCCCTTTCTGAGGTCGTTACCTCTCAGGCATCGCGTCGCGTGCCTCCGTTCTCTCGTTCAGGGGTCGAATCCCCGCCGTTCGCGCTTCCTCACGTCCGCACCCGCTAACCGCTGCTCCGGCGGACTCTCCGAGCATCACCGAACTGCCCATCCACGGGGTGGGCAGGGCTCCACTCGAACCCGTCTTTCTCGACTCCGTCTCCGATTCTCGCTCCCGGCTCGCCTCGAATTTGGCCCTCACCGCACGGTAAATACTCGTTTCCCGAACGATTCGAACCGCTTCTGCGGCCCTTTGTGAGGTCGTTACCTCTCGGGCATCGCGTCGCGTGCCTCCGTTCTCTCGTTCAGGGGTCGAATCCCCCGCCGTTCGCGCCTCCTCACGTCCGCGTACGTGTAGATGCCCGGTCCCGACGGACCGGAGGGGCGTTGCCACTTCCTGCACAGCCGAGGGCTGACGTGCTGGATTTGTATTTCCAGACCCGCTAACCGAAAGGAGACGTCCCGTTCGTGTCTTCAATGCCCGCGCCGGGCTCGTCGCCAGCGCCCGAAACTTCCGCTCGCATGCGAATCATGGCTCGCGAAGTCGACTCGTTCCATGATGCGATGTACAAGATTGTTACGCCGCTCGATGCTGGTGCGTTCGAAGCCAAAATTAAGGCACTTGCAAAGGTCGCGCACGTCGCGCCGTACCTGGCCGCTATACCGAAGCAGATCCGAGAGGGCTTTGATTTCGGCATCAAGGACCCTCCGTCGGAGCGTCACATCGCGAAGAACGCACCGCTCAGTGAGGAGCAACAACTGGTCATGGACGGCGAGATGGAGCGCATGCTCGATCTCGGGTACATCGCGGGCCCGTACGACAAGGACGAGCTCGAGGCCGCGGTCGGTCCTTTCCGCACGAATCCGATCAGCTATGTGCCGAAGTCAGTAGCGCCCGGAATGCCGGTCTTACCCGAAGGCGAAACCGATCGTTCGAACCACAGACCCTCACGAAGCGAATCATCCGTCGACGAGCGGGCATGGACCGTCGCAACGGAATGCTTCGTCTAGCCGTCCGAAACTCGTTTCCATTAATGACGACCTGAAATCTGCGGATTTCCCTTGCCGTTGGACGACCTTGCCCATGTTGTACCGCAAGTTTCGCGAGCTTCCCTTGACGGCGGAAGTCTGCGGTTGGGATTTCGCCGATGCGTTCTACCAGCTCCCTTTGCGATGGGACCAGCGATCGAGCATGTGCATCTTGTGGCGCGGCCTCATCTTCGTACGACGAGTCCCATGCTTCGGTGGCAGGACTACTCCCGGTGTCTTTGGGAACGTTGCGGACCTGACCCAAGACTTGGTCGAATGGAAGTTCCCCGGCGTGTCAATCTTCAAGATGGTTGACGATGTTTGCGCGGTCCGAACGTCGGATGCCATATCGCAAGAAGCCATTCTTCATTTCGTACGATCCCTCGGCTGGCGCCTCGCGGAGCAGAAAGGATTCACGTGGACGCGTCAGTTTGTCCACGTCGGGATTGACTGGGATTTGGATCTAATGACTGCGAGGGTCACCGATCAGAAGCGGATGCGCTACATCGACGCCTTGGTGAAAGGTAGTTGCGCCGATCAGAAGGAACGCTCGGAGGTCGAGTCGGTCACTGGGTCGTTGGGGTATGTCGCCTACATCCTACCTGCATTACGGACCCATCTCAACTGTCTATACAGACAGTGTATCGCGCACGGGGACCGGAAGGCGCTATCGCGGGCGCGTCGCCTGGACCGTCGCACGTACGATCAACTCGAATACTGGAGAAGGTCCCTCTCGTCGGAAGGCCCATTCTCCACGTCGTTCGAGGCCCTCCCGATCCCATTGAAGCTTGCGCTAGCGTGGGATGCCTGTATGCACGGACTAGGCATCGTCATCAACGGATACTCCGCGTACTTCGCTCTCCCCGAGGGGTGGACGGATCTGCCACCGCCTCGACACTCGGTCTCGATCACGAGGCGTGGGCGGTCGAGGCGCTGGCCGAGGCTGCGTTACGAATGTCTAAAGACGATAGACATTTCGTTCTACAATGCGACAACACCGGGGTTGTGCTTCGATGGAGGAAAGGGCATTCGATGAATCCCTTGTTGAACTCGTCGCTTTCAAACCTGCGCAGCCTTGAGGAAACTCAAGGTGTGAAGTGGTCGATTTAATACATCAACACGAAGGTGAACCCCGCGGACGTCGTGTCCCGGCAGCCAGACCGCCCGCGGTAGTACGAACCGTTCCCGTTCATGATCGCGCACCCACTGTCGAAGTTTCCGGCGGGGCGCGAGTTGCTGCTGGCGGTGGGAGAGCCCCTGTGGGCGATAGGCTGAGATATCTGACTCCCTTCGTGGAAGGTGGAGCCTCGTTCGTACGGAGTTGCGTATCCCTGTGTCTGCGAGGTCGTGTACCTTTGCTTGTTTGTGAGGTCGAACCCTCTTGCGTCCTGTTTTGTCAATGTCACGCTATCATGACTCAGAGCCGCGCTCTTATGCCTCGGTTGCAGCTGTGCGGTTATCCGGTCCTATCCCGTCTCCGCCGCGAGAGAATCGCGTGAGCGTAGGCGCGTGCTTGGCACGTTCGGCCTCCCCCCACACTTTGTCAGACGAGGGGGTCGCACGCCGTCTGGAAAATACAGATGTCTTTCGAGGATTCACGAGCCGCGTCGAGGCTTCGTCAACGAGCCATTCCGTACCCGACGATGGCCGTTAGGGAGCGCGCGTTCAAGTCTGGAAGAGCGCTCACCGGTCGGGCCGACGCGTCGAGTTCGGCGCTGCGCGATGGAGCACCGGCTGCGGCGCCACCTCTGATTGTGAAACTAGATTGTAGTCCAGGGACTTGTTTGGGATTCACGTCGACGTCGAACCCAAGATTGCCGATGTTGCGCATTTCCCATTCGGGGGACATCGTCGTTTACCTACCTGAGGCAGACGGGAACGAGATGGCCCCGATGGCTTCATCCACGAATTGCACGCCGGAGGAGCGGCTGTGCGCCGCGTTCGCCAAGGCGTATCGAGGCATCAACCGAATCCTCGTTCTCACACCGACGACTCCGGTCCAACGTCCGCTCCTTGGTCGACCGGAGGGATCGATTCCCCGCACATCCTGACGTCGTCAGGCGATTTGTCACTCGGATCGCGTTGTCGGGAAATGGCGTCGGAGCCTATAGCGTCAGCCACTTCCGCCGATTCCGTACCGCCCTAGAATTTTGGCACACAACGCATGGGCTGCGTATGAACTATGATCCCAAGATGTGGACGATGCAACTGGCTGCGGCTGCGGCCACAGCTCCAGGCCCCAAACCGATTGGCGGCGACTTTGGACGACCTCAGGTGCTTGGCCGCGGGGATCGATAAGTGCAGTCCGTTCGATACGGCCGTGTTTGCTGCAGCGTGTGCGGCGTTCTTCGCGATGGCGAGATTGGGCGAGTTTACGGCGGGTTCGGCGGACGAAGAGTTCATAGCCGAACGGCATCTAGCGGTGGCCAATGCACGCCGGATCGATGCGACGAGCGAAGCTCCTCTCCGATACGAGTTGGACCTCCCGTTCGACAAGGTGCGCCGGCGTGTCGGCCGCACGCTGGTAGTCTCGGCGCGAGACGGCGAGCCCTTCTGCCCGGTCGGTGGCATCGATAACCATTTCCGCCTAAACGACCCTCCACCAGGGCGGTTGTTCTCATATCGGGCGCGCGAGGGAGGTCATCGACAGCTGACCTCCTCGGCGTTCTCGCGACGAATCAGAGACATTCTCGAGGCGAGCGGAAGGGCGCCCTTGAATAACCACTCCTTTAGGTCCGGTGGGCCACGTTTTACCTTCGAGAAGGTGTACACACGGATCACATCCGAAACCTTGGCCGTTGGTCATCGAATGCCTTTGACAGGTATTGGCGGCGGCACAAGGAGATTGCGATCCAAGTGCTGAGCAAGGCTGGCAAGCTTGCATTCGATTCGGTTAGAGCCTGAATGCGTTGTAACGTAGGCATCTTTCGCTGTGTTTCTTTGGTTGTGAATGTGGGGGGCGTGACCTGTGGTACGCGTCCGGCGCCAGGGCGCCTGTCCGAACCGAGGGCTCGGGAATTGGGGTGTACGCATCATCCCAGGGTCTCGTCCAGGAAGATTAATCATCTTCCTCATCCCAACACAACCAAACAAACCGAAAGATACACAAGGAAGGTCGCAATTCCCTTCCCGCGCTCGAGAACCCCATTGGCATCCGATCGAGACATCGGAGGGGAAAAGCGAAGCCGACGCAGTGAAGGTTCACGCGTTCACGCGCCACTGAAACACTCGGCGCGCGACAGCCTGCGACAGCGCTCTCGACCAGCGCCGCCTGAGTCGCGTGACTAGCCCCGATCGGATTGTAAGGATGTGCTTGCTTGCCCCGGATTACAGCCCGCAGCCTTCTTCTTCGAACGCATAACCGCATGGTGAGGCAACGCAGAGCTCGGACCGGTCCACAGAGTGCTTGCTTCTAACCCGCTCAGTGTTCAAACTCACATACAGACCGCTACCTGGCCACGACCCGTGGCATCTCTTGAGTGCTCTCTTGTGGTGGCCCATCAACTACGCGAGCCCACCATCCTCGAGCCCCTTGCGTTGCGCCAGCAACTCGCCCAGGATGGCTTCTTGTACCTTCGCTCGTTCCTGCCGTGTGAACTGGTGACGATCGCACGCCGTACGCTCGCGCTTGACCTCGCTTCCAATGGGTTCCTCGACACGAGCACGTGCCTGGACCTTACCGTGGACCCCTTGTACATCAACCCCGAATCGATCAAAGACAAGAGAACGCCCGAATTGCTCAATCGAACGGACTTGCACCGGCATCCAGACGTCCTCTCTGTATTGGAACACGACTCTCTTCGGCGCCTGATGAGGTCGCTTCTGATCACTCCGAGTTCCGACACGGTCGGATTCGCAACGCCGCCGAGTACAATATGTCTGCCCGAATTGCGAACCCACCCTTACAAATGGCTGCGAGTTGTAGGCCCCTCGCTCTACACGGGTCTGCACGTCGATCGAACCTATTTTCCCACCTCGTCCTTCCCGACTCTCTTGACGGCTTGGATCCCCCTCGACAATATCCCGACAGAACTAGGATCACTCGTTATCGCCCCCGACATCCATCTCCCACCGATGAAGGCTGGCGGAGACGGAACTAAGTCGGGGTGGATCCTTGAAAAGTACCTCGAGGATCAGACGATACGATGGGAGTCGGCCGATATGAACAGAGGCGATGTCGTCATCATTGATCCGGCGAGATGCGTTCATATGAGCAGTCGAAATGTTGCGAGCCCGCCGACCTGGAGGATTAGCGCCGATACAAGATGGTGGATCTAGCATGATCATACTGCATGGGCAACGCCGTTCCACTATCGAAATCGTCTCAAACTCAAAAATTAATCCTCCTCTTCCTCCCAAGCCACTCGACTCTGCACGTGCGCGCACCCAACCTCATGCTCCTCAGCAGGTCTTCTCCACGCTCTCCGATCTATTCTCTCCCTCTCCCAATTCATCTTTTCGTTCCGTTCCCTCTCCTGCCTGTCCTGGGCTCCGTTCAACGCAAGCGAAAGATGGGCGACCCCCCAAGCCCTGGAGCAAACCGGCGTCAGGCAGAGGATGAACCCTCCCATTCTGCACAGGTAGGTCGACAGGACCGACCGAGCCCAGCTTGCATCGACGACAATCATACCGTTGGTCGAGAGGAAGCTAGAAAACAAGGGATCCTCATCGAAGTCTTGTTGTCCAAGCCGAGGCCCGTTTGCGTCGAATGACGGTACTTCCTCCTTGAACGCGATCATCCGCCGAGTCCCATCCCTCAGCTTATCGGCTTCGTTCCACGCTTCCCATCGGGCGGCGCCGCCTCCGAGTCGACGTTCCTCTGGACCAGCTGCAGCGCATCTACGGCGCGCTCCCAGCCACTCTGCCACGTCGCCGCGTCCAACCACTGCCCAGGCAAATTTCCAAGTCCTGCAGGCCCGATCCCTTTGATGCCCCTGAAATAGTCGCACCCGAGGATGAGGCTCGCGACGAATCCTGACAAGAATTCCACACCGCGGGGTGAGCGTCGAGCACGGCAAGGTCTACCAAGCTGATGTTTTGGTCCTTGCCCGATAGCACGGCGCGATAACGGGCTTGGTCGGCGCCGAGAAGCATGAAAAAGTCGCTGTCGGCGCTCACGAGGACGACGCGGTTGGGTTCGAGCGCAACGTCGCAGATCTGGCCAAACTTGGTCGACGCCGAGACGAGGGGATCGGCCTCGTGGGCCGCGACGACGAGCAAGCCTTGCTCGGACCAGCGAACAAAGGTGGCGACTCGGGTTGGCTCGTCACCGTGGCAAAAAGCGACCTCCCATTCTTTGCTCGATTGTCCGTGAACACATGCGGCGAGGGTGTCGTTCGTGATGAAGGGGACGGGGTGGGTGACAGGGGTCGACTTTTCGGAAGGCTGTTGCGGCTGCTGGCGATCTTGGCGATCGAGCACGGTGTCCTGCTTGAGCTTGGGCCGAAGGATGGGATGATCAAATACCACGACCACTTGGATCCGCCTTGCCGTCGCTGCAATGATCTCCTCGAGGTGTCGAATGATCGCATTGAGGAACAGCCGGCCTCGCTTCGGCTCGTTGTGTTGCGCCCGGTCCGTCGCGGCTTTGCGCTGATGTGTGAACGCGGTAGAGCCGTCGATGATGGCGACTGAGTGGAGCACAATGATGGACAGCGTAGAGGGTCAGCTAGGGTTTGCTCGGCAAATCGTCCCCGAGCAGTTATGGGCTGCGAAGGGGCTCTGAGGAAGCGACTTGCCATCGATCTTGCCGACGAGGGAAACCAGCGCGCTGCTCAGGTTCGTCTCCCGAGAGAGAAGGGCGTCTGGAACGACCTCTAAAGCGTCACCGAGGCAGTCGTGGCCGTGTTTGACCGTCATGGGAGGAGGTATGAGGTGTGTAGGTGCAAGGCGCAAGGCACAAGGTGCAGGGTGCAGGGTGCAGGAAGAATCAACGGTGGTTGAGAAGGCTGCGCTGCCCATCGCTCCCAGCCGAAAAGCAAACGGGGGCAGGTCCAACAAAAGGTCGTTCGAGCTCAAAGTAGTGTGAGAAGATGCATCATAATAGTTCAAATTGTACCGTAAAATAGCCTGTACCCCATATTCGTTATTTTTGCTCTCAATCTTAGTCTGGTCAAGGCAGCGGCCTCCTTTCGGAAGACCGCAGTGGGGAGCTTGAGCGTCAACGAGTAGGCAGCGAGAATCCGCCAATTTTCTGATGAACAATGGTTCGACGTACATGTAAAAAAGATAAAAATCTTCTTTCAATATGAATTTGTATTTGGGTGCCACCCTACTTGCATGACAGCCTCGACTCGCTGCGTCGGAGCTTTCGCGTGAAGCCGGTCCCGCAACCCAGCTCCGCGGCGGACTCGGAGTTCGGGGTCGTCCCAACTCGGACCAAGCTGCTGGAGCGACAACCGCTGTATCGATCGCGGCGATCTCAACTCTGGGGTGATCCCTGGAGCTCAACCTACTTGCTGAAACTTGACCGAGCTTGATCGACAAGGTATTCGGTCTTTCCGAGGGGTGGATCGTGGGCCTCGATGTGGGGTGCACGGTCCCCTCTCCGTTCAGATCTTCGGCGCTCTCGGCCGCTCTCGGCCGAGGTAGAGAAGATCGAAAGCTTAAAGTCACAGCGTGGCGTCATATCGATGAGATGACTCATTCTGCCAAGCGCACGCCCTGCACCCAAATCGGCGACCACCTCGAGCTCGTCGCCTCTCTCTCTTTCTCCTTCCTTCTCCTCGTCGACGCGCTCTGCAACCCTCGCACCACTTAATCTTGCCGACATCGCCCCCCTTTTCAGGAGGATACGAAACGGTGGCCTTTGTGGTGTGGTAGAGTCTGTCGTTCGATCATCCCCCCTTCCCACCCTCTCTACCTGTGAGTTGATGCCTGGTGCGACTCGACGAGCTTGTTTGTGCCTCGAGCGGTGATGCTGACTCGATCGTGGCGACCTCCCCCTCACCTCTTCACCCCTCCCCCCCTCATTTCAACCTCATTCGACACTCCTCTCCCCTCCCCTCCCCTCTCGCCTCACCTGACCCTCGTTTCACCCCACCTTGATTCCACCTTCACCTTGACCTTGACCTCCCTCACCCGATCCCACCCTATCCCATCCCACCTCGTCTCTCGTGTACCTCGTCTTATCGTCGTCGTCTGTCCTCACTCGTCTTTGACCCCTCCCAATTTGCCTTCCCCAGCCTCCCTCCCTCTCCTTCCTTCCTCGTCGACGCGCTCTACACTTTGTGCACCACTTAATCTTGCCGACATCGCCCCCCTTTTCAGGAGGATCCGAAACGGTGGCCTTTGTGATGTGGTAGAGTCTGTCGTTCGATCCCTCCCACCGTCAAAAGTGTGAGTAACTACCTAGCTAGCGATCGGGTTCGTGTGGCGTATGGTCGGACTGACTCGTCTCGTGTTCACCCGTCTCGCGTCCATCTTTCACCACCCCACCTCCATCATCTTACCCCACACCACTTCTCCCCTCTCCCCTCTCACTGTGATCTCTCTCGCTTCCCACCTCGCCACTGCTTCCGACCTTACCGTCTGTCACTGCGTCACGGCTTGCCATCAGCCTATCCACTCGTCGACGAGTGTTGAATGGCGCCTACGGCATGTCGCTGAGGCTGTGTATGGTCCACAAGACCGCTTGCATCTGATGTACCCCGTGAGTCTTTGCTTTGACCCTTGATTGATCGATGGATCGATCGTGCTCGCCGGCCCTTCACGACGGGCGAGGCGGGGCTGACGATTCGATCCTCGCCTACACTCTCCACACAGTAGCAGCCTCCACCGTGACTGCGTTACCGAGTCGACCGATCTCACCTGCTCGGATCAAGGGAGGTTCACGGTACCCTAAACATCAGTGAGTAGCATGTACCCTAATCCTATGGTACCAGGTAGCTTACTTCTAGTGTACGCATCAACCTCCAGCTGCACACGGTCTTCAAGCCATCTCCACCTCGGTCGACAAGGTCCCCTTTTGTTTTCTGTTGCTTTCGAATTGGTTTCACCTCGGAACTCTTACGCTGGCGGTGCTAAGTGGCAGGTGACTGTTTAGCCTAGCCAGATCCAACTCCTACATTGAGCCTCCCTTGTGAACCCTTTTCGTGTTTTGTAGTTTTTGAGTGCACGTATCGAGATGCGCATGCACCACGGATTTGAAATTCGAACCGCACCCTTCCTGTATGTCACAGTACTACCAGAAGCTATCAAGTTTGCAGCTTAGTATCCTCTCACTGTGACGTTGCTGCATGAAGAAGAAGAGGATTCTTCTGTGTCTTAAAAAGAAATAAAGGCGCCGGAAAACGTGTTCTCGACCACGTTGGGTACTCGTCAAATTGGCAGCTCACGCGCCTTTCCTTGCGCTCGAGCCGGCTCGATACCTGGACAAGTCCCCACGCCCCACACACTGGACTGATACATGCACTCCGAGCACCCGGCCGATGAACGAACAGCAGGATCAAGATCGATCGCCGTCGCTGACCCTGCGGCGCATCGTGTCGGGGCCTTGCAACATCGAGGCCGGCGCATCAGCTTGGGCAAGTGCATGTGAGCCACACAGTGCGACCCACCCCATCCCTCGCATCGTAAGTCAGGTAACCAAGTTGCCGAGCCAATCTTATGTGTCTGCTGGGAATGGCGCTGTACAGCCATCCGACCATCGAGCGCTCTTGGGCCCACGCGACCTGCGGCTTACCCCACCGGGCCCCCACCAACGCTCCATTGCCCCACTCTCGGATCTTCGCTCACGCAGATCGCTGCGGTCCAGGATCGGATCAATGTACTCGACCACAGATGGCAACTCGTGGATAGCCTCCCGTTCGAGCTCGCCTTTCCCTCCCAAACCCATCTCGAGTCGCTGGTGCATGCGGTGGCGTTCGATGCTCATTCTTGCCGCGTAAGTCCGGACATTCGATGAGATCGCGGCTGAGAAATTATCTGGACTATCGTGATCACCCTCACATCCGGGCTAGACTGATCATCACACCTTCATTTTGATCGTACTGGAATGGCTCAGATTGCGTCGTCTTCACATGGCCGCGTTGCCGTGTGGCACAAGCCCACCGCTCGATCCGCATGGAAAGTTCATTCAAGTTTCGTGGCGCCCTGTTCGGTGCACGCCCTCGACTTTCGTCGCAGTAAGTGGGCGCTCGACAGCTTTTCTGCATTGTCGGAAATTTCTTCCCACGCCACCAGTATCGTCTCACCCTTGTTCTTTCGTCTCATGCTGCGCAGGTCGGATAGTAGCCGGGGGCGATTCCTTGTCATTGTGGGTTCTCGATGAGGGCTCGGCACTGCCTCAGTGGGTGAACATGGCGGGCACACCGTGAGTCATCTCCATCACCCGAGGGCTTTCCCGCGCGAGATCCTCATTCTACTAGACATCGTATGCGTGTGCCCCGCCAGATCGGCCTCACGCATCGTTATGGCAAAGCTGTCGCCTTCGTCTGACTTGCTTGCAACGGTTGAGCAAGTGTGTGGATGGCCGCTTATCTTGGCCCTCGGGCGCTACAACTGACGTCGCTTATGCCGGTTCACCCATTTTCAGCAAAGCTGTGTTGTCAAACTCTCACGTGTGAGAAGGACGACCGAACTCAAACTCGCTTTCGTCTGCAACGCATCCCACTCATTGCCGCTGCGCACCCTCGACTGGCGACCAAGCGACGATGCTTCAGAGTGAGTGAATTGGCGTGTGACCACGCGATAGAAAATGGACCCTCGTTTGCGCTTATAACGATTGGGTTGGATGACAACTTCGCAGATCCGAACCGATTCTGTTCACAGAAACGATCGACGGCGTGTTCAGAATCTGGGGCTGTGTGATTGACGAGCCCGACCGGTTCTCGCTTTGGGCCTCACTCGACGTAGCCTCAGGACTGAACCAGAGGGTCCCGCTGATGACGAAGCGATTGCGCGGTCACACCATGGTTCAGGACACCGAACCGGAAGCTCGCGGCCGCGAATTTAGCACTACAGATGAATTTCTCGTTGTCTTCACGGACGGGTCGGCGGCCTCGATGCTGGTTGAGGTCAGTGCTGAGCTGGCACAATCAAGGTGGGAGCACACTGGGTTGTTGCGTGCTGACATCTCTAGGCGCCTTCAGAATTTCGATGCCCGCCCTCCGGCTTGCTTAGTTCAGTCGGCGGGTGCAATATCCGGCGTGGCCTTCGCCGCGGAGGACCTGCCGTGCCTTCGATACGCAATGTTACTGAACATCTCCGATACTCAATGCGTTGTCGTGGGTCGTAATACTCGCGGGGTCGTTGTCACCTCGGGCATGGTAAACTTCTTGGACACGCACTCGTTCATGGAGCATCTGATGTCGACCAAGCCCCCCGTCAATATGGTAGGCTGTGTTAGCCGGCTCCTTACGACCCTCGACGGGAACGCCACTATCGCTTGCGGGAGCGCGAAACGCGTTCAAACTTGGAATCATGACAGGGCAGGAAATATGTCCAAGTCCATCATAGCGGACTTTCAGAGGGTGTCCGTCGGGCACTGTGTCGCATGGCATGCCGGTGAGCATCTTCTGGACAATAGGAGATGGTTAAAAGCGTTGCTGACGGGTGCACATGTTCGGCAGGTGGAAAACGTTTAAGAGTGGCCGTGCTGGATACGGAGCGACTGCGCGTCTATGATCTGGGGCCGGGCGTTCGATCGCGACTTCTGGCGGAACAAGGTGTCTTGTCGGCGGCTCCGTTCAGCTCCTTCGTCGTTGCTCAGTCCGGTTGCAACGCCGAGAGAGTGTCGCTTCATGCGCTCTCAAGAGACCTTAATCTGAACTCTTGGATAGTGGAGGGGTGCAACATCTGCTCGGCAAGCCCCGTTCCTGTCGCTTCGAAATGGCCGACCCTGCCCAGGTTTAAATTCCTAACTTCCTCGACGAACTCCCCGGGCCCCGGAGTGCCCATCGAGCACAAGCTCGTACTTTTCGATGGCAAAGGTACACTTGTAGTCTTGAAGGCTTTGCTCTCAACCGCGGGGCCCGTTCAGTGGCTTGACGAAGCCCAGTATTCGGTGTCGCAATCACAGCCGACCGCTGCTGCAGTCAGTCCCACCGGCGTGGTGGCCTTGGTGTCACCCTCGACGCCCAGAAATCCCGGCGAGCCTTCTTCGTTCGAGTTATCATTTTTGGACGAACGGTCTGTAAATCCGTGGTCATTTCAGCGATTCGAAGCGCACAAGAAGTAGGTTGACGCCGTAGCCGGCGAGCAATTGGCCATTTCTCCAGACCAACGAACGAGCACTGACGACAGAGATCTTCACAGCGAAACACGCGTCCATTTGAGCTGGTCGTATGATGGACAGATTCTGGCCGCAGGGAGCTCTTCCCGTGTTCGACTATTTGGGGCTCAAAGGATTGATGCCAATGGCAACCGGTCTGGATGGGGAGAAGTAGCATCAATCGAAGTCGAAGTGTCAGTGCATTCTTTTTGTTTTCTCCCGATTCCCCCGGATCGTCGTCACTGAAGAACGCTTGCTACCTGTGACAGATCTCTTCGGGGCCAGATCTCAGAGATGTGCTGGTCCGCGCGTAAACTTGTACTGAGCTCGCGTGATCATTTGTGTTTCTATGATCTCACTCTCACCACAGGCGAAGCGCTTTTGGACAAGGTTGAAACGGGCTCGAACCCATTGCCCCTGTCTCACCCGCAGTTGCTTCACCAAGCCCTGTTGCAAGGTATGTGCGACCAGATTCTCGTGGCCAGTCATCTGGTACGTATACGAGGATGAGAAAGCCGGCATTGACATTTGGACTCTTCACTTATTCCACAGGTCGATTCGAAGCCGTCACATCGATTCTCGCAGGTCTCGCATCCCATCTCAATGAGGATGAAAGGGTGGCGGAATCAGTGCCCGCTGCGCCAGCTGAATTGTTGCTTCACAAGCTGTTCACGCCCGATCGCTCACAAAGAAACGTGAGATTTTGACTGTGCGATACTTTCTATGACGTGTTTGCTGATGTCAAGCTTTCTGATGGCCATAGTTGTCTACGCGCAACGCTGCGCCAGGAGTTCTTTCATCTCTCACCTTCAGAGGAGCAGCCACCAGGTGCGCCGCCGATGTACTATTTATGTATGGCCTCACTGACCATCAAATGCTGTTATATGTGAAGCAGATCTGCCTGCGCCTCGATGTTGACGGAGGATGCACTTGGGAGAATACTTACTGCAGCTCGCGCAAGGGCACTCAACGGTTTGACTGATTCCGAGCATGAAGCACTTGCTCTGGTAGCGCGCACGACTTATCTTGTGGGTAATAGGCTCTGCTTAAGCGTTTTTGCGAAAGATGTCGTTGACGTGTCTTTTCGCTGTTGGTATCAGGTGCAAGGCAAGCAAAGGACGTTAGACCTCAATGGGCTACGGTACCTCGTGGCGCTTCAAAGCTTCACTCTTGAAAGGGAGACGGCACCCCGTAACTCGGATAGCCTCCATCGTTTGGCCAACCGCTACGTCATCCCCGCCTTCCATAGCGAGTGTCAGACAGTTCTGGTGGAGGAGACGGGAAGGATCATTGGCGGCACGAAACTCAACTGGGCGACAGCGAAGGCACTCGGGATGTTCATGTGGATTCGTGATCGCGAACTCCTGGTACGTACTCATCGTTTACAACTTTGACTGTTTGCAGCAAATAAGACGTTTCTTGCCCGAATGTGCAGACCACGCAAATGGAGGTGGTTGGTCGCACCGAATACATGAACCCAAATCGAACCGATAAGGACCCTATCACAGCGATGCTCTTTTTCCTGGCGATTGGCAAGAAGAGCGCTGTCACCACGCTGTGGAGACAGGCGAGCGGCCACGCAGACCAAAAAACGGTGCTCAAGTTCCTGTCCAACGACTTCGAACTTGCTCGGTGGAAAACTGCAGCGCGGAAGAACGCGTTCGCCCTTCTCAGCAAACGGCGCTTCGGTAAGCGTTCAGCCATGGCTGCACTAGGTAACAGAGCTGAGATCTGTTTCACTCGATCCTTTCAGTCTTTGCCGCAGCCTTCTTCCTCCTCGGAGACAGTCTCAAAGACGCGGTCAACGTCTGCCTCCGCCAGCTCGATGACTTTCAATTGGCAGTCGCCATCTCCCGGGCCTATGAGGGAGACTGCGGGCCGGTCTTAAAGGAAGTGATGGAGCGTACGGTGATTCCCCTTGCTATGCGCCTTCACTCCAGATGGCTTGTTAGCTGGGCTTTCTGGATGATGGGCGATCGACAAATGGCGGCGTATGCCCTTGTTGTAAGCTTTCAGCCCTGTTCATTACGCCTGCGTCGAATCTGACCCAACCTGACGCGTTCTTCCTCGCACCAGCTTCCTTTTGGTGATCTGTTCCAACGAACGTCAATGACGTATACCCCTCCAAAAGTCGCCTCGTACAATGACCCCTATCTTGCGGTGCTGTATCAGCAGATTCGCGAACCGCCGGTAGTGCTTGAGAGTTCCCAAGGCGTCGTTCCTGAATCGGATGTGAGTCCCACTCCCGTGGTCCAGTGATAGCTTGCAAGATCGCTGACGGTGACGATGCAGTTTGTCCTCCGCATGGCTCGGAATCTTCGTCGAATGGGTGAGCCCCGCATGTTGAATGGGGTTCCCCCTAGCTAAAGTTACGCTGTGGCCCACGCTGATTATTTCTTGTACCGGATTGAACAGGGTGCCACTTGCTCGCCTTGGATCTGGTTCGCAACTATTCGTTTGCAGAGCAGTCCGCGCTTTCCACGAGTAACTCGAGGATCGCGACCGACCCCGCCTTCGACGCTCAATGTCTGGCCCTGAAAGGCAGCGATCACGGCAGGTCGGGAGTCGCCAACGATGTCCAAGCGAGAGAACTCGATGCAGGCTCGTCCAGTACGTCAGAGGTCGTGACGCCACTGCCAGGCAAGACGCGCAAAATTGTTGTCGCTGCACCGGAGTTCGATATGAGCGCCTTCTTTTAATTGCGTTTACTGTTGCTGGGTCAGCCCGTCTTGTCGAGGTTTGCAATCAGCGAGAGTTAGAAACGACTCTCAACATTCTGTGTGTACACGTTATTACACCAAGTACGACCCTAAACAGCGCAGCAGAGATGTCTCCTGGTATGGTACTGCTGAAATAAGCCTCACAGCCCTCCGGCAAAAGCCACCCCCAAGTCGGAGAGATGATGCCAATTCTAAACGGGAGTGATCAATCGTCGTAGCCTCGACCACTTCTCTGCTTCTCACGCTTTTTCTTGAAGTGTTTCTTGTCGGACGGGTCTTGCCCTTTCTCAGCCGCTGCCGCCGCCTTCGCCGCTTTCGCCGCCATTCGACGGGCCTTCTTGATCGGAACCTTGTTGCCCGATTCATCCACTTGGCCCTGTTGGTGCGGGAACATCCTGACGCGACTGAAGCTCGCCCCGTTCTTCTCCCCGGCGACGCCTCGAACCCCCGGAAGGCCTACCAGTTCCTCGGAAGTAAAGAACCTTCGGTCCAGAGCTTTCGCCCTCGCAGATTGGCGAGTTTTGCTCATCGCTTGAGCAGCACCTTCTTCCCCAACCTGGGAGATGTACGTATCGGCCTTGACGGGGACACGGGTCGTCGGTGCTCGCTTGGCTCTCAAAAGGCCCATCGACTTGAGCCTGTCGACGTCGCGATTCTCGGAGTTGAATTCTTCCTCGGTGACGGAGGGTGGGGGTGAGCAATAGAGCAACTTGCCGTTGACGTAATCCTTGAGCACGACACGAGCCGCGCGGGAAATGTCGGCGTTTCCCATCCCACCAGTGAAGTAGCCTCGGGCGACTGGATGTCCGAAAATGAAGCAGGGGAAAGTGGCGGTAATGGAGTCAGCTTAGCTGGACATGGCCAGAACGCGGTGTTCTTGAACTCACTGGCATAAGTAGTCATGAATTCTGCAGCGGTAGGGACACCCGTTCCCCCTTCGCTGATGGGAAGTGTGGGGATTCTCAAACCATACGTCCCCTCAAGGACGGCTTGTGGGACACGCTTGGTGATGAGCGCGATCGGACCCGTAAACTCGCGGAGTTGATCGATGGGGAGCACACCGTCGCAAACGAGGTGGGCCTGGGTCGAAGCGAACTGGGGGAACACAAGGCCCGGGCAATCGCAGAGCAGCACATCGGCAGAGAGCCGGATAGTTTGAAAATGCTTCGTCTTGCCCGGCGTCGATGACACCGATACTTTCTTCTCGCCAATCAGCGCGTTGATGGTCGATGACTTTCCGACGTTGGGATACCCTACAAGTCCGACCGTCATTCTTTCGGCGGAAAATCCACGAGCGACAGACACTGCGGGAGAGTTCGTGGACGCTAGTCAGAGAGTAGCTCCACCCGCCGCATACGTGGATCTAGCCACCCGTGGGGTGCACTTACCTTCGGGGGCGTGCTTCAAGAACAGGTCCTCAAGCTCCAGGACGGTGAGGATTCGGGTCCGGGGAGACGAGCCCTCTGTCGTGATTTCGAGCCCCGAGCGCATGCGCTTTGCCAATTCATCGATCCCATCGTCGTCATCCCCCTCCGAATCACTGTCCTCCTCGTCCTGTGGCGAACGTCCAAGGTTCGATGATCCGGGCCCCCTCACATCCTCGAGCGTGCGAAGCTTGTTGCCAGATTTGGGAATCTTCATCCCTGGTGCCAAGGCCTCGATGTCCTCCTGCCTGCGTGCCTCAACAATGGGGTCAAAGTCTTCGTGGTCACTCGAACTTTCCTCGGTGTCGTCGGAGCCGGACTCGGAGCCTTCGTCGCTGCTCTCCACGAGCGCTTCGCGACGGGCTCGTTCCTCCTGAAGGGCGATCCCATGCGCGGCCGAGAAGAAGGCGTACTGGATCTTGTTCGCCTCGAAGTAGTCGGCCCAGCCTTCGCGTTGCTTTTGGGTGAGCAGATCGGATTTGTTGATGAGCAGCAAGTTCTTGCGCTCCCCACGGGGGCGGCTCTCGGCTTGAGTCGAGGTCGATGCTTGACCTTGGGCGGTCTCGACGCTCTTGTCCGTGTCGTTGTTGGTGTCGTTGAGTTCGAGCACGTACTTTTCGAGGTCTTCGGAGCGGAAGGTGAGCGGACTGCGCGCGTCGACGATTTGAACGACCAGATCCGAGCGCTCGCAGGTGCGCCACAACTGTCTCCAGACCTCAAGGTTGCGTTCGAACGGAGTCAGCAGCAGGGCATTGTTGTCTTGCAAGCTATAAAACATCCAAAAGAAGTACCGGATCAGTCGGCTCGCAGACCTTTCCCCGAATCTTGATACGTCGACTGCTTACTCGGCAAGTCCACGGCGCCACTCCAAGAACGAGTCGCGCTCCCTGCGCTCGAGCTCGACGGTGGTCATCTTGCGGTTCCAAGGCGGACGACGGGGCACCTGGAGGCGTTGAGAATTGTCGACTTGCTTCTGACGGAGCTCGCGTTCCTGTTGGGGCGTGAGCAGGTATGGGTTATGACTCGCGGCGGTGAGATTCGGGTCTGCGACGACTTTGATGTTTTGTCGTTCTGCGTTTGTAGGTCGAATCGGACTATGTCAGTACGCGCGGCAGCACCCGTATTGCGGTGACACTGACCTGCTGCAAAGTCGGTCTCGGCCAAAGCGGCGGTCGTCAGGAACTCGTCGAGATCGTTCTCCTGCGTCACCGACTTGAGCCCGGCGGCGATCTCCGAGTTGTGCTGCAGCGCATTCGCAAACCAGTAAAAGAAGCTTAGCCCTAAACATCAAATAGGATCATCTACACACGCTCTCGCTCTCTCGCTCGCTCGCTCGCCAACTCGTCCCTAATGGCGCTCAATCCACCTCCAAACGCAACACTGACCAAAGTCGGATCGGCCATCATCGTGGCATGCTTCGCACGACGGTTGATGATCGCTCGCCCGAGGCCGTTCTTGTCCGTCTTCTTCTTCTGGACTCCATTCTTGCGTTCCGAGACCATGGGGGGCGTTCTTGGAGTGGGTGTCGCTCGCGGTGGGTGGGTCGTTCTAGTGCGAGCGAGCTGCGATAATAGGTCGCGGTTGGCTGCGAAGCCCCAAAGGCTCGTCAGCGCGAGTAAAGCCGAGTCGGCTGGGGCAAGCTATCGGAGATCAGCTGGGCAGGCTCGGCGTCGATAAGTTGGGAATCACACAGACATGACCTCAATGCGCTATCTTAGTTCCACAGATTACAACACCATGCTTCGAGTATCCTATGTATTGCATCCAACGGCAATTAATCTTTGTAGGCCCCCCCCCAAAAGAAGAGAAAATCGGACCTGGGCGTAATATGCTCTCACATCCTAGGCGAAAACCTCATCCTGGACTCAAAATAGCATCTTCATCTCTATTCTAACCGTAGTTGCTCCTCCACTCAATCTCCTTCCTTCCTTCCCCAACCTTTTCGTCAAAACAAGTAAGCAAACTTGGTCTCATCCGCCCCCGCACCCGTCATCCTGCGCGCATCGGCATCCCCACAAATCCTCTCCAACCTCAACAGGTCGAACTTGGAAAAGATGACCTGACTGGTGATTTCGCTCGCGTCGATATCTTCGACCGTCGTTCGATTCGGGTCATCGTACGACGCGACGGTGACCTGCCCAGGTCGAGTGAAGGGGAAGGAAAGGATTTCGGGGTAGAATTGCGGGTGGTCCGGTGGGGCATAGAAAACAAAGGTCTTGGCGCCTCGGAGGCGATACCTAAACATCGGTGCACGAGAGTGTAAGAAGTCAGTCACCGCAAGCGAACCTCTTGGGGTCGAGCAGCTCATCCGATTGAACTGACCGACGGAAAAAGTGGAAGCGCTCCGTCACCAACAGGAACGACGTTTTCCCGGCAAAGAAGGCGCCGCGTGCCCTCGAAACATCCGGTGTGGGAGTGTACCTGATGGGAAAAGAACGCAAAGAGACGATTTACAACACCGTAAGACCACGAACTGAAGTGAACAAGGTACTCACTCGGATATGGAAGAGAAGGAGAAATCGTCGAGCTTCTTGAGGTACTTTTTCAGGCGCACGAAATCAAAGTAGGAAGGCACGAAGATGATGGTCTGCGACGAGCTCACAGCCGACCGACGCAACATCGGCAACGTCTGCACAAAACGGCAGCGTCAGTGTCCAGCCTTTGTATCCCCTGCATGCAGAAAGCGAGGACGGCTGACCTTGGTCGTAAAGTGCTCGAACCTCATATCGTCCTCCTTGTACACATCTGCGCATTCGAACCTCGTGAAAACCTGCTTGACGCCTTTGGGCACCTGGGTGAGCAAGCCGTCGTGTTTGACCTCGGCCTTGAGCTTTCCCTCAATGTTGACGAGGCTTCGATTGTACAGCGATCGAATCTCAGGTGTCTCGTATGCCGATAAGAGGATGCTTTGGCGGAGGTGTGAAGCTCTTTTGGTGGCCAAACAAAAAGAGAGATGTCAGCTCTGGGCAAGCTCTTGAGGACGCGAGAAAGCGATGCCGTTTGTTCACTCACTTGCCGTCCAAGTACCACGGCTTGACTCGTGAGAAGTCGCACCCATGAGATTCCTCGGGCAATTTATTGAGACGGTCCATGATGAACTGGGAAAGATTGAGAATTACGGGAATCAGTTTGATGCGTCTGAAAGGTTCGAATTAGGGGTCACGAAAGCTCACCGAGACGTGGTCCCAATTCTGCATCAGCATGACATCCATTTGGTCAACGATCAGGATTTCGATCGAAGACAAAAAGTCGGCGTCGTCTCTAATGACGCAAAAGACGCTCATGCGTTGTAAGTCGACTGACGCGTACAAAGCACGCCACCTCTTTGGTAACTCACTTCTCCTTCTCGATACTGGTCCTCAGTCCCAAAGGGCTGGCGACGATAACATCGCAAGAATAAAACTCCGAAAAGAGCTTGAGACTCTTGCGAGTAACCTTGATCCCCAGCCTGAAGCTATCGTCAATGTTACCGCGGAAGGTCTCGACATGGTCAGCAGGGTAATCCTGAGGGTTCTCGGCCAACTTGTCGGAAGCGCCTGCGGGGAGCAGGTACTCGGTGTCGAATCGGGCGCGATTCTCGATCGTCTCGGCTTGGGAGGTACGGGTGAGGAGGTCGACCCATGCATGGGCTGAATTGCGGAAGGGTGCGAGGACGAGCACCTTGGGTCGGGTGAAGCCTTGGTCCTGGATGTTGCGCGGTGGTACGGACGACGACGATGAGGCGGCAGGGGCTGAGGCGGGTTTGCCCTTCTTTGCAGGCGCCGCAGGTGTGCTCGCTGCTAGCTTGGAGAGATGTTCGTTGTTCTTCAACACCTTGATGCGTGTTCTGTCACGACCAGTTCGGCAGGGTCACCTGGTCAGTTGCGCCGAATCACTCGTAGGGACGGGGGCGGGAGCGGGGCGGGGGGACTTGCCGGAGCACGTGATTCATGCTGTGGAGGGCCAACGCGGCGCGGAGTTGGTCGTGGCGCTGGGGTGTGAGGGTCGGGTAGAGCACGTCCTTGTAGGTCGACAGGAGGGATAGCCATCCTTGGTCGAAGGGCGGGAGGGATGCTGATGAATGGAGAAGGAAGAGGGGAACGACGCGAAGCGAGTATAAGCACACGATGACCGCATCCAAGCAAAGCAGAATTGGGATTGCTGATTGCTGATTGCTCACCGGAAGCAGACGAGTCGATGTTTTCGCGATACTTGTCGAGCAATTTCGAGTTGTAGAGTTTGTCAACCCGCTTGGGATCGACGAGAGTGGCCGTCGACGACGAGGTTGTCGCAGCCGAGCTCGCAGCCGAACTCGCAGACGAGGTCGACGGTTGCGAAGCTCGGGCGGAGGTCTCGGCGGGGACGAGGGCGGAGGTGGAGGTGGAGGTCGCGCAGGATGATTCGTGGAAGGTTGCGAGCTGAGGAACGACGCGTTTCTGCCTCGGGCCCCATTCGAGTTGGGTGGGTATGGCTTCGGACGCGGTGCTCCAGTGCAGCTCGAAGGGATCGTCGAGAAGCTGCTCCTGCTCCTGCTCCGGGTCGTGATCTTGATCGTGGTCTTCGTCGTGCGCAGCTGCACGTGCTGGGCTGGGCTGTTGCACCTTCTTCTTTTCTGGTACTGGTTGCTTCTCGTCTTGCACCTTGGCCCTTTTGGCGATCGAATACCAGTCGCGGCTGATCGAGGCCTCCGTCGGGGAGGTGGTCCCGTTCCGCTTGAGGGGGTTCTGCTGCTTGTTCTGCTGCTTGTAGTGCTTGGACCCGAGGTGGGCCGACTGCACGTTGAGGATCGTCAGCAGCTTCACCGCCGGATCGAGGTCGGCCATGTCCTTCATCTCGTAGGAGATCGGTATGTAGTCGGTCTGAAGGTGGGGAAAGAGATGAAGGGTGCGCAGGAGGAAAGCTGAGCGAAGTACTGAGCGAGTACTGAGCGAGTGCTGAGCGAGTGCTGAGCGAGGCCATCCCTTTGAAAGCTTCCCAAGGCATCCCAATAATAGCCAACTACATATAGCCAATAGCAAATAGCGCGACAAGTCTCGCCGAGCGCGCGCGCTTCCAAACTAACCCCCACGCACACGGAGAAGGAAGACCTCAACGCGCCATGTCGACCGAAGCAGATCAAGACTGGTCCAAACTCAAGGTCGTACAGCTCAAGGTCAGCACCACGGGTCCTAGTTGAGCAGCTGAAGCCGAGCCGAGCTGCTGACCGTTCCCTCGGCTCTGGGACGCTTCCACCAGGCGCACCTCAAGGATCTTGGCCTCGCCGTCGTAGGCAAAAAGGATGAGCTCGTACAACGTCTGACCGACCACTACGAGCAGCAACAGCAACAGCAACAGCAGCCATTGGAGCCATCAGAACAAGCACACGAAGCAGAGCCAGAGCTAGAGCCGGCCCATGACGATGCAGCTGCACCCGTCGAGGCCGCTGCCGTCGACGACTCGTCAGTACAGGAGGTCGAAATCACAACGCAAGCCGCCATACCCCAGATCAGATCAGCGGAAAGCTTGGCTACCCAGAACGGCCACAACGAACAGCCCAAACCCAAACGGGCCAAGCTGGACATCGACCTCGACCACACCGCCCTGGCCCCACCCACCCCGCCGCCACCGTCCCCACCACCAGCACCAGAGACGAAACAGCAAGAGCTTCGAGAACACAAAGCACACGCTCCTCACGGCGAGGATGATCACGGCAGCAAGCCCAAAGACGATCCCGAGGAGCCGCCAGACTATGACCTGCAGTTCCAGGCCATCGACGATCAGGACGACTCAACACGGCCGACCGACCTCTACCTCGACACAGTGAGTCTCCTCGAGCACGAATAGTCCAGAGGCTTGAACAACCAACTCGGACACTGACCAACTCCCCACTCCGACCTACCCGGGGATCAGATCAACCGCCACGCGCTCGACTTTGACTTTGAGCGACTGTGTTCCGTCACGCTCAGCCAAAACAACATCTACGCCTGCCTCGTCGACGGCAAGTACTTCCAGGGACGCGGCAAGTCCAGTCCCGCCTACGCTCATTCGATCGCAGAGGACCACCACGTCTTCATCAACCTCACAACTCAAAAGGTGGGGGATACCCCCACATCGATCCTCCTCACACGCTTCCCAAGCTGACCCGTGCCCCGTTCCTCCAGGTCCACGTGCTTCCCGACGGTTACCAAGTCAACGACCCCTCCCTCGACGACATCAAGTACCACCTCTTCCCCACCTTCGCCCCGACCCTCTTGCAGCGCATCGATGCCGCCGAAAATCCGAGCTACGACCTCGCCCAGAAGCCCTACTACCCCGGTTTCGTCGGTCTCAACAACATCAAAACCAACTCGTACATGAATTGCATCCTCCACGCCCTCGTCCACGTGACGCCCTTGCGCAATTACTTCATCCTCGACCCGCACGTCACCTCGTCCGACGCGACCGAGCTTGTCCGTCGCTTTTCGATGCTCTGTCGCAAGATCTGGAACCCGCGCGCCTTCAAAGCCCAAGTATCACCGCACGAGCTCTTGCAGGAATGCGCCAACGCGAGTGCCAAGCGCTTCAAGATCACCCAGGCCAGCGATCCGCTCGAGTTTCTGGGCTGGCTGCTCAATGCCCTTCATCGCGATTTGGGAGGCAACAAGAAACCAAAATCGAGTACGTCTACACCTGACTTTTGTGAACGTCATTCCCTTGCGTTGGCTAAATTGGAATAAGCCGGCTCGTCCAGGCGTCATCTACAGCGCTTTCCAGGGCGAAGTCCGAGTCGACGATCAGCAGGTCCTCACCACGGGCGAATACGGCGGCAAACCACGCTTCGATCTTGACCGAGGTACGTTCCGCTTGACCTCGATCTTCGCGCGTTCTATACTAATCTATATCTTTTGTACCCTTCCAGACATCAAATCCACCACGAGCCCCTTCCTCTTCCTCGCGATCGACCTCCCCCCACCCCCCGTCTTCCAAGACTCGGTCGAAACCAACATCATCCCCCAAGTGCCCATCTCCGCCGTCCTAGCCAAATACGACGGAAGGACCACGCAGGAATCCAAGGGCACGCTCCGAAGATGGAAGTTGACAAGGTTACCGCCGTTTTTGATCTTGCACATCAAGCGCTTCACGAAGAATAACTTTGTCGAGGAGAAGAACCCGACGATCGTCAATTTCCCGCTTAGAGGGGTCGATATGGCGGATTGTGAGTCGGAGCACCCAAATCAGATATCACTCTCAAGGCTGTGCCAGCTGACATTCACTCCCTTTTAACCCTCCTAGATGTCGAAGGCAATCAGTCCATTGCGCAATACTACGACCTCGTATCCAACATCACCCATTCCTCAGCCGCCGGCACAGCGCGAGAAGAAACGACGTGGAAAGTCAACGTCCATCTCCGAACGCAAAGGGATCTAGAGACCGGCAAGTTAAGCCGACCTGGGAAAGGTGACGACGATGAAAAGTGGTATGCGATTCAGGACTTGATCGTCGAGGAGATCAATCAGCAGTTGATCCCGTTGGGGGAGAGTTATATTCAGGTGAGCGCCTAAAAAGATGTGAACGCGTAGAAGAGAAGAGGTGCTGATGGTCTTTTGCACTCGAAATGATCTGTTAGATTTGGGAACGGCGAGGAGCGGCGAACCAGCCCCTAGTCGTAGAAAAGCCCAAACCCAAGTCGACCAAGATTTGAAAAAACAACGACGGGATATCTTGCAATGCAGACCAGCAGCAAGGGGTTGTCAAGCCAAAAACAATGAGCGAACGACAGTGAGGTATGAAGAAAATAATCAACAACATATTGATGCAAGAAATGCGAATGAAAGAGATGAAAGACGAAAATGCCAAAAAGAGACCCTCACAATGAGACTCAGGGTAAGGGCGAACGAGTCGAGGTCGGATCGCGACGCGCAAGCGAGCTGTATCGGCGGTGATCCGACGTTGTCCGAGGTGTACCCGAGCTCGTCGAGCGAGGCGTTGCCGCACCCGATATCCTCGGTGAAGAAGTCGACGGCGTCGACCGTAGCTCACTGCTCCCGGCGCTTGACGTAGTCGACGCCAAGCCAGCCCCCGCCTTGGACAGGAACAACATCGCCGCCCCATCCGAAGCAGTCCTCCTCAACTTCCTAACCCCCAACCCCACGCCTCCTCTCAATTGCCGATCCCTAACCCTCTTCAGATCCTTTCCCAACTCCTTCGCCAACTCCTTCACCAAGATCGCCTGATCGTGATTGGCCAGTCTAGCTACCGCAGGACCCAACAACGTCGCGACGCGTTCGCGTTCTTGTCGATCAATTGAAAGAGCTTCCCAGGCCGTTTTGGCGAGGCGCAAGAGGTTCAGTCGGGCAATCGTTTTGCTTGTCCGGCCTAGACGGTCGATCACGCGTTTCCAGAAGCCGTGCTGCGCAGCGAGTTTGGCCGCGAGGGGTGTCGAAGTGCGGAGAATCTGTTGGGTTGCGTACCTTGTGAGCTTCCAAGCTCAAGGCCATGATAGACTTTTGCGTATGACTGACCTTATTGAGAGGTTCAAGATGCGCATCAAAGGCCGTACTCTTAGCTGTACAGAACAGATGATTGAGCGACTGGACGGCGGAAGGTTCGAGCAAGCACTGTTCGACACGCGCCGGTTCGTCAAGTAACCAAGAGAGAATCGAGTCCATCGCGGCGATGGACCAAAATGGATCGTGGAGTAATCCGACATAGAACTTGAGACCGTCGTAGCGCCAGAGACTGTCGAATCCGAGACACGTTCGTGAGCAGACTGACCGAGAGTCATCAAACCGCGAAAGGCACAGGTCACTCACAGTCTCCGACAAGTCTTGCTCGCATGAGCAAAATCGCAAAGAATCGGTAGAGCGAATTGCTTGAGAGGCGAACTGCCCGCAACGAGCATCTTGAGCGCAGGGATGGCCCCTGCAGACGCTGCCTCCTCTTGTCGGGCCTTGCTGAGTCGACAAAGGTTGAAGAGCGCGTTGACGACGTGGTTTTGTACCTCCTAAGTTCTCCGAATGATCATGAGCACAATGCCCATTACGAAAACGACGCTGACTGAGACTCACAGCAGCAAGCTTGCCCTCCATCTGTCGAGAGAGCACGCGCACGAGCACCTCGATCGCATTGGCGTTTTGGAGCACCTCGAGCGCGCTCGGAATCATGGTCAGATGCTTGATCGTCTTGAGTAAGATCGCGAGCAGATCCACTTGCTCGGACAGTAAGCCGACGGCTTTGATCAACCCTTCTCCGACAGAGCAGACTCGAATCAGCACGGATTGGGGAATCGCAAATGGATCCCGTGGAAACTCACGCAATACCACTACTCGTTGCGCAACAGCTGAGGCGATCTTGTGATCCGCTTGTGCGAAGAGCAGGAAGATCCTAACGATCTTGGCCCGTGCACTCTCAGCCAGCTCGTCTTCGTCCGTGGCGACGCTGATCAGCGCACTCGACAGGGGTTCCAGCAGCCCTTCTTGCGAAAATATGCGACAAAAGTCGGTGCGAGGCGTGGCGAACTAGACGAATCAAGCCGTCACGAGCATCAGTCGAGCGCCTAAGTTGATCCCATTTGACTATGACTCACCTGCATCTCAAAGACGCGACTGATCCCGTCCACGGCCATCCAGACAAGATCTTTACCCTCCTCATCTGTTATAGCGCAATCACGATTAGGTCATCTCAAGTTCGACGAGAGCGGTCGAGAGTGAACTCACAGCTCTCATCCATGAGCATCGTTACCAGTGTTCGCAGACCACAGCAACTAATGAACATCTGGAGCGTGAGCAACGACGTTCGACAAACCGAGCCCACGAAGAGTGCTGCCTCAAGTCGAATGTCGCGCGAGTATCGGTTCGACGCGAAGACCATCATGACGGGACAACCACCGACGAGCTGAGAGAGCCGATTCAGCTCATTCAGTCCGCGTTCACCTCGCTGTGAAGAACGTAGATGCTACAACTCACACAGATCTTCTCCAAAATCGGTGGATCGGACGAGATGACCAGATTGACGACCCTCAACAAGATCGCAATAACCTCGCGCGAGCGCGTGACCCGCAACAACTCGATCGCCGTAAGCATTCCATGGGCTTGTGTGAAGTGCGCCCGAACCTCAACCGATTCTTCCAAAATCGTGATCAGATCGAGGGAAAGCTCGCGCAAGGTGACTTCGTCGTGTTCAGCAGATATCGCATCGATGAGATCGCTGACGACGTCGCATAGACGTGCGTGCTTGTCCCGTGCGATATTAGCTTCGAAACTACCGCTCTCGATGTCGTTTGCGAGGTCCACTTCGGCGAATGGGTCTTCCTCGTCGCTGTCGACATCTCCCAGCTGGAAAGACGTCGCGTATTAGATCGACTTGCTGGGATATCCAGCGACAACGCGAGCAATCGTAACTCACCCAGGATTTCGAAGACAGCCTCGTTGCCAAACGCAACGACTCCGCCGTGGTTATGCCATTCTCGCTTGCGCTTGTGACTTTCCCAAACAGATCCGAGTAATCCTCGCTCCCAACCTCGCTGTACTTTTCCATGGTCCGACGAGTCGCATCCACGGGGCTGCTCTCGTAGCAAGTCGGGTCGGATCGTGTCGCTGAGCCGCTCCAAGCTGGTGAAGAAACGGCATTGCTGAGGGGAGCGAGAGGGCGGCGGGTGGTCCCCCTGAGCGATGCACTCCTTTCGGCTCCTGGCGAGGCGGGAGGGGGTGTGAGTACCTGGGTGTTGAGCACCGAGTCGGAGATGTCCTTCGGGTGGAGAATTCGCTTCTTCGAGAAGATTTGAGCCTGTAGGTGAACGATCGCTCGGCGTTCTGATCACTTCTATCTGTGAATCCCAGGCCCTCGAGCACTTACCTGCAAGCTGAGGACTCGCCCTTCGAAGGCTGCCTCATCGTCGCATACCAAATCCGAGTAATCTTCAACGATGGGCGGCATGGCCTTCACATCTACAGCGAGAGAGGGGCGGGACGGTGGCCTGAGCGTAGCCGAGTTGCCACTCTCGTCATCATCGTCGTGAGTGTCGGGGAACCGGGCGCTCGAAGAATTGCTGTCCTTGTCGAGCACTGCGAGGTAACACACAAAGCGTCAATCTCATGGGCCAAAGACGACGCACAGCGGGCACCATCTCACATCCGATTTTTGCTATTGAGATATCGTCTTCAAAATCGTTGTCCCAGTTATCGTCAGGCTCTTCCTGTCGGTTGGCAGGCAAGCGCAAAGCGGGTTGGGCAACGGCGAACAAAGACTGAGCCGTAGGGAGCGGTGTCGGCACTGAAGGCGTCGGTCTTGTCTGTAGCACAGAATTAAGATCGACGCTCGCTCTCCGATGTGACTCGTCGGCGGGCGGTCTAGACGGCCGAGGTTGTTGTGGCCGATAGGGGTGTGGGTCAACTGTAGCAATGTAGGGACACAGGAGGTCAAATCAGCGCTTGAGTGAGAACACAAGGCCATTCAGCACAGCTCACCCTTGATAGCCTCATTCCATTCCTGTACCTTCTGCACCGACTCCGAGTAGCCACTCAAGGGTCTAGTCGACGCCTCATTGCTCTGGTCCCTCCGCGTCTGCTCAACCTGTCGTTTGGCACTCAGCATCCACGGATGTCTCAACAGCTTCTTGGCCGAGATCCTCAAATTGGCGTCCTTTTGAAAACATTGAAGCAAGAAATCCTTGACGACCGGAGATGCGCCCTCGGGTATTGGCGGACAGTCGTCATTGACAATTCGAAAGAGGGCAGGCATCGGGTCGAGGAAATGGTAGGGTGGTTTCCCGGTCACAAGTTCGATGACGAGGGCTCCGAGAGACCAAACGTCAGAGGCCGTCGTAGCGCCCGATTGGTCGACCACTTCGGGTGCCATCCAATACGGGGAGCCGACGACGTCTGAATCCGAGGGACCACCGGCACGGGTTGCGACACCAAAATCGGCGACTTGACAAGAGAATTGGAAGACTTGTCAGATGCTGAGTTACGCTCGACGGAGAGAATGCGCAGAACAAAGGACTGACGCTTGATTGATCCCTCTTTGGTGGCTAATATATTGCTGCCTTTGATATCCCGGTGGATGACGCCTTGCTCGTGGAGGTACATGAGCCCGTGCAGGACCTGGAGAATGTAAAGCCCGACGAGCGATTCGGGGAAGCGGCCAAACTTTTTCGTGACGGCGTGCAGCGAGCCGTTCTCGCAATATTCCAGGATGATGTACAGCGAGTCGTTCGTCTTGACGAATCCACGGTATTGGACGATGTTGGGGTCTGTGAGTCGCCCCAACGAAGGTCAGATGCTTCATATCGCTCGAGCGGGCGCGGCTGTCTGACAACGTCAGATCCTCACGGTGCAGATTCTTGAGCAAGTCGATCTCGGACTGTGGCGCGAAGCGGAGCAGAGCCAAACGCGAAGTTGGTCAGGTCACAGCGACAAAGACTAGAGGTGAGAATTTCTGCATTCGATGCTTACCATAATGTCAGGTAATTGCGCCTTTGGGATGTTGGTGAGACCGATCTGCTTGACCGCGCAGGTCTCTCCTGTGTGCCAGTTGAGCGCCCGGTACACGCTCCCAAACGAGCCCTGCCCCAGCTTTTCCCCGAGTTTCTACGGGCGTCAAACGATCGAGTGCAAAGGTGAAGATGATCAGCTGAATCGTCCTGGCAATGATGTAGCGCCCCGTGCTCGAAAGCAGCCGCTCGCACGCGAGTTGAACGAACTGGCGACGAGGGCCTCGACTGACATAGTTGGGTAGCGGTTCGGGTTGCGTCCCCTCTTGAGCGGTCGCATCATGGCGGGGCGAGGCCCTCGACATGGTCGTCGAGTAGCACGCCGACGAATCGTAGCTTCTACTGAACGTATCCCGGAGCAAGTCAGGTCGGTGGGTATGGGCAGCGCGTGGAACGGCGAGCGCGACGCGCCGTGCGAATGGCGGCCCATATCAGGCCTGAAACAAGTTCTTGAAACTTGGCCGTCGTCGACTCGCGTCGGGCATTTTCCCTTTTCAACGTTTCAACGCTATGAGAAAAGGTGGTAGGGACGGGGACAGTCAAGTCAAACGTAACGTTCGCGATTAAACTAGAGCTACGCTCAAGAGTCATGAGCCAATTTATTCCTTCAAAGTGCCGAGTGATACCAATCGTCAGCCCGGGACGGTGAAAGATGAGAGCTATCTTAGCGCGGTTATGTCCGGGGTGCAGTGCAACAAATGATATATATCTCGGCCCGGCGCGACGGCGCGAAAAGTGACATGGGTCCGAGCGCAAGAGCTTACCCGAGCGATCGTGGTGTTGGCCCTTCGCAGCAGCGTCTAGCCGCGCCTCACGACCGACCGTCCACACTCGCCGACGACCCAACCCCGTGTGAAAAGAGCATGGCCACCCCAGCCGTGTCGACCCCACGAGCTCGTGCTCGTCTCGGCAAGAAGGAGAAGCAAGCGCTGCGTGATCAGCTCGAACCTGCAGCGGCTGCACCGTCGCCGTCCCAATCGCTCGCACCGGCTTCGACCTCGACTTCGACCCCGATCTCGGATCCGGATGCCGCTTCGCCGATCCCGACTTGGCCCTGGGCTTCGCTCAACGAGTCCATCGTCACCACCACTTGTCCTGTCGTCTATTCTCCCGATGCTGCGTACGTGATGCTCTACACTTGCAGGCGCAACCTGCCTCCGATCACTCGTCGCGACAGCTTCGCAGCGGCCCAGATGAGCATGTCGCTGATCACCTCGGACTGCGTACGACCCGGACTACAGATACTGCTTCATCGCTTCGTCTTCTCAGGTCAAGATCTACTCGACCCAGTCTACGCTCCTGCTCTCGACCTTGGCCCCTCCGCAGCAGCAGCCCAGCACCTCGACGGCCTCGAGCTCTCCGTCCCAATCGTCGTCGGTCGGCCGAGCCAAGGTCACGGCGCTTTTGTTGAATCCCACCAACCCCTTACAGCTGCTCGTCGCTTCCTTTGACGGCACAGTCAGGGTCTGGGACTACTACGAGGGGCGTCTTCTCCGTACGATCCAGCTCGGCGCACCCGTGCTGCATGCCTGCGGCCACCCTAGTCTGGGTGATCACCTCTTCGTCGCTTTGGCCGTTAACGAGCAGGATGCACCGCTCAGTAGGACGGGGACTAACGAGCTCAACGCTTCGGCCTCGAACGCGCTGCATCTCACATTGACGGCCAAGCGAGCCAATCCAGACTCGGCAAAGTCCTCGGGAGCTCAGACAGGGGCTTCGTCCAAGTCGGCGCCCGTGGACGAATTGCGAGCCGGCATCTACTCCATCAGCTTGCGACCCAAGCTGATACCGGAATACGTGGAAAGAACGATCTCGCCGACAACACCGCGCGACCCGGCTCGGAGAGTTCGACTCGCCAACCCTCGCATCGTGCGCTCTCTGGCCATCTCCCCCTCTGGAGCTCATCTCATCGCCTTGAATCCTCATTCAGTCAACATCTGTCGCACCGCACAATTACAGCGTGGGTTCACAACCCAGCTCGACTCTTCTGAAGCCTTGACGACGGTCGCGTTCCATCCGGTCGAGAACTATTTTGCGACCGGGAATGAGCGCGGTCAGATTCGACTGTGGTACGACGTCTTGGACGAGGAAGAGTTCGGAACTCCGCGCGCCACGACCAAGCAAAACTCGAAGCAAAAAGCCGTCAAAGACAATGCGAATGAGAAGCGGTCAACGGCTGTGTACCATTGGCACAAGCACCCTGTCGCCGCTCTTACTTTCACCGCGAATGGCGCATACCTACTCTCTGGTGGTGAGGAAGCTGTCATGGTTCTGTGGCAACTGCACACGGGGCATACCGAATTTGTACCACGGCTCGGAGCACCCATTTTGGCCCTCTCGATCGCCGGTGAAGGTCAAGCGGAGCAGCAAGTTGCTGCCCGTCTGCGAGACGGCACCGTCGTCTTCATCGGCACCCAACGGCTAAAGATCACCAAAACGATCTCTGGCCTCAAAGCAGGTCCGTACTTCCTTCAGCTGGTCGCCCACTTCAAGATTGATATTCTGACTCCCCTCGTTGACTTCCTGCGACCCAGATCCCGTTCGCCTGTCTGCCATTGCGCATCAGCGTCGGACCCAACTCCCGCTCGCCGTTCAGCCCTCGACCAAGGCCCTGGTCGTTCCCGCCGGCCACCCCTCATCCATCCAGTTCTACTCGCCGTCCAAGGACAGCCAGCTGCTGGAGTTGGAAGTATCACCTTCGAACCGTGTCTCCAGTGCCGGCGAGGTCCCTATCGAACCAACTCGCGTTGAACGCGTCACTTTTTCTACTCCTGCCCTGGACCCAAACCGGATCGGGGGAACGTACTGGATGGCCACGCTCGATACCTGGATCAAGGACTCTTTTGCTCCAACCCGGCATCTCAAGTTCTGGGAGCACAAGGGAAATGGCACAAGGTGAGTGGTCTGTGAACTCTCATACTTACTTCGCCCTGGTGCCCAGCTTAAGCCGTGCTCCCGCCGACAGCTTTGTGCTCTCCACCCGAATTGATCGACCTCACAACGCCGCAGTCACCTCGATGGCGTTCTCGCCATCGCCAGCATCGCCGCTCTTGTTGACGACATCGATGGATGGCGTCGCCAAACTCTGGGCACACGTCGCCGGCTCTTGGAGATGCCAGACCAGCTTCGAATACCGCGGCTTCACACCTTACGATGCCGCGTGGTCTCAGGACGGCTCCATGTTTGCCATCGCGCATGACAAGGTCGTTACGCTCTGGTCGCTGGCCTCGAATGCGCTTATACACGTTTTTGCATGCTCGACGATCACCTCGGCTCGTAAAGTAGGCTTTGTTGGTCAGGGCGGGACGACTTTACTCGCGGGTGGTACAAGCGGTTCGATTGCTTGGGATCTGCTGACCTTTGATGGCAAGTCGATTGAATTCACCTTGACTGGTTTTGCTACAAGTACTGACTTGATGGCTCTCTTTGCTGCGCACAGAGTCACTTCATCTCGACTTTGAGGTCAACAGCATCTCGAATCGACCGCGCTCGTCCCTGTTCATTGCGACCGAAAAGATTGCACCGCGCAAGGAAACTGCCTCTTCGCGCTCGGTCTCGACCGCGACTCGTGCCTACCTCATCGACGCCTCGACCCCACCCTCCACTCTCTTGGCCCGTCAACTCCCCTTCGCGGTCCGACAATTGATCTGGTACGACGTCAATGCCACTTCGAATACTTCGAGCGAAGATGACGTCTCTCTTGCCATCATCGATGACGGAGGCGACATCACCCTCGTCGGTGACGCCGCGACGTTCGGTTCTCAAATCGCGCCTAGCAAACTCCCGCGTGCCGCTTCTACGAAAGCCCAATCCCGCCTCTTTGACGAGATCTATGGCAAAGGGGACGAGGCTCGAACAACGTCACGACAAGCACTCGCAGGGCAGAATGCGAAGAAGCCTACGACATCCGTCGATCGACTCGCGGCTTCAATGTCGGTCTTGGACGCGCCGGCTCATTCGCTGCCACCTGTCAAATTGCTCTGGCGAACGCTTTTGGGTGGATTCGGCTCCGACGCTTCGGTGGAAGTCGACGAGGAAGAAGGCGCCCACGATGCACCCAATGCCAACGGAGCATCAGAAGACGCCGACAAGCCGAAACCTTCTTCCAAAGTTCGGTCGGACGAAACGACAGTCTTTGTCCCGTCGCCAGATTCGCTCGCTGATATCTTCAAAGCGGGAATGGTACTCGGTGAGTCTTCAGCTTCGTGTACTTTCAAGCTAGGATTGACGAGTCTGACCGCTTTTCGTTCCCCCCTTCTTCGTGCTAGTGAATGGAACAGGTTCAGCCCACGCGAGTACCGCCATGGTAAAGAAGTAGAGGATGGGGTCTTTTGAACCTCAGTGAATGCAATTTTGCTTTGAGCTACCGGAAATGCTCGGAGGTCGTCCACTTTCGTGTTCAGCCTGATTTTGGAACAGACATCAGCCTTGTAGAATGGGCCGAAAGAGAACACAAAGTAGGCGAGAAAGTGCCAAGAAAATGTGGCGACGAAATTGAGACCCACTGCTGTCGGCTTGCGTGGATCGACCTTATGCCGCCCACTCACCACCCGTGTCGCTGCGAGCTCGACGCCTCACGCTCAACAAGGGACCAGGACGACGTTGACTCTTGTTATGGAATGTCGTTGATCTATCAGACCTCGATTCTTACTTCGTCATCCGACCTCCTGTGATAGCCGTCGATCTCCCAACGTCTCGCGACCCGGTTTTTTTTCCTCCCCGTCATCACCCACCCGCCTCTCTCTTCTCCTCATGGCTACTGCTCCATGATCATCCAGTCTGCATTTGGCGTCTTATTTAGCTTCTCGTTGGTGCGCCCGTCCCCTATTACGAGGAGTACATGAGGGTCCATTATGCACCAGCCGAGTCGCTTCCCATTCGCCATAGATCGACCCATTTGCACGTGTTGCTGAAGGCGAAATCTCTCTTGCTCTGTTTGTACTCGTACATTGGAGGCTTTTTGTAGATGGAGCGTCTTAAACGTGTGCTATACTTTCGATAGCCGGGTTTTTTTGCAACAAAGTGATGGGGTTGCACTCCGCATGACGCGCCGCGATCGGCCTGCAATGGTGAAGTGCTTGCCGTCGCCGAGCTCGGTGATCAGCCGATTCGGTCCGGCTGATCGGCTCTGGTTCGTCGGGCTGGGAAGGTGGTTGCGCTCACATTCTGTACATTTTGCTCCCGCACTCCGTTTCGCCTGCACCACACTGCACCATCTTGTTCGTCGCCGCTTATTACCGGCGCGACTCGGCTCCCACGTCGCCGTCCGAATGACGTCCTCCACGTCCACGCCCACGTCCCCATCCTCGTCGACAGCTGCACCTGGCCCCAATCCGCCCATCGAAACGGTTCGTTATGATGGGGTCAATAAGCTCCCTGCCGATCTGTTGGAGTGGCCAAGTACAGAACGTAGGTTCGCATTGTTGCCTGCCCTACACCTCCGGGTTTGCCGAGCTGATCCTCCCCCTCGTCTCCTACCTCCTCGACAATCTGATCAATCCAGCCTCGACAGCACCCTCCACAATCGTACTCTTTATCCCCGGCAATCCCGGCCTAGTTCACTATTACACCGCCTTCCTAAGCACGATACATTCCAATCTACACCAAACCAAATCGACCATATACGCGCTCGGTCACCTGGACCATTCGACCCATGCCAAAGTCCGTTTCACATCCCGCGGAGTACCCGGGTTACGGGAGCAGATCGAACACAAGGTCGCTTTTATTGATGAATTGAAGAAGAAATATCCGACGATTGGGGTGGGGAAGGACGCCAAGACCAAGATGGTTTTGATTGCTCATTCGATCGGGAGTCATATTTCTTGCGAGGTGAGAACACCTTTTCCGTTCCGAAGAAAGCTGAGATCGGCGGTTGATTGCATGCCCTGTGCGATGTGTGCCGCGAATCAAGCTCTGACCGCTGTTTTCCTTTTTTTTTTTCTTTTTTTTTTTTTGCCTCCTGTAGTGTATCAAAGCTCGACCTTCTCTGATCTCGTCGGCGATTCTGCTCTTCCCGACCATCTCCCACATGGCGCTCACACCGAACGGTCGTCGCTTGTGGCCTCTGTTCAGCCCCCTCGGTCTCGCACCCGTCGGCCTCTCGACGGCGCTTTTGTCCTACCTCCCACGGGAATCCCTCTCGCGTGTCGTCGGGCGTCTCTCTGGGCAATCAGACCCCGGTTCCTTGGTAACAACAGGGCTCGTCACCTCCCCCGGATCAGTCATCGCGGCGCTGACAATGGCCCGGGAAGAAATGCGAGACGTGACCGACCTCGACGTTGAGATGTTGAAAAAGTACGGCGATCGGCTATGTTGGTATTGGGCACGAGGGGACGATGATGGCTGGGTCTTGCCGAGTTCGGTCCAAGAGATTGAGCAAGTTTTGGATCAGGCGGGGTTCGCGAAAGAACGGAGAAAGAAGTGCGAGGAAGGGATGCAGCATGCTTTTATTTTGACCACGAGTGAGTCCGCGTTGAAACAGCCTTAATCTTGCTCTACGCGATAGCACTGATTGTTCCATCACTGTCTATGTTGTACAGCGCATTCGGATTCGTTAGCGATTCGATGCGCGGCCTGGGTCGCCGACCATATCGCCGAGAGGAAGCTTGACCGCTTTGGACAAACATAGAGCAGACTTGGCACGTGTTGACTTAGACTTAGCCAGAATGAGTAGGAACGTAATACTATCTTATTGCATCACACCAGTCAAACGAAAAGAGCGCATGCGAGAAGGTAGTATAGGCACAAGATTACCGACTTTGTGGGAAACCAGTCTCGCGCCCAGCTCTGTATACTTCTGTAGACTTCTGTATACCCCCACAACCCCTTCGCACCCGAGCGGCCGTTTCGACCTCGCAACGCGGACACTCACCCTTGTCAAGCGATGGCGTCTCTAATCAACAGCGTCCCATTGATACGAATCCGATTTTTCACCACAGCACCCCTGCCTCTTCTTCGTGCATGGCTTCCCCTCGCCCCCGGTTCGACATTCGCGGATGTCGCGAAAGACATTCGCACGATGTTGCCCGGTCGACCGGAGATTGAGATTGAGCTCATGGGTGCGCTGCGAGATCGACTGCGCTCTTGAAACCCACCAGCTGACTTGAATGTTGCAATGTGTCGTATTGGGCTAGGCTTTGCACTGCTACCGACGTCACCGTGTGCGATGCTCGATCCCGTGAGTTCGAGAGCTGCTCGTCTGCTCGTCTGCTCGTCTGCTGCACTGATCCCTGGCTAATCCGCTAGGTTGCTTGCTCGCTACAGGCAAATGATGTACTCGAGTAAGCTGCTCCAGCTGCGTGAATATCATTCAGAAGCGCAGACAAACTGATCATGGAGCTACCCTTTCGCAGGATCAAAGCTGCCCGCCTCGCTCCGGCTTCGACCTCGACAGCGACTACTATCGTGGCTCAACCAAACCTGGGAGAAGGCACAAACAATAACATTGTGCCCTCGATCACAAGAGCAAATTCTGGATCTTCATCGTCGTCATCGTCATCTTCCTCGTCTGATTCGGATGCCGACTCATCTAATTCTTCCGACTCCTCGGACGACGAAGGCAGTGCTGCACCCCGACCTATCTCCTCCAAACGACCGCCCAATACCGCAGCGAATCATCTTCAAAGACCCGCAAAACGTGCTCGCTCCACCTCGAGCTCTTCATCGTCGGAAACATCGTCGAGTTCCGACTCCGATTCGTCCAAGTCGACTTCTTCGTCTTCTTCGGTCTCCCGGTCGACACGAGTCGGGACCAAAACGGCCTCAGCAAGTGCAAGCGCAAAGCCTACCAAGATCAACAGCGTCGCACACGTTCCGGAGGGGCAGGGATTGAAACGAACTCAGAAACGGAACCGTAGGCGGAGACTATTACGGAACGACAAATCTCGGGAAGCAAGCGCGAGCACGAACGCTTCACATGCAGCAACATCAAGTGTACCGCAGAGTTCTGAGGGCACCGAGCTTTCGAAAGGTCAGTTTTGGTATATGTTTATCGAGCTGAGTCGATTTGGGACATTAATTGAAAGAGCATGCTTGTCCCAGCAGTCTCTCCAGCGATCACGGTCGAGCAGCCTCCGGCATCGGCTGCGATGTCTACCAATCTGGTGTCAATCCCACCAGAAGCCGCGCCTCCACTGCCCACTACAACAAAACCGACCCCAAGCACAAAAATTGCTCTCGACCCCTACGCTGATCTCCACGGCCCAAAACTCAACATGCTCCACCTCGCCACGGGCAACAAAAACAAGAAGAAGCACATCCGACTCTCCGCTTCCTCGTCCGCCTCGACTGCTCCCAAACGTATCTTCTTCGATGATCCACAACGAACGATCGCGGTAGAGGGCGAGCTGGTGATCGAGGCGCCTACAGGATGGGCATCTCGACCAGGGGCTCGTGGGAAGAGTGACTCGCCTGTCTCGCCGAGATACGAACCGGGGTCCCCTCCTCTAATTCATGCGCGAGCGGCCCAGCAGTCCACACCCGCAGCTCCTAGATCTCGTACTGTTACTGCCAAGACCTCAACTCCGGCGCCTTCTACTCCTTTCGCACGCTCCAAAGCTGTCACAAATGGCGTCTCTTCAATATCCACACCAAAAGTAGCGCACCTCCCCCCCTCCCAACGAAGCGACCTCCCCCCTAACCTCGTCATCACCAGCGTCGACGTCGAAGGTACAAACTGGCAACCTAGCCCGGGCGAGATCGTGCCCGAGACCTCTTCGCAATGGACGAGATGGCCCGAACCGACTCCTATAGGAATTTTCGACAGGGAAGGGGAGAAAAACTCCGAAGGGTGGCCGACGTGGGAACAGGTTGATGGAATGATGAATGATGGGTCTTTGAAGGTGTTGAAGAAGGAAGATGCGAAGAAAGGATTACGGATCGCGACGAGGGTGAGCATATAACGTATCCCGAGTACTGGAGGATCGTACGTGAATGTTAATTGCCCGAACACATCTCTGGTTTAGATATTGGAACTCGACCCTCTCACTTTCAGCCCGACTGTAGCCCTCAAGTACGGTCGCTTCCTCTCTTACGAAGACGGCCTCCTGAGCATCGAGCTGCATCCCGATTGCCTACCCTTCTCAAATGATCACGAAGAAGAATGGGGGGAGGAGGGCGAAGAGACCTATGATGTTGGATTTTCGGGGATACGAGAAGCTCGTCCCAAGTTTGGACAAGGGGTCGAGATGCAAGTGGAAGAGTCTGCGCATGTAGTTGGTGGCGTGTGGGAAGGCGACTGGGGTGATGTGAGGGTGTTGGTATGAACCACGGCGCTTCAGTCTTAACTGCCGTCATGAACGGGTTGGCTTGGATGTTACGAGACACTATTCGATTGCAGTCGGAACACTATACATTCTCCCTCAATGTTTGTGCATCTCTTTGACTGCGTCCGCGAGTGGAGCAGCATCCTGGTTGGAACATTAGGTGAGGAACTCGGCTCAATCGGGGAGTCAAGAGGATTCACACTTATTCCATGAAGAACACTCACGAGCCAAACCTGGAATATCGCCAAAGTTGATAAGAGGGCTCTGGGGTCAGTAAATACTACATCAAAATATCAATACTGGGTGCGACCTGCCTGATAACTCTTCATTTTGAGCTCTCCACCTTGTGCAAAGACCATCCTCGCGGCCCATCCGACGTCCTCGACGGATGTGCCGTTCTTGAGGCCGTAGGATACCTGGCAGGTCAGAACAAAGTAGATCCGGGTCAGCACATGCCTCAAGACCCAAAATTGATCCCATATGATGGAACTTGCCTTGCCGTGAATCATAAGGTCGTTGGATTCCTGATTGAAGGTGTAGACTTGTGTGGGGGTGTGTCGACGAGTTGTGACGTCGCTCCACATGGTCTCGCGCATCTTTCGAACGGCTGATGAAGCGGTTACAGGCATGAGCGGACGAACACGGTTAGCTTGAAGTTAGGTAACGAGTTCTTCATGGTGCTCCGACTGACCCGGTACGCCTTGTATCGCCTTCAAGCCCATGATGAAGTCGACACTGTTCAGGCCACGATTCGGGCATCATCAGTCGTCGACATCCCGCTCCACGCAAACACTTGCTCAGTAGAGAGTCCACTTACTCCTCCGTCAGAAAGTCCACGTACTATGAGAGTCCACAGCGATCATTAGCCCTATTCCCATGCGAATTTGGCTCCCAGAGCGCCTCCAAGGCCCCAGTCCAAGCTTCGGGAACTGGTCACCGGTGATTCGAGGAATCGGTTTGGCTACGGCACGAGTGGACTCAGGAGACGGTGCATCAGTACTCACCTTGTCCGTCGCACCCGGTGTATCTGAGACACTATAGAACGCTTTGATGAACTCTTTCTTCTCTTGAGACAAGGTGGGGGGAAACTGGGTCGACGTCATTTCAAGAAGCGGGCGTCAAGTCGTTCGCGGTCGTTGGGCTCGCAGTGGAGGTGGGGAAAGAGAAGGCGAAGGGTCGACCGGCTGTTGCTTCAACTTCGAGCAACCACCTGCCTCCACCTGCAACCACTTCGCTCGGAAGTGCGTGGAAGTGCAGGGAAGTGCCAGACCTTGTTCCGGTATTTCGCGAGGCGGAGGAGAGGTGCCTGATCCATATTATCAGGGGTGCTATAAACCCGTGACACTGCTAATGTACTTCAGTTATCGACAAGATGTTGATCCTGGCTTGCCGCTTCCGCGCTCATTTTTCTGATGTAAACTCCGAGGGAGCGACTTTCGCGTGAGCTAGGGCGAGGGAGCAGTTCTACTAGTGGGCTAAATCTCTATCTCTAGGCTTGCCTGGTACAAACACGAAGACTTGATGCACATACTTGAATGCTTAAGACTTACGACGAACCTACGGTCGATTCGCGCGAGCAGGATCTCAAACTTCATCGCCGACTCGATCATCTAATTTGCACATCCGGATCCTTGATGTCAAGGACCTCGATGATATTGAAATGTGGTATCATCCGGCCACTCTTCAAGCAATTAGGGTTGATTCCATAGAGCAGTGAATTGAACTGTTTGATCTCACTGGTGAGCTCAACGGCCGGCGTTCATGCCGCTCAGAAAAGCCGATGACCCGAAGTTTGAGCGAGGGGGGGAACTGCACAGCGCTCGACAGTAGTACCGAATTGTGTACCGGGCCTAAAAAATCAGATAAAAAGGTAGGGCAGTGAAACGAGATCCCCTAGCTCCTAAAGGGAAGTGTAGAAGGTGTTAGCATACCTTACGCTGATATCAGGGGCCGGATTGCTTAGATGGTCAAAAGCTTTCCCAATCATTGGCTCGGAGCCACGTTCGACTCCTAACTCCTGATCCAGCCATTCTCTTATTTTGTCGATCGTTTTCGGAATCATTGTTGCGATCGAAAGCAGAATATACACGTATCGTCTTGCTGGAGTGTCGCGTTGGTGTTGCGGTGTTGGCTCAATGAATGCTGGTGGTGAGGCGGGAGGTGAGAGGGTGACTGGACAAGAGCGGCGCGAAACGTGCGAGGCCGATGATTGGCAAAGTGATTCCAAGTGTATGCCGGCAAGCACGCACTTTTCTGCTGTCGGTCGCAATGCGCTACCTTTTATCTGATGTTTTTGGCCCGGTACACAGTTCGGTACTGCTGGCGAGCGAAGTTCAACCCCTCGCTTAAACTTCGGGTTCGTGAAGGCGGAAGGAAGCAGGTAAAATCACGAGACCTGCCGCTCGCGCCGCTCGCTCGACTCGAGGGGCCAACGCGCGGACAGTGCTCACTGCTCAGGCCTCAGGGGCTATAGCTAGGGTGAGGGAGTGCGGCAAGCCCCAAACGGGTACTATTCGGGCCGGTTAAGAGTGACCTCGGCCGGTATGAGGCGGGTCCGTTGACACCCGATTCAAAAGCGAAAATGACCTTTGCTGATCGGTCCCACTGTCAGAACCGGTGCCTTTACCCTCGCTTGATCATTGTTAGCGGAGAGATGATGAAACATCTAACCGATGCTCTCGGGCTTATCGTCGGGTTCTTCACGTCAAAGAGCCAAGCGTTGCAATCAGAGGGGAAAGGTTCTTATACAGCGCTTCAGGCGTTTCCCAAAAGCTGCCCAAACGCAGTACTCAAGGTTCATCATGAGTCATCCATCCAAACGGCGTGGCAATGTTTCTTTTGACGATTATGACACAAATGACGGCCCCAAATTAGCCTTCTCGACGTACAAAAGAGGAAGACCCAGAGAAAATTCTCGTCAGCGGGGTTAGCGGGATCAAAAGGTGAAGAGCGAACGATAAACGGATGGGATTCACCAGAATAGGTCGTACCACTTGTGCCACTTATCACAGCTCCCGCATTGGACACTGACGCAGTCGGCATAATTCTTAGTGGTATCGAACTTGTCGAAGGCCTTGATGCAATCGGCCCTTCCGTTTTTGAGTGTCGTGTCGTCTTGTCTTGATGACCGGGTACAACGCTTATCAGTACGGAGCTTCAAGTAAGTGCGGCACCCAACCTGATACGAGGGGAATACTCAAGCGCACCCGTCCGAGCCAATCATCTCCTGGAGCCTTGCTAGGCACTCAAAGAAGTGAAGAGCGCAACTACCAGAGCGCAGCCTCTGAATTCGACGAGATGGAGTGAGTATTCGGTAGGGCAACGTGTTCGAACAGAAAAGGAGACTCACCACCCGCTATTTTCTGCCGATTGGCACCCGTCGGCGTGGACCTGGCAAGCGCAGGCGAAACGAGCGATCATGGCGCCCAAGAGTTTGACGAGCTTCATCCGGCTTCGATGAGGAAGTGGGTGAGAAGGGTGAGGGTGAGGGATGATTACTCGCAGGGGGCGGCAGTACTCTCAGAAAGGATGCTATTCTGAGAATTCAGTGGACTAAATGGGGGGAGATGCCCCGCACGCGCGTGACTATTGACATAGGAGAACCCGCCGGTAAGTTCAGATCCCCGATTCGGCTGACACCGGCAGCTATAAACGGCGGTGCCAGTGACCTTTGTATGCGGCATGAGGAGCCGTACGGGCAGCGTGGTTTACAATCAGCTCCATGGCCTGACTAATTCGAGCCGCCGATCATGGTCAAGGGTTGCCACGCATACCGCCGGCGCTTCAACTACCTCAACTTGTGCAACCCGGGCCGCGCGTCGTCCACTGCACTGATCAACTTAAGGTGCCCAACGCTTGGGACCAACGCTTGGGACAGAGCCTGAGCTGTACGACGTCAACACATGGCGATCACTTTGGGCCAAAGACGAGTAATTCTGGTTTCACTCGTGACACGCACAGCATGTGTACTAGTAATTCAGCACTCCGATCATCGACGTCGGACGCGGCGCCTCCGACGCGACTGTTAGTACAAGTCATTTCGATCGGGTCAACGACGGCGGTTTCGGTATGTAAAGTGCTTCGGGGTAAACCCCGTACTCGGTGTCTGAAGGCGAACTATGAACGACAATGCATGCGGCGGAAATGCACACAGACGACCGAGCGGAACTGGAGAAAAGCAGGAAGAGGAGGTGATTATGAACGCGCTCTTCACTTTTGCGCATCGGAGACTGGGAAAACGACGAGCAATGGCCCAGGCTAGGAAAAGTACGGCGGGATTCGGACGGAGGAGTGTAATAGGATTCCTTAAGAACAGCCGTGTAAATAGCCTCTGAGTAGCTAGAACTACGGAAGCCTGTTTCGAAGTGCTTTTAGCCTAGCGGTCAAGAACCAATCGTAATGATACACGTCGGAGGCGCATACCTTACAAAGAGCGAATAAATCAGCGGATGGCTGTGAAGCGAATGACTAAGACGTCTCGGGGGAGTTTGCTTTCTGTTTTGAGGTAGACCACTTCTAGGGTCCAGTATAGCATCTTACCTGGCTCTCACTTTCTGCGTGTTTCGAGTCTCATTCGGCATCGTGCTCCCGTCTCCAGTCTCAACCGTCTCGTTCTCCTCATCGGTCTCGTTTTTTCTACCCCTCTCCCGGGTATCCTCTCTTACTTCGGGTCTATATATCTATATCTATATCATACCACTTTGAGGGTTCGTTTTGCTATACCATAGGACGGGGCTACCAAGACGTCAAGTTGAGCTGTTGTCAAGTGGATTCTGTGTTCAGTGGCATTGTATGAGTGGCCGGTTCAACCTCGCCATAGCAGAAAACCGACCAAGAAAACGACCCTCTTCATTCTGATGTGTTCCCAATCTTGATCGCCTGATCCCTCTCGCTCTCCTCAAGCGCAATCCTTTTCTTTTCTAGATTGACCGCCCTCGCGCGATTCGACGCCTCCTGATTCTTTCTCCTCTTGATCACCTTCTCCTTTCCCCTCCCATTCGCCCATTTCGCGTTCTGAATCTCGGGCAAGTCCGCCCTCTGCCTCCTCAACAAAGGCGTATAAGTCGACGTCTTACTAGCCCTTCCCATCCCCAAAGGCGTATACGTAAAATTGTGATGCTTCGTCTCCTTCGGGTCGATCGTTCGAGGTGTAGCCGGCGTATGAAAAGCGAACGCAGCCAAATGATGCTTAAGCACGATCGCCTTGAGCCTCTGTTCCGTATACGCCTGATTCATCTTCCCGTACTGCGCTCTAAATAGCTCAATCGTGGGTGTCGAAGTTTTGCGAATCTCATCGGGACTGGTGATGGGTCCTTGAGGAGGTCCAGGATCGATCCTCCAATCGAATTCGGACTCGTTGTAGCCTGCTTGCCAGAGGATCAAGGGCAAGTCGTCGCCAATCTCATAGCCTGGTTTACCATCAACGACGTCACGTTGTGTACCAGGTTCCAATGGGTGCATCGCTTCGGTTGTTGCTGTGCGATCCGAGGTCCATAACAGACGTTCGATGATGGAGGGGTGTTCGAGCCGTGCCCCGACGAGGAACAAGAGCGCGATGATGGATCGAACTTGATTGTACAACTGTAAGCATGAACATGGCGGCAAAACGTCCAGCAAAGTTTGTGCAGGCATACAAAGCAAGGAACACAGCACTCACGAACGCGCTCCCCCTGAGGTTAAGAACGAACATATCCTCTCCCTCACCCCGAACCTGATCAATCGTCGCCGAAACGACCTTGCGCACATGCGAAACGAGCTGTTTCGGAGGGTCGACTCGACACATATTCCGAAAGTCGTGTTCACCTACCAATCGACCGGCCGCATCTCGCATCGCGTGGACGTCGAGTTCTAGCCCTTTCCAATCGATCGCGGCGAGGCGCTTTTGCCAGTCTAGAGATTCGGTTCCTGTCGGTTCGAGTTGAGAATACGCGGCGCCGAAATCGAACTGACCGCGCAGTATTGGAGCCGTAACAGAGCTGGAGAAGAAGTACTTGTAGTGACGCCACAGGCAGGAGAAGCGGGAGGAAAACGTCGCCGAGACGGGGGACCAAGCGAGTACTCTGATCGAGTCGGGGAGGTGACGATTGAGCAATGAAACGTAGGGAAGTTCCACCGAAGCGACATTTTTGCCTTTGGCTGCTGCACCGTTCTTGCTCGGTGGAGCAGAGGATGAAGATGTGACCGAATCGTTGTCGCTCTCGGAGTCATTCACGATGCCCGTGTTCATGGGGTCGGCAAGATCGCTGCGGACCCAAAGGTTGACAACCTGGCCTGACGAACTGACGCCGGCATCCGTCCTACCGCAGCGCTCGAACGCGCATCCAAATCCATCGGTGTTGACGATAGGTTCGATGAGTCGGGCCCTGACGAGAGCATCGAGTAGGACGCCTTCAACGGTCGGTCGCGTGGTCGGACAGGACGGAGGTTGGTACGCCAGACCGGAATGTGCCCAACCTTCGTATCTGTTGGCAGACGGGGAGGTTTGAGTCGGGTGAAGGTATTTCCAGGTACTAGGTTCGACCACTCACGTGATCATGAGAGCGATGTGTCGCTTGGGTGCTCGAGCGAGCGACGGGGGCAGAGGACCGTTGAGGTCGGGAACGGTCTTGACCCTCCTCTTGGGCTTGATCGGGTCCTCCTTCCCATTCCGAGCTTGACTAGTCGAAGCGACCGACGAAGCAGCGCCCATAAAACTCTCAGCTTGTGCCGACGTATTCTGAGCCACCGCATCACGCCCACGTTCATCAAGCTCGAGCTGCCTGAGTTGGCGTTGCAACCGCTCGATCTCAGCGAGTAAGCGAGTCCGTTCAGCCGAGACGGGTGGAAGTGGTGCGGTCATGATGGTCGTTGTAGCTCTAGGCCACAAGACTCTGGAGGCGAGGCGTCGGAGAATGGCGGTCGTCGCTGGCCGCCGGCGTAGTCGAATAAGATCAAGAGCAAGCGATCGAGCGCGGAGAGCAAGCTCGAGCTGCGAAAAGGGACGCCGCTCTCGGCCTCTCTCGGCAGCTCTCGGCCAGTCTCGGCCCCTCTCGGCTCCTGCAGTGCCGTTCTGCGGGACACTCGGACATCTCGGAGTCGGCACAAACTCCGCGCGGAGACATTGATATTTCCTTTTTTTTTACTGAAAGAGAGTATGTAGCAGTATTGTAAAATTCACCCTCCCTTCGGTCACCCTGTGCTCAGACAAGTTTCCCCATTTGGTCGGCGATGACGCACGCACGGACCGCGTGTGTTCCCCTTTTGAGGCTGGGCACCCAGGGGCACCCTCCCCTTAGTCAGCCATTGGCCGAGGACGCGCTCGCTCCCCCTCTCGTCTTACTCGCCGCCCTCCTTGCACTTGACCCTCAACTCCGAGATTGCCGCCACACGAGTGAAAACCACACAACATCGCCGGGGTCTTGAACCGGGCATGGAGTTTGCTAATGGGTTCGAAGAGATCGAGGTGAGGACGCGTCCGACAACGCAGAGCCCAAGCAAGGACCACCATGAGGGAGTCGGCACGCCGTCCACCTTGGGCGGTGCTACCGCGGCAGCCTGGATGATTCACCAGTCGTCGGCCACCCAGCCTACCGCTTTGACTACTGGAGTCGTCGATCTCACCGAATCACCACCCTCGACTACCCTCCTTGATGGCTCGTGGGCTTGGTCCGACATGGCAGCGTCTGCTCCCGGAGCAGCGCCATCGTCAGCAGCGCCATTCCGAGCCCGAAATGCTATGACGACCGCGACGAGCACTCTCGTCAGTGGCGTATCAAGCATGTCATCCGGACCATTGGCGGGAGGTCGTTTCGGTGGCGATACCAGGTACAGCAAACCAACGCCACCACCCTTGACCGTGTCCAGCGAGCCTCTACAGCCGCCGGGATCTAGCTCCAACTCGGACCCGAATCCTAGCGCGATCCCGAACCCGTCAGCATCGCATTCGGCGATGGACTCGGAGTCGGACTCGGCTCGGACCGCTGCAGTCACGTTCGGCGCTTCCTCGACTGCATTCGCAACCACACCCGCCTCACCCTTTGTATCCACTCCGTCAATTTCGAGTGCTGCGAACCCCGCCCCTGGCTTTGGCTCGTTCGCGAATCCGCATCCGACGCGCTCGTTGACGCTGCCCTCGTCATTCTCCCCCACCGTCAGCTCCACGAGCCAGGCCTCGCCCATGCTCGCTTCCTTCGCCCAGGTTAGATCCCAGTCCCCCGCGGCGGACAACAGTGGCGCATTCAATTCGGCAGCACTCGCATCCACCTCGACGAAACCGATTGTATTCGCCTCTCAGCTGCTACCGGGACATGCCACGTCCGCGTTCCGCAGTCCGGCCCTCGCGAAGGCCACCTCGACCCAACCAACCCCTGTCGCCGGCCCGTCCGGGTCAAGATCGCTTCCAGGCTCGATCCCGAAACGACAGGGGAGTACGGAAAAGAATGGCTTAGGTTCCAATTCAAGACAGAGTTCGTCCGACCCTTTGCAGGCCTACTATCGCATGCAATCCGCCTCGGTCGCTGCAGCTCGCAAGTCGGCGAGCGACAACAGGCCGACACCGACTGGCCGAAGTGGCACCTACCCGGGCTCGAGCCGACCTTTCGTACCCTTGACTGCACCACACCCGAGCTCATCTCTGAATCCGAACGCGGGGGCAGGCATCGACCATCCTCAGCAATCTCGCAACGGGAAAGCCGTCGCAAACTCGGCGGTGGCTTCGACGTCGACTTCGGGCTCGAATACCATGATCGATCTCACCGAGGACGACATTCCCAGTGATCCCGACGAGATGCTTATCGATGATCACCCCATCTGCATCGGACAAATCACCAGCCTCGCCCTGATCCTCTACCCCATCCCCGAACTGCAACCACCCGCCGCGGCGGTCGATGACAAAGGTCGGCCCGTACCCGCGGCCCAGCAGCTCCCTTTCGCCCAACAACCTCCCCCACCTCTGGCCGTCTACATCTACCGTGGGGACGCGCAACAAGGGCACGAGACCCTTCGACTGGTTTCGTCGAGGCGGAAAGAAACTTTTGGTGTGGTCGAGCATAGGGTCGCTGACGTCATTGGGCCGCTGCTCGGGAATGGGTGGTCGGGCGCGGGCATCGCGCCCGAGTCGCGAGGCAAGATCTGGTGTGAGGCCCATGTGATGCGAAAAGCCGAACGGAGTGTGAGTAGCCTTCACTTCCATCAAGCCACTATGATCCAACAAATCTTTCAATGCTGATTCCCGATCGATGACTGCAGCCAACTCTGCTCCCCTTGGTACTGCTGCTCTTCGCCCGACCTTTAGATGTGCCAGCGATCTCATCCACACTCGAGCGCAACATGATCTACCTCGAACATCCCTCGGCCTACAATCCCGCCCTTCACAGTGGAGCCCGATATTCGAATCCCCACAACCCAGCAGCAGGACGAGCGTCTGAACGCCGAAGACACGATTTCCAAGCCGGGATCTATGGTCTGTCGGGACTGGGCGCGACACGAGTTGTGAGCCAAAAGGATGAAGCGCGGAGTCAGGTCGACGAGGTGTTCAAAAGTTTGAAGAGTGTGATGGAGCTCGACGAGGTAGAACCTCGTAAGTTTGGCTGTACAGGTGACCCAAGTCTTCGGACTGTGGCTGACGTGCCTGATCATGATCTTCACACAGCACCGATGGTCACAACAAAGCTGTATCCGCATCAAAAACAAGCTCTGTCCTTCTTGCTCGATCGCGAACGCATTCATGAGGTTCCTGAAAAGGACGAGCGAGGCAAACCCACGATCCTCTCGCTTTGGTCGAGGGAGAGTAATCCTTACGGTCAACCCGTTGGTTGGAAAAGCGTGGTCGCTGATCTCAGCATCTCAGGACCCGAACCGCCTCCGCAAACTCGAGGAGCGATTCTGGCCGACGATATGGGCTTGGGGAAAACGATTGCAATCATCGCTTTGGTCGCCACGACGCTCGATGATGCTCGAAAGTGGTACACGGCTCCCGTTGATCGTGAGAACCGAGACGCTCGTGTCGATTCCTTGGTCACCAAAGCGGCTGCTCCTCCGAAACTTGGGATTGGGGATTTCTCGGGCCGTGCGTACGGCTTCGTCGAGTACGGGACTCCGAACGCTTCGGCTTCGACCGGACGACCACTGAGCAAGAAGAAGCAAGCGGCTGCGAAGCGCGAGCAGAAGAGGGAGGACGCTATCGCGGCTCGGCATAATCGTCTCGTCACGCGGAGTCGTGCGACTCTGATCGTCTGTCCCCTCTCGACGGTCCAGAACTGGGAGAGTCAGTTCGAGGAGCACACCGGATACGCTGATGGACGAGTTTATACCGTCACGTCGGGTTTGCCCAAGCTCGAATCGGACGAAGAGGATGGGGACAGTGGCGGGGGTACTGATGGATCCGAAGAGTACAAGCCTCGACCCAAGTCAGAGAGGAATGGCAAGAAAGCAGCTCCTGCACAGGCAGCGGCAGGGGCAGCGGAGGAACGAGCGATCAAAGTCTACGTCTATCATGGGAACCACAGGATACAGGATCCTATTCGATTGGCAGATTATGATGTCGTTGTTACGACCTTTTCGACGCTCGGGACGGAGTACTCAAGGCAGTCGAGAGCGGAGGATGAACGAGAAGCGGAAGCCTCAAGAGAGGGGAGCTCGGACGACATGCTGGAGGTTTTCGTGTTGGGTCCGAACGGCGAACACGTCGAGACCAGGGCCGGTGATCCGATCGTCAAAGCGGGCAAGCCCACAAAACCCAAGCGCAAGAGACGGAAGCCGGAAGGTGATGGCGCGTCACCACTGCAGCAGATCGAATGGTACCGGGTTGTGCTTGATGAAGCGCACATTATCAAGGAGCATACGACGATTCAAGCTCGAGCAGCATGTGAACTTGCCACGCCTCGACGGATAGCTTTGTCGGGAACTCCCTTGCAGAATTCGCTCAACGACTTGTTCTCCCTCGTGCGCTTTCTTCGCCTTGAACCCTTTACCGACCGATCGGTATGGAATCAACACATCGGCTCTCTTGCTAAGGTCGGTGATCCCCTCGGTGTCGACCGCCTCCAACTCATCATGCGCCATCTCGCTCTTCGGCGCACTAAAGAATCTACCGACAAGGACGGTAAACCAATCCTGTCCCTTCCGCCCAACAAATCCGATTTGGTCGAGCTCCAATTTTCGCCCGTGGAGCATGCGTTCTATCAGGTCCATCATCAGCGGTATAAGCACGATTTCGCCAAATTGGAAGAAACCGATTCGGTAATGAAGAATTACTGCTCGATCCTTCAAGAGCTGCTGAGGCTTCGACAGATCTGCGTACACCCTGCTCTCGTGCGGGACTCGGAGGATGCCAAGATTGGGGGAACGGACGTGGTCGAGTCGATCAAGCAATACGGCATTTCGAGACAACGTGCGATTCCGCTGCTCCTCCTTATGCGGGACGCCGGTGGAGGACAATGCTCCGAATGCGGAACAGAGATGCTTCCCGTTGCTGGTTCGAATGACGAACGTGCCGATGAGGTTGAGGATGAATCAAGGATGGAAAAGAAAGCCCCCGCGAAGAAGAGTCGCAAGACTGCCAAAGCCAGCACTGCATCAGCCGCCGCCTCCGATGCCGAAGATAATGGTGGTGGACCCGCCTTACCGAACGAGCTACGTTCCGTCGTTACTCGTTGCCAACACTTGTTCTGTCGCCTGTGCTTCATCAACCACATCTACAACGATTGGACTTCGCCGAAAGCAGGAGATACGGCACCGTGCAGCGTCTGCAAAGAGGTGCTCAAACCCGTCTTGGACGCAGTTGAAATTGGTGCGACGGAGTTCTTGCGCGCGACGGAGAAGGCTGATAAGGGGGATGTCAAGCCGACCAAGGGAGGCAAGAAGAGCGCCGCTGACCGAGTGTTTGAACATTCAACAAAGACTTTGTGAGTACCTTCGGTCCTTCAGGTGCGAGTTGGAGCTGCATCTGACGGCCCCGCCGTTGTGCAGTGCTCTGGTCAACGACCTCCGTCCCTTCTCACAAGCCAACCCCGCCTCCGTCAACTTTCGCGGTGATCTCTACACAAGCGATGAACCCCGCGAAGGAGAAAGCCGCACCATCGGTTTCCAACCTCACAAAGGCGAAGTCGTCAAATCTGTTGTCTTCTCCCAATGGACGAGCTACCTCGATCGTCTCGGGGATGCTCTTAGTTCCGAACGTATCAAGTACGGTCGTTTGGACGGGAGTATGGATCGCGATGCGAGGTCGAGGGCGATGATGGCCTTCAAGACGGATCCGGCGTGCGAGGTGCTACTGGTCTCGTTGCGCGCTGGCGGTGTTGGGTAGGTGCTCATTCTGTTCATCCACTATGAGGAAGTTGTTGATGATGACTGACACGCCCGACTTTTCTGGCACAGACTCAATCTAACCGCCGGTCGACGGGTGTACCTTATGGAACCGTTTTGGAACCCAGCCGTCGAAGTGAGCGGTCATTCCATGTATTTGACATCTGAAGCACTGCTGACAAAGTTGTCTTTCCTCCCTCTTGACAGAACCAAGCCGTCGACCGCATCCATCGTCTCGGACAAACGATGCCCGTCCAAACCGTCCGTTTCGTAATCAAAACGACGATCGAGGAGAACATGCGCAAAATTCAAAAGCGAAAATTGGACTTGGCCAACATGAGTGTCAAAAAGACATTGAGCAAGGCCGAGCTTTTGCAGCAGCGCAAGGAGGAGCTGGCGATCTTGATGAGCTAGACGCACGCCTTTGTTATTTGCTTTTGTCCCTATTCGTTCATTCGTCTTCCTCTCAAGAAGAATGGGTGCCTACTTCCGGTGAGAATATGCAATGTTGATGTTTTTGTCACACACAAGGGACCCGGATCAAAGACAGCGTAGGAATTGCAGGGAAAGGACATGCTAGTATAGTAAGGGGAGGTCCTCAAAACGCTTAAACGATATCGAGTTTGGTCTTGAGGTTCTTGATCAGGACCCAATCCTCCTTCGGTCTGTGATAGGTTGGTGAGAAGGAGTAGAGCAGTCAGCGACAGGGACCACGAAACGTTGATTCAGTGGCCTGCCCAGGAACTCACACTTCCGCCCTGAACAAGTCCTTCAACGTATCGATCGACGTCCGCGAGATCAAGGAAATAAGCTCATCGTTCTCATCAAAGTGTCGACCGTACTGCTTGGCACTCTCGTACGACGCATGCTCGATCTTGACCGCAACTCCACCACCGGCTTCGGACTTCTTGATCACGTCCTTGACCTTGTGGTTGATCTCGAGCGAAGTGATCTTGCCCAGGCCGATGATTTCCTTCTTCTTCGTTGTCGCGTCCGTTCGCACGACACAGAGCGGTGTTCCGACTCGCAGGGATCCTTCGATGATGTCGCACCCAACGATGATAGCTGTGGTGAACAGGGGAAAATTAAGGCGTCAGTACTGCTTGTTTCGAGGAGGGAGCAGTCAAACGTGAGACACGCACGATCACGCTTCGCAAAGCAAGCGATAATCTTCAGCCTGCAGGGCCACACCGCTTTCGGTGCCAGATCGGCCCGCTTAGCCTCGAGCATCTGCGCATTGTAAGCCGTGAATGCATCGAACAAATGGTAGATAATATCCGCTTTGAAGACCTTGACGCCGAGTTCGTCGGCGAGTTTCTCCGCCTCTTTGTCGACGGGAACGTCGAAGCAAAGCATGACGGCGAACTCCTTGTGCTTCTCGAGCATCGTCGACGCACGAACGACATCCTTCTTGTGCACAGGACCAATGTTGATTCCGCTGACGGGGATTTTGCTGACGCGCAAGAATTCGAGCAAAGCCTCGAGCGAACCGAGCGTCGAGGCCTGGACGCACACACCCTTGCCGGTCTTGTCAACCGAGTTCATCAAATCCGTCAGATCGGACATGACCTCTTCCCTCAACTCGTCCTCGTCGTCATCCTCAGTCACGACGAGCAAACGAGAACCGGCGATCGCCTTTTCGAGATCGGGCGCGACGATCTTGATTCCGAGTGAAGCCTTGACCTCCTTGTGGTGGACGTATTGACCCTTGATGCGCAACTCCTTCATGGGCTGGGGTGTGAGCAAAGCTCGCACCTGGGTGACGATTGCACCGTTGAGACCGCACACGACGATCTTGTCCCCTTCTCGCAATACACCATTCGACAAGACGACATCGATCGTCGTTCCAAGACCTTCAATGACCTTGACCTCGAGGACCGTGCACTCGAGCGTCGAGATGTACATGAGGCGTTCGGCCATCCTCTCTTGCGTCAACTTGATAATGAGCATGAGCATATCCGGCACACCTTCTCCCGTGTGGGCCGAAGTCGGTACGAGCGAAACGACGCGAGCAAAGTCCTTGTTCTTGTAGTAAGGCAACGAGTTGAGACCTTGTTCGGCAAATGCGAGAATGGTCTTTTGCAATCGATCTTCAAACTCGCGCTTAACGGCGGGGGATTGCGACGCGAGCGATTCTTGGAAGCCTCCGTTCGGGATCGCCTTCCAGCCATACAGTCGATCAATTTTGTTGAGCGCAACGATGAAAGGGGTTTTGCCTTCTCGGAGCAATCGCAGCGACTCCAGAGTTTGAGGCTCGAGACCGTGCTGTGATGAGAGGAGAAAGAGATAAAGTCCGTGATTAGCGAGCTGATACCTGCGTATATTCAACCCCGCTCCCTACTCACCATGATGTCGACGACCAAGATGGCAATGTTGCACAACGACGAACCACGTGTTCGCAAGTTGGTGAACGACTCGTGACCCGGTGTATCGATGACGAGCAAACCGGGAAGCTTGTATTCCTTCAAGTCGTTGTCGCCAAGCACACCGGTCTTGGATCGGATCGCTTCCATCGGGAAGTAGGTCGCACCGATCTGTTGTGTGATACCACCGGCTTCGCCCTCCTGGACGTTGGTCTGTCGAATCTTATCGAGCAGTTTGGTTTTACCGGTATCGACGTGCCCAAGAATGACACAGATTGGACTGCGCATATCGTCCTTGCTCCGGGCTTTGAGAGCATCAGCAGCCTTGGCCAATCGTCGCTCCTTGGCTGCGGCTTTGCGTTCGGCCGCCATGCGTTCGGTCGAGGTCATGCCGTTCTCATCCTCAGATGAGTCGTCGTCCGAGTCGTGATCTGAGTCATCGTCGTCTGAATCGTCGTCCGAGTCATCCTCGTCGTCATCGTCCGAGTCATCCTCATCGTCGTCCTCCTCAGATGAAGACTCGACGACGGCTGCCTTGCCACCCTTGGCGGCAGGTTTGGCAACGGCTCCCTTTGCGGCAGGCGAAGCTTTGGCAACGGCTGCACCTTTCGACGGTGTTGTCGTCGTGGCGGATTTCGGTGCCGCTTTGGCCTTGCCATTCGAAGCTGCGACCGCATGGAGGGAGCAAACAATCAGTAATTGCTCCCGCACGTGTGCAGCGCCACCACGCTCACCTTTTGCAGCTGGTGCAGCAGCCGGTGCAACTTTCGCCGGTGCGCCCTCCTTCTCCTCGTCCTCCGATGAACTGGCATCCCAATCGTCCTTGACATCCTCAACGTCACTGGCATCCCAGTCATCCTTGACGTCATTGTCACTCCCTGCTTCCTTGTTCTCCTCCTCGTTGACGGACTCGACAGGTGCAGCCTCGAGCTTCTCCTCCACCACAGGTTCAGCGGCAGCTTGTGGGCCGTTCTTGTGGAACGACTTCTTCTTGCTCCCGTACGAGACCTTGCGCGCCGTTTCGCCATCGTTGCCCTTTTGCAAGCCCGCGATGAGCACACCTTCGGTACCGACGAGGGCCTTGAGTCGAGCTTCGGCGGCGGCCTTTTCGGCTTTTTGCTTCGGGGTGAGCAGCTTCCCCTCTTTGCGAAGTTGATCCTTCTTGGCCTGTAGAGTGTTCTTGAATCAGTTACCGGCCCATCAACAATCGATCCAACTCTCTCAATCGAACCGACCTTCTCCTTCTCCTTTTTCTTGGCCTTCTCCTCAGCGCGCAACCTCTCCTCCTCAGCAGCCTTCCGTTCCTCCTCCTCAATTCTCGCCTGCTCCTCCTCCTCCAGCCTCTTGGCCTCCTCCTGCGCCGCCTTCTGCGCCTCCATCGCCGCTCGCAATGCAGCCATCTTGGGGTTCAGCTTGGGCGCCGGTGCGGCCTTCTCCACGACGGGCTTGTCGGCGGCCTTCTTTTTCTTCTTCTTCTTGTTCTTCGACGCGGCATCACCTCCTGCTTCGTCGCCATCGTCTTCAGCGTCATCATTGGCTGCAGCGGTAGCGGCAGGTGGTGGGGGTGCGGGAGTGGCTTCGGCGGGGGCACCGGCCGCTGGTGCAGCGTCGCCGGAGTGTGCCTTCTTGGCCGCAGCTTGGGCCTTCTTCTTCGCCTGTGTGAGGGTCAAAGGGAGAGAAGCAAGAGTCAGAGAGTTGAATTCGCGCCGTCAACCAGCCAGGATAACGGAGAGCCTACCTTCTCCTTTTCCTTCTTGAGCTTCTCCTTCTCCTTCTTGCTCAAGACTCGGTTCGGCTGATCGTCCTCCTGGTCGTCTCGATCCTCCTCCGCCTCGACCTGAGGACTCTCCTTCTTCTCCCCATCGTCCAACTTGACCTGCTCGACGGCCTGGATGACAGCCTCTACCTGCGCATCGGCAGCAGCCTCGTCCTCGCTATCCTCGTCCTGCTTCTTCTGCTGCGCCTTCTTATTCCCCCCCTTCTTCCCCTTCTTACTCTTCTTATCATCCCCAAACTCGGCATCCATCCAATCCTCCGCGTTAACCTCGACCGCCCCCCTCGGCGCGGCCAAGTCGATGTGTTCCCGATCCTCTTCTTCCTCAACCGGAGCAGCCTTCGTCTTCTTCTCCTTCTTTGACTTTGAGCTCTTCGCGATGGCAGCCATCAGCCCACCTCCATCTTCATCCGAGTCACCTCCGCCCGCGTTGAGGTCGTCGTCGTGGCTGGTATTGAGGGATGCAAAGGCCGCAGCGGTCGATCGACGGGAACGGTCGACGTCGACTTGAGCGTCCGATTCGGCACCGGCTGGGGAAGCGTTCGAGGAGGCTTTGGATTGCCTGTGAGAATGCTTTTTCAAGCGTGAGTGATCCTGTTTGATGATTGATGCCCCCACCCTCTCGTTCCATTCTCGAGATCGCACGAGGACCATGACGCGCGTGGTCGATCGCCATCCGCACCACCTCCAACTCGCATGACACCACGCACCAGTAGGCATCCTCGTCCAAATCCTTCTTTCCCTTCTTGCCCTTGGCCCCCTTCCTAGGCGGCATTGTTGGGGCGGGAGCAGCGCGAAGTGGTGGCGGTGGTGCTCGTCTTCGTCCGTCGAGATAGGGTAGAGAGAGGGCGGTCACTGATAACTCGAGTCTGGTCCCAGATCGTATGGGAGTTGAAGGGAGAGGCTACCGAGTAGAAGCTTCGCAGCGGGCCGGGTGTGGAGGGGTGAGGAGGGGTGAGGGAGCTTGAGGGAGGCTGAAAGCAGGAAGCTGATTACATAATAATTGTCTCAAAAAGGCGCGGCGCCGCTCGTCTCTTATGCTCGTCTCTGCTCGTCTCTTATGCTCGTCTCTGCTCGTCTCTCCCTTTCGCACTCAAAGGTCGACAGGCTGCCGGTCTGGCTTTCGACGCCTCGATCGGCTTGGGTCGTATCGCGATCAAAACCTTTCCTTGGGTTTCATTCTTCATTCCAATCAAAGCTTTATCTCGCTTGGAGCGCATACTCAACTCCACTGCAAGAGGCTCCCCGGCACCCTTCGCTCGGCGTTTAGCAAGTCCCGTGACCTATTATAGCTCGACCCTTTTTCGCAGCCCCGTTCGCCTTCACGAGCCCCACCTCCGCACCCGCGATTGCTCATCCCCACCCCAGCCTCCAACTAACAAACATCATGAATCCCTCCCCTTCCCCCTTTCCTCTCTTTCACATTGCACCGACCCCCAATTCGCACCTCGGCGCCTTCGCCTCCTCTCCCATCCTCAAAGGCATGACCGTCCTGCTCGACACCCCCTTGTTCACCCTCGACGCGCCGTTCCAAGCCTACCTCTACCAACGCGTCCAAAGGGGGGCTAGTGGACCTACGCCCATCGAAGGGGAAGAAGAGGAAGAGGGGAATGTTCCTCCGACGTTGGAAGAGTGGTTCGAGAAGCAGATCCAAAGGTCTTTGGTCAACAAGTACGTTTTTTTTTGTTTTTTTTTTTCTCATTCTGCCGAGCGAATCCACCGAGGGGTCGAAACGTTCCCTCTCCCCCAACCTGACATCCCCTTTTCCAAACCCGTCTAGAACTCCCACCGAAATAAATCAGTTTTACACCCTTTCCAACATGCATCCTTCCCAACCCCGAGCCTACGCCATCTTCCTCACCAACGCCGTCTCCTTATCCGAATCCACCACAGGTGGCCTCTTCCCCCTCCTCTCGCGCTTCAACTCCTCTTGTCGACCTAACCTTTCCCGACCGCATTGGTCTTCGAAAACACGAAAAATGCAGTTGATAGCGGTGAGGGATATTGAGGAGGGCGAGGAATTGGTGTGGCCTTATTTGGGTATCCCGTTCGAATTCGATTCGCCCCAAAGTAGGAGGGCGCAGTTGAAGCAAATCTTTGGGTTCGATTGCGCTTGTCGAGCTTGTACCGAATGGACACCACCTTCTACCGACAACAACGCGGACGCCACTTTAGCCGAGCCTTCACCCAAACTGAAAGCCTCCGAGGCCCGACTGCGAGAACTCAGAAGGTTGAAGCAGATGATCGATATGGGTGGCCAAAGAGTGCTGAGGAAGATGCAGCAGATATCCCAGGAGGAAGGGTTGTGGGAGATGAGTGATAGATTAGGGTTTGAAGCGAATCGGGTAGGTAGGGGTGAAGAGAGGAGGGGTTGGGATCACGATAGTAATCTTCATGAGGATGAGGAGAAGAGGAGGTGATTCAAGTGGGCGAGATAGGGATGGCACCTAATGTCAGTAGGACTAGAAACATTCCCGCAACTGTTGTAACACGAATAACTGTTGAATCGTCTCCGTTGTGCTCGCAAGTAATCTTCATGTCGGCCCGATCTTGACCGGGACCGCAGTGCACATGCTGTTTGGAGAAGCAGGCCCATTGTAAGGACCGTTCGAGCTTGTTGATTCGATTGAAACTCCTGCTTTTGACCTAGCTCGAGTGTAGTGAGAGAAGGAGAGGGAAAGAGTGAGGCGTGAGAGCGGTTGAAAGCTCCCTTCTGCCCGGGCTGCACCGATAGGAGGTCGGGATCCATCTCGCTCAACCAAATCTAATCTTCGTCAAACCAACTAGTTACAAATAATACATTGAAGAGACACAGCTATACAACTCAATCGAAAGTAATCTTCTTACCCTTGGGAGCATTCGCCAGGCTGAGCTGAGCCTCTTGAGCCCTCCGCTTCGCCTCCCAACTCGGGTGCATACCCTCCTCCACCAAGGGCTTTCCGCGAGCCACCGGAGCCGCACGAGGTACCTCTATCGGCTGCGCACCAGAAGATGAAAACGTGATCTTCTTTCCCTTCGGAGCATTGGCCAAGTGGAGTAGAGCTTCTTGGGCTCGTCGTTTCGCTTCCCAGCTGGGGTGCATACCCTCCTCGACCAGAGGCTTGCCACGAACGACAGGAGCACTCCGTGTCGAATCCGCAGGCCTGATCCCAGACGACGAAAGATTGACGATCTCAATAGGAACGATCGGTGTCGAAGTCTTGTAAGTAACCGTCGGTCGAACGATCTTGCGTTGCCCCACAGGCACAGCATTGGAGTTGTTCGCTGCCCCTGGAGTCTTGGTCGGGTCGTAAGGCGTGACGGTATGGTTGAGCGCGGCTTTGGTGATGGCCTTCTTGGACGAGGCTTTGGCCCCCTTTTGTGCTGCGGGGGCGCCGCCCGTCTCCTTGACAACGTGGTTCGCTCCTGAGCCGTACTTCTTTTCCCAGATACTGTCAGACGGAGCAGAATCAGGTGAGCAACTTGTATATGATTTTGTGGATTCCGTAAGCACAGCCACGACTCACGCTTGACGAGCTCGCTGTCCCCTTCGGTTCTTCCGCTTCTCCTCTCGCTTATCCTGTCGCTCAGCGTCTTTGACCCATTTAGCATCCTCATCATCCGAGTCGGGATACGACACATATCCCGCAGCGAGTGAAGGCAAGAAAGCCGATGAGGTGATGGGTCGCGTCGTGGACGATTCTTTCTTGGGCCGCTTATCTAGTTTCGTATCCACTGGAGTCGACTTGGCTTTCGCTTTCGGTGTGGTGGCTTTGGATGCTGCCACGACCGGGAATGACGAGTCGGATGCAATCGATGCACCGTCATCGTCGTCATCGCCTACGCCTTCGTCGCCACTTTCTGAACCGGACCAGTCGGTCCCACCATCTCCCCCGAGCGCCTCGAGCTCCCGTCGGACTTCATCATCGTCAATCCCAGACTCGCCACCATCCTCATCATCCCCGTCCTCTTCTTCGTCACCACTCTCTTTCTCCGAAGCACGTCGCATCGCTTTGAGCCGCTCGGGATCGATCGTCATCTCCCTCGGTTGCTTCGCCTTCAACTCGCCCTTCAGCTTCCTCTCGGCTCGCTTCGACAGACGTCTTTCCCCAACGACCGCTGGCCCGGGACTAGCATCCACCTTAGTCCCGTCGGTCGAGGTAGATGCCACGCCAATACCATCCTGTACAACCGACTTCTTGTCCTTGCTCGGACTCTTCGCTGGCACTGCCTTGACGGCAACCGGTCTTGGAGCGACTTCTTCGCCAAGCCGTTTCTTGATTGCTCGAACGATCTCTTCCCATGCTTCATGAACGATCTTGTTGGCGAAAACGCGATTCCTCGCTTTTCCAGGAGTACTTGTCGCGTCCGGCTCGGTTGTTGTAGGTGGGATTTGTGTTGGCAATGAGGCGGTTAAAGTAGAGAGATGCTCGGACAGGGCAGGGGAGGAGATTTTGCCGAGGCGGGTATGGAGGATGTGTGTCGCCAACGGATCAATGGGAAGACCCTGCAAGAACGGTCAAGACACCATCAGCATCGCGTGAAAGTTGAGAGCCAGGCAGTCCTGTGCGTAATGACCAACCTTGAGCGCCTCAAGTTGAGCTTCGAGATCAGCCACGACCGTCGTAGCAACGCCTTCCGTTTCTCTGCAACCACAACAAGTTCTCTCAGCACAAGGGTTTATCTAATCCCGAAAACACTGATATAGCATCGTTGTGCTGTGCTCACCCCGCTCGCTTGAGTTTCCTCGTGAGCTTCTGCAGCTCGAACGTCTTGCTCTTCTTGACGGCCTTGTGCAGCAGCTTGAGCGCGTGGTGCTGACAGCACAGCAATCGCAAATGACGATCAGCATACAAGCCCACCATAAAACACAACTTTTCATCTTTCATCTTGGTCGCACCCACCATGTAAGCCTTGAGCGCCTTGAGCTGTTCCACTGGATCAGGCGAGACCTCTTCCGCTGCTCCGTGCTTGCGACGTTTACCCATCTACGATACAGGGTGCGCAACGAGATGTAGGGTCATCAGCAGATCTCATAGGCGCACAAGCATAGTGTGACTCACTTGTTTGGAAGGGGCGTCATCGTTGATGCGACGTTTGGTAGGGCCCATGGTGGCAGCGCGGTGTGGGATGGTGTGCGATCGGACGTGGGGCGAACGAAGCCGTTGCGAAGCGAGGCCGGACCCAAGTCTCCGACCGAAAACGGTCACGTGATGGGCAGATCTGCTGCTCTCTGTGGTTTTATTTACTCCCGATAAGGAAGTGCATGCATTCTCAATTCATGACTGGTCCCCGCATCCATCTTAAAGTTCAGAAGTGACTCAATGTGTAGGACCTTCTCTCAGTATCCCGACTCTCACTGCCGAAGAGCCCGATGATCAAGAATTGTCAATGCGCCCCCCCCCCCCCCCCCCACCTCCCAGACAACCGTAAACCATTTTGGTGAGCGTAAAACTAGATACATCCCAAATAATCTTCGATGACCTGCTCTAGCAAACTGCATGCGTCTTCTTGTGCTTGCCCCTCAACGAGTGTTTCTCGTGCTCAACATGCTTCGTCTTGGCCGCATGCGAAGCAGGGTGATGCTCCGACTGCTTCTCCGCATCCTGATCGACCTCGTGCGGCGTCTTGCCCGCCAAAGCTTCAGCAACGACCTTGGGCGCTTTGGAAAGGTATTCGACGGTGTGCTTAAGGTCTCGAACGAACTGCTCGCATCGGGAGCGGGAGAAGTCCTCTCGCACGACGACGCGCAGCATCTTCATTTGATCCGTATGAGGCGCCATGGTATCTGCGAGCGGCGACGATGATCATCAGCACCTGTTTGGTTACGCTGGTACATCTTTATCGCTCACAAGCAGGCACGATCCAACCTCGCTGGCGCAAATGACCGGCGATGGCGAATTCGTCAAAGCCAACGTCGGCCTTGACGATCCTCCAAGCGACAAGGGGCAAGCCCCGACCCTCGGTCTCGGACATGAGTTCAAAGAGATCTCCCCCGCCGAGCTTGAGCACCTGCTGCGACAAATAGTCGGCTGTGCAGGTCAAGTTGGACATGATCGACTCGTAGCCCGAGCGGCCGAGGCGCAGGAATTGGTAGTCTGTAGGAAAACGAGACGACAGGAGTCAGGACTTTGATCTTGCCGGCTTCCCCAAGATTCTGAAATTACATTGGCCAAGAACCTGTGTGTGTGTTCAAATATTATCCACATTAGTTTCAGATCACCGAGCATGGGTGACGTAGACAGCCTGTACTGACCTGGACGCCTGACTTCGAAAAGTTGAGGGTGAAGCTGCTTTGGGGGCTGCCGAGGTCTGTTTTGGGCGATCATTCGATGAAGAGTGCACAAAGTCAGTGAATCAGATTCGGAACGACGATCTGACGAGACTACCCAGACTGTACAAAACTCACAGTTGACGGTGAAGACCACCTCGTCGGGCAGGTACTTCTTCTCCCTGAACACGAGCCACCCGACTCCAGCGTAGGCGAGTCCGTACCTGTCGCAGTTGAAATTTGCGCAGGAATGAGCATGTATATCGCACGTCAAATTGATGATCCAAAACCCTATAGACTTACTTGTGACCTGAAGCGTTGATCGAACACACCAAAGGCAGACGGAAGTCCCATTCCAGGTCGGGCATGACGAAAGGAGCGACGAATCCCCCGGAGGCACCATCGACGTGGATGTGCACATCGAGACCCTTCTCCTTGTTGACCTTGGCGACTTCGTCGTTGATGCCCTTGATGTCCTCGTACTGACCCGTGTAGGTCGTACCTGCAAAGGCGATCTCGGTGAATCAATGTCTACCGCAGGTGCTCGGGAAGAACCAGCCGAACTCACCGAGGATCGCGCAGACCAGAATCGTGTTCTCGTCGCAGAGTTCGGCGCACTCCTTGGGGTCCATGACGTACGCCTCAGGTCGGCAGTACCAGTACCTCTCCTCGACTTCGAGGTAGCGCGCCGCCTTCTCCCAGCACACCTGGACGGCGGCGTTCATGACGAGGTTGGGCTTTTCAGTCGACTTGCCCTCGGCTCGGCGCTTAATCTGCCAGCGACGCTTGGCGGCGAGAACAGCGAGGATGATGGCTTCCGACGATCCGATCGTGCTGACACCAAGCGCTTCGGCCTTGTGGTCGGTGAGGGGTGCGTTGAAGAGGCTGGGGTCGAGATAAGTAAGCCTCTGTATGAACCCGTGGTGACCTCGATTCCATGATTGAAGATATGCTTACCGGGCAACAATGTTGACGCAACGAGTCTCGATCTCTCCCCTACCAGTGAGCGAATGCATCCCATATCAGTAAGCATCAGCTCTAAGCTAGCGCTGGAATGCCAGCACTCTGGCACCCCCCCCCCCGCGAGTCGCCCGACAAAGATGAGCTGGCTTACATCGAAGGGTATTCCTCGACATCAATAAAGTTCTTGGACAAGTTTCTGTGTGTGTTCAGGAGCCGGTCCAGTACGTCAGCTCACAGGCTCATGCTCTGTCGTCGTGCCGAACGGTGTCGTTGTTGCGGCCCACGGCTCCACGAAGGCAGGATCGATCAGGCGGGGGCAGCGGCGCCCCACGTGCCACGTGCCACGTGCCGATCGATTTGGAATCCCGGCAATGCGCATCTTACTCACGCCAACATCAAACGCTCAGCCTCAGGTTCTTGATACGTCGTCACAAAACTCGCAAGATTCAAAGCCGGGTTGCCATCCAGTAACAGTTCATCCGAGATGAAGCGTTGCACGACCGTAGCCGGCAACTCTTGTTCGGGCAACTCGAAGCGACGGATACCATTCCTAGCTAGGGAGTTGCCGTACACGGTCGATGAGACGTGGTGGGCTTCGGAAGGGGAATCCTTGACGCGAGAGTCGGCGGGGACGGTGGAGAGGACCCTGCGGAGATCGAAGGGGAGCGGAAGGGGATCAGTAGGGGGCAAGAAGGACACGCCGAGTCGCCTTCATCAAACGACACCGAGCGACGGAGAATCCGCGGACGGGCACGGGTACTTTGGTGCGTCTGTGGTTCTAGGCCACGGCCTCGGAGTCAACTGGTGTAGCTTACATTGCTTCGCGATTCGATGCTAAAGGGGTGGTGTATCCGGGAGGAGGTGGCTCGGGAGCGTGAGGGAAAAGACAAGGGGCCACAAATGACCAATTACATCGCCGATCGATCGGCGCAGCGCAGCCACAACTTCTTTCGACGAGGCACGTATTATTGATTGCAGCACGTGGATACATGCCGTAAATTGGGTTTTCAATATACAGGTTACATTGCATTTCAAATTTTTGTGTTCAACATTCGCACCACCAAACTCCAGAACCTCAAATCGAATTTCTACGAATGCTATGACCCCTCTTTTGGACTTTGGCCGCCGAGATCTCGCCAACGGTGCCCGTCGGCAATTGGCCTTCCTTGCCCCACTTGGTCAACAACTCTTTAGCGTGCGCTTGACCAATCTCGAACAGTTCACCGAAGCGTTTGAACTCCATCTGCGAGATAGCCGACTGTAGGAGTCAGCAAATGCTGTCTCGAAACTCGAGCCCACCACTTCGTAGACTCACGGTCCCGAATTGTGTGACCTGAGAGGAAAGCAAGATTCAGGCCTGATGAGTTAGCACGAATGTTTATGATTGTGGAAAGGGTATATTGCGCTCACAGGCATCCTCATGTAAAGTACACCAGGTGTCGCTTTGGCCTCCTCGAGCATCTTCACGCTCGACACGCTAGGAGAATAATAGAACAAACCAGTCAGTGTGCATCGGACGACAAGACACGACAAGTTCAGACTTACTAGGTCAACCGGGACTGAATCTCAGTAATATTGGGGATGTTGGAAGGCGTCGCAAACGGATTCCAGCGCTGCACCAAGAGCCACCAGCCCGACACGCTCTCGCCGTACGATCGAGGCGAGGTGTCGTCGACCGATCCAACATCGACCGCAAAGACCGAGGCCGCACCCATCGAGAGCATGACCGAAACCTAGTGCACAAGTATAGTCAGTGACTGAAGCTGCGTTTACGCTCGGAATGATTGGCACAAGCCGAACTGACCGGCAAGTTGTCGACGTATCCGCCGTCGACGAGCATGTCCCCAGCGTCGCAAAGCGGCGGCAACAGTCCCGCCAGTGACATGGACGCCCGAATGTACCGCCACGCATAACCCGTCGTATGCACCTCCATCCTCGAGTGGGTGATGTTCGTCGTGTTGCAGAAGAACGGCAGCCACATGTCTTCGATGTGGACGTCGTAGAAACTCTTGTAGATACCTCGGTTGAACTCGTGGCCTAGGGAAAGGTGTACTGGCCAAAGTCAGCAGAGCCCACACGTATAAGACACTGGGACTCACCGGTCGTATATGCGACCACTGGGTAAGTCAGATCGGTGAGGATACGCCACAAGGTCGACATGCGACCACTGAAACGTTTCGCTCGGCCATACGTCGATACAAGGTCCCCTTCGCGAGCGTAAAGACCTCCAACAAAGGAGCCGATTGATGTGCCTCCGACCATGTCGATCGGAATCCCTTGGTCAACGAGCGCTTGAATCACGCCGATGTGGGAGATCCCTCGCGCACCACCACCACCCAACACGATACCAATCGATTTTCCGCACAATCGACGAGCCAGTCGGGCAAAGTCGTTCAACGCCGGTGGCCGGAAGTGCTCGAGCGCTTGAGTACTCTTGCGGTACTTTCCAATCTGGACCTCGACTCGTCGAGCGATCTTGCGTAGCGCAACAACAGGCGCTGGGTCATCGAAAGGCGCTGGCATCGTCTCGGGTGTGGCACCGATCATTTCGATATGGTGATGTGCATGAATCCAGGGCCGGTTCTGGGCGAGTCCGACACGTCAGAATACTAGTATACTAGTCAGCCGAGACTCTTCAAAAGTAGACGAGCTAGCTTACCTTGAGCCAAGGACGAGTTGTGCCAGGCGGCACCGTCCTCTCGGAATGCAGCAAGATCAACTCCTTCCTCGCCGTCGTCTTCATGCTGACAAGAAGCTTCTCGTACTCTCCCAGGCCCGGATCACTCCCACCATCAGCAACGAGCAAAATACAATCGGCCTGTCGAATGCACGTCTGCGTCCAGGGCGCCGAAACAGCCGTGTCGGCGACGTAGAGGACGATGCGGTACTTTTGTTCCGTTTCGGCCAACCACCCCGCGAGCTTCAAAGTCCCCATTCGACTGAACGCATGTCGCCCGAGCACCTGCATCACCGTAGCTTGGTTGAGATAGCTTGTCAGAGCACCCATCGATTCGAGCGCGTGCAGGAGCTTCGTCGAAAATACTGACACCGGGACGTGTCGATTCGTAGGAATAATGGCGACCGTCTTGAGGTTGAAGTTGTCTTTGCCCATACGGTCCATCCCACCGGTGGAAAGCGGAAGCGGGACCGACGAGCGGGCATGGACCTGCGAACGCAAGCGAGCGGCGATGATGCGCGAGATCTGGATCGTGACGAGGGGATGGCGCACCGAGATGGCGTTGAAGAGCGTCATGGGCATCCTCGCCAACTCGCTGTCACGAATGGCGTGGAGCGTGGAAGGACGCGTCGATGCGGTGATGCAGTCGAGTTCGCCAACCGACTCGCCTTGACCGTATTCGCTCTCGATCTCCACCCCTCCTCCTGCTTTCTCGTTAATGGACCGCAGTCGACCGTTGATGACCTGGCGTAGGGTTAGATAAGCTGACTATCAGCACAGGTGCACTGCATTCGGGACAAGCCAGGGCTTACGATGTAGAACGAGTCAGCTGGCTCGCCCTGACGGTAGATCACTTGACCCGCGCTGACATGCTGCCAGTCCAAGGCCGAGTCGATATGCAAGATCAGCGGCGAGAGCAGACTGATCAATCGCTTGGCCAAGGTGAGCAGTACGATTGGCTTGCGGTCCATGATCCTGTCCAGAGCCTTGGCCGGCAAGAAGCCGACGTAGCATTCCGTTTTGGCGGTGATGTCAACGTAGGAAGGAAAGCCAGACAGCGACGAGAGGTAACCTGCAATTCCACCCGGCTTGACCGTGAACAGGGGCGTCGAGGTTTTCTCACTCGGTTCTTCGTTCATGGGTGGCAACTTGCCCGTGTCCACGACGGCTTGCGTCGCCCGAGGGATGGGTTTGGGTCGACCCATCGGTGTCGAACCCCGTCGAAGCGGTGTGTTCGCAGTCGGACCTCCACTGGCCTTGGCCCCGTACGAGCTTCGCCTCGAATGAGCGCTCGACGATGTCTGTGAAGATGCGGTCGGGATGTTAGTCGTCGGCGTCTTCTCTTGATTCTTGATCGTGGCATCTGCAGTCGGCTCGGGCATCGAGACGTCCAAGAAACCTTCAATGACAAAGTAGAGACCCGCATTCTTCTCGCCTTCCTTGACGAGGGTGCTGCCCTTAGGGAAGAACAGTACCTCCACTTCGTTCTCGAGCTCGGTTGAAGAGAAGCTCGCAATGGAGGAGCCAGTGACGGAGGACTCGTCGTCAAAGGCGTGCATACCGAGGAACGACAGCGAGCCGAACGAGGAGTTGAAGACAGCTTTTTGCAAGTTTGAGGCCGCTTCGGTGGGTCGGACCATGGGCGAGGCTTCAATCGAAGCAGATGGGGTAGCAGCATGGTGAACGAGCCCGATCGCTTTCGAAATAGACTCCATCACGGCCTGGCGCAGATCAAAATCGTCGACGGGCGACGGGCCGTCAGACGAGCGCTCGATCCTTGGCGTCGCGAGTGGACTGAAGTGGATGGATCGCAGCTCTTCGTCGGCCGGAGTGGACATCGTCAAAAGATCTCCGGCTTTGCGCGTCGACATCCCGCCTCGACTCTTTCGGTTCGCAGGGGGCCGGTACTTGAGGCGCACACCTTCTTCGTGATCTTTATGGGTGTCATTTCCCCAGAAGACGTCACCCATTGCGGGTCCAGCGATCGGGGTGGCCATCGTAAAGTAGTCGAGGTCATCGTGGTCATCGTCGACGGGGTTTTCGGCCAGCTTCGTCTCAGGCTGGAAACGCTGTCGCAAGCGATGGATCCCCCCACTCTCCCAGAATGCATCGGGCAAGGGGTAGCACGCGAGCTCGTTGATCGCTTTCTCCGTACGGATGACTTCTCGGGTCAGACCGAGGTACTTGTGGGCGGTCAAGAATGTCACGCGCTGCAGTCGCGTCAGGATAACTTGAACGATGTGTGCCGCGGCGTTGGGAAACTTTTTCGTGAGCCGTCGGAACGCTTCGGCGGGGATGACGGCCAAAGTCGTGTCGGTCGTGGCACGAGCGATGGTGCGCTCCTTCGGGACATCCTTGCCATTCCCGTGCGTACTCTCGAAACTCTGTCCTCGGAATTGCGGCGGCGAAGGCTCAAAGCTGAAGCCGGGTGCACCTGCCGGGTGGCCTAGGCCTGACTGTGACGCGGGATGGAATGGGTGGATCGACGGGCGAGGAACGCTACCCCGGTCCGTGGACTCGCCCGACTCGTTATCCGCGTCATCGGTCGAATCGCCCGTGCTTCCTTCCTCTGGAATGATGGTGCCAACCGAGCCATCGAGCGAGGGCTGACTGAACACTCGTGTAGAGCTTTGACGAAGAGGAGATCGGGAACGGCGCCCCGAGGGAGTTCCGCTGCTGGGCCTCCGTTCACGTAAGTAATTAGGGTCATCGAGGTGGAAGTCTGTGACGTCAAAGTTGCGGTCCGGTCGAGTGGCACCAAAGCGACCCTCGGACGCTCTTCGGGGTCGTGCCCGAGCACCGGATGCTGATGGGCGTGCACCCGACTGGGAAGCGCTACCCATGAAATGCTCATTCTCCTCGTAGCGCAGCTTGACATCCTCTGTGAAGAGTGACAGGATAGTGAACAGGCTCGATAATGTGCCTCCTGATTCGACGTTGTTGAGCAGCTGATACCCGTTGTTATCCTCGTCGTCATAGGCATCCCTCGCTGGCTCGCCGTCCGTCGAGGTCGAGGTCTGGGCAAAGACTTGCACGGAGCCATCAACGACGATGTAAAAGGACTTGTCCTGATCCAGGTTGAGCGTGTCCCCGGCGATGAGTCGACGGGTTTGTAGATGGCGCGCAAGCTCATGGAAAACTGGTTTTTCGAGATACCCAAACACCTTGATTGCGGACAAGAACTAATTGCGTAGGTGGTCCGAGACGTCAGTCCAGATTGGGAGGAACAAGAAAAGCGCTTTGCTCACCTCGTCGAGATAGTTGTGGAACCTGGGTTGCGCTTGATCGGTGACGAGATCGGGGTGCCTGTTTCATGGATCCCGCCCCTGATGTGAGCGAGTGCAGCGAGACGCACATAGAGATGTACTCACAGGTCGAAGCCCTCATCCTTCTCCAAGGGCGCTACCTTGAGTGTGGTGTACCGGTTGAGGTAGCGCACCTTCCAGACGTAGGACAAGATCGTTGCGCCTATGAAGAGCGTTATAATGACCGACATGAAGTTGAAGCGCAACGTAATCGTGGCTCCCCAGTGCAGGACTAAGAAAGCCCATCGTGGCAAGGTCAAGGTGACAAAGGCTGCGAGATGTGCCGACTGCGAAGAGAAGTCGAGAGTGGAGTTAGCAACCCGCTTCGTTCGATCAGAGAGCCAGCAGCGGCCGGTCGCTCTTGGTGCGTTAATCAGGAGCCGAGTGTCAACGGTGTGATATCACACACATCACAAGTCGCCCGTGTTGCTGCACGCGCACGTGAGCACACGACAGGGCGAGCACCATCACCTCCCGAGCCCGCTTTGGATGACGTCGATCCAGGCTAGAGTGTGCGATCTAGCACCAGAACATCGACACCACACAGGCGTCCACACTCACAGCAGAAGCTGACCAGCTCAACACATAGTACGTGAGTCTCAGAATCGAGTTGAGCGCCAGGATAAAGTCCTCTGACGCGGTCGGTGCGGCGAACGGCGGCGGTGTCGCGACGGCAGCCGACGTACGAGCTGCTGCAGAAGCCGCTTCGGAAGCCTTTCCCGCAATCGCATCCATCTTGAACACCTGCGCTTTCCCTCGTAGCGTGCACCGGGACTACTACTTATAGCGAGCCGAGTCGAAATGTTCCACTTTGGCAGGCGTCGATGGTGACTGCGCGAAAGCGAGAAGAATGTGGGGCAGCGCCGGTCGCAAGCGAACTCGATTGTCGATCGCGGAAGCCTGCGGAAGCCTGCGGAAGCTATTGATCCGCGAATAACCCTGCAGTGCTCCTCTGATCTGAGTTCATGCTCCACTACGGAATTGGAGGAAATTGAGCAGTTGACAAGTTTTTTGTATTTTCTTGGGTACTCTTGGCGACTACGTCACGTGATCATTGCCGGCGCAACTACTAGTAACAGCGCTGGCACTGCCAGTCACAGCAGAAGGACCTCGAAGGGACCAGCCTGCTCGAGCAAAGTGTTGGTGAACAAATTGTATTGAAGATGCTAGTCTAGATCACTTAGTACTACTGAGAACCTTCTTTAGTCGTGCATTCTTTGATGTAGATGTAGATGCTAGTCTAGATCATCTCATTCGTCTGGACTGTCCACCCCGTCAGTGTCACCCGCGTCATGACAGCCGATGACGATTCAGGAAGAGCAGGCCAAAACTATCTCCGAAGGCCGAGCGCGGCTTTCACGTGGAAATCAGCCATGCTCAAATCCCCACATTCGTTGGGGGACATGGTGATTTCGTGGCCACTCGAATTTTGCACGAGCGATTACAAACCTGGTCGAGTCGAGTTTTGGCAGGTAGCAAACTTCATCTACGCGATTGCTGACTCGATCCGCCCGACGGGGACTCGGAGTGAACCTGTGCGAACTCCGAGACCGAGGCATCGTTCGCACGGTCCAGCGAGTCACCACGCCGCTCTCGGTCCTGCCGTTCACTTTCTGTTTAAACTTCGGACTTCCACCCCATTTGCTCTGCTCGTTCCGACATGTCGGATACGACCACCACACCTACTGCCATGGTATCCGGTGCCGACTCACTCCCAACATCCCAAGCTCTCACGACCGTGAATGGCAATGCTCAGCGCGACGACGACTTGCTCATGTCCCCGTCTTGCACGGTCGAGGATGATCGAGAGACAGCACCGGACCAGGACGATTCAAAAGCTGCAGTACTGGCGACTCCTGCCTTCTTAAAGGGGCTTCAGCCTCCACCTCTTCCTCTGTGGGCTGTGCCTCATACGACCACGGCCCTTACGGCTTCGCGTCTGAGCCTGCTCAGCGCACGGTTCTTCGCGTCGACGGGCTTCGCGATCGCTCGGACTTCGACCTCGCTCGGCTTTGGAGCAATCAAGGCCGCTGTTGCTGGAATCGGTGTCTTGCTCGACCATTCGCTCGGTTTGGCTGGTAGCGGGCCCATGATGGATGGGTCCGGGCCTCTTGCCCAGACGGGCATCGCCGCCATCGCTGCAGCCGAAAAGCTGGCGCTGCTCGGCATCAACATCGGGAGCGGGATCACCAATCTGGCCTTCGGAGGCGCCACTTCAACGATCGCCTTCCTTGAAGACGTTTACGGCAACGACGAGGCACTCCGAACGCTCGAAGCTTTCACTCGTCTCGTCAAGGACGAATGGAACACCTCCCTCCCGACCGATCCGTACCAAGACGGGGGTCTGTCACACTGGAGCACAATCCAGGTGGCGAAAGCAGCGGCAACATGGGCCGCTTTGCAAAGCGTCACGGGCGAGCTCGGCGGTTGCCGGTGGGCGATGCACCTCGACGAGCTCGACTGGGGCAAAGAAAGGATTCCGCCGCCTCAATATGAGACGGGTGGAGTGCTTTGGGAAATCACCGATGATCAACTTTTCGAGTCAGGGGCCGAGATTACCGAAGCGACCATCAATCAGGATGATCGTAGCAGTCAAACGGGGTCTGAAGCGACGTACTCGGATGAACATGCACGACAACAACTTCGTCGCTTTGCTTCCATGTGTCTCGGATCGTATGGAAGTGCCGGCGTCTTGTTCTTCGGCGTCAAGCTCCCTTCAATCGATGCGACGATCGCGCCAGATGCTTCCTCAACGACGGTCCATCCCCTAACACCTAACAACCTTTCCGCGCTCGCACGACAGCAAGCCGAGGAGGACCTTGAAAGAACACTTCGCCCTCGACAACACGATGCTGTCCCTCCGGAGGAGGAACAGAGCGAAGTAGCTCAACTCGGTGACCTTGCCGCGGGCTGGGCCCTGCCCGCGGAGGCAGCCTCTGCAGTCGAAGCCGTCGAATTCCCTCCTGGATCAACCGTCGACCAAAGCGAGGCCACATCCGAGACCGAGACTACCTCAGCTCTGCAAGCCGAGGACTGGGGGTTGAAGAGCGAGGGCGCGTTACCACGAGCCAAGCCGAGAACAGATGCTGCGAAACTTTCCAGTCGATACGATTACTGGGGTCTGATGACTGGCAAGCATGACGAGGCGATCCTGCACTCAGTGGCTGGAGTTGCTCCAGATGCTACACTTGAAGAGGCTTGTGATTCGAGCGATGATGACGATGACGATATGACCGATGTTCGACCCGAGGTGCTTTCGCAGCGAAAGAATGCACGCGTCGCTGAGAGGGAGGCAAGGAAGCGAAGGGACATGCAAGGGCGACGGCCTCCGAGATTCTTCATCCTGGTTGGTTTTCACACTTATACCTTTTGATCCGGTCAGATGTCGAGTCGCTGACATCACATGTTCGGATGCAACAGACCGATCACCCAAATCACACCATCACCGTGTTAGTGCGCGGAACCACGACCATCGACGACATCGCCACCGATCTCGCGTGCGAGTCCAGCATATTCGACGAGACAAAGTATTGGGATGATGCTTCACCTCCGCAGTCGTCTCGACTGCCCCCTTACACGGTTCACGGTGGGATGTACGAGATCGCGCTCGCAATGGGTCGCAAGGACGGAGCTATGCATCGGGTGGTCGACAAGGCGCTTCGACGTAACCCGGGATACGGCCTGCAGCTTGCGGGTCATAGTTTGGGATCTGGCTGTGCGACCTTGCTCGGGCTCATATGGGCCAACCCTGATTCGGCTACGATCTCGAGCAAGTCGGGCTTGCCGCCTGGAAGATCGGTTCAGGTTTTCGGTTTCGCTACACCGTAGGTCAGGACTCGTGCTCGGACCTTGTTAGTAACGTTACTGATGTGATCAAATCTGTCCTGCAGATGTGTCACCGATGCGGCTCTGTCAGTGCGGTGTCGCAAGCTCGTGCACTCCTTCATCCACTCCTATGATGTCGTTCCTCGCTTCTCGCTCGGTCACATGAGGGACATTCGTTCTGCCGCAGCGTGGCTCTGTTACGCCAACTCCGACCATCCCGCAGAGAGCTGCGATAACATTTTGTCGCGGATTGTGGCTTACAAAAGGGGCAAATTGGATGATGATCCTGCGCGAAAGAAGGAGGAGGAAGACTGGGTGAGTGCTGCGACCCCTGACTGGACTCCGTCCGTCGCCGCTTTCCGAGCGCGGCTGTTCCAACCGCTTACTGATGGCGTGGCTGCGAGAAAATTTTTAACGATCCAAATAGTTTACTTCAATCCGAACGAGCTTGGAGGCGAACCAGAACTACAGCACGCTCTGCCCACCCGGTGACGTGCTATGGCTCACGAAGCCCGACGACCTCATTCTCCCCTCCGATGCCACAAGAACCGTTCATCCTGGACCGAGGCTCTTCAGAGTACGTGACAGTCATTCCCGTATTCGATGGTCTTATTTTTCCTAAGACTAATCACAATCTTTCGTCTCGATCGCACAGGTCAAGCGACCGGACATCATCTTCAAGCAAATGATTTTCACGCGCAACATGCTTAGCTCGCATCTTCCTCATCAGTGAGTCCTCCGTCCGATTCCAGAGCTTGGCCACGAGAGCAAAGATCCTAATTCAATTCATCCTTCACTAAAACCTGTAGGTATACACGCGCGATCGAGGAATACCTTTGATACCCCCGCTCAGGGGCTCGCTGACGAGCGTCGAGATCTTTGGCCCCATCTGGTGCTACTATGAGCTGTTTAGGCTGCATTGCAATCCAACCTCGTCAAACCATTCCTTCAGCAACTAAGACCGGGGTCTGGCTAGTGAGGACGTTTTCGTGTAGTTCGAGCTGCACGCAGAGTTTGCTGCGCGCTGTAGATCCTGAGCCGAGGTGTGCTCTCGTGCACCCCTGCTGATGCTTGTCGCCGGGCAACGCGCCGTTCAGTCTGCCGCCCAGTCTGCTGGGCAGTTGTACGGCGCCGGAGTGCCGCCCGAGGCCGCCCGATGGCGCCCGTGACAGGACCCATGAAAGCCCAGCCTGAGGCGCGTAGGTAAAATCCGGCAAATCGCCGATTTTGGACCTCATTTGTCCACCATTTTTTGGAATTTTCGCCCAAAAAAGCCCCCAAAATGTCCAGTCCATCTACGCGCCTCAAAAAATAGCTCTAGAATTGCTTCAAATGCTCTAAAACATCTTCAAAAATCGCGAAAACGCCGTCCAAACGTTTTTCGCCCCGGACCGAATCGGCGGAGCCCGCGCGCGCGTCAGCCGTTTCGGTTCTGCTTCGCCGAGGGCTCCTCACCTGCACTTGCTGCCTGCCTTTTTGACTAGATTTGACGTGGCCTTGATATACATGTAACGTACTACGAGAGGTAAGATCGATTGCAGTCACTCTGGGAAGCAGTAAGCTAGTTACCGTGAGATCTACGAACCCCCAGATTCAGTGAGGGGGAATTGCTCCTCAACGAACAGTGACGGCATCACCTCCAGAGCTCTAACGATGGGACGTTGATCTTCGATGTCGACACGCAGGTAACTTCACCAACTCTTGGCTACTGATAACAACCGAACGCATGCGCTCAGCGTGATCTATATGCCGCCAGATTCGACATTGAAAGGCAGCCGATAGTGATAGACTGGTGGCCTTGCCTACGTGCCGCAAGGATTGCTCCACGATCTTCAACTTGTCCCTCCAAGCATCGAGCGGCCTAGCAAGGGATTCGATTCAAACTCGAGAGGCTCGTCTGTCGACCATGAAAGCTGTATCCGGGTGTGTGGTCTGTCAAAGCTGGAGGCGAAAAGCTCAGACACCCTCACGTCCAAGAGGGGTGCCATTTGCTCAGATCATTGTCAAAGAGATCGATATCCGGATCTCTACGTGTCGTCGAAGCAAGCCGTGCCGAGAATGTAGGATATTGGCGATGATGGCACAGACGATGTCGACGCGACGCGGCGGGGAAGGCAAGAGACGCGCGCACTCAAACGCTTCGTTCAACCAGCTAAGAGATTATAAGTGCAAACTAGGGCTCGTAAGTGCAGAATATCCATCAATTAGAGCCGTTGTTGTGAATTCGGTACAGCCCAGAATGATTCGCGCGCGCTCCCGCACGTTCTTGAGGGTCGGCAAACTTTAGCCTTCCAAGCCGAATGGGGCCGAAATGGGTCACGATTTGTCCACTGACACCTACGGGCCTAGCACCCCACCCACACCGGCGCACCCTGATTTGTCCACCCCCGACTACGCGCCTTGGCGATTTTGGCCCATCTGAGGCCCAAAATTTGTCCAGTCGGGCCCTACGCGCCTCAGGCCGGGCTTTCGGGGGTCCTCCCGTGACCGGCGTCGTCATTGCCAGCGCTGAACCGCTCTTTCACTCCTGACGGACCTGACCCGCCCCACACCCTCGAGAGTTGTCGCGTTCGATCAACGATCAACGATCAACTCATCAACAAGCGCTCCTAGGATGCCACCCGATCGCACGCCCGGTGGTCCGACAACGCCGTCGTTCCTGCATGCGATCCAGTCCGGTGCCCCCTTGTCGTCGCACGGGGTCAGGCACGCTCCTTCGCTGCCGCGCGGATCGTCGTGTACGACCTGTCGCTCGCGCAAGGTGCGCTGCGATGCCGGTCGTCCCTGTTGTGGGGCATGCAAGAAGAGTGCTAGTGCTCATGGAGAGTGAGTGCTCCCGCGTATCCCGACTACGTGTGATTGGTGTGCTGCTGCCCCTTCCCCGGCAACGCGTATCCGGGCGGATCCTTGCAAGCGCCGTTCGGGGTTCAAAGGCCGAAATCGCAATCACTAAACTGACTCGTGCGTCACACGGGTTGTGTAGAGACTGGACCCAGATCGAATGCAACTACGCAGAGGGCGTTCGAAAGCCCAAGAAGACGAACAAGGTCGCTGAACTCGAGGCGAAACTAGGTCAGTGCACGAGCAACTCCAGGCTCTCTGCTCCCACACTTAGCCGGTGGAGTCTGGGGACGGCTGTGGCCCTGTCGCGCGCGGCGCGTAACTCGTGCTCCACGTCGGTGTTGACGTGAAGAGGTCACTCGCTGACAAGATTTATATCAATTCGGCTTCGAATACGAATTAGCTCGCTTGGAAGAGAAGCTGGATCGGGGTCCAAGGTGATTACCCGCTCCAACCAACCCTGCGAGTGCCCCCCGCTAAGCCTCGGATTCTCCGAACACGTGTAGATCCGCGGCCACTTCCCATTCGCCGACCGATGCTCCGGCTGCAGGTCCCTCTTCGATGTTCAGGCGGGATGAGACCTCACCGATGGTGGAGGACCCTATTCTGACGCATGCCGACGTCGATGTCGCCGCACCATCCCATGGGCGTCCCCAACCGGCCAGCAACGATCAATTCCGTGGTTCCGAGGTCCTCAGCCAGAATATGGCTTCTTCCTCTTCGACGACCTACGAACAATTGACAGCACAGCTTGAGAACAGCAACCAGAATGGCGGTCGCTACAACCATGGCATGGCGTCGATCTCCGACATGAACAACGACACTTCGGCCTCATTTGACGGAGGTGACCGCGATCAACTCGGCGTAGCGCCTTCGATCACGAGCGCAGAAGATCCTCTCGCCGAGTACGGATTTCGCCAGAACATTCCAACTCAGCCTCCGACGTTCCCGGGACTCCCATCCTCGTTCCCACGGTCCCGTATCACGGTCCTCACACCCCTCGGCTGGCCGCCGGCCCTACCTTCGCCTCCTCTCTTGCACCGACTCATCGACGTCTTCTTCTCCAAGTCTCATCTTGCCACGGACCTCATCGTCGAAGGCAAGTTCCGAGCCGCTCTTGCGCTTCCACCTGCGCACCCCAAGTTCCCTCTACCAGCACTGCTCCACGGCATGCTGGCGATTTCGGGTCGGATGGTCAGCTCGGACTGGTTCGCCGACGAGCCCAAACAATGGGGCATTAGGGATCCCGACGAGTCTTTCGCAGACTGGCACGCGGCCAAAGCCGACAGTCTCATCGACGAAGCCTTCTCGAAAGCATCGAATCAACGGATACGAGTCGCGCAAGCCGCTGGACTCGTCTGCTTCTCGTTCTACACGGCGGGCAAATTCGCCAAAGTCTGGCTACAGGTCGCGCGGTTGACGAGGATCATCGTTGGTCTCGGACTGAACCATGTCAGGGCCGCGACTAGGGGCAAAGACGGCGTGCTGAGGGACCGAAGTCTGCACATGAAGCAATCGGTGCTGCCGCCGACTGATGACCCCGAAGACTTGTACGAGAGGGCGACGGCGTGTCAGATGGCCTTTTTGGCAGACAAGATCGCGACGGCGAGTACCGCCTGGGCTTGCAGTCTCGATGAAGGTAAGGTCTATCCAGATAGCAGTTGCCCGTGCCAGAGCTGATGTGCAAATCGGCTGCGTGTCTGGCAGCCGACATCACGACCTTGATCCCGCCTCCACATGGCGTGTCCTATCCGGCCAAGGACCTCGACACGAGTCCGCTGTCGAGCTGGAACGCCAACTTCTTCGTGGACCACCCTCCTGGACTGGTCGGTGTCTTCCAAATCTATCTCAAGTGCACCTATCTACTCGGTCGTGTAACGACGTTCCTCAGTCGTGCGCCGTACCCGATCGGCATGAGCCTGGCTCGCATGAAGACGGATGGCTCAAAACTGACCGTCTCGGATATCAGAAACTCGTAAGTGAGCAGGAAATGCACGAGTTGGGATATGGGACTTATGCTTTGTTCTTCCTCGCTTTTAGAGAAACGTTCCGCCGACTAGAGGCGACCATCCGACAGTTCCAACAATCGGTCCCGCGTGAGATCCAAAACATCTACACCTCGCCCAACGCCGACAGTCGCCTCGCGCTCATCTTTGCCATCCCGCACGTCTGCCTCATCATGCTGCATGAGCCGTTCGTGATGCTCGTTGAAGGCGACGACAGCTTTGCCAAATGCATCACGAGCGCGCGCGCGATCCTCAGTTCAGTTTACACGCTCTGTGGTTCTTCGTTCGAGATCGGAGGACTTGCTCCATTCCTCTCTTACTGCTACGCTGCGACGGGCCGTACGCTCGTCCGCGAGATTGCGATCCGCAAGCTCCGCGGACAGGACTCGACGCACATCTTTGAGGAGATGCAGACGATTCTGATCGTGCTTGACGAGTTCAACACCCCGCTCGGCGCAACAACCGCCGAGACCCTACGATCGCTGCTCGCGATGCCTGAGCTGTGCCTACCCCATCGACCTCGCTACGCCAAAGAAGACGAGCTCGACAACATCGACGAGCCGCTCGGTCATCCCGTCTTTGCGTCACCCTACAAGTTGCCAGCCCGTCTTGGTAAGGTACCCCTAAACGCGTGGGTCGGACCGGGATACTCGGACGCTGCGAAGCCGAGTCCTTTGTGGCAGCAATCGATTCCATCCTGGTCCGTCGACGCGCCCTTCTCACCCGACACCTTTGCGGACTTGTTGAGCCCCGAGATCAGGCCTCTTCCGAGCACTTCGAACGTGCCGATGAACGGGATGGGTAACATGGCCCAACTACCCAATTCGAACGCATCCGCATCGGGGAACCCGACGAGAAGCAACGCCCCTGCTGCGCCTGCACCTGCTGTCGACTATCTTGAGGCGTTGCTTCAGTCTGAAGCGAGTCGAGCCGATGAGGTTCCATCAAAACGATTCGGACGAGGTTGGGCCGAGAAGAAGAAGGCCGTCTTCTTCGATGAAACGACGAATGGGAATGGGATGATCGGTGGCAGCAATGGTACCTAGTCGACCCGATGACATCTCACCCCTGTGCAAAACCCTCTGCTCCACGGACACCCGCCCACGTTGAGGCTCATGCCGCATTGGGGCTACCTTGGTGATAAGATCTTTAGATTCTAGCAACACACCTTTTAGACCTCTCTTTTTCCTCGCTCTACCGTGCTGTTGTACTGTATTGCGAAGAACGTTCTCTCTTGCCGTCGGTGGGCCCACACACTTTGGTGGCTCTGGAACTCCGCGAACGGAGAGCTGCGATACCTATTAGATGGATCGTACAGCCTCTCCTACGAGAAGGTTGACATGTATCAGGTACATGCAATCAATGTGTGCTCTATGTATGGATGGCACCTACAGGGCTGCCTCTGCTCCCCAAAAGGGGCTATGATGTCATTCAAGGCGCGCTCGGTGTTCTTCCAACTCGAAGTCACCGCGTCGCGACACGCTCGACTGCCCCGAACAGGCTCCACAGAAGCTTGACCTCGTTTTCGGCAGCGAATGATGAATATTTAGGGCGCGGGATCACCGGCAACAGCATGTGCCGAACAAAAGTCCAAAATTAGGTGGTTTCACGCCGGCGCGACCCGGCCGCACGAAACAAGAAAATGCGGTGCCCGCAGCAACCTTACTAAATCGGTCCTGCGTGGCGGGCGGACTCTCGGTCGAACGGGTTCGCCGCTTGAGATTGGCTGAAGGGTCGCACGCCACGACGATTCGTTTCGTGGGTGTTTTTCTGGCTCCCGCTCACTTACGTCTGCTGCCGTTTCTTTGGAGCAAGATAGTCATGCAGCACTCGAACGCGTCAGAAGGCGATCGCTTGCCTCTGCATCAGTGAGTGGACAGACTCGAAGTCAGTGATCGGACCCCGGGCGCGGTGTCGAAGGCGCGAACCATTCTCGACCGACAGACTGCGCCGCGCGTTGCTTCGGTCATCATCCAGTTCAAAGACGGGTGCTGACAGACGGAATGGCGTTGGCCGCCAATGCTCATTGTTTTTTGCAGAGGGAGGGACTACCAGGGCGTTCCTTATTACGACCAGACCGAGCATCGATATGGATCGGGCTACACGGAGAAGCCTACACAGAAGGTGAGTGAGCCAAACAACGGGCAGCGCCGTCGAAACACTGCGAAAGGACGCGTTAGCGCAGAATTCGCTCCCGGCCTGAAATGCATCGTAGGTTTTGCGCACCTCTGACATCTTTTCCTTCAATTTTTTGTGTGACAGGAATCTAGGAAGAAGCTGTGCATCATCATTAGCGTCATCATCTTGATTCTCGCCATCGTCGGCGGAGTTGTTGGCGGTGTCTTGGGCTCGCGCAAATCGCACAACAACAGCTCAAACTCAGACTCAGGTTCATCGTCTAGTGGTAGTGGATCTTCTGGTGGAGGATCGAGTCCTTCACTGGTCAACACGGCAAGTGGCGGAGTCAATCACGGTCTGCTTCTTCCGACTGTGAGTGATCGCCGATTGGCAAGAGTTTTCATCTCTGGGGGCTCGGATGGCACGAGTCCCACGGCAGCTGCGCTGCGTCGCTGTTTGCGTGTAGGCGAGAGAAGAACACGCTGACCATGGTGAATTACGCTGTCATAGTCGACCGACGTTCTCGGCAATCCTCTGTACCCGACCGCCACCGGATCAGCCGTCATCTCGGCGCCGACGACGATCAACGACTCGAAAGTATTTTGCCAGGCCGACCCCTACACATTCGCCAACACCTCGTCCTTGGCTGTTCGCAAAGAGCATCCTCTGTTGATTGCTCCGGCCTACAAGTGGGACTGCGTTCGTAACGCGATCCCGAACAATTACTACCTCAGCTTCTGGAACGATACCATCTTCCAAAATGCGACCAAGTTTTATGACCTTTCGCCGACGAACTACACGATCGATGGTGGCCTTGGAGGTATGGTAATAGTGAGCGGACGATCAGAGAAAGGGGGGGGGGGCGATTGCTATCGAAGCGCAGAGACCGAGATGCCGAAACCGAGAAACACGCAGATAATGAAACCGAGAATGATAGATTCGCAGAAATGTCCTCTTCCAAGCGGTCCTCCCCTCCGAAAGTCGCCTCCCTCCAAAGTCGGTCTGAGTCGTGTCTAGTCTAGTGGTCTATCTCCGAACAAGAAGCGAGTCTTCCCTCCAACGCCAGGACACTCCATTCCCCCCGGGCCAGCTTCCTCCTCTTTTCCGACACTCGGCCTTCTGATCACGCCATACTTCGTCCTGATCACGCCATTCCTTGCTCCTGTCACACGGTCCCTTGCTCTGAACTTTTATCCGCTCATGTGACGCTAGGCCGAGTTAGCCGAATCTGCGCTTCCCGACTAAGCGACTCCAGCCCGATTTCCGAGACCACCGAATTAGCCGACGCCCGCGTGAGTCGACTACCCTAATGCAGCCGACAAGATCGGGAGTCCCATCTCATTTCCGACAACAGGAGCCTCATTTCCGACTTTGCTGCACACGACGGGATCCCGAGTACCACAGAGGTAAGCTTGATAATGGATGGCCGTGGTTGTTGGGGCGAATTTAAGCTCTGCATCAGGGTTACGAGAGCTAATCAAGTTTGTCGCCTTCTTCTGTGACAGGATCGGGTGTGCTCGACGTCGCCCGCGAGGTGCAGCTGCGCATCAAGCACTGGGCCTACGCTTACCGCATGACGAACGACACCAGATGGGTCAACCGAACATGGACCGAAGTTTTGACCGCAGCAGGTAATTCAACCACGGGCCAATACTTTGGTATCACGGGTGACAACTGGAACTCGATCCATTTCCTCGACGTGGGCGAATTCACGGCTGCGTTCGCCATCGCCTATGATTGGCTCTACGATGCCTGGACCGAGGAACAACGAGCGGCGATCCGATGGTCCATCACGAACCTGGGTCTTTCATACGGTCTGAACGTTTACCAAGACCCCGATGGCGCGGCGGAGAGCTATTCTTGGTGGCGACTGCAACCGGGCAACTGGGACTGCGTTTGCACGAACGGTCTCATCATGGGTGCTTTGGCGATCGCTAACGAGGACACAACTGGTATTGCGGCCAAGGTCCTCGCGTATGCGACCGCTAACAGCGCCGAGGTTTGCGCGATGGCCGTACAGGCTGGTGAGTCAAGATTCGAACTCGCCACGGTAAAGTCCGCTTTGGCACCGACAGAAAAACTGAGGGGCACGTGTATTGAATAGACGGAACATGGACCGAAACCCCCAACTACTGGTACTTCGGCACGACGGCGCACGCCGAAGCCGCGAGTTCCCTCCTGTCCGCGACAGGCTCAACACAGGGGCTCTTGACCTCGAACCCGTCGCAAAACTTGAGTTCGCTTTACCACATGTACGTGACGGGCCAGAAAGGTCTGTTCGACTATGGTGATACTGGACCGAGGAAGTTCACGGCCACCGCGAACGGTCTTTTGTTCTACGGTGATCAATTCGGTGAGTGGCGACTCCTGGGCCGAATCACTCGATCGCTGTGTGAAATCAGGGCGTGACTGACATTGACAAATTTCATGCTCTCGAATACACCACCTCTCATGTAGACATTCCCACGTATGCCCTCTTCCAACGGGACCGAGGAGATGCCCCGGAACCGATGGCCATGTTCTGGTACAACCCTCAGACCAGGGGATCGTGGTGGGACAATTTGGCTCTCGACCACCACTTCCCCAACGCGACCGACGACTGGGCCTCGATGCGATCCAGTTGGACCGACAACAATGGAACGTATGTTGCGATGAAGGCTGGCAACTTGACCGGTCATCAAACGCATGGTGATCTCGATATTGGTCAGTTCCTTCCCTCCTCGGCCTTCTGTACGCTCTCCGCGCGCATGTACTGACTCTCATGATCGACTGGGGCTTCATTCCTGTAGGAGACTTTGTTATGGACGCTTTGGGACAACGCTGGGCCGGAGAGAACGGCAACGGACAGTACCTTGCAAACGGCTACGTGCGTTATTCAGAACAAAACGCGGAAGACATCTTCGTTTTGCACCAGCTGATGTCAAAGTTTTCGTTGCCTCACCAGTTCACCACCGAAGCGCAGGATGGCGCGCGATGGACCTACTACCAGAAAGGAACACAGGGCCAGAACACCATCATGATCAACGAGGCCAACCAGAATGTGCTTGCCGCGCCAGCTTTGGTATTCGACACAACGGGCGAGGCTCAGACCGCGCTGAATTACGCGGTGCCGAGCTCTTCAACGGCGTACATGACCGTGGATATGACGGCGACTTACAATGACACGACGTGAGCTCACCAACCGAGTGTTGGAGTGACAGAGACATATCACGTCTGCTGATCTCTCGGTCCCGTACGTTGTTGTCAGATCGGCGAAACGAGCGATCCGCTTTTTGAACAAGCGACAGCAGATCTTGCTCCGAGACGAGATCACGACGACGGGAGCGATCCTGTGGCGCATGCAAACGAACGCAACCGTCTCGATTACCTCGAACGGAACAACAGCGACTCTGACTCTCGGTGGACAAACGATGATTGCAAACTTGCGTCAACCTTCGAATGGGACCTTCACGACCGTCGAGGCGGTACGATTATCGGGCGAGGATTCTCCTTCACTGGCGTCCGGCAACGTGGATACTCCCAATGGGCCGATTCCAGGAGTAACGGTGTTGACGGTGTCTCTGAGGGCAGGAACGCGTACGATCGAAGTCTTGTTCAAGTGAGTTTCCAAACGTCGATCACGTGACCAAGTACATCTTTCGCGCGAATGCTGACCCTCAAGCCCGAATTCTCTGCCTGCTCTGCAGCCCTCAATGGTCGACCCTGAAAGCATCGGACTACGTCGACCCTCCCGATATGACGATCGACAAATGGACGCTAACCTCCCACAACTGATTGCTGCGTCGCTCTCTGTCTGGAAAAGCTTTTCGCACTCGCATCGCCCGAAGACGACGTCTCCGCGGATCGCACTACCCGTGGTGTCGCTAAGTTTTCCTTCTTCTGCATCTGCATGGACAATCCCTTCTGTTCTCCTGTCACGATACGCTTTGAAAAAATTGCAATAGACTTTCCTTCCCATCTTAGTGAGCGGCCACTTGTAACAGTGTGTCTGAATAGTGACTTTTGCACTGGGCCGTGGCACGTCCGAGTGGCGGTGTTTGTGAAGGCCCACGACCACTGTCAGCCTGCCTGCGGATGCCGGAATCGCCGAATTGCCGATCCTACGAAATTATGCAGCACTGTAAAGCGAGTTACGAAGTGCGGTATAAGGTGCTCTTTAATCCCCAATCGACAGCCTGGACATCTGAGATTTAGGTTGGAGGCTTGACAGACGTTGGTTGTCGGGTCAGACAATGGGAGGAACTTGCCAACACGGACGGCGTTGAAACACTGAATCAAGAGCTCGCCACACTAGCGGTGCGAGCGTTCGCGGCAGCTCGCGGCGTTGGGAATCGCCTGGCCTTCGTCTCGTCATCTTCGCATCGCTTTCCAGTGCCCACACATTCCCTTGCATCGACACATCATGTATCGCGCCGGCAGCCCCGACAGTGCTGCTCGACCTTTGGCGAACGTCAACTAGTCAGTGTGCTCCAATCGTCTGGGTATCTCTCGTCGTGTTGCCCGGCGATCGTGTTTCCGTTCGGTGCGCTGGTGCTCGCGCTCGCGCTCTCGTTTACGCGACGACGAAACACAGCGCGCCGCTGCCACCGCCCCAGCCATCGTGCGACGTCGAACCGAGTGTTTCACGCTCCGATCCAGGACCCTCCACAACATCCAAGCTGACCAAGTTGTGACGATCGTTTCATTGCCCTAGTCAACAAGCCAACTACGAGCCCAAGTACGGCTCGGGCTACAACGATGAGGAATACACGCGTCAACAGGTGCGTGGGTCATTGAATCGGGCGAGCGGTGTAGTCGGGCTTGGCGCGGTCGGGGCAGGCGCGCGAAGGCTCGAACGACTGGCCGGACGGAGAGGGCAGGCACACGTACAAACCCACCACCAACGATCGCGCCAACGAATTCGGACTGGAGTCATGTCACTGCTACCCGAACTCGTCAGACCAATCACGGGAAGGTCACCTTGTGATAAGAAGGCGTCCTTTGGTGCGAATTGTTTGGTTCAAAGAGTCCCCTTAGGTTCCGTGCAACTGGCTGGGCTTTTGGAGCTCTCGGGCATCGCTTCCAGGATCCTCAGCGCGCGCGTCGCGTGTGGCGGGCGGCGCGAGGCCGCGACGAGACGGGGGCGCCTTCCGAGGTCTCGTCTTTCGAACTTGTCAAAATAATGCCTTGCTGAGTCGCTACATACGCGTCTTTTTCTTTCCAGCCGCCATCCAAGAAGAAAAAGTGGATCATTGTGGCGTTGATCGTCGCAGTGATCGTCATTGCCGGTGCAGTCTTGGGAGGAGTTTTCGGATCCCGTGCGTCAAAGAATACCGATGCCAAGAACAATAGTGCACAAGCCAACGGCGACTCAACAACTGGTACAACCACAGGCGCGAACTCAGGCTCTTCAAATAAAGGGCAGAGTACCTCTACGGCTGGTGGTGCGATGGGTACAACGAACCCTAGAAATGCACTTTTCCCCGAGGTCAGTGTTGGGCTCGAAGGGGCTAGCTATCTTGTCGCTGCGTTGATTACTGAATCACATCGATCTCTCTCGTGTCTCAACAGGCTACTGATTCTTATGGTAACCCCGTGTACCCGTCCTCGACCGGTTCGGCTATTATCGCCCAGCCGACGACTTTGACCAACAACACCGCTCTCACTTGCGAATCGGACCCATACACCTTCTCCAACCCCTCTTCGATGGCCGTCCGCAAGGAGCATCCTTTGCTGATCGCGCCCCAGTACAAATGGGACTGCATTTCCAAGATGACTTCTCAAGACCCTTACCTGAGCTTCTGGCACACGACCATTCTCGCCAACGCGTCGCTCTACGCTGCGATGGACCCGACCGAATACGTCATCGATGGAGGATACGCTGGTGAGTGACCCTCAAAGGCTTGCTTGCGTCTCACGCAGATGCTTACTAGCGCTGTTGCTCTCCTCGCGCCAGGATCCGGTGTGCTTGATGTCGCTCGTGAGGTCCAACTGCGCATCAAGCACTGGGGCTACGCTTACCGCATGACCAAGGACACCAAATGGGTCGACCGCGCTTGGCAGGAACTGCAGGTCGCTGCCGGCAATACCTCGCAACCCTTTGGTGTCACCGGTGATAACTGGAACACCCAGCACTTCCTCGACGTCGGAGAATTCACTACCGCCTTTGCCATCGCTTACGATTGGATGTACGATGCATGGACCCCCGCCCAGCGCACCGCGATCATGTGGTCCATTCTCACCCTCGGCCTGGACAAGGGTATCGAAGTCTACGAGAACGCTGCTGGCTACGGCTGGTGGTCCAAGTCGTCGATCGAGGGCAACTGGAACTGCGTTTGCAACAATGGTCTCATCATGGGTGCTTTGGCCATCGCGAACGAGGACCCGACCGGCACTGCTGCCAAGATTCTCGGCCATGCCGTCCCCAACTCGGCATCGGTGTGCGCGTTCGCCCCTACGAGCGATGGTGGTGTCTGGCAAGAGACTGCCAACTACGTAAGTGCATCTCTTGTGTGGTCGGACCTGGCGAATCGGACACGGGGCTGACAATTTGACTGCCGCTTCTTCGGTTCAGTGGTACTTTGGTACGACAGGCCACGCCCAATCCGCGGCTTCCCTCATCTCCGCGACCGGCTCGGACCAAGGTCTTCTGACCAACAATCCCGGTATGGCCTTGTCGGGCAAGTACCACATGTATGTCACCGGTATGGCGGGTCTCTTCAATTACGGAGACTGCGGGCCGAGGAAGTTTGTTGCGACTGCCAACGGCATGATGCTCTACGGTGCCCAATACAAGACGCCGGCCTACACCTTGTTCCAGCGTGATCGAGCCGACGCCCCCGAGCCTATGTCGATGCTCTACTACGACCCTCGTGTCGCCGGCCAATTCTGGGAAAATCTCGCCCTCGACGCTTACTTTTCCAACTCGTCAACGGCCTTCGCTTCGATGCGCTCGTCGTGGACTGACAACAACGGCACGTACATCGCGATGAAGGCTGGTGTCGTCACGGGTGGCCAGACGCATCGTGATCTCGACGGAGGTGACTTTGTCATAGATGCTCTCGGCCAACGATGGGCGGGAGAGAACGGTAACGGTCAATACTTGGCCAACGGCTATGTACGTCAACAGAGGTCAGAGAAGGATGTCTTTGTTTAAGGTCTAATCAGCTGACTCGCCTTTTCACTTGCAGTTCTCGTCGGAGGCGCAAAACTCGCCTCGATGGACGTACTACCAGAAGGGCTCGCAAGGACAGAACGTCATCTTGATCGACGAGGCCAACCAGTTCGTCAACGCCACGCCCTCCGTGACTTTCGGCACGACCAAGGAGGCACAGACCTCTCTCAACTACGCCGTCCCGAGCGGCTCGACGGCGTACATGAAGATCGACACCTCGACGTACTACGCGGGCACAACGTGAGTCTCCCATGTTGTCATGTGTTGACTCTTGAGTTTCGACTAATAGACCCCTGCTCCCAAAAATAGATCGGCGCGCGCGATCCGCTTCCTGAACAAGCGACAGCAGATCTTGCTTCGTGACGAGATCACCTCGACGGGCTCGATCTTGTGGCGAATGCACACCAACGCGACGGTCACGATCTCTTCGAGCGGCACGACGGCGACGCTCGCTATGGGTGGGCAAACGATGATCGCGACCCTACGCCAGCCTGCGAACGGCAAATTCACAACTGTCGAGGCCGTTCGCTTGACTGGCCAGGATTCTCCTTCATTGACGTCGGGCAACACGGACACTCCGAACGGGCCGATCCCAGGAGTGACGGTGTTGACGGTCGCTCTCGACGCTGGCACGTACGACATTGAGGTGCTGTTCAAGTGAGTTAGGGGAAGCTCGATCAATGAGCAGGCGCATCGAACCCCTGGAAACTGAGGTGTTTTCGCATCTCACAGCCCTCAATGGCCTAACTTGAAAGCGTCCGATTACGTCAACCCTCCGAACGTCGCGATCGATTCGTGGTCGTTGACCTCGCACAACTGATCGCTGCGATCAACACGGCTGCACTAACGAACTCACCTTAGGACACTTTTCTCTCTCTGGAACGACTGCTTTTTAACTCTCGTTTGTTCTGTTCCGACCACATCCGTGCCTTGTTTTCACCCCGCTTTTCGGTTTTGTTCCAAAGCCTCTTTGATCCCCCGCGTAGCCCTTGTAATCCATCTCCTCACGATCTCTCACGAACAAGATTCACACATGCCGAACTCTGTCAGAGCAAAGACTGATGTTGAAGAAAGTATCTGACGATGCATCAAGCGTTACAGAACCAATTGAGGCGAACCCAAACCCGAAAGCACCTAAGCTCGAACAAACAAAGCGCGTGCAGCATCGAACAACTTGTCCGACCACCCCTGAGACCTCAACACCGCGACCACAGCCGTCAAGATAACGCCTACCTCGACGCTCTTGCGAGCGGTCTTGAACCAGAAGCGCTTCTTGACGTCGACCGGTCGAACTTCCCCAATAGCTTGTTTGGCATCGGCAGCCTCGACAGGAGAGATCCTTTCAACGGCGACCCAATCATCCCATTTGATCTTACGAACCGACGCCGCAAGCCCAAAGCCCGTTTGCCAATTCGGTACCGTGATCAGTCCCTTCCCCCCAACCCTCCACCAATTCGAACACAACTGCGAGTTCATCGTCGAAGTTGCCAATTTGGACCTCATCTCGAGGTTGTGCGCTCGAAAAGCGGTTATGGTGGGTTGTAAAGAAGTGAGATCGTTTTCGACGAGGGTGGATACGAGGCGGGAAATGAATTCGGTCATGGTGCCGATGGTGTAACCCCATGATCCGGCGATGGCGTTGGGTCCGATGACGTTGAAAAGGTTGGGGTACTGGGAAGAAAACCGGGGGACGGAGCTTAATCGACTGCGCAGAATGAATGAAAGCTGTGCTTCAGAAACTCACGCCAGGTACGGCAACTCCCAGATAAGCCTGAGGTCCACCAATCTCCTTCCAATACTCGTTCAAAGTCTTCCCTTCCTCTCCTTTGACCCCGAGATTGATCCCAACTCCATGTTCAGCGACATTACTCCCCGTCGCGAAAATGACCACATCCGCCTCGAAATATCTTCCATCCTGGGTCTTTATGCCCCGCTCATCAAACTCGACGATATGCGAATTGACCAATTCGACATTCTCCCTATGCAAACTCTTCAACCAGCCATGATCGAACGCCGGTCGTTTGCACCCAAAAGGATAATCCGGTTTGAGCACTTCGAAATATTTCGCTGGTGCGGTATCGGCCAGGTACTTGATCAAGGACGTTTCGGTCGGGGTGGGGCGAACGGCTTCTTCGTTACGGGCGCGCCAACGGTCGTTGGATTCGAGGAAGAGGTTGAAGCGGTAGAGACGTTGGAAGCCGGGGATCCAGCGGAAGGCGAGTTGGACGAGGTGTGAATACGGGGTGTTGATCTTGGGAACGAAGTAACCTCCCGAACGGATGAACTGTGTGAGGTGGGCACCGGGCAGGGCGGCAAGACCGGGCTGTTGCACACGACACAGGAGATGCTCAGACAATTCGATCCGATGCACTGTGGGCTACGTGAGACGACTTACAATGAACTGAATCGCCGAACTCCCACTCCCCACCACAGCAATCTTCTTCCCCTCAAAACCGTACCCCTCATCCCACCTCAAATTATGGAAATAGTGGCCCTTGAACTTGTCCAAACCCGGAATCTTGGGGATCAAAGGTGTGGAAAGGGGTCCATTGGCACCAATCAAGACGTCGGTTTCAAAGGACCAAATTTGTTTTGATTGAGTATCGCGTACTTCGAGGGTGTGTGATTGGGAGGAGTGGGACCAAGTTGAGCCGACGAATTCGGAGTTGTAGGAGAAGGAGTCGTTGAGGCCTGAGAGGGAGAGCAGGGGGAAGCTCAGCTCTGTTCCGATTTTACGGGCGATGGGTGACGACTAACTATGTTTCTCAATCAAACCCAACCAATAAGCCAACACCTCGGGTTGTTCCGCATACAACTTTGTCCAATCATGTTTCAGATCCGAATAAAGCGAGTAAAGATGAATAGGGACGTCGACGCCTTGTGAGCCAATGCATATGGGCATAAAACCATAGAGCCCGTCAGCTCCTAGAGGTTGGAAATCGGGATGGCTTTCGGGAACCCACCTGCTCCAGGCCATTTGGAATCACGCCAGATTCCACCTGCTGAACCGGCTTTTTCGAGCACCTGAAACGTCCGCAAAGCCCAGGGTTGGTCAATCGAAGTGGAGACGTGGTCCGAGCGCGCGATGGGGCCTCCTGAAACCCGAACTGGCTCGTTGCCACCGGCTGTCTGAAACTCACTGTAATCTTGGCCTTGTTGCCAAGTCGCTCCTTGATTCGGATCGCTTGAGCGATACCTGAGAACGGTCAAACAGGGTGAGACCCCCATTCGAACGAAACGAACCGTTCCACGAGGAGCCGAGTGCGATGTTCGCAGGCTTCGGCCGTAGCCCGCGCGTGGTGGTGCACCACGAGCGCAGAGCGACTCAGTTGTGCGAGCTGCGAGACTGACCACTGATACCACCACCGACGATGGTGACCCTGATGGGCCTCTGCTCGCTGTACAGAGGCATGCTGTGAAACAAGCTAGGTGAAGGGGTCGTGGTCAGAAGACGAGCCGTCGTCGTACGTCCCAAGGACGCGCCTAACCCCCTGAAGGCGGCGCCCGAACCGAAAGTCGTGCTGAGCGGTCGCCCGAGCACGCGATCGCCGAGATGGCGTGACGCCGATGAGGAGCAGCTTGCGAATCTTGGACAAGAAATGTTGCCTAGTCGATTGGAGGGCCATTTGTCAAATCTGGTTAATGCCGAATTTAGAGCTCGATCGGTGATTATCCGTGTTTTCTCTCTCTCGGCAGTAGTGGTCGAGTAACGCGTTTCAGGGGTCGAGGTAGACTTTCTCCATTCCGTCGGCCGGCCGCTCGGCTTCGGAATTCGGAGATCAGCCCGAATGTTTCCTTCCGCTGCTCTAGCTAGTCCAGGTACATGCTTCAAGCCATATCATACAACGAAAATAAAATACACCTCCCCCTCCCCCTCCCCACCCTCTCAAACCAACTTTGGTTTCCCCTCCTCCGTCGTCTGACTCGCGACCAACTCTATCCTCCCCTGACCGCCCACAATAGCCTGCGTCGGACTCGCGCCTAGGTCTTCCCCTTGGAGTGTCTTGCCCGGCTGGAGTTGGGTCATAGGGAGGGGTGGTACGGGAGCTGAGTGATGGTCGTCGGAGGGGCGGAAGGAACCGCCTGTTGAACTGCATACAGAGCAGAGGGGGGAGCTCGAAGGGGCTTGAGGGGAACGAGAGAGTGGAGGGACTCACGCGGCGTAGGATTCCAACAAGGGTTCTGTGAGGGCGTGATGTATCAGAATGGAGCTTGGCAAGAAGATGAAGGGGCGATGTGGACGTACTAAAGATGTAGACACCGGAACCGACGCCGACGAGGATCGCGAGCACCGGCGAGATGAGACGACCTGACATGGTGGGTGGGGTGCGCCGATCCTGGGAAGGGGTGAGTTATGATGCAAGTTGTTGTAGAGTCCAATGGGTGTTGCGACCGCGGGGACAGCGAGTAGTGTGGGATGTCAAGTCGAGCCCGGTCGCTCCTCCAGTCTCGTCTCGCAATAAGTGCGCCATGACGAACTTGAATTTCGACGGACCCAGACCTGAGACTGCAGTAGTGCCACACGGCCCCGGGGGTCAACTTTCACCTCCGACATTCCTTCAGATATGACTATCGGCAATGATTGATGTTCTGAGAGACCAAGTCGTCACCAGAAAGTACGGTGCTGTGGTGCGGCGTGGCTACCTTGGGCCTCCTAGTAAATGGCAACTTTTGGTAGTGCGAGCTTTCGGATCGCCCGGACCAAGTAAGTACTGACCAAGTACTGACCAAGTGCAGCCAAGTGGGGCTCCCCACACGCTCTGCTCGCACTCGCGCTCCTCCTCCGCTTCCACCCTCTCTCCCCCCCCGGCCCTCTTCGCATACTCCCCTTAAACCTCACCACCCACCCCACCCATCATCAGAGAGCGCTCAGAACTAGTCCAGCCGTACTCGACCGTGACATGGCGGACCGGTCCTCCTTCACGACCGTCTTCGCGCCCTCGTCGCTCCCCTTCCCCATCACGATCCAGCGCCTACTCGTGCAGCAACCCCATAGCCCCATCACCAAGACCCAAGCCCTGTTCACCTATTCGTTTGTTCCCCGAACGGCCGCGCCTGGGCCTAGTGAGGGGAAGGAGGAGCGCTTGTGCAAGGTGTATGAGAGTCCTATCGAGGGACAGTTCGAGGGATGGGCTGACCACATCCGTCACGGCACTGTGGTGCGGGATACACAGTACGTTCTTATATTGACTTCGTCTGGGTAGCGTGGTGCACCCACTACCCCCGTGACTCGAACCAGCGGATCGACGCGACGGCGGAAGGAAGCGCGGTGGACGAACATCACTTTGGGCAAACGAGCCGATGTTCAATACGCATTTGCATGACCTCAAGCGGATATCGTGTCGCCTTTGTTACAACATCAAGACCTGACCGACTTGATGACCCGTCTTCGACCCTCCCAGTGTCCCCCTCGTGTACATCAAGGAGGACTGCACCCACGACGTTCAACTTCATGGGCTGTGTGCGCTCTGCGGGAGGGACCTCACAGGGTCAGTCGCATTCGAAAGCGTTGGGAAATACGATGTCGAGCAAAAACTCATCCGCAAGCTATGTCCTGGTTCAGAACCGACTACACGGGCTTTTCGGAGACATCGAGGGCCAAGATCGCCATGGTTCACGACGTCGGAGGCTTGACCGTGTCTCTCGAGGTAAGTCGAATCCTATGAGCGTCCCGATATGCGAAAGAATGCTTGTGTTGGTAAAATAAAACTTATTTTTCGCCTCCATTACCCCATCCTGACCCCGTCAAACCTCATTCTCGCCGAGTTCAGGAAGCCTCCCGTCTCGAAGCAGCGACAACCTCTCGCCTCTTATCCGCCAAGAAGCTTTCCCTCATCGTCGATCTCGACCAAACGATCGTGCACGCAACAGTTGATCCAACGGTTGGAGAATGGCTTACTGAGTCGGACAATCCGAACCATGAGGCTTTGGACGGCGTCAAGAGTTTCCGACTGGGGATGACTTCGGGGGATCAGAGCGTTGATGATGGGTGCATCTACTATGTCAAGAAAAGGTCGGTCTCGCAGAGTGTTTCTACAAGGCATGTGTACGTGTTGTCTGATCACTTTGTCTCGTCGCGTGCTCTCTATCTCCTGCAGACCGGGGTTGGATCAATTCTTGGCCGACCTGGCAGAGATTTACGAGATGCACGTTTACACGATGGGGACCCGGGCTTACGCGATCGAAGTGTGCAACGTCATCGACCCGGACGGAAGACTTTTCGGGGGAAGGATATTGAGTCGTGATGAATCTGGGAGTGAGTCCACAACGCGATGAATTGTGGCGTCTCTCGAGCCGAGCCGAGACTGACGTGCCCTGTGAGCAGGTTTGACCCGGAAATCATTGCAGCGCTTGTTTCCGTGGGACGATCACATGGTCGTCATTATTGACGATCGGGCAGACGTGTGGGATGGTGTTCCCAATCTAGTCAAAGTCATTCCTTGTACGTGCTGAAGAGAGGGTATTCCTTCACGGACGTTCGACCCACTGACCCCGCTTCCCACCGTGCTCTGGTTCTCGACAGACGAATTCTTCGTCGGGATCGGTGACATCAACTCGGCGTTCCTACCTCCGAACCCCTCCCCCTCCCCTCTACTCCCTCCCTCTTCCACCTCTCTTTCCTCTTCCACCTCCCCTTCGGCCTCGACCGATACAACAGACGACTCGACCATCATATCTCTCTCCATGTCGGAAGCCAAAGCCTCAACGGCCCAAGTCCTCACTGAACAAATCGAATCACGACCTTTGGCAGCTAAAGCGCTTGAACAAGCCAAGAAGGAAGGGTCGTCGTCGTCGTCGTCATCCGTCAAACCCGCCGATCGAGCAGGGCTGGATTGGGACGACGATGATCAAGAAGACGAAGAGGAGGAGGAGGATGACGACGAAGAGGATCATTCTACCAAGACATCGGCCCAAGAGGTGGTTAGATCGACGACGCCACCGCCTCGGGAAGCTGTGCTCAAGGATGATGATAGAGAACTCATACGGCTGTTTGATGTGAGTCTGAGTGAACGAACTTCTCCGCGGTTATCTGGATGCTAAATGCTGGCTCGCGCGATTTGCACAGATCCTCAAAACGATCCGCGACACCTTCTATCGACCTGGCACCTCGTCGACGTCCTCCGACGGAGATCCTACCACCACCTCCGACGTCAAGAACATCATACCTTCCCTAAAGCGACGCACCTTCTCCTTCACCTCCTTGGTCTTTTCGGGTCTCGTAGCACTCGGAACACCGGCCTCCCAATCCGAATGGTGGCGACTCGCGACCCTTTTCGGAGCCCACTGCGCCGAATCCATCTCCTCCCGCACGACCCACCTCGTAGCTAAAGAAGCAGGGACTGCCAAAGTTCACCAAGCTTTATCAATGAAGAGTATCAAGGTCGTTCGACCGGGTTGGTTGGTCGATAGTATTGCTCGATGGGAGAAGTTGGACGAGAGGGAGTATCTATTGATCACGCCTGATGATCCTGATCCTTCGGGACAAGACGAGGAGGATGAAGATGAAGAGAAAGAGGATGACGAACTTCTGCGATTGGTGGAGGAAGGATTACCTTTGGGCGGTGGGGATTTCGACGACATCGATGGATTCGATGAAGAGGCGTTGAGAAGGATGGCGGAACAGGATGATCTTGACGCCGAATTGGAAGACGTCGATTGGGCCAATGCGGAGAAGGAGATTGACGATGCTTTGGCTGAGAGCGAATACGATTCCGATGCTTCGACGGGGAGTGCGAGGACTTCGAGTTCGGCAAAGGTTTTGATGGTGGGTTCTTTGGTGGGGAAGGGGAAGAAGAGACCTAGGCCGAGCTCATTGAGATCGAATGGAGGGTCGTCGACGGATGATGAGGAACGAGGAGGCTCGAGCGATTCAAGATTGAAGAGTGACGCCGGTGGGAAGAAGGATCAGGCTCGTGCAACTTCCAGTGGGCTCGTCGCGGACAGTCCATTACAAAAACGAGTCAAGACCTCCCGAATGCGAAGCTCGAACCTCCTCAAGGTCTCCTTCCCCCACGACGTCAATTTTGATTCGGAAGTCCGAAAAGAAGGTGGAGAATCAGGGGATCCAGGGACGACGAACACCTCGCGCGCGAGCTCACGTAACGGCGAGACGAGTAGCGAACTCGGGAGTGGGGCCGAGGACGACGATGATGATGAGGCTTTTTTTGCTAGTATGGCTGAGGAGGTGGAGAAAGAGTGGTCGGGGGAGAACTAATGTGCAATAGGAAACGACATGAGAAAACTCTTGATAAATCACGTGACTGGTGTCTCTGACCCGGTCGATCGCACGGAATTTGCGCGGCCAAGAGGTGACGACGCGTGTACGGGCTTTTGCAGATCCAAACTCGATGATTCCCGGATTCCAGGTCTCCGATTCGCAAGCCTGACGCTGAGCTTGTCCTGTCACCATTGAGCAATCAGCGACAGCGCCCTCCGCCCAGTCTTCACGCCAAGGAAAAGTGAGGCATGTCAAGCTATTTGTCCCACGCGCCGCGACGCGCGCGCACGCGCCCCTCATTGACTTGGCGCCGGCCGACAGCGTCGACAGCTGTCGACAGCGGCCGACCCGATCTTGAGCGCGAGCCTCAAGGGCCGCTTCGACCTTTGTATTCCCCTTATCATCTGTTTCCCTCCTCCTCCTCTGTCTCTCCACCCACCTACTCACTTTCGTTTCACTCTCTCCGCCCACTCTTTCCGCAACAACACCAAAGTACTGGTCTGCTTTGTGTGCCCTCCTCTCACGTCCCGAGCCGGAACCCTTTTTCCCTGTGAAGGTGAGTCGCGTCGCGGCGCCCGTCAACTCGAGTTGAGCGAACTCCGAAACGATGCGTCCGCGCGTGCCGCCGCATCGCCCAGCGGTCGAATTTGCAAACGGCTGACCCATAACTTCGTTTCCATGGTGAATCCACATGTCCTCTCTATCCAATCAACAGACCGTACATTGCTTTTCCCTCTCGTTCCTTTTCACGTCGATTCGTACCTTTTCACACACAACACGTCTTGACGACGCCTGCACAGTGCACACCCTCGTTCCTGTGTTTCCTTCGCGCTTCAATTTCCGCACCATGCATATTTCTGCGCTGCTCTACTCGCTCGGCGCCATCTCGACCCTGTTTTCCGGCGTCGTAGCCCACCCCAATCTCGAATGGTATCAAACCCGTGACCTCCTCGGCCAACAAGACGTGGTCCGACCCAGCACCCTCAACGTCGCCGCGACCGGCGCCGAAGACCCTCACGTCTCTTCGCCTCTGCGCCGACGATCCTGCGCAGCCAAGGCGAGGCAACGTACGGCCGTCGCGGCAAAGTCCAATTCGGATGTGAGACTTCAATTGGCGAGCACGAAGGGGGCGTCGACTCATATTCGGACCACGACCAAAGTCTCTGCTTCGAAGAAGAAGCATACGATCAACAGCAAGCACCACCGCAAGTCCAAGGCTAAGAAGATCAAGACGCCCGTCCATAACCCCAAGCATCGAACGATCCGCAAAACAACGCCCAAAAAGATGGAGACCACCAAGAAAAAGACGGTCTCGACCAAGAAGAAGGTGACGAACAAGAAAAAGACCACACACAAGAAGAAGAAGGTGACGACCAAGAAGGCGTCCGGCGTCAAGGCCAAGCTCGATTCCAAGACGGGCAAGAGTTCGAGCAGCGGTTCGGGCGGCACGGTTTTCACGTCCAAGAACAACGGCGATGGTCCCGGTCTCTTTGGCGTGTCGACGAGTCAGTGCGGTGCTTCGGGTGCGACAGAGTCGATCACCAAGTCGTCTGGACCCAACGGCGCCGAGTCTTGGCTCAACTGCGGATTCTCAACCTCGAACCCCAACGCGGGCTGGGTACGTCTTGTCCTTGCATGCATCGTCCCGAGGGGCCATTACCGAAAGCTCACCGTCTTATATCTTCCTCATGCAGAACCCTCCCTACATCAAGATTTCCCAGCTCCGTGCGCGGACCATGGAAGAAGCCCTCGCCATGCCCAACTCAGTCTTTACGGCATGCAAGCCTTACGTCTACCTCTTCGAGAAGTACGGGTCGCAGCTCGGCCTGCCGCCCATCTTGCTCGCCTCGATCGCGATGCAGGAATCTTCGTGCAACGCCGGAACTATGGGTGACAACGGTGGAGCTTGGGGCTTGATGCAAATCACGTATGCTGTTTACCTTACGCCCTCCCTTTCCTGAATACACTGGTTTGCTGAACCCTCGCCTTCTTTGACGTGACCTGAACAGCTCCGACAAGTGTGGTAACGCACCCAACGGCAACTGCGCCGATCCGGACTACAACGTCGGCACGGGTGCTCGATACCTCAAGGGCCTCTTGGATCAACAGAACGGCGACGTCTTGGTTTCGCTTGGCATGTACAATGGATGGTCAGTCCGAAAAGGCTACGATGAGGGCTCGCCGCTCAGATCCACTGGTGCTGATGCGCTCTCCCGCCTTCACTCTGCGATCGCAGGTACCGAGGTTTGACTTACTACGGCGCGACCAAGATCAAGGACTCGTGCTTCCAGTGCCAGAACAACGGCGACTACCACCAGCAATTGCTCAACGGATGGATGCAAGGCATCGACGGTAGCCAGCTCGGCACGATCTGCAACATCGGCTAAACCGAGCGTCGCGCGTCCGATCGCCTCCTTGGCCTTCAATGTCGGCGCTCTCCAAGCTGCACCCACCTTCGTTCGTCATGCACACATTGCATAATTTGCACATGAGATGGCGTGATGCCATAATCTTCCAACCCCCCTTTGTCCTCAACTCATGTTTGTGCTCGAATCTTGACTTGAATCGCTCCTCTCCTCTTTATGCCTTCCCCTTTAACGATCCCCTTGCCGAGCAACCGTGTAGAACAGAATCTGCAACAACTTTCCAATTTCTTCTTTGCGCCAGATCAATATGTACTCTCCAACAGTTGAGTGTGGATGATGCGAGGTCTGCCGTCTGCAAATTGGCAGAGGAATGCAGGTAGTCGACTCCTTCGGCCTCACGGGGCACCGCCCACGCCAAGATGACCGAACTCTACCGAACTCGGACCGCTCCCGGCGCGCCGTGATCTGAACCCCGAGTCATCCGAGCTGCCCCGGCCGCGACACATGTCCGCACATGTGCGGACACTTGATTATAGGTCAATACATGACGATATCGTATCTTTTCGATGTCGTAGGACAAATATATAAGTATTCCTAGGTTTAACCTGCAAGAAGAACATGATACGATATGTTCTGCAAGACTTATGATGATTTCAAATTCTCATGTGCGGACCGCAGCCTCATGTGGGGACATGTGTCGGTCAAGTGTCCGCACATGGCGGTCTGCGGTCCGCACTTGGCCCAGCAAAGTGCGGACCCATCCGGCCGCACTCCGAGTCCGCCTGAGAATCTCGAGCAGTTCAAAGAAGAGACATACTTGCTACTCTGTTGACTTCATGTTGTATAGGGACTTTGCTAACTAGACTTTTAGAGTTGAAGTGGATCATGAAAATGTCTCTAAAGTTGTATCATTGGCAGGAGCGCCCACTACTACAAAGCTGGCCCAGAAGATCACAACGCTGCAATTTTTGAGACAGACCTATCACGCTTAGTGGTTTTTAGCATTGCTACATCAAAGGTTCTCTAACTCACCGATTTGAAGCCCTCGAACAAGACGGAAGCGTCTTGCATCTTCCAAACCCCTTTTCCCTCATCAAAGGACCCGTCCAGAGGCATTGTCGACACTTCGGATGGAAGGTGCCTCGGAGTCGTAGTATAGGCCCCACAGCTCGTGCCATTGCTGGTCCAGCAGCGCATTGAACGAAGGTAGCAAGTCATATGATTCATGTTCTAGCTCGTAGAACAACATAGTCACCAATCCGTTGGTGGTCCTGTTGCCGGTTGGATAAGCGAGATGACCGCGCATTGCGTCGAAGTGGTAGCGAGCCGCCTCTTCCCCGTAACCGACGATTGCATCCGTAGCGAAATGCTCACCGCTGAGAATGTGGCGCACCTCTGAACGAAGAGACCAGACGAGCTCCATCTGGCCCGAGACAGCCAAGCGAAGCTCACGCGGGGGTTGCTCGTGGCGAGGATACTGGTTGTTGATGTTGATTACAAGCACACGAGGAAGCGAGGTGATCGAGACGATCTGCGTGTAAGAGCGTCCCATGCAATCGCTCTTGTGATAACGACCCCCATTATTTTGTTTCTCTACGTCCACCATTGCTGGTTGCCCAACAAGTGAGCCAAATACCTCCGACAGAGTTGGCTCGCTAAGGTTTAGGCTCGATAGTAGGACGGGCCAGCCGACGATGAAGTGTCGTCTTGGCAAGATCTCAATTTGTACGCACTGACAAGCCGAGCAATAACCGGCTCGCTGAAAGTGGGTTTCGATCTGAACTCGGGCCGACGAGGTTGGCAAGTGATCCCGCGGTATTGGTGTTGGTATGTGGTCGACCGTAAAGGTGTAAAGCGACACGAGCAAGCTCTGCGGACGACAAGAGCGATCAGCCCAATGTGGATTTATGGTAAGCAAAAGAATCTTGATCGACTGACCGATGGGTTGCTGTATTCCCCTCGCTTGAGCGGAGTTGTATAATCACTCTTACTTTCATTTGATAAGACGATCACCAAGCTGATAATCCGCTCGCGCAGCTCGAAGTACGCATCGGATGCATCCTTTACGGGTTTCGAATCATAGTCGTAGGCTAGCTGCGTGTATTTGCGAATGAGGCTCCAGATCTCGAGGGCCAGTGTCCGACCTTGAAGTGCGAATGTCTCCTCCATTTCCAGCTTGGCACACATGGAGGGTTGGTGATAAAGAGGCAGTCCATGTGCATTAGCCACTCTTTCAGCCCGGTGGCGACCGAGAGCAAGCCAACCAAGGCCGAATCAAGCCAGCAGGAATCCATGGACCTTGGACTGCCATGGACCTTGGACAATGCCAGTCCGTTTGCTGCATTGCTGCTCGGATCGAAGCCAAAAGTCTTCGTGGAGTGTGGCAATCGTGCTGCTTTGGAGTTCGAGGGGCGTCGAGCTCGACACTGCCTTCGGCGGAGATAATCCCAAGCTTGCTTGCGATGTGGATAAGGACTTGGAGTCGGCAGCTTTGGGTGGCGCGAATGCCGAATTTGGCACAGGCTGGACATGTGCCACCGCTAATTCTGACTCCGGCTTCCCTAAGGCGGCGATCATCCGTTTCCGAGGTACACGGTAGTTCTTACCAGACGATTGGGGCTTTTCCAATAGCGCAAGAATTGGGAGGCAAGAGAGATACCGCTTTGAGTCGGGTAGGTTTTACCTGGCAGATCCGCGCTTGAGCAGTCAAATACGTACATCTCGACCTCTCTTCCGTCCACTCGTTGAGCGCCCTCACTGAAAGAGGAGTCGGTCGTATTGATCGCGCCGCGCCGCTCGATGGGCGGCCCGTAGATTTGGCACGCGATTTGGAAATGGAAGCTTCCTTCGGTTTTGTGGAGCGGTCAGCCGGGCGCCCCGTCGTGCTGCACGATTCGACATGACCGGATGAGCTCCGCTGCCTTGATTGCGTCAATTGAAGAGCAAAGAAATCTTCGTCCGAATCGTCTAATCAAAGCAGGAGTCGTCTGAAGATTTGCATTGGAAGGAGTTCGTCAGCGATCTGCAGGCAAGTCATTAGGTGAATCACTCTATGATTGTCCTGCATACCTTGCAGATCAATTCCGAGCTCGTCAGCAACCTCGTCGAGCACATGCTGAAGATAAACACAACGACATGCTCCTGCTATGAAGTTGATGGGGACAGAGGGCGTCATTCGCACCGCCGCGCCCACCACTAAGTGGCCGGAGGGAGATCGTGCATCGACGGTCGAAACTGAGCAAGTGGAGCCCGCCACACCATGATATCAGCGATGTTCAGAGTAATGTACAGATGTTGGGTCGGAAATTTGAAGACGTACCATCAATTCTCAGAGCAATCGATTCAGGAAAGTCACGAGTGGTACTGAGGGATGCCAAAGTCCGAGACGCGCCTTCTTGCGGAAGAGCCGCCGATTGAGTGTTCAGGAGCGAGAGTTTCGGTGTTAAAGGCAATAACGACATCGTACTCTGCGGCAGCGGTGCACCCAGATCGGTGTTGGAAGTGATACCTTTGGATCTCAACGTCTGATCGAGCGTGTTCGTTATTGAAGACAAAACAGGAGATGTAGAGGCGCCAAATGGGAACGCGTTGTTGAGGATCGGACTGGAAATAGTAACCGCATCGTCGTAATGATCGTGGCCACCGTCTTGGCCGGCTTCGCTCTTGCTCACACTACGGCTTAGATCAAATTTGATACTGTGTGGCAGGTGGTGTTGTCCCTGCATTGCGAAGGTAGACGATGAAGGTGTGGCCGGCACCGCGCCGGTCGACATGGCCGCGAGATGGTCGCCAGCCTCAGCAGCAGATGTGTTGTCATGATCCGCAGCTAGCCGACCCGCGAGCGGCTCGTCAAGTTCGATGGAGGCTTCTGATATGGGTGTCAAAGTCGGGTGATGCTCGAAGCTCGGTTGCGTGCGTGCTGGCTTGGCGTACGGTGTCTTCGGCGTGTTGCGAGTTGCTGAACGTGTCTGGGGCCGGCCGTCAACCGCAATTCGGCGACTTCGCAACTCCATTGACCTGAGAATTTGATCCGACTTGGCCGCGCTGAAGCTTTCGAAGTCCGACACCTCGTGGAAGATAGCGAGACGACTGCCACGCCAAACAACTGCTACAGTAAGTCGGGTCTGAAACGTGCGGCGGCGCGGCCTGACTGATACGCGTCGAACAATTAAGTGGTCAAGACGCGACTTGACGCGTTCATTTACCGAGAGGCGGAGCTAGGCGGAGCTCCTACAACCGTGCCGATCGGCTACCGGCGCCTGCCCCTATCTTGAGCATATAGCCCAAGAGAAGAGTGATGTGCTGTGTCGTGTTTTATAGCACGTGACTTTCTAGCCGCAGGAGCGTCCACAATCCTCGATATTGATACCATCTTCAGGGGAGTAACAGGCTAATCGATCAAAATCTGCAGAAGTGCGACTCGGCTGATTGTGGCCGGATGGGTCCGCACTTTGCTGGGCCAAGTGCGGACACTTGACCGACACATGTCCGCACATAAGCTCAACTAAGCCCTTCCTCTGGGAGGGGCTTAGTTGAGCTTATCCGCGCTTTTGGCTGAGTTGCCCTCCGAAATTTCAGGGCCATTTTGGGGTGGTTCTCTGTAACTTGGCAAGTAGGCGCATCCATGCAAAAGTGAAGGACCCCATTTTTCTTTATGCTCTAAAAATGACATACCCCAAGTGGCGAGAGCTTTCATAAGCTGTGGGTGGAGCTACAGCGATTCGAAGTCTGCGATTTCGGTCGATCGGGCCTCAGATGGTCCGAGCGCATCGTGTAATTGGCGCTCTCATCATCGGCGAGCCTGCTAATTCGGCTTGATCCCTTTGCGTACGCTTCGCTATTCTCCTCTTTTCACGATCACCGTCGTCCACGTCAAGCGCGACAATATCTAAAACCAAAAATGACCCGAACAAGCAGAAGCCATACCTCGTCAACTCGCCAGAACAACCGCCGCGAGGCGGATCTGTTGGCTGAATTTCGTAGCCGCGATCTATGTCAATACCTATCGTGGTACTTCAGCCCATCCACACGATTTGAAGGAGTTCAAACACACCGACCAAAGCTGTTCAACAGCAAGTGGTCCAGCCTCAAGCGTGTACTTGATCTTATTCTACGACTTGCACGCGAGGATGGCGCAGAGTCAAGAAGCCGAATCAATTTTTTTTTGTATCAATGACTGGATCGCCGAGCAGGTGGGCAACACTTCGTACTTCTCGGATTGATTCTCCGGATTCGAAAAAGCTACTGAATACTTGCCTTATCCGCGTGCAGGCCGACTCAATCATCATTAAAGAGATGAAGCGAACCAAGTCCGCGTTTGTCGCTAGCCATGACTTGACTCCCGAAGTCCTCGCATCTGATTACATCGACGCCCGGCTCGATGCAATCGCCGAAGACAACTCTTTAATCAGCGGATGGGTTCGTACCTTGCTATCACAATGCGGAGACCCTCCACCGGCCGAGCCAATCAATCGCGACAAGGACCCAACAGCTTCCACTGATGTCGAGATGGAAGAAGCCACCCCGGAGAATGGTTCCGATCCGGGGCAAGAACAAGAGCCTGGTCACGAAAGAAAGCGTATCGAGTTCGTGAGTGTTTCTGACCATGGCTCGGCTGGGTATCGCAGCGAACTGACACCAAAAACTTCAACACGCTGGCCGCAGCTTTACCGCAGTGTCATGGGTCAGTTCGCATTCGCTTGCAACCGAAGGAACAACGCCATGCAGCATCGCAACGGTCTCATGACTCTCGCATGTGGAGCGAACGACCGATTGACAATGTTTCTGTACGATTGCGGCTTGACGACATCTCGCTGGACGACTCCAGGCAGCCGCGAGCTTGAAGAAGGCGAATTCGACGAAACTGAAGGAGATTGGCTCGAACAAGTACTTCCATGTGACCGTTGACAACATCAACGTCACACATCATGTCAACGATCGGCAATTGGATCGACGAACCGAGCTTCATCGAACTTTTGGTTACGCCCACATTCAGAACGGAGATATTGCCGGCGCTTACAACCTTCGAGCCTACTCTGCACATCAAGCGTCTTTACCGCGAGTCAATCTCCAGCATCTCCTCCCAACTCCCCAATCCGACTCGTCATCTACAACCGGGATAAAAGCTCAGATATATCGAGCGCTTGCTCGACTGGTCCCTAATCTTGGCCTCAGTCTTCTTGATGCACACCAACCCCCTCCTCGTCATAGACGGGCAACTTGACGCGCTCTCGAAAGGACTCGTTAGAGATCAACTTTGCCCAATCTGCATTGTTCATATGCATTTCAGGAGACTTGACACGCAACAGGAAAGGAAATCAACATATGTGTACTTCACTCAAACAGGAGGTCAACCGGCACATACGATCAGAATGAAGGAGATCTTGTGATTGGGGTCGTCCAACTGCCTGTACAGCTCGCCGTCTCTCCAGGTCTCCTCAGATACGACAATCGCGTTCTTTCCCTTTCAATGAGATTGGCAGCCTGAAAGAAGCATGTGACTGCGGAAATCAGCACGAATGTCGGTCCAGCAAGCCCAGTCGACAGAAAAACTCACCTGATGATTGCTCAGTGCATTCAGTGAGCTGACAACAATGGTGACTGCCCGGCGTCCATAAATGAGATACATTGCTTCGAAGATAACACTTTTGCCTGAACCTGTTGGCGCTGTGACGAACACAGCGTCATATCGATCCCCGCCCCCAAATTGATCGAGTTCGAAAAGTGCAGCAATGGCTTCGATCTGCACAGGCCGGGGGGTAGAGTCCTCGTCAAGACTTTCGCCCAGAATCACTTTGATCTTCTTGCGTAATTCGCTGGAATCTCGTCGGTCCTGGTGAGTCAAACGTGGCCTCCAGTGACCGAGAACGGCTGTCGGATTGGTTGAATGATTCGGTGCTGGGGTCGTAGGACTGGCCCTTGAAGCTGATCGCAAGGGAGACGCCCTGAACTCAATTGATGGATGTCGACGGGGCGGTCCCCTAACCGGCCTGGGTGTTTGTACCGACATGGCTCATCATGAGGTGAGGTGCAATGTTGAGTGGAGGAGAGAGAGGATGCGTGAGGCGCAGCCGGGCTTAAGTGACCTGGCTCTATGCAGCCTTCAAAGGCCTTCGACAGCCTTCGTTTTTTTTTGTATCAAGCCTGATTAGATTTCACATATTCGGTTATCTACGCAAAATCAATGTTTCTTGAAAAGGGGGGTTGGACTTATGTAAATTTATAGCCACTAGATCCATGCAGCCCCCACACTCCTGAAACCACCAAAAGTGTGATTCCAATCATGTGAGCACCAACCACCCTTCCTATTCCACGGTGTTAAAGAATAGGCACAATCGAGAAAGAGAGAGAGGGGAGGGGAGGAAAATCAGGACAGAAAACTCAGAAACTCCGTACTCATGAAAACGTCAAGTCACATCGACGCGGACTGGACTAAGACTGGTCCGTGCGCCGACCTGCGTCTCGTTCGGAATCAGTTGATTCAAGCTGCTATAGCGAGATGATCAAGCGTTCCTAGACTTCAAGCTTCGGTGAAGCCTCATCAACAATGATGAAGTAAAGACGTATCCCTCCAGTTTTCAGATAGCACCAATATATGCCATGCTACAGCAAGGGGGCACTTTTCAGGGCCGAAATTTCGGAGGGCAACTCAGCCAAAAGCGCGGATAACTCACAAGCCCCTCCCAAAGGGAGGGGCGTCGAGCTTAGTCCGCACATGAGAATTTGAAATCATCATAAGTCTTGCAGCACATATCGTATCATGTTCTTCTTGCAGGTTCAACCTAGGAATACTTATATATTTGTCCTACGATATCGAAAAGATACGATATCGTCATGTATTGACCTATAATCAAGTGTCCGCACATGTGCGGACATTTGTACAACCTCGAGCTGCCCGGGGCGGCGCATGGATCGCTCGCCCCTAAATAAAGGGCCTGAGCTCGAGTTGACCGACGGGCGAAGGCGTACGTATCCAACCGCACGGCGGCCTTCGTTTCGTAACCTCCTCCCCCCATCCTCTTCTCACAGACCCACACTCTCCACCATAGGCCCAATTTCTCGCCCATAAGTCTTGCGCCCTGTGCGCGAGTGAGCAGGATGGTCTACACCCGCCCCCGCCACGCCCGCGCAGCTGTATTCGCTTCGGTCGTGCTGTGCTTGATCATGGTGGTCGTGCCGACGTCCGTTCTCGCACGCGCGACGACAATCGTCGCACCACCAGCCGTAAACTCCTCCAGGCGTCCAGATAGGGAATACATCCCGACTTCGGCGGGTGCTGACGATGGTGAGACCTTGTTCCAGCCCAACTCTACCGAAAGGTCCCCCGAAGAACCCCTCCTTGAGGAACCGCACTGGCTCCCCTTGCTGAAGCGCGCGAGGAGACGCAAACCGCCGTCAGGAGATGCTTGGAGCGGCGACACGACGATGCGCATCATTGGTAATCTCGGTATTGGTGCGAGTAAGTGCATTTCAATCCGGCTGGGGTCGTCATACCGCAGTAGAGGCGGAAGACTGATTGACCGTGCGTGGGTGATTCAAAAGTGCAAGCGATCCAGTCCTCTGACGACGAGCTGCTGGTGAGACATAGGGCTGCCTTCGGTGCCGAGTCGAGACCCAGAATTCTGACACGGGGTCACTTTGACTTCTTTGATATACGGTATCACTACCTTTGACTGTTTCAGAGTGAGTCGTCGCTTCTACCATCGATCGCTAATACATCACAGAGACTTCGCTGATTGGCTCGTCATCCCTGTCGAATGACCCCTATCTCGGCATCGGGAGAAAGTGTGAGTACCTCGGCACGGAGGCGCAGAATGTGCAAGCTAACAACCGGCGCTACTCAGTCTGGACAAGGCTCAGAATAACCCGCTTATGATCGATGGGCATAGTGCTTGGGGTAAGTTTATCCTTTAGGGCCCGAAGCTGGTCTGCGCTCGGATGATTGCTCAACTCTCCCCTTGCGCCCCGTAGGTCTCATCTACAACATTCATACGGGGAAACAAAGAGTTCTACATATGGTCACTAACTCGCAAGTTCAGATCCCTACAAACAAAAAATAAACTCTTCCTAAAAATATCTGATCACTGGTACCCCTTCCTGCTCTTACAGCTTCTGCGCTGCGGGTACCTTCATTTCAAACGGCGACATCATCAGCGTCGGGGGCCAAACGTCTGAAAACACCGAGCTCGGAAAGCCGGGTGTCGCTGGAGATGGCTTCACGGGCCTTCGCGTCTTCCGACCGACGACCCGTCAGTTCCTCGACGACCCGAGGAAGGCCCACATCCAATCGGCTCGTTGGTACGCGTCCGTCATCCGCGTCACGGACGGCTCGGCTCTCATTATGGGCGGTAGCAAGAAAGGGCAGTACAACAACGAACGGAAGGTCGATAATCCCACGATGGAGTTCGTTCCGAGCAAAGGATCTCAATACTACTCCAAGTTCTTGCATGACGCGCTCGACTCGAATATGTTCCCCATTGCGTTCTTGTTGTCCAAGTCGGGCCATGTATTTGTGATGGCCAACGAGATCGCGATGATCTACGACTGGAAGAATAACCGCGAGTACCGAGTCGAAGGACCTCCAGGAGGGATCGTGCGCACCTACCCTGGCTCGGCAACAGCAGTCCTTTTACCTCTGACGATCAAGAATAGATGGCTCTCGGAGGCGCTCATCTGCGGCGGCGTGTTCAACACGGTCAACATGACTAACCCGGGGCACGACGTTCGAGCCGACGAACCCGTCAGTGATCAATGCGTTCGTACCTCCTTCCCGGGGGGAACCAGAATCTCGGGCTGGCACGTCGAGCACATGCCGAGCCCTCGTATCATGGGTGACCCCGTCCTCACTCCTGATGGCAAGTTGCTCATCGTGGGCGGAGCCCAAAAGGGCACCGCAGGCTACGGAAACGCGATCGGGATGGGTGAGTACGCGCCTGCTGGTCGCAGGTCCTTCACGCCATGAAGGCTCGTGCTTGACTGAGGTGTGCTTTTCTGCCTCAAAATGTCTGCTTTTTACTACAGTTGGTCACAGTAGTATGTCCAGCCAGAGCCTCCGCGCAGGCGCACTTCCAAGAACTGACTCCGACCTCATCCCCAACTCCTAGATGCCAAAGAGCCCAACCTTACTCCCGTCTTGTACAACCCGGATGCGCCCAGGGGTCAACGGTTCTCCAACAAGTTCCCGGCGGCCAGAATTGAGCGCATGTACCACTCTGCCTACTTGTGCACGAGCGAAGGGAACATCCTCGCGATGGGCTCGTCTCCGAACCCTCGCGTACTCACCAAAATTGATTACAAGACTCGGTTAGTTTACTCCCCCTTCGTTTCGACTAGGCTCGCGGGGAGGCTCATCTTAGGGTTCTTCTTTTCAACTTCGCAGGTTCGAGATTGAGTCTATCGCCCCTCCGTATATGAGCAAGACGCGACCGGCCATCTTGAGTTATCCTGGGCAGCTCAGTGAGTCTATCTATCACTCTTAGCTCGAGCCCAGCCTTATCGCCTCAGACTCTCACTAACCCCCCCTTTTCCGCAGACTACACCGGTCGTTACACCTTGACAATCTCGAACCCCATGGGCTGCGATAACGCCCGGGTGGTCCTCCTCGATGGCGGGTACGCGACCCACGGTCTACACATGAATCAGCGATTGGTCGAGTTGCCCGTCACTTCGTTCACTAACCAATCGAGGATCACTTTCCGCGGTCCGCCGGATCCGACGATTTGGCCTCCTGGTTAGTGGAGAGGTGTGATCTAGTGTCTTTATCATATGTTGACAGTGGGTGTCTTGTCTTATAGGCCCCGCCTTCTTATGGCTCACCGTCTGTGAGGGCAACATCCCGAGTAAAGGCCACAAGATCATGGTCGGCGATGGCTCGAGTGAATTGAACCTCTTGCTTGGTCCCACACGGGATGTTGAAACCGAAAGACTGACATCCTCTCTTGACCGCTTTCAAACCAACCAGACCCCCCCAACTACAAGGTTCCTTTCTAAGATTCCTTCTCGATTCGTCACGGCCGTTCATACCCCACCGCTCACGACCCAACCGCTTCCCGGACACTTCAATCCTGTCCATACGCATTCGAGACTTTCACTTTTCAGCGCTAAGTAACGGCTTTTGGGAGGTTCATAATTCTAGTCGTATCTTATCATTCGCCCCTTATACTATCATCACGGCAATACTGCATGCATTGCTCGTGCCCCATTGCTTCATGCTCTTTGAATGGTGGTCTTTTTCAGTCCCAAAGCGGAGAGCCTCCGCGTCACTTGAACCGTCCAATTGTTTGATCACGAAAGATGGCATTGCAAGGTTTTCGCTCATCCTTTTCATCCACCCAATTCATCACCTCATTACGACGCGCTCTACTTGGTAACGGCGTGAATTGACTCGGCCAAGTGTCGAACGTTGTGCGGGGTAACGCCGGCGACGGAGATGCGACCGTCCTTGGTGAGGTAGATGTGGTGCTCCTTGGACAGCTTCTCGACTTGTTCGGGCGTGAGACCGGTGTAGCAGAACTGTGGGAAAGCGTTCGGTGAGGGTCAGCATGGGAGAAAGCCAAGGGTCCTGGGAAGTGAAAGATGAGCTTACCATTCCGATTTGGGACTTGATGTGGCCCCATTCCTTCTTGGACCCGAGCTCCTGGAGCAAGTCGTACAATTGTGATCGCATCGTGATGATACGGTCGGCCATGCCCTTGACCTCACCGAGCCTATTGAACGGAATACCATTCCCCCCAATCAGCTCCACACACTCCTTCCTGCACAACCTCATCTCATTGCCTTCGCGCCACTTACCATTGTTCATAGAGCTTAGGATCACTCAAGATCGTTCCCGCAATACGCGCGCCATGAACAGGGGGGTTGGAGTACATGGGTCGCACCAAGATCTTGATCTGCGAATCGACGCGGGCCCTCTCCTCGGCGGAGCTGCACACGATCGAGAAGGCGCCGACGCGTTCACCGTACAGACCCATGTTCTTGGCGAAGGATTGGCAGAGAGCGGGGGAGTGGCCCTCGGAGACGAAGTGGCGGAGGGCGAAGGCGTCGGTGTCGACCGAGCTGTGGGGATCGGACGAAAAGGACTTCATATGAGCACCCCTAATTTTCACGATAGAGAGAAGCCAGTTGCTTACCCCGTGGCAAAACCCTGGTAAGCCGAGTCAAAGAGGGGGAAGTGCTCCTTCTCCTTCATGATGTTGGAAATTTCTTTCCACTGCTCCTTGGTGGGGTCGATACCGGTGGGGTTATGCGCGCACGCGTGGAGCAAGAAGATGGACTTGTTGGGTGCGTTCTGAACATCACCATTGGGTCACAGTGTGATCAGTTCACGAGGAACAGAGTCCTTCTAATCCTTCATACGTCAACACCCGCAACGAACCTGCATGTCCTTCTTGAGCCCTTCAAAGTCAAGTCCGACGGTCTTCTTGTCGTAGTACGAGTAGTACTTGACCTCGAGGCCCGAGTCCTTCATGACGGGGATGTGGTTACCCCAAGTCGGCGCGGGGACGTAGATTTCCTTGGCGTGAGGGTAGTGACGGGCCAAGAAGGCGCCGGCGATACGGAGCGCGCCCGTGCCCGAGATGGATTGCGTAACGGCGATCTATGACGAGGTAGGTCGGTTCTTGATAAGGGACCACATTCTTGAGCACTCATGATGCTCTGGACCACATCACTCACGCGTCCTTCCTTGAGGGGAGCCGAGTCCTTGCCGTAAGCGAGCAGGGCGGCGTGCTTGGTAAAGTCGGGGAACCCGGTGATGGGAAGGTACTCCTTGTCGTATTTTTGAGCGAGGATGCGTTCATCGGCCTGAAGATATGAACTTTGATCAGTCTCTGAGGTGACACAGAGAAATGTCGATCTTTATCGGCGCTTGCTCGGCCTGAGTCAAGTCGCTCTCGCCAACAGCCCTGAGCGGCGCCGGCTAATTACTCGGCGATCATGACATGCCGGGCTTGAGGAGTGAGGACGCGGGTGCAGCGTCGGAGTCGCTACTGCGCAAGGCACCATAGACCCTGCTTCTCCCACCCGGTCCATTCCAGTGCAAAACGAGGAGTCCATGTTGTTTGAACTGACCTCTCGAACGGAAGGGAGTACGTAAGGCTTGCCCTCGCCGTCACGGTAAGCTCCGACGCCCAAGTTGATCTTCTTGGGGTCCTTGTCCGCCTTCCATGCCTCGGTCACACCTGTGGAAAGTCATAAGGGGGTTAATACACTTTCAAAGATATCAGTTTATCACGTGCAGCGTCGACTCCAAGCTGTGAACTTGCCAAGAATCGCATCGGGAGGACCTTGCTTGACCGCGCTCCACACGGACGAGTAGCGCACCGCACCCGCCGCAGCAGAGGCACCGGACAGGCGCACGGATCGAGCAGTCAGCAACGAGCGAGTCAGTGACATAATGTGGTCAGGTGGTTGAAGTGTAGTGCGGCAGGGAGAGGCTCAAGCTGAAAGCGCGCAGCCCTCGACGTCAACGCGCGAACGCCTCCGGTTGAGAGCGGTTGAGCGGGCCGACACTGGGCCGACCCGACACCCGAGGCAGAGCAAGGCTTGACTCAAGATCACCCCCTCGAGCTGTGAGCGTCAAGCCCAGGCAAACAGACCAAGGCAAACAGCAAGCAAGGGTCCAATGCAATGCAAACTACCAAATAAAGCAAACCCCAAACTACCAAAGAAATCATACCCAAATACTCCGCTTCCTTGAGAGCCCAAGCCCCTCACGCCTCCTCCGCCTCGGCGCGCGCAATCTCCTCATCAATTTCGCGCTGCCTCCTCTCCTCCTCCTCAGCCTCTTCATTATCCTCCTCATCTTCCTCTTCCTCGCCCTCTCCCCCATCCTGCCTCGCCGCCCTTCCCTCCTCCTCTTCAACGTCCTCCAATTCGACCTGTCGCCCCGCAACAGGTACACCTCGCTGACGACTTGGGCCACCGTACCCACCAGGCATGACCGAGTTCTCCCTCTCCAGCTTCTCCGTCTCTTCGCGGTGCTTGTTGATGCGATCCATAGGGTCCTCGGGTATAGGCCCTGAAAGATCTTGACCTGTCAAAGCGGCGTAACGATCGAGATCTGCCAGCACGTTGTTGCACATTCAGCTCCCCAGTCGCCCAGGTCCAATGAACCCAATGCGCACAAAGAAAAGAACTGACCAATCTCCTTCTTGTTCATCAATGCCGCCGTGATTTTCCTGGGGTTCTCCTTATCCTCCCTCACCCACTTGCTCTTGATCTGTCTCCGCGTCCTAGTAGGGAACAAGCCGGCAATCATCTCGAAATCTGTTCCAAATTGCCTCAACGCGTCGTAGAAAACCTCCGTCTCGAACGCGGTCCATTTGGCCGTCGCCCTCGCTTTGCCCCAACTCGCCGAATTCGTATACTTGTTCTGTTGGTTGTCCTCGACCCTCTCCAAAGGCTCTAATTGCGCATTGCGGGCTTGCTGCGCACGATCGACTTCGAGGGAGGCTTCGTCGATCTGGAATTGGCCGTCGATGAAGCGCACTTGAGCCGCGTACCCCGTCTCGACGAAACGATCCTCCTCATCGTCGTCATCCTCCCCCTCTTCAGCAGCACCTTCCTCATTCCCGGTCATGGCCCGCATTCGTTCTTCGATCGAAGGTGGTTCAGGTGTCTCAATCTCGACTTGACGAGGGGGTCGCACATCAGTCGGATCCGGCAGCTCCTCCTCTTCATCCGTCGCGATCTCAGGCAATGCATCCCCTCTCTGATGCGCCGCCTCAATGAACCCCATCATGACTTGGCCCTGTTCCTCGTCCTCCGTATCGCTCGGCAGACCTTCCTGCCTCCTCTTCATGTGCCTCTTCGTGCGTTGGCGCTTCTCTGTTCTCTCCTGCTTGGTCATCTCATGCTTCTTCAGCAACGCCTTACCCCTCGCAGAGACCCTCCCATCCCATTGATCCTTCCCCGTCGCAATCTCGGACATGGTTGTCAACGCCGGATCGAGGTCTTTCAGTTTCTTGTGCGGCACAAAACGGGGTCGAGCTTCTTGCTGAGCAAGGCGACGCGTCTTGTCCAGCAGGCGTTGCTTCTTGGACTTCTTCTTCCTCTTCTTTTGAGATCCATCGGGCCCAATCGCGGTGTCTTGAGAATCGTCCGACCCATCCTTATCGCTATCGTTTTCCTCCTCGTCATCGTCATCCTCATCGTCGGAATCGGTATCATCCGACGTCTCAAGCGCATCGACCCCAGTGCGCGCCACATCATCCGTCATCTGATAGTCCTCATCCTCCGTCGCCGCATTCGCAGCCGCCAACAAGGCCTGCAAACCCCCACTAGCGGTCTTGTCATTCGCGTTTCCCTTCCCTTTCGCCGGCCTCCGTTTGGCCAATGGTGCGGTTGCGCCTTTCTCATGCGGACCTGCATCTTCGTCCGAGTCGTCGTCCTCGTCGGCAACTTTGCTCTTCTTCGCAGGTCGCCCGCGTCCACCTTTCACTGTCGATGGTCTCTTCGCCGCCCTCTTCTTCCCCTTCGCCGCCGTCATCCGAGGGAGCTCTTCTGCCTCGTCCTCCGAACTCTCCTCAAGCATCCTTCCCTTCCCCTTATTCCCCTTCTCCGGCGATACCACCGTCGCCCTCGTCGACCTCCTCTCCCCGACCCTCGAATCCTTCGTCGCCGCCTTCTTCGTAGTCGCCGCGGTTCCCACCGTCCCCGTCTGCCCTCGCTTGACCTGCCCACGCTTCGTCATTTGCAACTTTTTCCCTCTGATGACGAGCTGAGAAGGCGGTTCTTCCTCATCCGAAGAATCGTCTTCTTCTTCGACGGGCGGAGCTTGTGTAGTCCTGGCCAACGCAATCGCGTTCCTCGGCACGCGTTTCCCCTTTGCGTTCGAAGTGGAACTCCAAGTCGCAGCGACCCTCTGTTCTTCTTCCTCATTCTCTTCCGCAGTGGGCGTAGGAGGTAATGAAGGATAACTCGTCGGTGCATCGAGCGTGTTCTTGGACGTAGAAGCGACGGGGGTTTGAGGTCGGGGGAGGGCAGAAATCTTAGGGCCACCGCTCGGGCTGCTCGTGGAAGCCGTCGCGGGTGCGGTCGTCGGTTGAGTCGAAGGTGTTGGATCACGAGGGGTGAAGGATAAAGGTCTTGACGAAGTCGGTGCAGTGATCTCGGGGTTGGTAGATGCCGAAACGATCGTAGGTGGTCGAACGGGCGAGGACGAACCCCGCCTCGTCGCCGGCGTCGTCTCGCGCAAGGTCGGATCCCGGGGTGCGAAACCCTTCCCCTTGCCCGTCGTGGACAAGGTACTGGGTAAAGCCGGCTCTTTGAACGCGTCCGCGTCTCCACCGCGCTCTGCAGTGCTAGTCGCCTCTGGATCCAAGTCGAATTCGTCGATCCCTCCTAGAGGGTTCAACCCCGTCGCTCCAAAGCGAGGTGTCGCCGTCCCTACGGAGGCCAAGGACGGTGTGGTAGAGGACGCACGTTGGAATGAGGACGAGGTGTTCTTGCGCTTGGGGACGAACCGGGTCGTGGATTTGTCTGCGGTGCGAAGGCGAGGGGGAATGAAGAGGAAAGGGAGGGTGTTAGTCGGTCTGGTCGGCAAGCTCGGGGAGGGGAGGGTCGTCTGGCACGGCATGGCAGGGGGTGTGGTGTACACCCACGTGGGGAAGGAGGAGGAAGGGGACGACGTACTTATTCGACTTGTAGTGGACATGCTGGAGGTTGTGCAAGACACGCCCCACGAAGGAGGGTCGAACAGGGGAGGCGACGGAACGTGTTGGGCGTTGTAGGAGCGCAACCGGTCCGCACAGGACTGCAGTGGGCAGGACTGGGGCTGACTGGGGCACGCACGGACTGGGCCAGACTGGGCCGACTGCGACAGACTGCGACTTACTGCGACTGGGCACGGCACCTCGGCTCGCGGTAAATACTCCGATCCGAAGGCCAACACTTGAACAGTGATCGGAGCCGTGCTTTCACGGACAATTTTTGCGACACTTTTTTTTTGCTGAAGAAATCAAGTCTCGGATCGGAGCTACTGAGAAGATACATTCTGAGTGGGGTCGTTGCCACTGCTAGCTCGTATCAGCGCCGAGCCGAGTCGGCGCTGCAGCTGGCTTCATGAGCCGACCCCGAGGTCCGAGCGTTCCCATCGGCGGCGGCCATCCTCATCCTCGTTTCTCTCCGCTCCCGCTCCCTCTTCCCCCGCAACGGGTGAGCATCGATCACCTCCTCGCTACCCTCAACGACCATGCAACTCTCCGCATCCACCTCCTCCCCCCTCCCCTCCCTCCCCCATCCCTATCGCCACGAAGCCTCGACCTCGACCACTCGTCATCCCAACGACGTAACCCACCCCGATTCCGATCTGCAAGTCCTCTCGACGCGAGGCGCGGGCAACACGGCTCGTTCATTACTGAAGCAAGATATCCTCTCCGTACGTCCTCGCCTCCCACACATGACCCTTTCAGCAAGATACTCCCCCCCCCCTCTTCGACGGACCGTAATCCTCCCACCTAGCCGTGTCTGTCACTTAACGACCTCCCTTAATACCCCCTCTCCTCACAGGAAGAAGAATACATCACCCATCTCTCGCACATCATCAAACGTGACTTCTTCCCCTCCCTCGCCAACTTGGACGCACAACATGAGATCCTCGACGCGTTCGAAAGCGAGGATCCCAAACAAGTCGAAGAGAGTATCAGGAGGATGAGGATCTTGTGGACGCCTACACCGGGTAGTACGAGGGGTGGCGGTGGGAAGCGGGACAAGAAGAAGAGCGGTGGGTGACGATCATTCATGCCGGATGCTCTCCGTCCGTGGCGGGTGCTGATGCGCGAGCAGAACGGGGGACCCCACAGCTGGCTCAGTGACCCCTCTGACCTGGACAACTCCAACTCCTTACGACGACTCGACCCCGACCTACTTTGGTCAAACCCCCCTCCCTACCACCCCTTCCTCAACCACCCGACGCCGCGCTTCCCCACCCCAGCCACCCCGTATCGACCCCGGCATCAGTCTCGACTCGTTCCAATCGCGCTACACATCCGAAGACAACTCCTCTTTCGCCGTACTGTTGGCCAGGGACAATGCCGCTCGGAAACGGAAATACGCTTGGGCATGGGAAGCGGAGAAGAAGGCCAAAGTGTTGGCCATTCGAGGCAGGGAAGCGAGGCAAAGGTTGGTCGATGTCACGCGGGATTTGATCGAGGGGAGTGAGGATGGGAGTGTGAGGATGTTGGATGGTGGAGCGGGCAGACCGGGGGAGAGGAAATTGATCGTGGGCAAAGGGACGACGATCGGTAGGGATGATCGGTTGATGATCGCTTCTTCGGGATCGGGGGGTGCGACTTCTTCGAATCACGCCCTGCTGATCCAAGATACGCCCGAATCCCGACCGCGCGTAGGCGAACTCGAACTGATCAAGCGAGGATCCCACAAACTCGCTCCTCAAGGCCCCGACCCAAAAGACCAAGGTCTTCAATACGTCGATTACGACTCGACCACCGTCGAAGAAGACGAATCGAATCGAGCACCTACGATCGATCAAGTCCAACCTAGGATGGAGTCGTGGGACTTCAGGAACCGTAATTCGTTCATGTTCCCTCCCGATGCGAATACGGACGCACCTTCCCACCCGAGTTTGGCCAACGGCGACAAGGGAAAGGGAAGGCTGATCAAGGCGGGGGAGGAGAAGGCCGTTAATTACGGGGCTACAAGGCTGACGACCTTCGAGAGGACTCGGCTGGGGGAAGGTGGAGAGGATGATGCGATGACGGCAAGCTCGGGTCCTTCGAGGAGTAGGATCGGCGCGGCGATCGCTGGAACACCTTGTACGTCCTCGGGTAACTCCTTCATCACCGTCGTAGATCACAACACTGAACAGAAAATCTACCTGACCGCAGACCACACCAACCCAAGTCGCACCCCCAAAGTATCCGGTTTCTCCTTCGTAGACGCCCTCCCTTCCCCACAAGCCGCGACGCTCCCTCCTCAGGCATTACAAGAACTTATGACCTGGGGAACGATCGAAGCAACGCCCGTCACACTTCGATCTTCAACTGAATATGATGGCTCGGTGGGACCTTTTAGGATTCAGGAAGGTTCGAGGAGGGAGGGTTTGGCGCATCGTATGGCGACGCAGGCGAAGAGGAGTTTGTCGGACCGGGTGGACGCCGTTTCGAATGGGAGGAGAAAACGACCAGGGGGTCTGGGGTCCCTGCGTGGTGTTAGGGGAGGGTCGATTCTCTCCCCTTCTGGTTCCTCCTCCTCTACGAGTAGGACGCAAGTACCCCATACCCCGCGATCAAACTCGACCCTGTCGCTCTCCCCCGCCGCCGCATCCATCCTCCACCGAACGAAACAAGGTCGTTCGTTGGGCAAAGGCATGACGAGGACCATGTCCCCTTTACATCCAACCACCTCTTCCTCCTCGTCAAGAAAGGGGAATTCAACAATGGATCGTTTGATGTTGAAGCGTTTGAAGGCGAAGGTTGAAGCGAGGGAGAAGGAGAGTAAAAGGAGGTTGGAGAGGGAACGGTGGAGTGCGAGTCCGGCGCCTGTTCCGGGACCGGCACCGGCACCCGGTGGAGAGGAGGGGCAAGAAGGTCACTGAGGTTACTTGCGTACTTAAGCTTGGCTAGCGATGCAGTGATGAAGCATAGCAACGTGTATGATGACATCAAGTAAAGATAGCTTTACGAACAGACAGGGAAAGGGCGATAACGATACACATCACAAGTGGAGGAGAATACAAGTATATCAACAGAGCGTCGTTACGAGAGCAAGCGAGCCTGTGTCAAGCATACGATAAAAATAGAGAAGGGGGGGTCCTTACGTAAGTCCCCGGCTTGGTTCTGGGACGATGATGATGCACAGAATAAGGGACAAAGCGGATGGAGTATAATAGATAATCGATGGCCGATGGCATCGTCGCTGGCGAATTAGAAGTAGTCGACGCCTTGTTCGAAAAGCCAGCTTTTCAGCAATTCCCTCGTATGAACGGGGTATCTAGAGTCCACGGAAGACAATCAACCAATTTCAATTTCCACGCAGTAAGAGTCTTTACCCCGCTTTGAACTCACTTTGGCAGCCCTTCATACCGAACCTTCACACCCCTTTCTTTCGCCTGTGCGACCTGCCTCCTCACTTCCTCCATCTGTTCCTCGTCCAACGTCTCCCTATTCCAGCCCCCCACAGCCCTCCCCAAATCCCCTCCCGCAACAGGACTCAACACCTTCTCCACCCGATCCAATTCACGCGAACAGATATCAGCTTCGACGAAGAGGAAGCGCGTTGATTCCGAGGACCCTTCGGCTTCGAGCAAGAGTTGACTCCTCGACGCTTCACCCGTGATCAGCGCCGTGATGGGTGCCTGAGTGAAGAGTTGTGATCGAGGACAATAGGTCGTCAATAATCCCGCATCAAGCAGAGGCGACAAGGCATGTCGAATGAATTGGATCGTCATCGCAGGATCGGTTTGGATGTCGAGCAAGAGCAGGAAAGGGTGTGAGGGTGAACGGGCGGTCAGGTAAGCAGCGCTGCTGGACGAGTTAAGCGAGCTGTTCGATAAACGGCGGCGGTGTAAAAAGAAGGTGCCGCTCGAAACGGCGGGGCTGTCGTTGGATGCTGAGGAGACCTCGTTGAATTCCTTTGGCTCGTCGCGGAAGACGGTGACGAGGGGGTCTGTGAGTAGAGTATTTGACGGCGCCAACTGGATTAGCAATTCGTCGTCGCCAGCTCATGACCGCAAAAATACTAGAACACCCACCAATGTATGTCGAGGAGAGGGTAGTTTCGGTCGAGGATTGTGCTCCGCCCTTGACCTGCCATAGTTTCGGAGGGTCAGTGTCACGCATCGGGAGAAATAGGCCCGAGCGCATTGGTAACAAGCGCACCAGCAACTGTACATCGGCAAGCGCGACAGGTACAACGACAAACGTGTTGCCATCTCGTAACAATGACCTGAGATTTGATTCGTGCTCGAGTTCTTAGTATGAGAGTGGAGGATGTCAGCATCGCCCATCACATCAAGGATGTCAGCATCGCCCATCACATCATTCGGATCGGTTCTCAGCCCCCACATGGGCCCGTGTGAAAGTGGGGGAGCCACTTGGGACGATAAACTCACCAGTCGTGTAGAGCTTGAGCGAGCCGAACCCCAAACCAGCCGAGCGACTCGACCTCCTCGCTACATCTGGCATCGTTAGTTCGGGAACACCTCTGACGTCCTCGCTCGAGGTGGAGAAGAGCGAGCCCCGACTGGCCCTCCTCGACTGGGTCCTGGACGATGAGGCAGGAGGTGGCACCGGAGGAGCCTGCGTGTCGTGCGCGTCGTCCTCGGTTCGCTCGGCCTCTTCTTCAATAATCTCGTCGAGGAAAGAGCCACCGTCGGGCGTCGGGTACGAAGAGTTCGTGGGTCGCGTGGGTGAGCTGTTGCCAGCCCCGAATGAGACATTGGCACCGCCGACGATGTTCATCGCCCCTGACTCAGCTGCTCCTCCGTCCCACACGGCGGGAGGAGCGAGCGAATTGCCGCCGGCCGAGCTGGGAACCCACGCGCTTATCGAACCCGATGACGGTGAGACCGACGCCGACGAAGGGCTGAGGGGTGGAGATAGATGATGCAAAGGCCGATGGGGCGAGGCATCGGGTGAAGGATAGTGCTGCTGGTGGACGTGGGCGTGGTCTTGCACGACTTGCTTCTGCGCCTGCACGGCTTCGTGTCCGACCGATCGAGCCAGCGATCGAATTCGCTCGGCGAGGGCATCCGGGGTAGCCTGCGGGGGCCGACTAGCGCCGCCGAGCTGATCACCAGCAGTCATAGCGGAGGCTTTGAGAGAGGGGATCGTCAACATGTCGCATAGGGTGAGGTCAGGTCTAGGTGCTAGTCGTGGATCGTCTTGCATGGGCAAAGTGACGTGGATGGTTGCACGGGCGCAACTTGGATGCGGTGGAAGCCAAGGCGCGACTCGTTCCCGTAGAGCCTTCCTTCCTTCCCATCGCGAGGCCCGCTCGTCATTCGAGAAAGTTGAGGAGCCTTTATCAGGTCGAACATCACTTTCGCTCGCCATTGCAACGGCCATAATGCTAGAGGTCGGCTGCATCTCTTCACGTGAAGCAAAGACACTCAAGGTCATGCTGTTTTTTAGAGAGTCATACACGTCGGTTGTGCATGGACTCCCGCTTAAATACCCGAGAAGTTGCTGAGAGTCGAAGCCAAAAAAGTACACCGAGCCCTTCAAGAGCGGCGTCATGTGACATCATCCTACGAAGTACGCGTAGTTCGAAGCGATCATGATTCCTACTGTGCACCACATACATAACGTTTCTCTTTTTGTGTATGATCTGCACCTGTCACCTCCGGACAATTACCACGATTCACGGACCGACGATGGCGACGGGTGGCAGAGAGAGTCCCGACTCAGTCCGGTAACCCATTCGGCGCGCCTCAGCTGTTTGAGCGTGAGACATCTCATCATGGTCACGTGCCGAGTCGTCAACTTCCTCTACAGTCCGCATGGACATTCACTGATCGAAAACAAAGTGCACTCTGTGTCGTGTAGAAGGTATCGTACCGTGGTTCATGGTGTGGTTACCCACCTAAGGCTTGAAGGAAGGGGTAGGTATAGGTAAGACCTGATGCAAATCGATGCGCTGGGTCGGGCACCGGCCATGCACGCCGGAGCACGACCGCACGGAGCGGAACACCCTCGCACCCGAGTTCGGCAGCGACCGATGGATGGAAGCCCTCCGCTCAGCGCTGCCCCGGCCTCCGCAGTCCGCTCGTCGGAGTCATCGCTGTAGGGTCTGCGCGATCACTGGGGGGTTTAACGTAAGTTAAGTCAGTCTGAGAACCGACTCTTTACAAATTAAGGTAGGGAGGCACGCCAGATGGGTTGAACGTGTCAATCGTGTGAATTGAGACCACGACACGGCGCGGATCCGAACCCTCCCTTGTAGGACGAGACAGACCCCTCTGGTTTTGCTGCTATTTTTGAGCCGAACTTTGGTGAGGACCTGCTGCCGGCGCTTGATTGGATCAAAAGAGCCCCACGGCGGATGCTTGCAACAATTGTCGATGATTGATGGGCTCATGCTTTGTGGTGCTTGCTCAGCGCGAGCTAAAGCTAATTCGGTGATTCGGAAGCGCGGCCGTCCACTCGGAATCGAGGTTGATTCGAGGCCACCTCGCGCACCCTGCTAGCCTGCAGCCTGCCAGGGCAGGCCTCACACTCCGCTAGTCAGCGCTTGTCCCTCTCATGGTAGAGTTCCACGCCCGCAGTGACTCGACAACTTCGACGACAAGCTCTAACACCGCAGCACCCCTTCCGAGCCACAGCGTTCTGCTTCCCTCCTCTCTCACCTCGTCCCGTCCTTCGTATTAGGTGACTATCAGCCTACCTGCATCGCCTGACGAGCCTAGCCCCGTATTCAAAACCCACCACGTGTCTCTAGACTCTCGGCGACGGTGACCGGATTTGTACGTCAACCTGGCTCACGTTGTCTCAACTCTGCGCCGAGCGCCAGCCGCGTGCCGTCGCGATCGGCCGGCCGGCGGCGGCGGAGACCTGCGGAGACTCGACCCCGTCTACCCGGTCGACCTTTGCTGACCACGCGCTCCGTTTGGCCTTTCTCACACTTCCCTCGGTTCCTTAAGTCACAGCACTCAGACCGCCAACAACCGTGGTCATGGTCGCGAACGTGCCGTCCCCATCATCCTCGATCACACGGGGTGACACAGGCTCCAAGGAGGACGTGGAGAAGCACTCGGAAGAGGGCAACCACCAAGACGATCTCGCCCACAAGCCGACGTTCGGAGATCTCGAGAAGCAACAGACGAATGCTACGCAGGCCTCCGCGATCCTGAAGGAGAAGCCCAAGCTGCAAAGGGACAAGCTTAAGTTGTAGGTCCTTTCTCTCCTCCCACGCTTCATCGTCATATTAGGGGACATTCGATCTCATTGCATTTACTGACATGCCATGTACACCTTATACCTTCGTCGCGCGCGCCTCCACCCTCGGGCTTGTTCTCGCTTCGTCATTCCTCGATCCTCGATGCCCTTGCCCGATCCCCGCCGCGAAATTCAATTTGCAGTATCCCCTTTCTCGGACGTGTACAACCACGTGATCCTTACCCCTCGCTCGACGACGCCGCGGACTGGCCCAAGCCGTCGTTGCTCTCGATATGGACGTTCCACTGGATCCAACCTTTGCTCATTGTCGGCTACCAGCGCACGCTCGTCGCGACGGACCTGTGGAAGCTGCCTCCGTCGATGGAGTGCGGTCCCCTCGCGGACCAGCTGATGGAGCACTTTGAGCGCCGCCGCAAAGAGGTCGAGGCGTGGAACCAATCGCTTGATGACGGGTCCTTCAAGCCGTCGATCCTGCGTCGTGGGTGGTGGAAGATGCGAGCCTCGATTGGCCTCGGCGCAGCGGATGGACGACGGAAGCCGGGCCTGGCCCTGGCGTTGAGCGACACGTTCAAGTATCAGTTCTGGAGTGCCGGTGTGATCAAGGTCGTCGCTGACACCGCTCAAGTGACTTCGCCACTCGTCACCAAGGCTCTTATTCAATTCAGTACCAAGGCCTACAATCATGCCAAGGGCGTTCCCGGCTATGAGCCGCAGTCGGTCGGCTATGGAGTGGCGCTCGCCATCATCGTCTGGCTTATGCAAGTTATTGCATCGCTCGGGTCCCACCAATTCTTCGCGCGCAGTGCCAGTACCGGTGTCCTGGCTCGCAGTACCCTCATCGCGTCGATCTACCGCCGGTCAACGACCTTGTCGGGCAAGGCGAGGACGGTCATGACCAATGGACGTCTCGTCAACCACGTCGGCACGGATGTGTCGAGGATCGATTTCGCCGCTGGCTTCTTCCACATGTCTTGGACGGCACCAATTCAGATGATCATCATCGTCGTCATTCTTCTCGTCAACCTCGGCCCCAGTTCGCTCGCAGGCATCTTTTTCCTCTTCTTGTCGATCCCGCCTCAGGGTTGGGCCATGAAGAAGATGTTGGCGGCCCGCAAGCGTGCCATGGTCTGGACCGACAAGCGCGCCAAACTGATTCAGGAGCTCTTGGGCGGCCAACGCATCATCAAGTTCTTCAGTTGGCAACAGCCTTACCTTCGCAAATTGCGCGAAATCCGTGAATCCGAAATGTTCCACGTCCGCAACCTGCTCGCCATCCGCTCCGCGACTTCGGCCGTGGCGATGTCGATGCCAGCCATCGCGACCGTCGTCGCCTTCCTCGTCTACTCCGGCACGGGCCACTCGCAGAACTCGGCCATCATCTTCACCTCGCTGACCTTGTTCAACTTGTTGCGCATGCCGTTGATGATGCTGCCCGTCTCGCTCGCGACCATGACCGACGCACACAACGCCTTGGGTCGGATCACCGAAGTATTCCTTGCCGAATCTCGCTCGGGCACGTACCAATTCGACGCCGCCTCCGAATTTGCAATTCAGGTCGATGACGCTGATTTCCAATGGGAAGGCGCCCCACCCGAGGAAGCAACCGCCGGTTCGAAGAAGGAGCAGCAAGCCTTGGTGCACAAGCTCAAGCAGGAGCAGAAGAAGGCGAAGCACGACAAGAAGGGCGAAAAGAAGAAGCTCCCTGCACCGGAGCAAGTCATCGTCGACGAGAAGAAACCCGGTGTTGCACTCGACCTTGCCGACAAAACTCCTGCCGACGGTGCCGACGCTGTCGACACGGACGTCTCGAGGGGGGTGCCTGCACCTGCTGAACCAACCCCTGACGAGTCGCAAGGCGAGTCGCCGGCCGATAAGGAAAAGGACCTTATGCAGCTTAGCCACATCAGCCTTCGCATCCCCAAGGGTCAATTGTGCGCGATCGTCGGCCCCGTCGGAGCCGGCAAGAGTTCGCTATTGCAGGCCTTGGTCGGCGAGATGAAGCGCACTCGGGGCTCGGTCACCTTCAACGGCTCGCTCGCGTACGCACCGCAGGTCGCCTGGATGCAGAGCGTGTCGTTGCGCGACAACGTGCTCTTCGGTCAGCCCTACGACCAGGCCCGTTACGAACGCGCGATCACGAACGCGTGCCTCGACGCCGATATCGAAATGCTGCCCTTTGGTGACGCGACCGAGATCGGCGAGAAGGGTGTGACGCTTTCGGGTGGGCAGAAGCAGCGCGTCAACATTGCGCGTGCGCTCTACTATGACGCGGACATTGTGCTGCTCGACGACCCGCTCTCGGCCGTCGATGCTCACGTCGGCAAGGCTCTGTTCGACGATGCGATCTGCGGTGCGCTGAAGGACCGCACGCGCGTGCTCGTGACTCACGCCGTGCACTTCTTGCCTCGCGTTGACTGGATCGTCACGATCGACCAGGGCCGGATCCAGCAGGAGGGCACGTACGCGGATCTGATCGCGGACAAGGATGGGCCCTTTTCTAAGATGATCGCCGAGTTTGGCGGCGACGCGACCGAGAAGCGCGAGGAGGAGGAGGAAGTTGAAGAGGATGCGATCGAGGCCGCCGGGGACGAGCTCGTGGACGCGCCGAAGAAGAGCAAGAAAAAGGGCAAAGGGCTGATGCAAGAGGAGGAGCGTGCGACGGGAGCAGTCGACGGCGGGGTCTATATGGCCTTCCTGCGTGCGGCCAAGGGCCACGTTACGGTGCCGTTGCTCATCCTCAGTCTGGCGCTCGCCCAAGGCGCGCAAGTGCTCGGCTCCTATTGGCTCGTGTGGTGGCAGGAAAAGTGTGTACTTCTGCTTTCTTCTTTTGAAACGCCGTCCGGGCTGTTCCGAAAAGCTGCTCTTGCTGATATGCTTTGGCTTCGTTCATCAGTCACTTCCACACCCAGAATGGCTTCTACATGGGCATCTACGCCCTCCTCGGGATACTGCAAGCCGTCTTCTCTTTCCTCATGGGTTTGGCCTCCGTCTTCATCGGCTACAACGCATCTCGATCGCTTCATCGTGGTGCGATTCAAGGTGTCATGCACGCACCGATGTCCTTCTTCGATACCACCCCTCTTGGGCGCATCATGAACAGGTTTTCCAAGGACATTGACACCATCGACAACACGCTAAACGACTCTATGCGCATGGCTCTTAACACGTTTGGTTCCGTCCTCGGCGCCATCATTCTGATCTCGATTGTCCAGCCCTACTTCCTGATCGTAGTCACCTTCATCTTGTGCTGCTACTTCTACGCTGCCAGCTTCTACCGCACTTCTGCGCGTGAGATCAAGCGATTGGGTAAGTGCATCACGCGACTCGGTATTCACCGATGGCATGCTGATCTTCCTCGTTTGAGGTCCTCAGACAACTTGCTTCGCTCCTCCCTGTACGCTCACTTTAGTGAAACTCTGTCCGGCTTGGCCACCATCCGCGCTTTTGGAGAAACGGACAATGTCAGCATTAGTCCTACAGTCGCCTGTCCTGGGAGTTTGAGAGACTGATTCGGCATCACTGTCCCCACACAGTTCTTGAAACGCAACGAAGAATACATCGACATCGAGAATCGCGCCTACGCCCTCACCGTCATCAACCAGCGATGGCTCGGATTCCGTCTCGATATGTTCGGTGGTCTCCTTGTGTTCATCGTCGCGATCTTTGGTGTCGCCACGAGGACCAAAGTGTCACCCGCACAGACCGGTTTGATTCTGTCGTACATCCTCTCGATCCAAGCTGCGTTCTCTTGGATGGTTCGTCAACTCGCCGAAGTTGGTATGTACAGGCCTAATGCTTCGGTTCCCCGCTTTCTAGTAGTCGGTTGTCTGACGTTGGGATGCAACTGTCGACACAGAGAACGATATGAACTCGGTCGAGCGTATTCTGCACTACGCCAACAACCTCGAGCAAGAGGCGCCGTCCGACATCGAGGAGACGCGCCCGGACCCGAGTTGGCCTGCGCACGGCGCGATCGAGTTCGAGAACGTCTTCATGTCGTACCGCCCGGAGCTACCGCCGGTCCTCAAGGGGCTCAGTCTCCGTATCGAGGGCGGGCAGAAGATTGGTGTCGTCGGCAGGACCGGTGCGGGCAAATCGACGATTCTGCAGTGCCTGTTCCGCATGGTCGAGCTGCAGTCGGGCAAGATTTCGATCGACGGCATCGACATTTCGAAGCTCGGGTTGAACCAACTACGCGAGAAGATTGCGATCATCCCGCAGGATGCGCTTCTGTTCAGTGGAACGCTTCGGTCGAACCTCGACCCGTTCAACGTTTACGAGGACAGTGTGCTGTGGGACGCGATGAGGCGAGCGTACCTCGTCGACCAGGTCCCCGCCGGCGAAGTCGCCTCGGCCACGGCCACCACCACAACCGCCACCGCCACCGCCACCGCCACCGCAGCAACGGGAGACGAGACCGCGGTGACGGCAGCGACGACGGCGACGAGCCGATTCACGCTCGACATGGTCATCGAAGACGAAGGGCTCAATTTGTCCGTCGGCCAACGTAGTCTAGTCTCGCTCGCGCGCGCGCTCGTCAAGGACAGCCGGGTGATCGTGCTCGACGAAGCGACGGCCTCGGTCGATCTCGCGACCGACAGCCACATCCAGCAGACGATCCGCAGCGAATTCAACGACAAGACGCTGTTGATCATTGCACACCGACTGCGTACCATCATTGACTGCGATCGCGTGCTCGTCATGTCCGAAGGCCAGGTCGCCGAGTACGACACGCCGATCAACCTGTTCCGCAACAAGGACGGCATCTTCTCTTCGATGTGCAGCCGCAGCAACATCAGCGAGGCCGACATCCTGCGCAAGGCCGCCTTTTAAGGCAACCGGTTAGCCAATGACTTCAACGATATAAATGGAGGACGTGGCATGGTAGACGCGTCGCAGTGATTCACGATTGGGGCTCGAACGAAATTCTGGGCTTGGAGCACATGAGCCGGAAAAACACGTAGATCTACCCTTGCTGTATTGGTGAAACTATCACATGTATATTTGCCGTTCTTACCCTTTGGCAGGTAGTCTGTGCGTTGGCGTCTCTAAAAAGGCCTTACAGTCAGCATCATGCCTCTTTGATTGACGCCGTCTACACAAACTACAGCGAAGAGTAATTTGCACCGAATCTTGACTTGTCTGCTCCCAAAATTGTAGCCAAATGTACGCTTCCGCGGATGAATGAGTTGAGCGTGACTCGACCGTGGATTACGTACTAAGCCCGTGACGCCGATTCGCTACTCCGCACCAGGTAGAGCGCTTTGATGGGGCGACCCCGAAGCACTTGAGACTCAGTGCAATTGTTGGATCGATACCGTGAGTACCTTTCCCCACTTGACTCATTCCTGGGCACAGCGCAGTTTTGGTTTCGTTTGCCTACCCCTGTCCCCTTGACTGAGACTGACTCCGGCCATCGATCCCCTATCTCTGCAGATGCAAAGTCTCGTTTTGCCCCACCGTATCAAACGGTGTCGCCGTATGCACCACCAACTCGTCTGACTTCAACTGCAACACTGGCTACAACAAGGTCAGAAGCACCTGCGTCCCCAAGCCCCTCCATATGACCCCGGGCCGTACAAATGCCTTTCGCACCCCAACGGTAACGGCACGCCGTGCAACAGCTCAAGAAAGTGCAACAACACCTGCAACACTGGCTACAAAAAAGTCAACGGTGCTTGCCTTCCCAACACCCTTGTCTGCGACGTGACCAAGTGCCCGAGCAGCAAGGGTACCCCGATCTGCACCTCCGAGTCCGCTGGCACTGAGTGCGACATCACCTGCGACACCGGCTACAACAAGGTCAGCGGCGCCTGCCTCCCCAAGAGCCCTGTCTGCGTCGCATCTAAGTGGCCCTCTGCCCCGACGGCAACGGCGCTCCGATATGCAACACCTCCGGCCAATGCGAGTGCAAGTCGGGCTTCAAGAGCGTCTCGGGCCAATGCGTCCCAAATTCGTGAGATTCTCGCTGCCATCTCCTCTGCTTTCTTATCGGGATACTGACGCTGGTTCTTCCCTTCGTTTCTCTACGCAAAGAAGTCGATCGCTTTCTATGACAACTTCCGGACCACCAAGAACGGCGAGCCCACGGTCACCGTTGCTTCCATCGATGCATGCGCCGCGTATTGCTTGGCCAGCAGGGGCTGCGTGTTAGGTAGACATTGAAATTTCAGCCGACGATCAGCCGGATATCAGCGGGTACGGTCGAGAGTAGGCCCCGGGGCGGACAGGGTACTACAGGTGGTGTAGGGCCTTTATGGGCGTCTCTGCCGGCTCTACCATGCTCTACCAGCTTCAAAAAGTATGCATACGGCAAGGGAAGACGATACATGCAGATTAGCGGAAGCTGTAGCAATTTCATTTTTTTCAGGGCGTACCGCACATTTGTTGGCGGAGAGTACGCCCCAATCGGCCTTCGCTCCGCCTAATGGGGCGTACTTGGTCCGAGGCCGGTACGCCTGGGGCCTACGTGAATTGGCACACGTACGCCCCAAAACTTTAGATCGCATTTGTGGCTGCTACAGCGCATTGTATACGCTCTGACAGTCACCAGTTCGGTCTAAAGGCACGGCTGCACAACCCTCTAGCAGATGAAGAGATACAAGTCGATGGTCATAAAGTCGAAGCTGTGACCACCGCGCAAAGACTCCGAGTGAGGCCGGCCTCAGGTACGAACGTTGATATGTATGCTGTAGCAATCGCAAGCCCCCTCAGTACATCGATTACAGCGCAAAAAGATATATGGTACATGAAACGATACGGGGGCCGAATCACACGACTGCTGTGGTTCTACAGGACACTGTATGCCCACCCACTGCAGTGGCTTCCTCTGGTTCAGATTGGATGATCTGCGCCAAGGGCAATGCAAGTAAGTAGCACTTCTGCAATATGGAGGAGTAGAGATGTCTCACAGGGCCATCCTCATCGCTATCATTATCGGCGTACCGTTCCGCCGCTAGCTTCTTCGCACTGGATAATGAGGCGGCTATGTTCAATGTGCAAGAAAGAGCTTGGGAGAAGGATCAGCCTGATATTTTTTTTCTGCGCAAACCGGTTTTTGGTCACTTGCCTACGTTCAGATGCTTGATAGTCTTTTTGGTGTCTTTGATAAATGTCTTCGCCAGACTAGTATTTGTGCCCCAAGCCTTCTTGAGTATTGCCTCAGTGGGAACCTGCAACTGATGAAGAGTGACAAGTAGGCAATGCCGGTCAGCCAAGCCAGCACACTCTGCCATGCCATTCAGGATACTGACTCACACTCAATTAAATCTCCCGATTCTTGCTTCCTTCCAATTGTTTCGCATTTCTGAAAGACCATGCCAGTTTGTTACCCGGGACCAGCTGGAGATTGACGCCTTCTGGACATGAAACTTCAGCCAGTGCCCGCGCTCCGAGCCCATCCCGATGAACTCCATAGTCATGGACCTTAACTAGCCTCCAAGCCTCACTGATGTAAGCCCATGCTCATGAACGAGCAAGCGAAATACTGTAGTAAAAAATCGTATTAATCCTGGAACACAGGGAGTTCCACAATGCGGCATACATTGAGGCCACTTACGTTCCAGAGAGCTTCTTGAATTCGTCTGCGCGCAGATCCTTCGTTGACACCACATTCACACATATGATGCATCTTGTCGTTCTTTGCTCCTCTTTGGAGATCTCGGCATGTAACTTATGTAAGTACAATCCGCATAAGTTACAGCGGATGAGGTCCTGAGTGAAGGCGATCGGCGTTCCACACAGCCGTCCCGCGGCACAAGTTGGGCATCTGAGCTTGACCATGACAGGATTGTGCGCCCGATACTCGTCCTCGAACAGCGAATGCCCTGGGTGCAAGCCGATAGCCTGTACACAAAGAGAGGATGTTCAGAGAACCGATGGCCGTGACACCACCATCGTGGCAGCCAATGCGCCATCGCGTCCACGAACGTACCTTTTCCAGAATCCTTAACTTGTCAACTTGGTACTTGCGGGCGGAGCCCGCTACCCTGAATTTTTTGAACGTCTGGCGGCCCGCCTGTGCTCCCTCCTCCACGACGCCCAACTCCAGACCCATGACCTCGTAGCGCTGACGCGCCATAGCCACGGTCGGTAGTAAGGGTCCCTCAGCGTTCACATCGGGGTTTCGCCTGCGCGCGCCGTACGTTTGCGCAGCAGATGGCTCGAGGTCGGTACTCATCAATTCCAGCGAGATCGTCCATCGCCTTGTCAGAAAGGCATTGAATGATCGCAGCGCATTCCGGTTTCTTTTGTACACCCACCAGCTATAAGAAGCCGTGGCGGGCAAATCTGGGACCAGCTCGGTGGCGAGATGCGCAATTTTTCATGGAACTGAGGCCGAGGCACGAAGTGCGTAAGTACGAGAGCCGATGAAGATAGTAAAGATAGTTGGAGAAAGAAGATAAGCGCTAAGGGAGCGCGCGCAAGGCAGGCTCGAGACGCGCGGGGCGACTAATATCAACAACTAGTAACTAATCATAATCGGGAATACCAGTGGGATGAAACAGCAATATATTGACACCCCCCCGTGCTGTCATACCACTGCACCTCGCAAACCCAAATTCTCCCGATGGAAGATGAACGGCTTGGGACCCAAGGCTTTGGTGAAAATATCGGCAAACATGTCGCCGGTGGCGATGTAGCGGACCTCGATCTCCTTCTCAGCTACCCTCTCGCGGACGTAATGTTCCGAGATGCGAACATGACGAGACCCCTGATGGTTGGTCGGGTGCTGCGCAAGAGCCAGCGAACCTTGGTTGTCCCCGTAGAGTACGACTGGACCGGAGACCGGAGCGCCAAGTTCAGCCAGGAGTTCGCTCAGGTGGATGGCATCACCGCTTGTGTATGAAAGAGAGAGGTACTCTGCGTCGGTAGTGGACTTGGCCACCCTGTGCTCGCGTTTGGAGCACCAAGCAATAGCGGCTCCGGACAAGATGAACGCGTAGCCCATGGTCGATCGTGAGGTCGTTAGACAGGCTCCCCAGTTCGCATCCGAGTAGCCATGGAGTGGTTGGCTGGTCTTGCGATAGGTGAGGCCCAAGTCCAGCGTGCCTTTGATGTAACGGAGGACCTGCTTGAAGGCTGTCCAATGCTCCGGGCCGGGCTGCTGGGAGAAGCGAGCGAGGTAGCTGACCACGAAGGCGAGGTCCGGACGAGTTCCAACTGCGGCGTACATCAACGAACCGATGGCCTGCAAGTAACGCGTACGATCCTGAGGAGTGGCCGCCAAGTCCTCGAAGTCAAGGACGACACCTGGCTGCATTGGAATACTTGCCGGCTTGGCATCGGTGAATTGGAACCTGGCAAGGATGTCCCGAAGGTAGCGCTCTTGTGAGAGCGTGATAGAGCCGTCTTGTCCACGTTTGACTTGGATGCCTAGAATATATTCGGCAGGTCCGAGACGTTTGATGCCGTATGCGAGTTCCAGCGCGTCCAGCACCCGCTCGATTTCGGCGGTAGAGGGACCAACCAAAAGCAAGTCGTCGACGTACAAGGCAATATAGTGCGAGTGCCCGTCGTGTTCGCGGCGGTAGATACAGATGTCAGACCTGGTGGGGACGTATCCGAGGGACCGCAGAGTCGAGTCGATCTCAGCGTTCCAGATGGTGCCGGCCTGGCGAAGGCCGTAGATGGATTTGGACAGCTTGAGGATCTTGCCTGGTAGGTTTATGCCCTGAGGGACGCGCATGTAGAGAGGCTTGTCAAGTTTGCCGTGTAAATACGCCTTGTTGACGTCGGCCTGATGGACGTGATAGCCGTTGGCCGCGGCGAGTGCGATGAGGGCTCGAATGGACGTGAATTTGACGACAGGGGCGTAGGTCTTCTCGAAGTCAAGGCCAAGGTGTTGGGCACATCCGTGAGCGACAAGTCGGGCCTTGTGGTCGGTGATGTCGCCATGCTGGTTGCGTTTAGTCCGGAACACCCAGCCCGACCGCAGGAGGATCTCACCCGCTGGGAGCTCACAGGATTCGACGATTTGGAAGACCTCGTAATCGTTCAGAAGGGAATCGAATTCATCCTGTGCCGGAGCGCCCCAAACGTCCTCTTGTCCCGATCGGATGACGTCGCCCCAATTTGCCGGATCGCGAACAACCGACAAGTCATGATCTGCGAAGCCGGCCTTGGTGGATGCGAAGGCAAGGAGCAGGCTCTTGAAAGAGGCGGTGGGTCCGTCGGGGCCGTCGACTAGCTGTTCCCGCGTGATCATGGTGGGAACGGGTTGGCGGCGAGTCCGGGGGCCATCAATGATGTTTCGAGCGTCGACTTCACCGTACTTCCCTGGATTGGGACCAACCTTGACGACGTCGCCGTACTCCCAAGTCGGCTTGACTTTGGCGAGTGGAGCTGGATCCGGAGGTGGTTGCGGCAGGTTCACGGCTGACTCCGTCGTTGCGCTCGTGGTCGATGAGGCGTCGTCGTTGTCGGCCGAGCTGGTCGATGCGGGCGACGCGGGTGCCTCGACAGGTGTTGGGGCCGGTGGCCGTGGGGGAGGCTCGACGGGTGGGGGCTGGGGGGGCATAACCCGGGATGGACGGCTGCGTCACTCGGGTGGACGCGATAGCGAAGGGGAACTCGGTTTCTACGAACATCACATTGCGGCCCAGACTCACACGCATGGAGGAAGGATCAAGAAGACGGTAGGCTTTCGCGTGTCGATCATACCCGACGAAGACCAGAGGAATCCCTTTTGGGTCGAGCTTGTCCCGTCGGTGAGCCGGCACGGTGGTCCAAGCGCGACAACCGAATGCCCGAAGACCCCCTACGCCTGGTGTGTGGCCCGACCAACGACTGTTTGGGATGGCTCCACCAAGGGCCGCGTGAGGCGAGAGGTTCTTGGCGTGAATGTAACACATGGCAGCCTCGTCCCAGCACGATCGTGGGAGTCCCGAGTGAGACAGTAGAGCCAGGGTGCCCTCGACGATTGACCGGTTGGCTCGCTCAGCCCGACCGTTTTGCTCGGGTGTGTACGGTATGGTCAATTCGCGACGAATTCCGCGGGCCACGCAATAGCCGTTGAAAGCGGTAGAGACATACTCGCCCCCGTTGTCCGAGCGAAGTGTTTTGACCCTGCGACCCGTGGCGTTTTCGATCTCCAGAAGCCAATCCTTGAATGTCTGAAGGACCTCGCTCTTGTGCCCGATGGGGTAAACCCAAGTCTTCCTCGAGAAGTCGTCGATGAACGTGACGAGGTATCGCTTATGGCCTAAGGATTCCTCGGGGAAAGATAAGACGTCCGAGTGCACCAATGCGAGTGGTTCCGCGGCATGCGACGACGAAGAGGGGAAAGGCAAACGATGCGCTTTGGAGGCAAGGCACGCGTTGCAGGTGAAGTCATCACACTCGAAGTCACTGTAGGGCCAATCTAAACCCTCCACCTGGCCAGAGGCCGCCAGTTTTTTAAGTGTCTGGACAGAGGCGTGGCCGTAGTGAAAGGCACGCTGTCTCGGACAGCGGAGCCTCACTGGTGACCGAAGATGACAGGTGCAAGTTATATGGATTACAACTAGCTTCTGGTGTCAGCTCGATGAGATACGATAGTGCTGAGATAGGGAACACCAGTACTCACCTAGCTTCTGGTGTCAGCTCGATGAAGAGAGAGCTGAAGAAGCTAGGCGCGCGCAAGCTCTATTTCTAATGCCTGTGGCCCGTCGTAAGGCCTTGCCTTACACGTAGCGCCGGTGAAGGGTAAGTAAAGGTAGCCTATTGGACTTGGTGGCAACGAGCGTGTGTCGCGCATCTTTGCTGGCAGCTTGGACCGAAGCGTTGAGTTTGTAAACGCAGGACGCGATGGCTGATGCTGTGGCGATGCACCCTTGCGGCGTGCGGAGCTCGACTTGTCCGTGTTCGAAGGTGATGCGAACGCCTTTGCGGTCGAAGGCCCGGACTGAGATGAGGTTGGCAGGGCTCTCGGGGGCGTAGATCACGTCGTTGAGGGTGAACCTGGTACCATTATCGGAGACGAGCTTGACCGAGCCGATTCCCGAGGCCTTCACCGTTCCCCCTAGACCTTGCAGGACTTGCGGGGTAGGCGAAAGGGGGCCGTCAAAGAAGGACGCATCGTTGACGACGTGGCACGCCGACGCCGAGTCTAGCAGAAGGATTTCCGCCGGTGGCCCGATGTTGACAAACGTAGCAGAAGAAACGACGGACAGGTGTTGATCCTTGGATGCTTCCTCGGTGGCCACGAACGTGGACGTAGGCGATGATGAACCTTGGAGTTCCTTCATGGCGTTCTTGAGCTCGAGGTACTTGGCTCGCTTGCGCGATTCCGGACACTTGTCGAGCCAGTGTTTGCCTTGACCACAAGCTGGGCAGTTGCTCGGGGCAGGACCAGAACGATCCCATTTTCCCTTCTTGCCTGGTGCAGAGCGTTTGGTCGGTACGACCGCCTTCGCAACGAGGACCGTCGCTCGATTCGTCCGAGCGTTGAATCCAGCCCAAGAGGGCGGGCATGGCGGCATCGTGGGGACCCAGTCAACGTAATTGTCCTCCGTAAGTTTCGAGTCGTCGGGGAAGACCGGAGGGTTGGCTGGGGGTAGGCGCTGACGCATGGAGAATGCGTCGTCGTCCCGTGCGGGGCGCTGGTTCCTGATCAGCTCGTCGAATTGCTCTTTAGTGAGCGTGACGGAGGTAGTGGAGGCGACGTCGTTGGTATGGTACGACGTTGATGACGGTGGTGGAGGCGTTGATGCCATGTCACCGTGGACGTCGAGGTCGCCCGCCGCTGATAGGCTAGGTGGGCTCATAACCTTTCATGGAACTGAGGCCGAGGCACGAAGTGCGTAAGTACGAGAGCCGATGAAGATAGTAAAGATAGTTGGAGAAAGAAGATAAGCGCTAAGGGAGCGCGCGCGAGGCAGGCTCGAGACGCGCGGGGCGACTAATATCAACAACTAGTAACTAATCATAATCGGGAATACCAGTGGGATGAAACAGCAATATATTGACACAATTGACACCATTGGATTGAGTCCATCAAATTGATGCCATTGAAGTTCGCCATCCGGACCGATTGCAGCCCCACCTTTCGTTGAGATGTGTTGATGGCGTAGCTGAGTGACGGCTCGGAGTGACCAACGGTGCTGCAAGCCAGTGTCATCGCAAAAGACGAGGTCTGAGCGCTGAGCCTCGAGCGTCCGGCGTCCAGCGTACGGTGCTTCCGTTATGCATGATGGTGAAGCACATGGGAACTTGAGTGAACGAAAGCAAGGTTCTCTGTCCCCCTGCACAACATCGGCACGTACTGACATCCATGACAGAACCTATGCCTCCGAAATCGTGCGACAGGACGGACTGCAAATTCATATCCGCACCTTGCGAAAGCTTGAGAGGTGCGCAGTGCAGGAGTGCCTCCAGGTCGAGAACGGAAGAACTCGTTGGCATCTCAGGCGAGGACGCCCTTGCGCATGCACAATACGTAATTGTGTGATACGTTGAAGAACCCACTTGCTTAGAGATACGTCCAAAACCCGGTCACTCTCGGCATTCGGGTCGACTGTGGCGGCAATGTCGTCTTAGAAAGCTTGAAAAGCGATGAAGCAAGATATTGCTACCATTCCTGTGAAAGCCGACTCGGAGGTCAGCTTGCTTGCGTCCAAAAGTGCTGGAAGCTGGAGACTACGGACCACAGCGTTGGCGTATCCTGTAGTTTTATGATCTCCATGACCAAGGGTGAGTGTAAGGCAAGGCCTTACGACGGGCCACAGGCATTAGAAATAGAGCTTGCGCGCGCCTAGCTTCTTCAGCTCTCTCTTCATCGAGCTGACACCAGAAGCTAGGTGAGTACTGGTGTTCCCTATCTCAGCACTATCGTATCTTCATCGAGCTGACACCAGAAGCTAGCTGTAATCCCTGAAGCTCTGAAAGAGCTGAAGGTTTCGTTTCGAAATTGGGCGGTTCCAGCCCAGAATTGGTGCAAATCTCAAAGTGTCTCAGAATTCGGCCCCTCAGTCCTCAGGCACAGCTTCCCCGCACTTTATGAAAACGCGCGCGGCGTTGTTCGGCCTAGCTCAGGGATCAGGAGACAGGGACCACGGAGTCACGGACCCGGCGGCGGGGTCGCTCTTGGTCCTTGACTCCTTGGACCTCGTCATAAAGCATAGGGGGGCGAGGGGGGGCCGGTTGCCACAACGGGGCGGGAGGGCAAGAACTAAGAATAGCACAGGTTTCACGCCCTTCGAGCCACGTCGCTTTCGAAGCTTCGCCTTGTCATTCGTCACTCGCACACGGCCCGACCCACCCTGCACACTCTACACTTGTGGGCTTGTCAGACTCTGCAATCTTCTTGTCATCTTAGGAGCGCGGACCTAGTAGCCAGACCTACAGCATCCGGACCTGACACTGGCCAGACCTACCATCCGGATTTAGCCTGTCTTGATCCAGATCCCCGAACTCGAGTCAAATTCTGCTGCTGATTGTGCCCAGTTGCACGCTTCTCGAGCCAACATGTCTACTTTGTCGCACCTTGTTCACCTTCAAACATTTGAAGCGCCTTCTCAGCTGAATACACTTGATGAGTTTGATGAGATCAGGTTAACGACACAAGTTGGCCCTCGAGCTCGAGAGCAGCCAGTCGTACTACACAGTTACTATGGTCCAAAGGATGGTTCAGGGTCGACTCCGCAAGCATCTTCGGCTGTCCTCAAAACCTCGGTGTCTGTTGTGGTACTCGGGATCCCGTCGGAGACATTTCGGACATACGGGCCGGGTTCAGGAGTGATTTCGGATCATTTTAGTGGGGTATGCGGCACTCGGGATCCCGTCGGAGGCAGCGGTTGTAGCGGAGTCGTTTCGATCGAAGCAGGGTTGAGTTCCGAAGTCGTTTCGACGGCCGGGTTGGGAGTCGATTCAATTTCCACTAGTTTCGGCAGGATCAATTTCCGCTAGTTTCGGCGGAATTCTCAGCGATTAAGCGGTCCCGGATAAACTCAGTACTTCGGTAACTCGAGACTAGACTGTCAGCGACGAATCATGTGGCGGGATTTGAATGGAAGACCGGGCCGGATGCGCGGATGAAGGGGAAAAGGGGAATGAATGGAGCGCAGCGGTTTGAATGGTCGGGACGTTTGAGGGGAGTTTGCTTCTTGTTCTTAGCAAGACCACTTCTAGGATCTAATACAGCATCTTAGCTGGTTTTCACTTTCTGCGTGATTCAAGTCTCGTCTCTCGTCTCCAGTCTCCGGTCTCAGCGTTTCGTTCTCATACTCGGTCTCGTTTCTCGGTTTGGGCTCCTTTCTCGTCTCTCGTCTCTCGGCCGTCCTGGTCGCTCTCTCGTATCTCGTCTCCCTCGTCTTCGGTCACGGTTCCATCGTTTCCCCTTATCATTTCATATTATCTTTGATCGACCGCTTTGCTATACCATACTCTTCATCTCTTTCTCCCTACTTGTCACCACGCCACCTTCATCTACCTCTTCCGCGACAAGCAATGACTCCGACCCCCTCTCTGACCGACCGGCTGCCAACATCATACGACGCTCTAGATTACGAGCGAACTTCCCTCACCCACGAAGACGTTCAGATCATTGTCGAAGTCTACAACGCCTACCTGACGACCTTAGCCAACATCGTCGATCATCGCTCGGTTGCCGATTTCGTTCGTCTACAGAAACCGGGGAACTACGGCGAAGTCGCACTGGCTACGGCGGCCGGTCAAGTCGCCAACATATGGCTTGTAGGCCGAATCCGAACCATTGATCCTGCAGGGGGAATCGTGCCAAAGAAGTAAGCGAAGCCACGTTACTGGAGATCTACGCTAGCGCTAACCAAGATGCCGCAAACTTCTATACATGCCCCTGAACAGCCAGCAATGGCGCCTTGAGCGAGATTGCGTCAGGCCTGAAGATCTCGACCGGGAGATTCGACTGGAGCTGTTCGAGTCCGACTCGGAGGTCGTAAAGTTTCTAAACTGGCTCCAAGGAGGGGTGTCTCAAGCCCTTCATCAGCACTGGAAACTTCCCCAAGAATCTTCAAGGTGAGCCGCTTGCTGAACTTAGGCGGTGTTAGGCGTGCGAGCAGGGTGCTGATTCTGCTGCTGCTTCCCATCGGCTACTTTAGAACTTGCGGAATTGGCATCGCCATTTGGGCGCAACTCAAATAGTGCATACATCCACCACCGTGTGGTGACCACAAAAGAGTGAGTGCGCGTTTTCCTCACCTACTAAGTTCCCACAGAAGGGGCCAAACTGACACTGGTTTCACAATGGCATCCTCTGCAGCTGCTGGAATCACGTCTTTGGCCGCGACATCCCGTTCCCTGCCAGCATCAAGGCCTCTATCCCTCCTTGGCTGGGGACGGATAGTGAGGATCCGGCAAGGGAAAGGGAATATTTACAATTTTGGAAGGAGCTGTTGCAGCTCCGCTTTCAAGGAAAACCGACGGAGCTGGCCGCGCCGACGCCCTTCCCGGTTTCCTTCGCAGACGACCCGAATCGACAAAAATACGCACACACAATTCTGCAAGCAGAGGATGTGTGTGGGATTATGTGCAACGTACAGATCCATGTGTACGAGGACAAGAGAAAAGAGCAATGGATTGGACGCTATCAATTGACCCCGGTGGCAGCCCGTATCCATGGTCGACTTGCCAGTGCACCTCAGCCTGCTGCCAGCGGATCGGTGAGTGCAGCGGTGGGCCCCCATCAACATGGTCTCTTACTCTTGAACCATGGTTTTTTTTTTAGAAAAATAAAAATAAAAATTCCTGAGACCTCCTCGGCACCACGATACCAGGGCACGCCTCAAAATTCATCGGCCATTCATTCGCCTGTGAAGAGGTCTGCGTACGAGGCCGAGTTCGAATTGGACTTTGCTGACCTAACTAATAAGGGTAAGTGGAGACACCGATGCGCCTAACACTAGGTCATAAGTCAACCTGACATGACCTTTCTTCACCCCCGGCGGCGCCTCCCCCTTTTGCAGCCAAAAAGATCAAGTCGGACAGCGACAATAGCAGCGCCGACTCGGACGAAGACGAAATCGGCCTCGCGGGCTTCGGACACTTGGGCGCCTGACCAATCTACTCGCTTTCTAGTACATAGCTCATTTTTACCAACTGGTATAGAATTGAGATGAATGCTCTTTCGATGTTAAACTCGACCGCGCCGCGCTTGAGAGGTTCAGGGACTCGTCGCCGCCCCGCGGCGCGTCAATCCATATAACTTGCACCTGTCATCTTCGGTCACCAGTGAGGCTCCGCTGTCCGAGACAGCGTGCCTTTCACTTTTTTTTTGACAACGTCGAGTTCATTGGTACCCCAACGATACGGCCTACGCTCATCAGGTCCGGCCGTACTCGAACCATCGAACCAATCGACTAGCCAGGATCGTTCAAATCAAGACGACCCTGCAGCACTAGCAGCCCAGCGCCCCCCCCCCCCCCCAGCCCAGCCCAGCACGCCCGCACCAGCCCCGCACGCACACGCCCCGCCTCCGCACAAGCCCACACGCACTCCGCCTCCGCAAGACGACGCAATTCACACGCGCCCCCCCCCCCAGCCCAGCCCAGCACGCCCGCCATGTCCACTCCTGTCCCGCCCACGCACGTATACAAAGCCAGTGACCCACCTCAGCTACATCAAACCTCGATGGAGGCTCTTCGGGAATACTTCATGCGCCTGGAATACTACAACCGGCGCGTGGCCCAGTCTAGCAACTGCCCTCGCTATGCCCCTGCTCCCGGAGCGCCCGCCACCTCGTCGACTCCCCTGTCGACCGCTCCCGCCGCTCGCACTCGTCCTGGTATGGTGGCGGCCATCCAGACGTTCCAAGAAACGGGTGATTCAACCGCGTTTGCTGGCCTCAACAGTGACTCGGAAGACGACGATTACTCGTGCGCCCCTCGCTCGTTCCCGCCTTTACCCGTCTCTCTGCGTGGTGCTCATGGTACCCTCACTGCCTCGGCCCTCGTAGATTCGGGGTCGCCTCAAACGTTCCTCAGTGAGGACTTCGTTCAGCGATTGGGATTGGAAAAACGGGCCTTGGAACAGCACACGAAGTACACTCTTGCAATGCAGAACCAAGTTCCCACCGTCTTCACCTGCACGCATTTTGTTCGAGTTCCGGTCGAACTGGCTAATGGACGTTGGGCGGCGGGCCCGACGTACGCCGAAGTGGCGCCCCTTGGGAGGGACCTCGAGCTTATTCTGGGAGGCAACTTCATCTACACGCACAAGATTGACCTAGGTCATTTCCCACACCCCCACCTCACGTGTAAGAACAACCCGGAGGAGCCAATTGACCTGCTTGAACTAT